CTTACTTGCTTGCTTGCTTACTTGCTTGCTTGCTTACTTGCTTGCTTGCTTACTTGCTTGCTTGCTTACTTGCTTGCTTGCTTACTTGCTTGCTTATTTACTTGAGAATCCATGGCCGATGTTTTCTGGTGTTCCCAGCGAGTAGTCTGCTGAGATAAACATCGAAATATTGAGTGTGCTTTCTGCCCGGTGTCGGGTGGGTTCATGACAATAAATCACTCTGAAAGATGCCGACTTTCAACTTTGTGCTCGCCTCCTCCAGTTCCACTTCTTGACATGGATCAGATAAGTGGCGCAAAAGGCCATGGCGTACATGAAGACGATGAAGGCAATGAAGATGCCGACATTCCTTCCTTTATGCCTGTTGAAGAAATCGTACTGTTGAATCTACACAGACCAGGGCAGACAACGCAACCAATTAGTAAATGGCGAATGTTACCAGAGTGGGCGAGAAATAAACGAAACACAAAACAAACTCACATAGAGATCACCGTTTGTATAATGACAGTACTGGCAGCCCGGACCCGTGGAGTCAGTGTCGAGCAGATATCCCGTCGAGGCCGAGGAGGCGAGGAATGAGTGTGCGTAGTCCTCACAGGTGAGACCACCACCACCACCACCACCACCACCACCACCACCACTGTCTGGGAGGAAGAAAGTGACGGTCTCCTCGGCAGAGCAGTGGATGGGGAGACGGTGCATGACATCGACGGCCATGCCCTCGACATAGTAGAACAGCGGGGAGACGTTGTAGAACCAGCGCCAGCCGCGCGGGGTCAGGGGCGGCGGCAACAGCGGCCCGTTGAAGGTGTTGACCATGAGCCAGACGAAGGCGGTGGCAATGTGCGCGGCGCCGACGGTCGGGAAGACGGCAATCAGCTGCGCCAGACTGGTCACGAACAGCGAGTACAGCTCGTACATGGCAAACGAGTAGGCGGCGTGGAAGTGGAAGTGGAAGTAGCCGACCATGTAGTACCACAAAACCCAATAGATGAGGCCGCCCAGTAGCGTGTAGGGCAGTTCCACGACGACGGCGCTCACCACGAACACGGCCCAGCTGTATAGTCGGGTGTCGTGCTCGCGCGCCAGGAACTGGTCGCGCAGGATAATGAAGCGCGGCTCGATCGACAGGCTCAATACGGGGCCCGTGATGACGCCGACGAAGATGGAGAAGATCCGGTTGCGCGAGTCCGTCAGGCTGCGTGACAGCTGCAGGAATGTTAGGCCGTTCATCATCGCCATCCACATGTTCAGCTGCACCTTGGACAGCACGTATTCCGGGTCCCGCCAGTAGTTCAGAAACGCCCGGTGCGTCGTCGTCCGGATCTGCTCTATCGTGCCTGCCGCGTACGAGTTGGTGGTGTCTATTTCCGTTTCTGGGTCGCCGACCGTTTGCTGCGCGCCGGACGCGTCGCTCTCGAGATCTTGAAGAAGTTTCTCGTGCTCGGGCGATTCGTGCCAGACCTGGTTATAGTTATGTCAGTAGATGTATCTTTCAAAAATAAGGAAACAAGAAAGAACATGCGCGTAGAGAAAGATGCGTACCCTGGACCAATCGATATCGGAGCGGATCGACTCGGCGAGGAAGTATTCGGCTGGATTGACATTTTCCGGAAGGCGGTCGTCGCCCTAGCGAAATACTCAACGGCCGTGCCGCAATTGTGGCCCAGAGGCCCGGCGTAGACGCTTCTCCCTCCAGGAGCCAGTAGCAGCAGGCTGTCGAACAGATTCATCAGTTCAGTGGACGGTTGGTGAATGGTGCACAGCACAGTCTGGCCTGCCTGAGACAGTTCCCTGAGCAGTTGGACGATCGACAACGCGGCAGTGCTGTCTAGCCCGGAGGTGGGCTCGTCCAGAAACAGTGATCTGGTTTGGCGGCCATTCCAACGCCCATACTCACTCTCTTCCGTCGCTCCAGGTCCAGACCGGACCCTGGTTCGCCGATCAGGGCGTCCGCGATGCCCCCGATATTTGACACGGGTGTCTCGTGCATATCATCGCTCTGACAAAAAAACTACGGGCGAGAACGACTCGACCATCTTGTAAACAGTCGACATCACTCAAAGCCATCATCAAGATCGGTTGTAGAGGCATGTCGAATGCTTTACTGATGCTCGAGGAATTCTGAACAGGAAGATATGGGGCCGGCTAACCGCAAGGAGTACCGAACGGACAAATATGGGGTCCGCTAACCACAAGGAGTCGACCCTTTTCGGCCGACCCGCTGAGCCGCCATTCACTTCCCAAAGGGGCAGAAAAGCGGGTCAGTGGTTCCACCAGCATGCCATGCCACATGAAGCCGTCCAAGGTCCGAGTTGGCGATAGTGCAATGCCCTCTCATGTACGCGGTGAAGTAGTAACCTGACAAATCCGAGGGCGAGGCGCGTATTGGATCAACCAACGATCTTCGTAGGAACTCGGGTTCGTGGGGAATGTTACTCTCCTTGTCTGGTTCACAGTGTTGTAAGAGCCAAGGGTCCGTACCAGCACCGCTCTTGATCTCTTTCTTCCCTTTCAGCTTGATACGCTTGAGATATCGAGTTTGCTATCAAGACATATCAAGACAGTCATCATGGCCTCCGAAGTCGACCCAGATCAATATACCAAGTCCGGTCTGTTCACGAAGAATTATTTCCGTGATGTTTATCCCGAAATCGATCCGAAGAAGCCGGAGCTCAGCCAGGCCGGCAAGGTCGCCATCGTGACCGGTGCGAGCAGAGGGCTGGGGAAGGTAAGACAAAAATCTCTTAATATGATGTTTACCCTTGCCATGCTGGTGGTGGTCTCGACGTGGCTTACGCGGCGGTCAGGCTATCGCATTGGCGTTTGCCCATGCAGGTATCAAAGGGCTTGTGCTGGGAGCCAGAAGCGAAAAGGCCCTTGGAGAGACCAAGGCTGCCGTGCTGGCGATCAGCCCTTCCACACACGTACTGGCTGTGCCTGTGGATATTAGCGTGGAAGAATCGGTCGAGAAGTTTTACCAGACCATCTCGGCCACCTTTGAGACGGTCGACACATTGGTCAACAACGCCGGTGTCTTCACTGACTCGTTCGACGTCATCTCCAAGGTCTCACCGGCCAAGTGGTTCAGAGATTTCGAGGTCAACGTCAAGGGAACCTTCCTGGTGACGGCAGGATTCCTCAAAGCCCAAGAGCGCAAACCGAGCGGTGTTCCGACCATCATCAACCTGGTGACGTTTCCAGGCCTGGTCCCGCCATCGCTAAGCAGCTATTTCATCTCCAAGGCCGCGGTTCTGAGGTTCACTGAGCATATCGCGGCGGAGAATCCCCAGGTCGCCGTCTTTAGTATCAGTCCAGGGGTCAGTCCGACCGACATGACCCTCGAAATGTTCAAGCCTTTCGCAAAGGACTCACGTAAGTCACGCAAACCTTCGGGTGACCTGTGGGCATAGCAGGGAGAGTGCTGACTGATGGTAATCGCAGCGGATTTGACGGGAGCCGTCGCCGTTTATCTCTCAGCAACAAGACCAGCATATTTGGTGGGAAGATACATGTCGGTCAATTGGGATGTCTCGGAGCTTGCCGAGAGGAAGGATGAGATCGTGGACTCCGGCCTCCTGAAATTTGTAATTAAGCAGTAGGTGAGCACTGAGACTCGGGTAATTGAAGCTGCTTGATCCAAGCCAGCGCTGGCAGGGGCTTCACATACCTCGCCCCGTATGCGGTGAAGCAGTGGACGTACCCTTTTGCATACAGGAGGTATTCTGGTCACGACGGAGATCAATGGCCGACCATCATAAGACGATAGACCAGGAGTTTCGACATGTCACTCACTATATGATTGAGTTCCCTAGTTCTCCCCTCCGTGCTGGAGAGCATATGTTATCGATTAGTTTGCTGCATGTCGGCCATAAAGCCCTCTACAAGTTCGATTTGGCATTCAAACCATTCGCTGGGGTTGATGATATCTTTCCACGCCCACAAACCGTCTTCCATCGCGCCGAAGTCAGTGAGTCCATAAGACTCTCGAGGGCTTTCGATCCCAAGGCTCGTCCAGAATTCAGGTGTTTGCGTTCTCATACAAGGCTTCTCCCCGGGGCAGGCCGGCTTGGTCACCAGCGTGGTTGAATTACCTTGCTGTACTTCCGGGCGCGAATGTAGATGGCAGAACTCCACAACATGGTCGATACGTTGGCATAAGTCGCGCGTGATGGCTTTGGCTTTCTCTTGAGGCGTGTTGGTCGCCGGTCAAGATTGAGTGAGGGTCGAGAAGATGGAAGATGGTGGGTGAGATGTAAGCAATTGATGTCGAGGAAAGAAAGGGCTCGACAGGCTAGACGACATCACCAACAGCTGACAAGATTAGAGGCCGGGAAGGTTGCATATGGGGGTAACTAGGGGCGGTAGGGGCGATCAGCCGGCTAAGGCTTAGGCTAGGGAGGCTTAGGGAGCTCCCTAGGCTGGGGAGGCCAGGTGGTTCTTAGGCCAGGCCTTAGGCTTCAGCACTGGCACCGTGACCTGCAGTGGACGCGTTTCAGTAAGGTCCTGGCATGGCTGCGCTTCGCCCAATCAAGATTTCTGTCTCTGCTGCTGACAAAGATATCTTAGAAGTCACGTGTTGACCTCACCTTCAACTTCAACCAACAACTTGAAGTTGACAGCCCTCAACCTCACTCTAGTTTCCATGAGTCGAAAGCAAAACTCTTATTCTGATCCAGCATGCACCCACGGGGATTTGATCTAAGGTAGGTATAAGCGATTCTGCAATGTTGAGTTCCAGTCAGTCTTACAATAGTCCCTTGTCATTCATCTGGTGGCAGAACATCAGTGGACAAGGCTGCCACTTTCTTCTTCCAATCCGGCTGCGCTGCGTCTCCTTTTGCTCCTCAAATCCGCCCTCATTCCCGTTCAGGTCATCAACACCGTCATTGCCCTTCGTTTCGAGGCCAGTCACCCGTTCATGCGTTACGCCGAGTCGCCCACCGGCCACCGAGATGAACCCAGAAACGGCACTCTCAAGCTTGCCGTGTGCGGGGTTCAGATACCGACATGTACCTAGGTAGATACTACTTCCTTGGTCCGAGTCGTTCTCCCTGCTCGGGTATCATTCTCCTCCTCATCTCCCTCCACCCTTCCCCCTCTTTGACCCTCGGCGGATCCGGTCTGGTAGGTCTTGCCATCAGACAGAAGCCACTGGCAGATGAACTAGTCGCGGTCAGAGATTCCCTGAAAGAGTGAAGAAAGATCCAGAGTTTGCAGCCGTGGCGGATTTTCCGCCCAGCCGGCCATCAGGTCCTTCCCGAGCGGGTTTCAAATATGGCCTCCTACCCCCTCACCGATCAGACAAAAAGAGCCAGGTGGGCTACTTCTGCATAGCTGCGAACCGTGCGTAGACTTTGATGGTAAGGAATCAACATCATTCTCCCGGTTGCACACCACATTAGAGTTGTCATTGAGCAGTATCCTGCACTCAAGTCGAATCGCACCAGCTCTGTCCCAACAGTCCTAAGGTAGACCAACATGGCCAAGATCGCGGCGGAGGCTGTTCCACAGCTTCAAGCCCAAATCGACGCCGTTACCTCGGACCCAAAGGGCGCTCCAGGTGTGGTATTTGCCGCCGTCAACAAGGGTGGCGAACTGGTCTTTCAACACGCGTCTGGAAAGGTCGGGGCAGGAAAGGACGAGGCCATGACCATGGACAACGTCTTCTGGATCGCCAGTTGCACCAAGATGATTACAGGAGTGGCCTGCATGCAGCTTGTCGAACAGGGGAAATTGTCACTGGATGATTCGGATCAAGTCGAGAAACTGGCGCCGGTAGGTCAAAACAACAGGCAAACGTCGCTTTTGTTCTTGCTTGGCTACCATCCCCTTTGATCGAACTGGCAAATGGATGGATCACTGACAGGATATACTATCTTGCTGTAGGAACTAAAAGCGGTACAAGTGTTCGAGAATGGCAAACTTGTGCCGAAGAAGCGACCGATCACGTTGAGAATGCTGCTCTCACATACCGGTGAGTGAGACTCCCCAACACTCTCTCCAGAGCTTGAGGCGACATGGTACCGATTCACGTCGAAGCCGATGATCTGACATGTCTTGTCTCTTCACAGCCGGATTCGGCTACTCATTCTTCGACCAGCGTCTCAACGACTGGGCCGGCCCACTGGGCGTCGACGAATTCTGCGGCTCATACCACGACTACCTGTCACAGCCGCTGGTCAACCAGCCCGGTGAAAGATGGGAATACGGCATCAACATCGACTGGGCTGGTCAGCTGGTCGAGCGCGTGTCGGGGCTCAAGTTGAACGACTACTTCCGACAACACATCTTCGAGCCCATGGGCATCACGCATATCACCATGTTCCCCACGGACGAGATGAAGGCGCACCTCGCCTACATGAACGCACGCGCCCCCGATGGCAGTCTCTCACTCAACGTCGACGGCCATCTCAACCGGCGGCCATTGTACGCCACGACCAAAGAAGAAATCGATGCCACATTCCATGCGGGCGGTGCTGGCTGTTTCGCTCGTCTGCCAGAGTACTGTCAGATCATTGCTATGCTACTGAACGATGGCGTTCACCCCGGTACTGGTGCGCAGATCCTCAAAAAGGAGACGGTCGACCAGATGTTCACGAACCAGGTATCCACCGCTCTCATCTCCTATCCGTACTTCATCAGATCGGCTCATCGTGGATCCGTTTGGAAGGAGAGTAGAGCTTGATGCTAACCAGGATTCCTATGGTCATAGATCCCAGATATGCCGAACTTTGGCCGCCAGGTTAGTTGTGCTCTGATGTTTCTGGTTTTGTTTTCTGGCATCCCCCGGCAGCAACACTAACAGATTCATGGTCAATGTACAGGGCATCCAACCACCCAAACCGCTTCTATCCAACGCCCTGACCGACTTGTATCCCGATCCCCACGACGTCCCGCAGGGCTGGGGACTGACCTTCTTCCTGCATCTACGCGATTCCGCCGTGCACAGCGAAGGCACAGGCTGGTGGGCCGGCCTGCCGAATCTGTTCTGGTGGGCTGATCGGAAGAGAGTACGTCGTTCGCTCATCCTTTGTGACTAACTACCACGTTGACCCGGGCGCTCCTTAAGCTGGTTGGTATAAAGCTAACATGTCGATCGTTTTTTGTCTCTCTTAGGGCCTCGGTGGCATCATTGGATCCCAAATCCTGCCGTTTGGTAAGCATTGATTGATTTCGCCATCTCGTCATGTCCCATCGCTTTGTCGTTCTTCCCCTCCGAGGCCCACAGTCTTGATTATGGCCAGCTGCCTATTCGTTAGCAGAACCGGAATGGATCCGACTAACTCGAGCATAACAGGTGATGCGAACATTCTTGGTCTGTGGTCTCAGATTGAGGCTGGCTTGATTGCGAACTTGAAGTAAAGAATCGATTCAGCGGTCAGTCAGTCAGTCAGTCTTTTGTGGCTTCATGTCGTGGAACGAGCACAACTGGACGAGGGAGAGAACAGCTCGAGGGACGATGTCGTCAACCGGGAGCCGAGAAATAGATAAGGCGAACTGCTGGCCATGAGCAAACGCCAGGACTGGCTCGGTGAGGAGGTATAGGGGGAAAGAGTACGTATGCAGTCCATCAAGACTCCGGTGTCTCGTGTCATGTTACTTGTGTGTGTGTGTGTACGTGTAGTACAATATACCTCATGCCATCCGCTGGGTAGCTATCTATGTTTAGCAAGTGATGAATGAACAAATGCTATCGCTGACCATGTGGGACAGATGACCATCAAGGGCCGGTTGACAGCATTGCCAGCCGATTTCTGAGATGATTGCAGTACACCTGCCATACCTGTTCTAGGTAACAACCCTGCTCAGTCCCGTGCAGCTCTGCCAGGATCCAAGTCTTCAATATTTTTACACATCCATCGTGTGAAGCAAGGTGTCACGAGCTTTCACCGAATAGGAAGACATCAACTGCCGGAGGCATGCGTATAATACATGTGGCCAGGCTCAAACATCGAGCTTGCGGCACTGCTGCGTCCTCAGGGGTTGAGAGAAAGATCAACCTGAACCTTCAACATCTCCGGCACAATCCACGGTCGGAGTCCGTCCAACTCAGGAGAAGAGGCGAAGACTCTTCAATCTTGTGAGCGGCATAATGCTCAAACCGAAGAGAACCAGCCGGACTCAGTCAACGACCTTGCCATAGAACGGAATACCGACCTGTTGAAGAAGCAATCGTGCATCTTTATCACAGGTGGCCGTGGTGTGAATGGTAATATGTAGACCCTGCGTCAAAAGAGTCAGTAAACGTCAAAGACCTTCCATGGAACGGAGCACTGACCGGAATCATCTTGCCCGGGTAGGCATCATAATTTGTCTCGATCTCGGGGAAGGTGGCGACGGATTCAGGATCGAGACCAAAAGTGAGGTTCCCACTGTTATCTCCTGTGGTGGCTCTCACACCGTTCCAATCTTTGATGCGCGGCAACACCACGTTGATCAGTTTGCCGAGAAAGTGGTACATGTCCTCGCCCTTCAGATCCACGGTCATGCTGACTGTTTTGCCCTTGATTATACCCCAGTTCGCTTCGTTCGTTCTGGCCTCGTGCGTCATGACCCGGTGGTTGGTGATCGCTTGAAGAGCCATGCCGGCGACGTGGATATAGCCCGAGCCACCAGACAAGGCGCCCTTGACGAATGAATGCACCGTGACACGCTCGATCATGGGGATGTTCCGGAAAGTGATGGGTTTTCTTAAGAGACGCAGGACGTCTCCGCCCCGGGGTCCACGAAGCGGTCTGTTCCTGAAGTAGGGGGAGTCGCCGATCCAAGGCCGTAGACGGGCTCCTTTTTGCGGCGCTCGGAATCCCGGCGGGGTATGCTGGTAGCACATGGTCATGAAGTCGGGCGCGATGATGTTGTGGTATGTCTGTTCCAGGCGTGGGGTGGAAAAGGGCCCTGGGACAAACTCTCGACTGGCGGGATCGGACGGCGGTGGTGGTTGATGCGGGTGTAAAGGCCCGCGGTAATATTTGGGACTGCGGAACTGATATCTGTGGACGGGTTCAATGGTCAGCTTCGAGTCGAGGTCTGCAAGTCAATGCACGAATTCTGAGGTTGGTATGGGAGCCATACCGGCTAGGTACGAGCTGGCGCTTCCGCGACCTGGGGACCTTCAAGGGGTCGAAGTCTCTGACTGGTGATCCTGATCCGGCGTCTGGTGCGCCTCCCAAGGACGAAGCTTCTTCCAGTTCTGCATCCCGTTGACCTTGCGGAGCGCTGGCTTGAGAAGCGAGTGTTCTCCGGGTTTGCAAGCACCGATTGCAGATGGATGGCTTGACGAATGATCGCCATGTCCGGGCCAGACGAAGAGACAGATGTGACTCTGCCATTGTCGAGCGCGAGGTGGGAAAGTGAGTCTGACGGAGTGGCTCTCGCAGCAACAACGCAAGGCCGTCAACTTGAAGCAGTCAATTGTCGGAGTCGGAGATCTTTTTACCTCGCGCCGCCAAGATACGTAAACCCCCTTCTGGGACAAAGGTGATGCCGCCCTGTACTCACCCCCGGCGATTTTTTGGCCAGACAACCGTGCCAAGCTTCGCGTGTATATAGGTATCAGTACCTAGGTACTACGTACTACTACGCGAAGTGCTTCCTCACCTTCTACACGCCGTAAGAACCCACGAATTCAGCAACTCGTCAACCGCATTCTATCCCTATAGCGATTCTTTACTTTAAGCCGGCAATCACACTCCTTGACTGCTGAAGCAATGGTATAGATCTGCTCGGCGCCTCTTTGAAAACACCTTCCCCAAATTGTCTGGCCTCAAGCCTCAGTTTCATTGCTCAATTTGATCATTCATGTGTCAAATCTCAAGAACTTGAGAATGACTGTTTCCTCATGATTTTGCGATATCTCATCACCGGCTCAAAAATGGCGTACATACGTGCTAGCACAATATGTAGCTTTCCATCCCAACTCATGTACTCACGACACTCCCAGAACATGACGAAGAAGAAAAGGAAGAAAAGGAAGAAAAAGAGGAGAAACAGAGTGGAAGTTATTACTAATATTTAAGCTTGGGGCAAACTTTAGGCGTCGTCGATCTGCCTGTCTGGGGAAGTGGTGCCTACGGTAGTCAAGATAACTCTCGTAAATAAGATGATGCATGTGTAATTAGAGATATCGGAGAACTGTCGTCAAGACGCGTGAGGCATTGGTAGTGACCAAATTCTGTTACAACACATGGTGCAAGGACCGGCGATGCGTTCCAGGCGCTCGCGAGCCGGGTGGGACTTAGGTACTTCAATCAGGTAAATCAGGTAAGGTCTCCAAGCCGGGACCCACCAAAGAAGAGCTTTGAAAAATCAAACAGTCTTGAATTATTGACCCAAATTTCTTGCATAATTGCCAGCGTGGCACAATTGGTCAGCGCGGTATGTATAGTACGCCTCAATGGATGTGAATTTTATTCTAACAAATGTAAGTGAGACTTTTATAAGAAAATCTCAAGGTTGCGAGTTCGAGCCTCGCCGTTGGCTTGTCGATTTTTTGGCTGTTTCTTTTTTGTTCCTTGCATATAATCCGCACAAGTTTCGGTGGGTTTTACTTGTCTCAGCATCTCCCGTCAAGGAGATTTCAAGCACTTCAGTTATGAACCACCTTGTAGAGAAGGAGGCGGGACATGTACCTCTTCCGTGACGACGCGTATCATACTATTGGGGATCCGTTCCCACCAGGACAGCAGTATTCCAGACTCGTATAAAAAGGGTTGGAGGGTTGGAGGGGATGCCTTGGCTACTAATACGATACTGTTCAAGACAAGACGAGAACATTTTCCCTTTGGTCTTGGGCAAAAAGCCCCCCTGAAGACGGAAGACGAAGCCAGATCCCACCAGACCCTATAAAGGGGAAGACGGCGAGAACCCAAAACCCTCCATCATCTTCATCCAACAAGACCTCTGCCACCATGTCGTCCGGCTCATCCAAGCCCCGTTCCAAGGCCAAGGCCAAAGCGCTGAAAGCCGGGCGGCCGCCGTTCCTCTCAACCACGACATCCAAGCCAGCCACGGCATTCAACCCAGAGAGACGGTCCTTGTCGGCCAAGCGCACCCGTTCCTTGATCCGGACACACCACGTCCTGCAGAAACGGCTTGCGCAGGCCCGCGCCGAGAAGGACGCGGAGCAGGTCCGCGAGCTGGAAGCGCAACTGGCCGCGTCCGGTGGTCTGGAGACGTATCAGCTGGCCAGCACGGTCGGCCAGAGCGCCGAACGGGGCGGAGATTCGAGTCGCGTGCTGGTCGACTGGCTAAGGGAAGAGCTTGAAGCACGCAAGCCGAAGAGATTCAGGGGTCACTCTTTTGCTTTTTCTGCATCGTCGTCGTCGTCGTCGAATCCATCACCTGCCAATGACGAACATGGCTCGTCGTCAACATCAGTACAGGTCGGCGGTCGGGGGCCACCATCTCCACGACCGCTCCGAATCCTGGAGGTCGGAGCCCTCAGCACGACAAACGCACTGAACATACCGCTAGTGACGAGTGTGCGACGGATCGATCTGCGCTCGTCGGGCCCAGGGATCGAGGAGGCCGACTTCATGACTCTGCCGCTGCCTGACTCGCCGGACGGGAAGGGCGAGTGGCACGGCGAGCGGGGCTACGATGTGATCAGCCTGAGCCTGGTGCTGAATTACGTGCCCGATGCCCCTGGCAGGGGGGAGATGTTGCGCAGGACGACCATGTTCTTCTCGCGACACCACGAGAATCGCGACGATCTTGAGGACGGTGACGCTGACCGGGACGAGGATATGCAGACCGAATACGAGACCCCGGAACAAACCGAGGACGACGGTACCCGGGCTACTATCACTACTATCAAACACCCAAGAGTTCGGGCCCATGATGGCCGCAACGGACCACGCCCACCAGGCCTGCTCCCATGTCTCTTCCTCGTGCTGCCGGCCCCGACGCTCCATAACTCCCGCTACCTCACGCCCGACCATCTCACCGCCATCCTGTCGTCGTTGGGCTACATCAATCTCCAGGCCAAAACCACGCGCAAGCTGCACTATAGTCTGTGGCGGTACGACCCCAGGCGGAGGAAAGAGTGGGTGGGTCAGGGAGGCAAGACCGTCTTCCACAAAAAGGAGATCAATCCGGGTAGTGGGCGGAACAACTTTTGCATAGTGCTCGATGACCGTGAGAAGGAATAAGGAGATATGACGAACAGCAAAACAAAAGCCCCGAAGAGGGAGAGAAACCGAGAGAGAATAAAGACGGGTCAACTGGGTCAACTGCGAGCGATCACATTCATGCGAGTATCTTCTCTGTTTCCGTTCAGTCATTTCGTAGTTTCTCCAATTCCCTACACTTCCTGTGTGGTGCCTTTGCCTGCCTCGAAGCACTGGTCTTCTTTGTGCTCTGGTTGCCTCACAATTGTTGATGAGCACTGACTGCCAAAGTCCTTGGTTCTTGGTTCTTGGTTCTTGTACACTTGCCATCCGGTTTCCACGTACATTGCCATGTCGATTCACGAAATATGCTCAAAGATCAATTGTTTCCATGTTAGCAACGCCGGGTTTGTTACATCAGCCACCCCGGGCAAGTACAACTGCGACAATGCCTATGCCCATTTTCCATTTGACCAAAGTCCGCCATATCCAGCGATGCGTGGGTCTTCTCTGAAAGGCTAATGATGACAAAAAGTCTGCGGAAAACCTCTCCTAGATTGTGACGGTTTTCATATCCTCTTCGATGCCGTTTACTCCGAGTCCTGTAACTTCGGCCTGTTCCGGCACGGCAGGCTGCTCTTTACTTTCGCTTTCAGTCGATACTCTCGACAATCGGGTTGCTGGGAACTCTTTGGGTTCTGCACTTTTCAATGACGCAGGAGTAGGGGCGTCAACCAGCTTTTCGGCTCTGCTGTTGGGGTTGACGGCCTTGGGGTCGATCGGCAAGGGTTTCTCTCGCTTCTTACCCTCACTCGAGGACTCGATAGCTTGGGCGAAATCTCTGATCACGTCGCCACCAGGTCGGATGGCCTGGGGTTGGGCGATCTCTTCCTGGACGCGAGCCAGAGGACTTCCGACTGCATGTCGCGGACTGCCCGAGTGGCCTCGCGAGAAACGTTGAGGTGATCTGCCCCTATCCTCGGTACCGATGACTGGACTGCCGTACGGCGAGTGCCGTCCGTTTTGCGCCACAACAGCGGTGTTCAGCCCCGCTGGCTGAGGTCTCCGTCGGGGACCTCGTCGCCCATATTTCTGGTCAACTCGCCAACGGAGAATCTCCATGTAGGAAGGCTCCACTGTTTCGGTCTTGAACTCCTTCAGCTTCAGCTCTCCAGTCTCCTCGTCGACAAAAACCTTGTCGCTGTTCAGATCATCGGCCACGACGGCCAGGAAATGAGCCCATGACCGTGCGACAACGTATTTGCAATCGTAGTCGCGCCCAAAGATGATGACTTGGCCCCATCTGCCCGTGGGACCCGGGGCAAGGTCGACTGCGATGTTGTTGCCACCCCAGTCCCTGGCCAGGGAGATCCAGCTAGGGTGTGCGTAGGCCTTTTGAGTGGCTTTGGGAGGCTGGGACTCTTGTTTGTCCAGCAGCTCCTCTCTCCAAAAGCGGTTTCCATTTTGGGCTTGGCTTGAAGAGGAGGCACCTTTGCTGAGGCCCTTGCTGTTGTAGGAGGACGGCTTCCGAGCTCCGCTCAAGTACTCTTCGTTGACAACCTTCCAGTTTTTCCATTCTTGAACGATTTCTTCACAGTCTAGCAACATGCAACCAAAGATGATACCAGTGGGACGGCCACCGCGCTCCTGTCCGTCGTGGATGCTCAAGGAATCGCGGACGTCTTGGGGCAAAGACATGTCCAATTCATGTTCGAGCTCATTGATGTCATTCTGCGTGCAGCCTTCACCAAGTTGATCCCACAGTTCAGGAAAGTGCTTCTCGGCCCAGCGGTCGATTTTCTTCCACGAGTGTGCGACCGGAGGGGGTGGCGGAGCACCGTCAGCGAAATTCTGCATTTGGATTTCGCCAGGGGCAACCGTCTCTTCAACCGTGGGATTCTTTGGCGAAGCTAATGAACGCATGCCCGGTGAATAGGGACGCGCGGGTGACTCGGGGAGCTGTGAGGAGGAGATGGAGGGTCGTTTGGAATCATCGTAGAATGTTGCTGGGAGATCTGGGTGAGACTCAACAGCACTTGTTGCGACGGAAGTCAGGGGAGCATGTCGACTTTGACCAACAGGCATGTGCTGGCCGGTTCGATAGGGAGAGTCGTATGAGGCATGTCGGTCGTTGGACGTCATGGCGTGCCAAAAGGAGCGCCATGCTGTCGACAAGCTAGAAGGGGTCAGACTCGATTCAGACTCAGACGCAGACGCGGAGCAGTAGACATGCGAGGGGTTTACTGACGGGTTTGCCATAGCTGGCGAGATGGTAACAGTGGTCGCTGCCACTGTGACGAAGTCAAGGGATGTTGCTGGCCGGTTGGCTTAAGACGACATGGGGGGTTGGACGCGGGTTGGCGGTCAAAACAAAGGGCGACAGAGAAGTGTTGCTGCCGCAAACAGAGCGGAATTCCGGCTTGTTGACGGGCGGATGGCGGGCTTTTTCGAGAACGGAAGCGGTCAACCCATCCAAAGAATGCTGTTTATGTGTGTACGAACAGGATGGCGGCCGACAAGGAGGTTTGGGTGGTGACGAGTTGAGGATTGGATGATGGATCGAATTGAGCAGTGAAGGGGAAGATGGACGGATAGTGAGAGAGCGAGGAAGCGAGAGAGCGCACCTAGCAGCAGTACGGCCTGGTACTAGGAGTTGGGAGTTAATTGGGCGTTATTAGTTGGATGGTAGCGGTAGCGCAGGCACGGCAGGCAGGCTTATAACCCCTAGGCCATTCATTTGGCCGGTTTACAAGTGCCACTGGTAGTGTGTGTTTATGATTCTGCAGCGCTAAAATTGCTTGTTGTACGTGTACTGTGGCATCCCCCCTTCTCCGTATTACCACTACTAGTATTGCTGCGACATGGTGGCACGGTGGAGAGTCACTAATTGTGTATACCGTAAAGCTCTGTAGTAAGTAAGTCAGGGGAAGGGGACATATAGACTGAAGCCTGGAATTACCATTTTCACATTCCTATGGTAGATACAGGTACCTGATATACCAAACAGCGCGGTTCACTCAGGTACCTCAGGTACTTAGGTAGGTATCTATCTGCCTGTACCTTTTGAACTCATATCATCACCTTTTTATTATTAGTACGTACCTGGTACTATTACGTAGATGCAGCACTGTGCAGGTGCCAGTGTGCGCACCACTGCACTGCGTGGTTTCCCCCCTTGGCACCTGCACCTGCACCTGCACCTGCGCCTGCGCCTGCGCCCGCAAATCTTCGACTCCTCACTCCTTTGCCTGTGCTGCAGACCACGAAAATACCTGGGTAGAAAAAAAGAGGACCAACTTTCTTTGATTCAGTAGAAGAAACCCTTCCATAACCCATGTTCTTAATCTGGTCCTGTGCTTGCAATTACCCTGCTTAACTTAACTCGAACCGAGATAACGTCCAACCTCACCTCCCCCCCTGCCGCGCTTCTGCACTCACTGCGCCTCGTCTGAGGGCGTCAATCTTCGACTTGATCTACTCAGGCTTCGTGGATGACAAGCCCCTCCTACGACACCTGGTCAAGCTGCTCATAGAAGATCCTGTCTTATACACATCTACCCTATGGGAGATCTGTGAAGACTACTCCCACCCTAGAAAGAAGCCTGTACCGTCCTCGATGTCCCTCATACTCGATCAAAGGTTACGCTGCTTGATATGTGTGGATTCTGTGGCTGCAAACAAGCATTACGGCGTCCCCGCTAGACTGATAGGCTGAAGCACCGCTGTTGGAGATTAGATGGCTCAAGCATTCCCTGCCGAACCACTGGCCAGGGCCACGGCTCAAGAGTGCTAAAGCAGATTGTCTGATTATAGGGGGTCTTGCACACCGACAACGGGCGAGATGCACAAGCAGGGGAGCCAGGCATTACGTATTCGCTCGACAACACCTGGTGCGTCAGTCATTTGAGCCGAAGTCTCCGTCGGGGTCTTGTGAGACCTGGCAAAATCAGGTTGGACAGCAGGTCGGCACACCGATCAGTGCTGATCTTTGTTCCACATCGCTTTCGGGGATTGAGTGCTCAACCAATTCAGATCGAACATTCTGGATCGTGTCTCTGAGGATCTTGTCTTGCCCAGTCAGCTGCAGCAAGTGGAACTTCAATGTATCATCCATCATCCTCATGTCGCTGTACTCTGACACCATATGAGGGTTTCTACTCTGTATATCGGGTTCTGGATTGATCAGGCCCGGAGAGAAGAGCTCGGATGTCAATCCGCCAGAAACGACACCATTGTTGGGGCCTTGTTGACTCGTGGATCCTACCACTGCTGCTTTGCCACTATGCTAGGCGGCGCTTCCACCCGGACTACTGGGAAGAAGTGAATCAAAACAAGGCACTGGGTTTGCCACAAGCATCCAGGCATGTCTTGCTATCGGAGTCCTAACGCGACAAGGTTGAAGCTACGGCGAATCGGCGACTTTGCTATGCAGCCTTAATGCAGGAACACAAGACAATCCCGTGGTTGAGTCGTGCATACTGCATATCATCAGGATAAGTATAGCTCTACCTATGGCGCGTGTTTCGTCTTCCGTGACCAATCAGACATGCTCTGATTCTTGAGTTTGCATACTCTAGCCGTCGTGAGGAAGCAAACCATCCTCTGCCACTATCAGGTTTGTTGGTGGCCAACTAACCGGGCAACCAATTCGAATACGAGGCTACTATGGCTGTTGTGCATGCGAGCGTGTCGTTGAGACTGGGAAAGTCAACTTCTATGTTGTCGTTAGCTGGCCAACCCAACAGGGGCGGCAGCCTAAGGAGCCACGTACTCTCAACGCACAACTTCGCCGTGAAAACATACTGCGCCGCAACTGCAAACATGGTAGGACATATCGATGCGCGCCGCAACGTACCAGGTATGATATTCTTGCTTTGCTAAAGGGAGGCGCACTTGAGAACATGTCACTCCTATCGCTACCAGCACACAGGCTATATCCAACACCTTCGAAGCGAAGTCAGATCCTACTCGTAGGCCGTGCATTGGCATGAGCAGCGCGCCCTCTTCAGACATACTTATCAGGACCAGGATAAAGAAGACTCCTTCGCTCTCGCCGGGAGACAAGAATGATCTCGACGAGCTAGATTTCTCCAGCTTCGAAGGCGAACGTGTCGAACAAGTGACACCATTCAGTATTTAACTCGGTGTCTCTGCTATTAAGGTACAATCGGACCAATGCCATAGTATTCCAACTGATATATGGATGCTGGCAATCAAACACTGAAACAGTGGAATCTTCCGACAGAACACTATGCCAACATACCATAAAAGCGAGCTAACGCTTCTCATATGCGGTAAAGCATGCCACCAAAACATGTACTGTTGTCGCCGCAACCTTCTAGCTTCGCCGCCAAATCTATTGTCCGCGGTTGAGAGAGATCTCCATCCCGGGACGAATCCAAGACAATGTAGTATGGCATGACATGACGAGGCCGTGGCAAGACATCCCAGGCGCAGTCAACAACAAATGAAACAAACAAAGGAACAAAACTCCGATCCACTTATTTAGATAGCCCTCAACTTCCTCGCGATGGTCAGCATGGTGGCGACGAAAAGGCAGATGACACCGACGATGCCAAAGAACCAGTACAGGCCGTCCGTGTCTTGACCGGGTACGTGAACGTTCATGCCGAACAGGCCGGTGATGAGATTCAGGGGCACCAGAATGGTGGCGACGACGGTGATCTTGGCAAGGGCCTTGTTGGTGTGATTGCCCTTCAGGATGTTGTCGACGTTCAGCTGCGCGAGGTAGTTGGCATGCGATCGGCTGAGCATCTTCTCAACGTGGGTCAAGTTCGACATCATGGTCACCACGTGGTCCTGAATATCGCCCAGGTATAGTCCAATGTCGCCGCGGGGGGCCACCTGGTACTGGTCGTTACAGCGCTTCGCAAAGCCCTTGATGACATCCGCCTTGCCGCCCAGAAGCCGCATCATGTTAAGCACGCGCTTGCGGCATTCGCCAATCTGGCGGAGGAGCGCCAGGAAGTCGTCTTCTCGCGCGATGAACACCTGATCTTCGATGCCCTCGGATTCGTGCTCCGCGTCGCGGATGATGGGGGCAAACGAGTCGACAATGTCATCGATCATCGCATAACAGATGTAGTCCGGTCCAAGCGACACAAAGTCACCGAGCTTGGAGATTCGACGGAGGACATTGCGCGCATGTGGGTTCTTGGTATAGCTGAAGCTCAAAACGCCATCACCGGTGACAACGATGTAGATATGGATCGGGTCCAGAAAATCTTCACTCGACCTGTCCATAACAAAGGATCGAAAACAGACAAAGTAGTACTGTGAGAAGAGTTCAACCTTCTCACGGGCTTCTTGGGTTTCAATATCTTCTCGGGTGAGGCGATGAATCTTGAACGCTTTGCAGAGAACCTCCAGCTCTGCTCTGGTCGGGTTGACGCAGTCTAGCCACCACGCACCACCATCAGGGCCGACGTCAAACAAATCTCGGAATGTGGTGCCATCCGAGACAAAGTCGCCTAGCTTGGTTGCACTCTTCCCCTGCGCCAACTCTGACGTGAACAACAAGAATCGTTCGTCGGTACTGGCGGGGTGATGCTTTTCTTGTAGCGCCGGTCCGTCTCCGTTCGAGGGAGACTGGCTGTCGATCGTATCGCAGTGGACCAAAGGCTTTTCATAGAAGTTGTCGCCATTGAGTATCACATTGAGAGCTCCGGTTTGATTTCCAGGGTGTCTCAGATCTCCGAAGGTTCGGCTATCGTTCGATGCATAGCCTGCTAGGTCATTGGGGATCTTTCCCTGGGCACTCAAGGCAACGAACTCTTCCAACTCCTCGAAATCAATCTTGTAGGTCTTTCCTGGCTCCTCGTCCGTGGGGAATGTGATATCATCATTTGCCTCAAATCCTGTTCGCAAGTTGAGTTCCGGCGGATTGCTGATGGTACTCAGAGTCGGGCGTCTTTGGTTGGTCCCGCCTGACTGGGTGCGATTGCGAATATTCTCCAAAACCGAAGAGGAGTGACTCCCGGCAGTATTTGCCCGAGCTCGGCGGCGAGGCTCTGCGAAGGCCTCGATAGAGTTCGCTGGTGAAGTTGATCGAGAGGAGGAGGAGTCTCGCGAACGATCATGGCGCGGCATGCGCAACCGCGCGTCCCGGTTGGTGAACCTTCTACCATGCATAGAAGGCCTTCGGACACTCCCGTGCATGACATCTTCTCCGTCGCTCTGATCATCGTCGACTATTGCTTGCTCAAAGTCCCGTGCGATTGGGTTGGTCTGTTGATCAAGCGCTTTCAGAAGGGCTTGGTCGACCTTCGAGAAGTCATTCTCTTCGGTAGTGCTCGGCTGAGGCGCAGGTGTGTCGACGTCGACAACAAGAGATGCCTCACGAGCCGGATGCACTCCCAGATTTGGTCGATGGTCGTCCAACTCTGGGGCTGGAGTGCTGAAGCGACTGTCCATTTTCTGCGAACGCGACGAGTCGGATGCAGACATATTGAATCAATCTTTGCGCTGGCGCTTTCCGTGAGCCGACTGGGCTTGCACCGTTTTCGTGCGACTAGTCCACTGGGCAAGCCAGTTTGGTGAAATGTTGGCAGAGGCTCGTCTACCAGAAGTTGATTTTCAGATGGAGAGGTCCCGTCTCTTCCAGCTATACAATGTAAAGCTCCCCAAGCCAGTGTGGCCAGGGGAATATTCAAGGATCCGAAAGCCCAGTTATGGAGGTCGGGTCGTGGTTCCGCAGAAAACCATGAATGTGGTGCCGAGCAAAGGGCGAATGATCGAGACGGCGGCAACTTGAACGCCCGCCAACTTGAAGGCTTGCGGTAGAATGTAGCGATCGAGCGCCAGGATGAGAGGTTTCGAAAAGGGTAGGAAAGACTGTGAACAGTCTTCCTAAACCTGTAACGTCGGTGCTGTGAGTGTTGGTTGGGCTGGACGACCGTGAATTGAGTGGTGACGGTCAATCAAGCGGCCCAAGAGAAAAAAGAATTGGAATGAAGCTAGGTACTGTATCAGTGATGTTGCGACAGAAGGAAGCTTCGATGCGACGCGAGGCGGAGTGTACGAGGGTAAGGGTGAGTGAGAGAAAAGCGAAGAACTTTTCGTGGATGGTCGCAAGTAGAAGGTTGAAATTCTTTATTACGACAGAGGAAATAAGTGCAGACTGCGTTAGTGGTGAGGAGGAGCTTGATTAGTCCAGTTTAGCCCCAGGATCTGAGAGGCTTCTCCATGCTGGTGCGTCAATAACACCGTGCCTACCTTACCTAGATAGGTACCTATTGTAGTTGATCTTATAGGCCTCTTAAGCCTAGAACTCTTAGGTAATACTAGCGGTGTATTACCTCTGCTGGTAGTCTAGAAGTTATCCCTCCCCCTAATCCTTTACGCAGCAATCGATCGACCTGCCATCGAACAGGCCACTCAACCACCACTACCACCACCACCACCATCTCGATCTCGCCATTCCCTCTCAACCATTAATCGCCATCACGTTCTGAAGTAACAGCTGTTATTAGCCGAAAACTGGAATGCTGGAGCAGTCAGCTGGCTACGGGGGTTTCCACATTGTTCGCACGGCGCACGTTGCTGATAATTGATCACCTCGCCAATCGCAATTCATACATTCTCCGGCTGAGCACCCACTGCAAAGCCTCACCAGCCCTAGCCTGCAGTGAGGAGCCTTTTTGTCCCAGGACTCAGGAGACCCAAAGTCGCGTCTTACCTCAGCCTCGGGCTCTTCCACAACCTCAGTCTTGGGCCGGTGGACACAAGGCACCCAGCGCACACATCAGCCTGCGGTGTGATTGCTAGTTCACACTTCTACGATAGATTCAACACGACATGGATGCAGTCGTGGCTCAAATCCAGGACCTTTTCGAGGGTCAAATCGTAAGTAGTGGAAGTCCAGCCAGTCTCTATCGGGAGAGCGCCCCTTCTGACCTGGGAAGGACTTCGATGGCCAACATCTCGCCGAACAGCTCTACAGTGCCATTCTGTCCATGTCTTCGGTAAGTCAGCCCTGTACACATTTGTCTTCGCATGGGATATTTTCCTAATACCGTCAAAGGTCGTTGCCCTGATCGTGGGTTACATGCAACAAGACATCTTCTTGACCATGTGGATCGGAGTAGCAGGCACTCTGTTGGCGATGTTTCTGGTTGTCCCTCCGTGGCCAGTGTACAACAGGCATCCTCAGTCATGGCTCGGTTCCAAGGCATCTCTGCCGCAAGGGGGAATAATAGTGGGTGGCGGAAAGGGACGATAGTATGTTTGTCATGAAGCTCGTTGGTTCTATGGAGATACAGAGTGCAATGCTATGTTGCTCGAGTCTTTTGCTCTTCTGTTCACGAACCATTTTGGAGGGCTGATACTCGCGAGCCATTATGATGTCTATGCCCTTAGTAGTATGCCTCGACCTGTGCTCTCCTTTGGTCATCAACCTGGTCGACCATGCCCAGGAGAACCGGCTCTTATGAATACACTTGGCCAAAGGCAATGCTGTGCCATCCACGGTCATCCAGCGTGCCTATTCCACACGAATAACGTAGACCATGGCGGTCGCAAGGGGTAATGTATTCCAACCGATGATGACCTTTTTATCGACCGTACTTTTGGAATTCCCAGTCTCTATTGTCGAGTGGACAGACTTGCCTCGTCTTCAACCAGCGTGAGATACAATGGAAGTGGAAGGCATGCTAATGCCATTGTCAGTATCATTCAAAATATGGTGTAGGGGCCCCCTCGTACATTGCAGATGCCCCATGCTACCGTGCACTCTTCTGTGGTGGCGGCTCCTTGGTTCGCTTGACACTCGATACCTAGAGAGGGTTAGAATAGGAAAGCGCACGAAGGTCAAGCGTCCACGACTTACAGAGATCCATGATATGATTTCTGCAGATGGCACAGTTATCCACGACGATGTCCCAAGCCCAGAGAGCGACTGCATTCCACTGCATTGTATTAGAGGCCATCTTCCAACAACGTCAAAACCATGGTGCGCACCTTCTTGACTTCGAACCTCTTCTTGCCTTCGCCTCCTTCAGCCGGGCCGGATTTGGAACTCTTCGCAACGGTCTTGGGCTTCGACTCTGCAGGTGCAGTAGCAGTAGCATCGGCCATTTCAACGTCTGCCATCTCACCAGGTGAACAGTTCTGCGGTGCTGTTGATAGATTGTCGCAGGCGGTCTGAAGAGGATGGTGCGGGGATGATCGAACCGCAGGGAGGGATGGCTGCGGAGATGGGTTGGGATTAGGATCAAGTGCTCAGTACCTTCAAAGGTATGATGAAGAGTCGGCCAGCGCAGGAAGATTGTGGATATATTGAAAGTGCTCTCAGTGGTTTTGGTTTTGGACTTGGAGCGAGGACCATGCAACGGCAGGCAATTAAGTCCTCGAGAAATGGATCAGACTGGTGACAAGGCTGAAGGTACCTGAGGAACTAGTAGTGTTGGTGACTGATCCGAACAAAGAGCGCAGTGGCGTCGTGGCACGTAGTAGTAGTAAGCAGTACTAGGCAGTACGTTAGGTACCTACTAACATACTAGTACTAAGGTATAAGTACTACTAAAACTAATACCTTACTAGTGAAGAGGAATAAATGGACGTCCTCACCACCTGGCGCCCGCTCCCCGTTGCCTGCGTCACTTGCACTCACGGATCACCACATTGCTCCCACTTACCTTTCAAGACACCTATTCTTCCAGACCGTATTCACAATCTCCTCCCATCTTCTTGTCTAGACAGCTGCTCTCTTGTTGCGCTAGTCTTGAAGATTCATTTCCCGCTCGCTTCCGCCGCAGACAATGAACCCTATCACTACCTCTACCACCCAAATCACTATTCAACAGCCACGACAGCAATACCCGAGCCTCTTCGCTCTTCCACATCGCAAACGCACAAGATAGGCAAACATTGACCTCATATTTTCGGCCTTTCTCTCCTATTTTGCTGGTTATACTACAAGTTGAGCGTTCTCAATTTCCTATCTATACCCAGGTCCACGGGCTGCCAATCCATCAAGCCCGGTTGAGACAAAACAATGTCTACTACAACAGCTCCTCCATATCAACAAACCACAAAAGGTCCTCGTCGCATGGGCAAGAAGCAGCCGCCTGCGGGAAAGCTCGATGGCAGCGTATCCGATGTGGGCGCGCCTACAGAACATCAACGAAACATTGCCCCTGCCACAGGCCCCGCGACAAAGAATGGTGACAAAGGCGCAGCGCGAAATCCCTTACCCACCAGCAAGAAACCACAATCAGAAGGCGCCGCTTCGAATGGTATGAAGCAGGGCAACAACCGTAACTATCAAGACAAGACGAAGGCAACGCCGGTAAAGCCTGCTGCCTACGCCGGTTCTACTTTCCAACAATCACCAGCTGCTTCTAATCTTCCTCTGCCAAGTTTTTACTCGAAATCAATGCCTGCGACAGGCGTTTTGTCGACAACAGTTGAGTCTGCCATTCCACAGACCACTTCCATACCCTCCGTCGATGATTCTCCCAGCAAGCGAGAATCTACTCCTTGTGACTTCCTCTTCGAGGCGGCACGACACGCAAAGGCTACACCGCGAATGGAAAGCCCTGCGATTCGTTCCGGTAATCTCTCGGTTCCGAATGGGAGCCCTGCGTCAAGATCTCCCGCTCCTCGGGAGGGCGATTCCATGTTTCCATTTGAGCTGGAAGGCGGGACAACTCCAGGAGAAGATGGATCGTCGTTCGCTACACCGTTCAAAGATCGCATGGAAGCCTTGCGATCAACCAAGTCAACCCCATCAGGGAGTAGGAGCATGGATGAAAACGAGCGCAAGGCGAAAAGCGATGCTTTGAAGCAACTCCTCATGCAATCAAGTGGCCAAGGTTTCCCAAGTGGTCCCGACCCCGGGGTTCATGTGAACAACCAGGTGAAGAACAACCCTTTCAATGCCAGAGCACCCTATCAGCAGCCACCCTTCTCTGCTCCAGAGCCGCCTCTTATACCTCAAAGCCCTGGGCGTTCTGCATCCCTGTACATGCAGGAGCACGCCGCTTATAATCCTCCACTCAACCCTCCCCAAATGGTCTATCAGTACCCCGTGGCACAGTCGCAAACGCAGAAGAGGCCAACGTCTTCACGATTGAGAAATGTATACGGAGCACAGAGCGAACCAGAGATCGCCGAATTGTCCTCTGACAGCGCTGTCACACCCCCTATCTCGACATCACGGCGACACCCGACACGACCCGCAGCACAGTATGGCTCAGGTGGAATGGGTCAGCCATATCCGACCCAACCACAAATGCCTGACCACCGACCGAAGCCGAATGCGCAGCAGTTGGAGGATGATTTGCGGCGTGTTTTGAAGCTAGACCTTACCTCGAGAGGATGAGAACATGACGGAACGCAATATTGCGAACAACAGGTTGGCCTTGCAGATTTCAGTTTTTGTACATGCGGTTCTCTGGACCGCATGATCATGGCTTATTTGCAAAGAAGATGATATGTAAGAGGTTAAGGCTTGGAATATCAAAACGCGGACATGAGACATTCTTTTGAGGTGGATTTCATTTGTTTGAATGCCAGGGGCCGCCCTGGGCAGCTACGCCATCTTTAGTCTAATGAATGGTGACTGGCTTTATGCCGTCTATCAGCGCAATGTCATATTGTTTCGTGCGAGCTCATTCATAATTCAAGTATGTAACTCCCGGCCATTCGCGTCCCTTGCAGGGTATCATGCCCGTCCCGTAACCCATGAAACGCCATCACCTTGTCATTCCGCGTCAAGAACCGACCGTTAAACCGGGGAGTCTCCGTGAAAACACGGATGGGTTTTCCAATATTGTCTTCCTTTTCCGTCCACCCAGAGTTGTGTGTGTCGGATAGTATGGCAGAAATCGCTAATCACTACTGGCACACCCTCGGCAGCCACAATTGACGCATTGAATGCCGGCGGCTCCTTCGCCACTGCCATCGTCCCTCTTCAGAGTGGCCTTGGGCACGCGACAGATGCAGGTACTCTGAAAGTTCGTTTCCTTGGTCTGCACACAGCGCAGACAGCACAGCTTCTCGTATCCTTGTTTCTTCCACTTGGCGATCAGGTTGGCGTCGGCGTACCCGTTCTTCAGCAGCCAGTCGTACAGCTCTTTGGAGATGGCTTCGCGCGTGTAGTACAGGTCGTAGATGTAACGGGAGCGGGCGTGGGAGATCTGGAAGACGGGCCAAACAGCCTCGTGCTTCTTCTTGCCTTCGTGGGATGCGTTCTGCGCGTCGCGCATCTTGTTGCTGTACTCGAGGAGGGTGTCTTCGATGTCTTCGAATCCGGCTGGCGGGGGTTTGCGAGACCCGCGAGACCGGATGGGCGGCATTTTGGGAGGGGAACGGGAAAGACGAGACGCTTGCGAAGAGAAGGTCAGGTGCGAATGCCTTGGGTGGTGTCCAAGTTTGTTTTAAAGAACTTGTCAGATAGAAGAGTGGGTGTTCAAGGCTGGGCTGAGTTGCGATAGGAGTATAAGGTCCACCAGAATCGGCAGAGTGTGGCGTGGAGGTCTTGACGAGATGGTGCTGGAGGCAACAAACACGGCGTGCAGTGCAGTAGTAGTGAGTGGCAGACAAGGCTGAGAACTTGTGAGATGCGGGCAGAAATAAATTCCGCAGACGTAATTCCTTTTGGCGGCGTGAGAATCACCTCTCACTGCAGCGCCTTTCGCAGCGCCGAGGTCTCTCTCAGCCTTGTAGATCAGCAAAAATAAATTAAAGCAGCGCAAGATCTGGTTGAGCCGCCAAGGCAACTTCTTTACGAAGTCCAAGTCCGAGTCGCAGGCCTGCGCCGTCAACGCCAGATCAGTTACTACTGCTACTAGACGTTCATTCGACTTTCCAATTACACTCGCAATTGACGCCTGGTTTTCGAAGGGAAAGGACTTTGTTGAACAGAAATCACAAAGCCATAGCACAACTAGCTTGTCAAGCTTTGAGCGAATCCTTTTCGCTTTCCAACCCAATATACCTAAGATTTCGCCGCGATGGACGACATCGACCTCAACATCACCCAACAGGACCTCACGCGCCTGACGCCTGGTGAGCAGCAGCAATTACAAAACTTCGTCCAAATCCAGATCAAGAGAGCAGAGATTCAAAAGAGTGCGTCCAAGTCCCCAACTGGATGATTCTTGCGTCAGGCCAATGTTCAATTCGAGCTAACCGGGTTCGCCTTGCTATTTTGCAGATATCCACGAGATGACCGAAATGTGCTTCAAGAAATGTGTCACCAGTTCCATATCCACAGGCAAATTGGCGCCTAAAGAGGAGACCTGCATGTCAAACTGTGTCGAGAGATTCTTGGATACCAATACAGTGATATTGAAGCACCTGGACGCCCTGCGGGCGGGACAATGATGGTTTTGGGGAAGACTTCATGCTTCGGAACAAGCAATTACGTGCAAGTGTACAAACAGAACATAATCCTGGATATTTGAACGGCGAAAGGGGCCACCACTACTACGGGGTCCTCTGTCACGAGAGGAAGATCGTTCGACGTGGTCGCCATCCTCAAGCAGTTTCGTTCAAAAGCATGGGCTGTAACATCACATCGGGTCGAGATGGACCTCATCCTGCGCAGAAGCAGTTTTCGAGATGGTCCATACACATAAAACGAAGAATTTCTGCTCTCAAAATCTGTGTTTGTTTTGGCTTTTTGGAAGCACGCTTGATGTTTGGTCATGGCTCAATCTTCTATGTTGAGCTTGAAACGCTCTTTTTTTCGCTCGGGCAGGTCCTTGAATGGGTGCCGTTCCATGTGAGCGCCATAACAGAAAGTTCACTCTTCCATCCGACAACCCCTGCAAACCCCTTGCAGCTCGAACTCTTCTACACAATGGACAACTTCGTAGCCGCAATGTCGAGAGCATCCACATCCGTCGTTAACTTGGCAAAGGCCTTCTTCTTGCCATCAGGTCTGATCAGGGTGTTGATCTTGACTGTGTCCACGTCGTACAGCTTCTTCAAAGCCTCCTTGATCTGTCGCTTGTTGGCCTTCGTGTCCACAATGAAAACCAGGGTGTTGTCCTCCTCGATCTTCTTCATGGCGCTCTCGGTGTTCAAGGGGTGGACGATGATCTTGTGGTGGTCCAGTCGGGGCTCATGAGGAATCGACTTGCGCGGGTATTTGGGTGACCGGGAAAGGACGAGGGTCTTCGGTCTGTGGAAAGTGGTCGACTTGCGGATCTTGCGGGCCTTGTCGGAATGGACCTGGGATAAATTGTGAGAAAATGCTTCTAGGGCAGTAAGAAGCCTCGACGCTGGACTGAACGTACACCTTTCAGGGTCGCTTTGGCGGCCTGGTTGGCTTTGGCACTCGGCTTCTTCGAGCCTGTTCACGAATTGTGTCAGTCAACATTCCCACTCAAGGCAACGTCGTTTCTCTGGAGAGAGCTATTGCATCTGGCATAGACTGTGGTCATCGCGCATTCAATTCAACGTGCAACACTTTTCCGACTGTGCCAGCTGCAATATCCCTCCAATATTGGAACGCGCTTTCGAAGGACAGAATCGTACCTTTCGGCTTCACTGTTGGGGGCGCCATTTCCTCTGTTGTCGCGCCGGGTATGTTGTGGTTGAAGTGGTGGTCCAAAGCTGGCGGTCTGAGAAAGTCTCAGTTGTCGGACTTGGATGTTGGGGCCGGGATCGATTGTGCGCCAAGACTTCATCAGCGCCAAGAAGCAGCAACTACTACGTCGGATCATTCAAACATCACATGCAGGCCTGGAGGATGGCCGATAACTTTCATTTCCAGGGGTTGCAATGCTATAATACTAACAATACCTATGGAGTAGTCTGTTTTGAGCCTTACGATTTACGGATCAACAACATGGCACACGGCAGACCATGAAAGGCTCACTCGATTCCAGACTCAGAAGCCGTTGACCGATCGCCCAAGATGGGCTCAGGGGAAGATGAAGGCGAAGGCAAGGGGCATAGAGACAATGATCACGAAGTGCCAGGGGATGAAGAGGACGTGGACGCTGTCTTAGCGTCACTCGAGGAGGAAGAGCATTCGACATACCGCGCGCAAAGATTACAAGAACTAAACGATTCTGCTGCTCGTTCAAAGCCCACGACTACTTTGGATGCCAGCAAGAAAACATACATCACGCTGAATGGCGATGACGAGGCACTTAGTTTCACCACGGAGAATGAGAGAGCAGTCCTCCACTTCTACCATCCCGACTTTGCAAGGTGCCTTACGATGGACCGACATTGCGAGCAGATTGCAGAAAAGCATGCAGAGAACGCTGAGGCGGATGTGTCGTTTGCCCGCGTCGACGTGAAGAAAGCCCCGTTTGTGGTCGAGAAACTGGGCGTGAGAGTGCTGCCCTGTGTTGTTGGCTTTGTGAAAGGAGTGGTCAAGGGAAGAGTGACTGGGTTCGAGGGTTTGTGCTGGGACGGTAAAGAGAACAGCATCACCGTCACACGAGCCTTAGAGGAGGCCATCGTTGGTTGGTCTGTTTTGCGCAAAAGGCTGCTTCTGGGCCACGACGATGAGGATACTGACGAAGAGAACGAGGGCGATGGCCTTAACGGTCGCAAATCAGCCCGAAGAGGGATCCGCGGCCGCCAACCTGAATCAGGAGACGAAGACGACGATTGGGACTGAATTGACACCACAAGAGCGTGGTGGAGGACGGTTCAACAAGGCTCGGCTTCTGGAAGACGTCGGCGTCGAAAATTGTCTAGCAAGTAGTAACCACTACTACTGAAGCAAATAATGAAAATGACCAGCTTGAAGGTGGGACAATATGGGGACAGTAATCAAGATTCAATAATTAATGGCGGAAGGACCAGTGCAGATAAGCGATATTCCGTATGGTCCCCAATTGGGGGACGACTATGGAGTTTAGTCTGTATCATCAAACAGCGGCACTCTCCTTTATGCCATTCTTTCTTTTAGCGGGTATCTCAATTCTACCCCACTGCATCGAGTGTGAGGGTTGCTATTGCTATTGCTATTGCTTGTTGTAGAGTGGTGATGAAAGGATCCAGCTCTGTACAAGCCTTGTTAGGATGCGTTGCACTTGACTAATAGTCGACCTCAGCCGCAGTAAAGAAGGTCAAGTGCCGAACATGATCCCGCATCGAGGTCGAGAGATTGTCGAGAAGGTCGTAGGTGCGTTGATATCAGCCACCATGTCCAGTTCTGGGACAAGAAAGGAATTAGACTCGGGACAATGGACAGATTTCGGAAATTATATTCGGTGGCTCACTTTTACAAAGCTGAAGGGGGGGACAGGCGACGGAGGCTTAATTGTCTTCCTGGGCTGGTACAGAATAGTCTACTGCAGTGGTACTCCCACAGTCCGCAGGGAGGGAGGAAGGGAGGTTTGCGCAGGTGGTGAGAAATTGACGCCTGTCAATCAGGGCCTGAGGAGCCCGCAGAGCCGAACGGGCTTCCCTCTTTTCCTTCTGCAGGCCCAATCACAGCCCCGATACACGTTGCGCGTCTTGCGTCCCCTTTTTTCGCCCTTCCACCACGGGAGTCTTCCACTTATCACGCAGTACTACTACTATCTATCCGTGCCATTACTCCTACTACTAAAGTCCCTGCGCCCTTACATTTCACCTATTCCAGCTGTTCTTGTTCGAAAAGAAAGAGTCTCTCTACTGCTTCCTGAATCTTTCCTCTGCTCTCGCCAGCTGCTTCAGTCTAGTTGATCACACGCTCTTTTTCCACCTCCCTCGAGCCTCCTCACCGCCTCCAACGTGTCCACAGATCCGGACACCTATCCTCCCACCACAACCACCACACCCACCCACAGCCATGGCCGAAGAAGAAAAGAAGAGATTTCTCGAAGGGAACGAGATGGAACTCGGCGAGAAGCAGGGAAAAGGCTTCAGCAGCCCTCCGCCGCCCTCGATCCCGCGACACACACATGCCTCCCACAATTGGCAGAACAACCCCGTCCTGCCCGTTATCAGCTACTGCGCTTCCTCCATTTTGATGACCGTGGCCAACAAGTACATCCTCTCATTCCCTGACTATAACCTTAACTTCTTATTGCTGGCTGTTCAGGTTTGTCTCGTGCTTTTCCCGCAGTGTCTCCACCATACTGATCGTTGAGACAGTCCATTGTCTGCGTTCTGGCCATTTCATCATGCAAATCAATGGGCCTGATCACCTATCGAGATTTCAAGACGGATGAGGCAAAGAAGTGTACGGCGTGATCTCTACACCTTGGGATGGCTTTCGAAACTGACACAGACAGGGTTCCCGATTTCTCTTCTCCTGATTGGCATGATCTATACCAGCACCAAAGCCCTACGATACCTCTCGATACCCGTCTACACCATTTTCAAGAACCTGACCATCATTCTCATCGCATATGGCGAGGTCCTATGGTTCGGAGGTTCTGTTTCGACCGTGGCCCTCTTCTCATTCGGCTTAATGGTACTCAGCTCAGTGATCGCTGCCTGGGCTGACATCAAGCACGCTCTCGAGGCGCATAACACCACCCAGTCTGCCGCAGCTACTGAGCAGCTAGCCACATTGAACGCCGGCTACATCTGGATGTTGGTCAATTGTCTGTCCACAGCCGCGTACGTGTTGGGAATGCGCAAGCGCATCAAGCTCACCAACTTCAAGGATTTTGACAGTGAGTATTAGTGTTCGGATTGTGATCACAGGCAACAAGACTGACTTGCGCCAGCGATGTTCTACAACAACCTTCTCACCATCCCTGTCCTTATGCTTGCCTCTCTGCTGGCCGAGGATTGGTCCTCCGCAAACCTGGTCAAAAACTTCCCTCCAAGCACCAGGAACGGAATCATTGGCGCAATGATCTTCACCGGCTTGTCCTCCATCTTTATCTCCTACACATCGGCATGGTGCGTGCGAGCAACCTCTTCGACAACCTACTCCATGGTTGGAGCTCTGAACAAACTTCCGATCGCCGTATCTGGCCTCATCTTCTTCGACGCCCCGGTCACGCTTCCCAGTGTTACTGCTATCTTCGTCGGGTTCGTCAGCGGTATTGTATATGCCCTGGCTAAGGTCAGGGAATCCTCGAAGCCAAAGACGGGCATTCTCCCCACACCCAATACCATGAGTGCCAGCAGCCAGAGCAACAGAGACAGTTTGAAGGCATGATGGAAAGAGTCGCTTCTTGGTCTCAGCCGGCCATCAGTATTGTCCCATGCCGGTTGGCGGTGTATCTTGACCACGACGAAAGGACAGAATTGAATGCATCGCGTGGCGTCCGGGCAGAGCAACATGGGACTTCAAGATGAACAAAATACGGAAAACCTATCGACGGGACCACAATCTACGCTTTTTGTATTACTTAGAACCGTTAGATTGCAACTTTCCGTCTGCTGTATGTGTACCTAGTCGTTTGTGGGTATTTGGAAATGGGCGACGTGGCGCTGTTACTGTGCCTTCTTTACACCCAAATTCCGTATGTAGTGAGGTAGTTCAACTTAGTAGCCGGAAGATATAGCTGCTGCCACAAGAGAAATAAACAGACAATTGGAGGTAGAGCCTGAACTTGAGGGAAAATGTTCCGTAACATTTCACCAATAGCGGCCATGAATAATGATGTATATGGACGATGACATTTTCTTTGTTGATATTTGAAGCTTCTGTCAAAACCTCTGACGGTCGCAGAATATGACTATCCTTTGAGAGACCGCAATTACACTCCGTTCCTGGCCAGGATTACCCCTGGCAAACTTCATGGGCAAGGTCAATAGACCGGCGCGAAAGCATTCTAACCATCATGACAATCCAAAGACCACCAAAGCTGCACTGAGCAGACGACAACACAGCCAAAAAGCACCTCATTCGAAAAAGAAAGTTGTATCATCCCATGGCAAAGATGGCCCGGCCAAGGCTGGATTGAAGGTGCCTTTCACGAGGCAAGATAACGTGCTTCTTGTTGGAGAAGGTATGAAAAAGATATGCACCGCTTCTGCCACTGAGGTCGAAGCAAGCCGGGGAACAAAGACCATCTGCTAACAGCATATCAGGTGACTTCTCCTTCGCCTCGTCTTTGGTCCATCATTACAAGGTTGGCCAGGTCACGGCGACATGCTATGACTCGAAGGAAGCTCTGGAGAGCAAATATCCCAGTGTGCAGAAAACGATACGGCAGCTCGAGGGCGCGGCCGGCGTGCGGTCTACAGACCTGACTAGCTCCCGCCATGGAGACCATGAACAAGAACGTGAAGGGAACGAAGCTGAATGGGAAGGGTTTTCTCCATCACCACCGGAGATCGTAAGCACTCCAGGGTTTCCCGAGGACGACGAGCGCCCCAAGGCCGCTCCGGTCAACGTTCTCTACGGCATTGACGCCACGAAGCTGGCGTCGGCACACAAGAAGGCTCTGCGGCCATACTCGCCCTTCACCAAAATCGTGTTCAATTTTCCTCACGTGGGGGGTCTGAGCACCGACGTCAACCGGCAAGTCCGATACAATCAAGAACTTCTTGTTGGCTTCTTCAAGTCGGCGAAGGGGCTGTTGTCTTCTCCATCTCATCCGGCACGACTTCCGAGAGCGCCTGCCGATGACGCCGTTCAATACGACGATGGCTCAGAATATTCTGAAGATGATTCTGCACAGCCCGGGGCTGTCAACGGCCAGATACTAGTCACTCTTTTTGAAGGCGAGCCATACACACTCTGGAACATCCGAGATCTTGCTCGACATTGCGGCCTCAAGGTTGTGGAAAGCTTCAAGTTTCCATGGTCCGCTTACCCGGGCTATCAGCATGCGAGGACCATCGGAGACATTACATCTGGAAAGGACCGCAGTGATGAAGGAAAAAGAAAAGGTGCGTGGAGAGGAGAAGAGCGGGATGCCAGGTGTTATGTCCTGGCAGATCAGGATGCTGCCACGGATGTTCCACCTTCAGGAAAGAAGAACAAACGGAAGCACAGTGACGACGATGAGGATAGCGATTAATCATAATGACTCATCTGTTCAGTGTCCAGGATGTGGGGGTTGACTACTCTGCAGGTACAGGTATAGTATGGAAACAAAACAGCCAACTTCTGATGTTTGTAGTCCGCATCTACTCTGTGGACTGTGAAAGTTATACTAGTAGTACATGAGACAGAAGCCTTGTTCAAGCTGTAAAAAGGCACTGTGGACAAGTAGATGATATACTATACCTTACAGTAACCGAGAGCGCCCAAACGGCATGCTGTCTGTGAATATCAAAGCAGCGGAACTTGTCTGTTCATCTTCCATGTCAGTATTAGGTAGTTTTGGCATAATTCCCCGCCAAGACGTGTCACTAACTGGAATCGTCGCTGTCTCTAAAACGTGCAACTTGCATTGTATTGCGAGTGCGATCCAACTTCCACTTACTCCACAAATTTCATCGGTGCGGAATCGCGTTTCTACCTGTCTACCTTTTTCCTTTCTACTGTGCCTCATACTCACTTCAGAGATATCTCCCCTTTTCACGAGGGCGGTGCAGAATCCCACGCTCTACTGCGATGTCTGAGGAAGCGCCACGAAAGCGGTCTCGCTTCGACCAAACCGAACCCGAGCCCCGGAAAGCCTCCCGCTTCGACAGACGTTCACGTTCTCCTTCTGCCAGACAGTCGGAGAGAAGACGAAGTCGCAGCCCTCTTGCGAAGGACAGTCAAAGCCCCGCTTCTGGCGATAAGCGCAGCACTTCTGTTGACCCTGCTGCAGCTGCGGGTAGGCCTATATCTTGCGTAACCTGCCCAGCATTCACTTGCTAACGGACAATAGCCGCTGCTGCTGCAAAGATCAATGCTGAATTGCAGGCTCGCAGAGGCATCCAGCATGTCGATGTTCCTCCCATCCGTTCGGTAAGCTGGCCGGCCACCGTCCCTTGTGCAACTTCTCACGAGCTTTCACAGAGTTCAACCCCGACTCCTACCTCCAAACCTGCTACGCCTGCCTCGATCCATGATGGGAGCAAAGTCGGCGGTGACATCTACATTGCGGATGGAGACTACATCAAAGATATCGAAATCAATGACTTGCGCAACCGTTACACCTTGACCAAGGGGTCCACCCAAAAGATGGTAAATATCCCTTTCCCAGAAATATGGCTCTCTGCTCTGTAAAGTCGCGTTGCCTTGCCGGCCGCAGACCTGGATGCGGCCATCAATGAACTCACATGCTGACATGTATGGTGTATACAGATCAAAGAAGAAACAGGAGCCGGTATGCCTCCCTGAAAGATCCTTTGACATAGTATACGTGTGCTGACTCGTTGGTTGTAAGATGTCACAACCAGAGGATCCTACTACCCAGACAAGAGCATGGCCACTGCAACCGTGAGTTCTCATGATCAATCTGAAAGTCTGCGACTAACATCATTCAGAATCCACCTCTATATCTTCACGTCACAAGTACTTCCAAGCCGGGCCTGGAAAAGGCTATCGCGAAAATCGACGAGCTTATGAAGCAGGAACTCCCGAATCTGGTCGATGAAAGACGGTTCCGACGTCGAGAGCCTGAGCAATTTGAAAGAGATGAATTTGGCAGGGTATGTTGTCAATCGTGGTGAAGGGCCCAGAAGCTGACCCGAAATAGCGCAAATGGCCCGAGGAACGAATCCCACTCGACATGGAGAACATTCCCGGTTTCAATCTCCGTGCCCAGGTGGTTGGCCAAGGTGGTGCCTACGTCAAACACATCCAACAGGAAACCGGCTGCCGAGTCCAGATCAAGGGTCGTGGAAGCGGCTTCATGGAACACAGCACAGGCCAAGAGTCCGACGAACCAATGTATCTGCATGTCGCTGGACCGCAGCCTGCCCAGGTTCAGAAAGCCAAAGAACTCTGCGAGGATCTCGTAGCCAATGTCCGCGTCAACTTCGAGCACTTCAAGGCCAACCCGCCGCCGCAGCGCATGGAGTCGTACACCGATGGTTATGGTGCCGATGCCCAGCGCCGATCCTATGGTGGTTACGGACATGATCGAGGTCACGACAGGGGTCACGACAGGGGCCACGATCGCGGTCGCGAAAGCAGCTACTCACATCACAACAACAGCTACAACTCTCCATACTCTGCAACGCCTGCCACACCTGCCACGCCTGCGCCTGGTACTGCGGCTTCCCCCACAGACTACGCCAGTCAATACGCCCAATATTATGCTAGTCAGCCCGGCGGAGATCCGTATGCGGCTTATGGCGGTTATCAGAACTATGTGGCATATTACCAATACTACCAGCAGCAGGCCGCAGCTCCGCAACAATCACCTCCTCCGCCTCCACCAGCCGACTCCAACCCGCCGCCTCCTCCGGCTCCCGACAGTTCCACCGCGCCGCCTCCGCCGCCTGCGTCCGGCTACTCAGCAGTTCCGCCACCACCTGGATTGTGAGCATAACTTTGGCTTGGTTGGAGAACTGACTGTGTCAGACCTGTTACAAAAACGGATTACCAGCCTCCTTAAAGCCTTGAACGTCTCTACCCACGCCGTGCGTGGCCTCTCACAGGTCGGCCTAGGCCTCCTATCGGCATTCTCAGGCATTGAGGCTCACCTTGGTTGGCGCGACCGCCATTGATTGGGGAGGCCAAGTATTTGAATCAAAAGGATAATTGCAAGCTGATCGGTCAATAGGGACCAGATCCATAATTCCATTACAAAGTTTGTGTGTCTTTAAAAGCTGACTCTACCTGGCGTAGTCGTGACTGGGCCTGTACATGGCGAAGGCCACTTACAGGAAGGGGAGCGACTCTCTCACTCTTTCACTCTCTCACAGTCTGTCATGGTCTGGTAAATGCAACAATGGCATGGCGATGTAAGTGCAATGCGTATGGTTGACCACACAAGATCAGGTGAAACCAATAATTCAAGGTCTTCGGATATCCAAACCCCTGATCATGTTGGGCCGCTGGTCAGGCACAAGATGCTCCAGGCCCGATCAATTGAAAAGTGTCGAATGGTGCAAGCCTTCATTCAGCCTTCTCGGCAGATTTCTTCCAGGTATTCAACGACTCCCTTGCAACACCGGCCTTCTATGCGGCGTCCTGCTTGTGGAATGATCGAGGACCTGTGGAATATGTACCTAATGTAGTGAAAGGACTTTGTGTCCTATCTTGTCATCGGAATCCTGAACAAGCCTGGCAGCATAGACAAGGATGTAAGGCCTTCTGGGGCTCAGCTTCAGCGTATTCAGTCCGTCTGCAGTATCTTCACCTCTGTCTGCCCCTTCTCCTTCTATTTGTGCCATGCCGTCACCTGATGAATTTGTGTCTGATTCGGGAGGCATCTTTGCAACTATATGTGCCGGCTAGTTTCCCCTGGACCTTGAAATTCCAACCATGTACTCTCCTTCCCTCTCTTAGACCATTCGGGGTCTTTGCACGTGCTCTTGAGCTGATAACAAAATCGACGTCGTCAGAGGGTAAGGTGGTCTCCGGGGTTTGGGGGAAGTATTGGAATTTGCGTATCTTTTATTTGTATCTGCTTTTCCTCTGTCCAAAACATCGGCTGGGTTTCCCTTTCGAGGATACAAGTACATACACCATAAGAAATCCAGAAGTATGGACCCCACGCCTTAGACAGGAAGATGGCACACACCATCCTGGATATCCCCTGACAGACAAGCCGGATATCTAGGATATGTGTCATTTTATCTTCCGGATCGTCGCGTCGCTGCCCTTGGAAGTAAGCCCACGACTTAAGCCGGCGCCTATCCCCCGGCCCAGAGTGGCGATCTTGCTTCCAACCCAGGGATTCAAACGGGCATCGTCGTCGTCCCCGACCTCTTCTGCAGGAGGGGGTTGACTGGGTCCATCGTTATCGTCTCCGTCTCCGTCTCCGTCTCCATCGTCTTCCTCGTCGTCATCATCGCGGACGGCTTCTTCTTCTGCATATCTGCCCTCATCTTGTCCGGTATGACTGGATTGTCTCTTCATCTGGGCAGCAGCAACAGCAGCGCCGCCACCGCCACCGCCACCGCCACCGCCACCGCGAGATCGGTGCTGACTGGAGATTGAGGAAGATTTGGTAGTGGTGGTAGTGGTGGTGGGCTGTTTGCCCGAAGATCCAGATATAGTGTTTCTCAGGTTGGCGAGAATGGCGTTGGAGGCGGCAGTGGTTGATTTGGATCGCTGGTGTCGTTGGGTCAAGGCTATGAATGCGGCCAGCGCCGCGTCCGAGCCTGGGCCTGGGCCCGGGGTGGAGTCTTCGGGCACGGAGAGGAGGAAGCTCGATGAGCGGGTTAGGTCGGAGGTGCCCCGGCTTGGGGGCCCGGGGAAGCGAGGTTTCTTCTTGGGCGTCTCAATGTGGCTCAGGCTTGGATTTTGGCTTTCTTCTTCCTCTGCCTCGTCTTCCGCTCCCGCTCCCGCCTGTGTCAGCAGTAGACCGGGAGTGGTTGGTGCGTTGACGGCAGTCAATGTCACGCAGGGGCATCCGCAGCCTGTGGGACAGGTATTGTGCTCGTCTTCATCTTCTGAAACTCGCGACTGTTCTTGTTGAGACGATCTCCTGGATTCCGCCGTGCTTGCTCTCTGAATACGATGCGTGCCAAACCAGCCCTGCGCGCAGTCGTAGCATGTCATGTGCCCGCACTGCAGACAGGGGACTGCGAGCCCATTGATTGACGTGTTGCACACGGCGCAGCTGCTCCTCTCGGATATCTTGGATGGCGCAGAGCAAGCCGGGTTAACGCATCGCCAACCGATACGCACCCGGTTCTTCTCTTTTGGGACCAGTGGATCCCCACAGTTCCGGCAGCACCGCCGGATGGTCAGACCAGGACTGGGGCCACGCGTCGCAGATGTCAACGTTTTCCTTCTGACAGGCCGTTCCAGATGGGGACCAGCAGATGCCGATGCCGACTGCTGCATCGGGCTCGTGCCATTGAGCTGATTTGTTGCGCTTGCCTGTTCGGATAGCAGCCCGTCGAATTTCAGCATTTCGGCGCGCTGGATGGGCAGATCCCAAACGTCAAGTAGGGACGCATAGCTTGCCCGGTAGCCGCTGCATCTGCGTTCCAGTATAGGGTCCAACAAAGGAGACAGCGGGTAGCCATCGAGGTCAAACTTGTCTTGATTGAATAGGTGAGTTTTGATCTTCTTCTTTCTGCGTCCTGATGCGGTGTTCGGCCGGGCGGGTGCCGATTTGTCTGAGGATGCAGTAGATTTGAGGCTCCGACGACCGATTCCTGACTCTTGCTTGACACTGTCTTTGCGCGAAGCTCGGAGAGCCGAAGATGGAATTGAAGTTCGTGTGTTCGTCTCCAGGTGGTCTTGACTTGCCGTGTCGCTGCCTTGCAAGGACATCCGTGCTTGTCTGTTCCCGCCTTGCCCCCCAAACAGGCTCGAAGACACCCACCCAGGTGCCAGTGACCCCGAGGGACTGTATTTCTTGAGACCTGACGCAACCCCGGAGCCTGAGCTCTGGTTCGGTGGAGAATTGGAGTATGACTGCGTCAGTGCTGAGAGGCTGGCACGAGCGGAGGAATATGCGATACCTGAGGTGGGCCCGTGGCTGGATCTGTGTCCTTCAGGGGAAGTGGAGAGCGATAGCGCCGACTGAGCCGGGCCCTGGTCGCTCCCGTCATCGGCTCTGAAACTATGCGCGCGCGACGAAAGCTGGCTGTAGTGCAGGCTCAAGCTTTTGAAGGATCGTCGTTGATTCTGCGAAAAGCCACCGGTGCTTACCCCGGGACTTGGAGGTGCGTTCATCGAGTCAACAAGCACGTATCCTTCCGGCGCCAATTCGCTTTGAAGGAACGCCTTGGCCACAGCCCTGGAAGGAAAGTAGTCGGATCTGGCCACAGAGCCAATCGCAGGAGAATCGTTCCATGGGTCGACGGCCGGGTCTCCAGGTATGGTGCCCCGGTTGAGGACCGAGACAAGCACGCAAGACATGGTGGCTAGCATCTGAATGTCTCCCAGCCTTTCGAAGTGGTCAAAGATGGCAGGCAAGAGGTATGTCGAGCCGAGCGGGTGGTTGCCCCAGCGTGTTCTGCCCAAGGCGCTGTTCGCTGCAAGATCAGCAGCCCTGTCGCCCTGTGGTCTTTTCTTGGTGGCAGCTCGAGCCAGAACGGATATGTCGTTCGGCGCAGAATGGCTGAGATCGGGCATGACCTCCAACGGGACGGTGTCATCCAAAATCAGGCCAAGTAGGGTCCAGACCGAGGCTAGATCCTCAAGGGACAATTGACGAGCAACGGCTGCGTTGTGTTTGCAGAGCTGAGCGCCGTCGCCGAAAATTCTGTACTGGACAGCCAACTCACGTTTCGAGGGTAACAGATCATCGACATTATGGATTGAAACGGCACTCTTCCGGGGGTTGTCGTTGAGCTTGTTGATGCCTGTTGTCGAGTTGTTGGATCGGTCAGGCGAGCGGGAGCGTTGTTGCAGCCCCAGGGCACCGACAGGATACGACGCAACACCTCGAACATTCTGCTCCGTCTCGAACGATGAAGAGGAGCTGCTGGACGACTGCCACGATGAGTCTGAAGTTTCTGAGTCGGAATCATCCTCAGTCGTCCTTGTCCTCGTTGCTTTGCGCGCCGGGGAGCTAGTGTGAAGGCGTCCAAACCCCTGAAACAGGGCGCTGGATTCGGTGTTGTCAAGATCTCCAACTCCAATCGTGCTCAGCAAAGAGACTGTTTCTTTGGACTTGGCGGGGAAAAAGCAGACGAGTTTCCCTGTGGGGGACCAGATCGCGCCGCAGCCCTTTGCCAATGGCACCAGGATATTCGCCGATGCATCGAGTCCATCTCCAACGCCATCCATCTGCTCGTCGTCACTACTGCTCGAGTCATCGGCCGGGATGGCACCCGTATCAAGGACTTTGGAATCCGTCAAAGATTCTCCCAAGACCCAAGCCACGATCTGCTCAAGGTTCTGTTCTCGCAGCAAGTAGCGAAGGACGGCTTCGAGACATCCTCGTTTTCTCGATGCGTAGGTTTCCGATATCGTATTCAGTTCGGTCGTGAGGAGCTTGTGTGTTTCGTCATCGATGAACCCGGATTTCTGCAAGGTGAGAATGGCATTTGCATTGCGAGGATATAGTTTTGGGAATCGCATCTCCACTCGAAGGTACACTGGGCTCTGGTCCTCACCCCACGGTGCCTGTAGAGACATCACTGCCTTGCGCCGGGAGATGTCGACCACCTCGAAGTCCACCTTTTTGAACTTCTCCCCGACTTGCCGGATCTCTTCCGCAAGGGTGTCGGGATCCCAGGAGGATATCTTGACATTCTTCAGCCACGCAATTGGGTCTGCGCTCTGCCTGTTGTTACCGCGGCCGTGCATGCCAGGTCTGCGAGTCTGACGCCCCTGCACCCAGCTTCGAAACTGTGATACCGGCACTTTGTTCATGGCCGCACTGTTACTTGCGCGGTATCGCAATTGCATGACCTGGCTCGGGCGAGGAAATATTTCGCCACGATGTATTTGCTCCACAGGGGAATCCGAGTCTTCTGGCTCATCGCGGAAGGACCTGTAGACTGCACCCCTCCGTGTGAAGTTGAGTTTCGGGACGATGGAAGCTCCCTTTTCGTAGCCAACGTCGGCATAGATGCTGCGGTCGAGAGCGTGAAGTCTGAGTTCCCGGTCAGTGCCCCAAGAGACCAGCTGGAAATCTCGGTTGTCCACGGCGTCCACTATGGCCCCTCTCGAGCGCCATAAGAACTCCTTGACCTGTCCTTCATGGCCGGCAAACGTTGCCACTGGTTGGACAGGTCCGCTCTGAAGCATTCCATTGGCGGGGCGTCGATCGTAAAGATGCAGATCGTGATTCCCACGTTGGGGCATCACCAGTAGACCCCAGCCGAAAGGAGTATGCCGTGCTCTCCGGACGGGAAAGGGAGTTTCAATCACGCGCTCTGGCACATTTTCCTGATAGTCAAGATCCCAGAATTTGATGGATCTGTCAAGGGAACAGGTGACAATCTTGTTGGGATGATGTCTATTCCAGTCAAGCCCGGAAATCTTGGTCCCATGGGCTTCAATCGTTCTCACAGGATAGGCGCCATGCCTATCGTCCCAGATATGAAGAAACTTGTCGTGAGAGCTGGCAATGACGTGCTCATCCTGTCGGCTCCATTTGACTTGAGTTGCCCCAGCAAACCAATCCGAAAATGAGTTCACTGGCCTCAATGGCGCCCGCAGATCCCAGCAGTGCACGAAACTGTCCACCGCACAAGTGGCAAGGACGTCAGGATTGTGCGCCGAAAAATTGATGTCGGTGATGGCCCTTGTATGGCCGTGAAGGACAAATTCAATCCAATCCTGCCATGAGCGAGCCGCCAGGTTCCAGACAAGCGCCTTCTGATTCGATGTACTAACGACCCAGTAGTCTCGAACGGCGAATGGAGACCACTGCACGTCGGCCACTTCCCAGGGAGTGCGGTGTGGAAGGTAGCGAGGCGGCGAATATGGCGAGTCTAGATCGATAATGTGTAGTCCTTCTTTGGAGGCCAGTGCTACATCGCGGCCGCTGGGCGAGATGGACATTGAACCAACCGGCTGCTCGAGGCGAAAGGACGCATCCTGGCCAAAGGTTTCGCTCTCGAAAGCGGACGCTGGTCCTCGAGGCGCCATCTCATATGAAATCTGGCGCTTGCCGGTTCGAATCTTTCAGACACATGGTTACATAGAGTGAAGCAACTCAGCATCAGGGATGCAGGCCCCTCTATCCGCCAGTAGGGTCGTGGATGCGAGCATTTCAAGCAACGCGCGTGAGGATTGGGCACAAATAACAGCTTTGCTCATCTGCGCGGACCACACTCAGATTGAATCGATCGCGGTGGCGCCTGTGGTCCGGGATTCTGGTGATTTCAGGGACTCGGAGTTGGTCTTGCCGACACAAAATGCAGCTTGTCTGATGTTTTTGTAACAATACTCTGTACAAAGTGACTCGAGATGAAGTCAACCGACCGCAATGAGAGTTCACGTGACTGGCGACACTCACGCAGCCACGTGATGGATTACGTAAGGGATCAGAGCCTCGTTCCCGTTGCAAGGCTCTGACAATCGACGACATATACAACATTCTACGCAAAAGCAGTTCTGCTTTCGACCATCTATAACAACGACCAGCTAGAGATAGCCCATTACGGTCACCAGATACTGGCCCACCGATGGATCCCTGTCTTCTTCAGCGATGAAGATGTGGACAATATCTGCAGGTAGCCGGTCGTGATATTTGATAGGGAGTGTATTAGGTCCATACCCACCACAAAGTGTGTTACCCTGGGAATCGGGAGTTGCATGTCCGCTATTGACTGTAGGGATGTCATGGTACCACTGTACCCTGTACACTGTATATCAGAGCCATGCAAGGCTTTGGATAGGCGACGAGTCAAAGACCAGGCCAGCACGTGTGGTGCCAAGATTGCACGCGAGTCATGTATCTACGACTCCAACTCAGCTTGACGTCCAACCTGAAGTTGCCTGCCGTGGATTGCACCGCTCGAGTTTCACAGTCTCGATTGTTGAAACAAGCGTTTGCCTCGACAAGGCAGCTACCACCTGTCTCATCGGAGGGAAAGAAATCGAAAACTGTCTAGCATTCCACCTTACAAGTCCTGGGATCCAAGTGGCTCCATTCACCACTGCCGCGCAGTCGACGTTCAATTGCAAGCGAGCACTGCCCATCTCCGCCGCGGCTACATTCACTGCAGATCAGCGCCTTACATCTAAAGAGACCATCCCTCGCAGCTTTTACGGCGTTGCTATCTTCAATCTGCTTGCCCTCTGCGGCATATCCACATCAAGAAGATGGCGTTACCCAAGAGGATCATAAAAGAGACGGAGAGACTCATGGCTGAACCGTACGAACACCGTTCTATAGCATACAGACGCCAGGACTGAATGAAGACATTTAGGGTGCCGGGGATCAGTGCTGTACCACATGAAGACAATCTGAGATACTTCGACGTCTCAATACATGGCCCTTCTCAATCGCCTTATGAGGGTAATGTTTTCCCTTTCCGTCATGGGTAGGGTCTCACTGACTCCGTCTATAGGAGGCATCTTCAAACTTGAACTCTTCTTGCCGGAAGACTACCCCATGACACCTCCGAAAATCCGATTCTTGACAAAGATATACCACCCCAACATTGACAAGCTTGGCCGGATCTGTCTTGATGTGTTGAAGAGTAGGTTATTTGTCTTTCTTCTTGAGCGAGCGCTGACCTGGCCAGGCAATTGGTCGCCAGCGCTTCAGATCAGAACAATTCTTCTTTCCATCCAAGCTCTGCTAGGCGCTCCCAATCCGGATGACCCGCTGGCAAACGACGTCGCCCAACGGTGGAAGGAGGATCAGGAAGCGGCGATCCAGACGGCTCGAGAATGGACCAGGACCCATGCCATGACATGATCACCCATGCATCAGTATTGGTGTTTAGTCTGCGCACGTTTCGCAATGGCGATGATGATGGCAATGTAGGTGTATCTTGGAATGGGGCTCACCCTCTACCTGAAGATGAAGGGTCTAGCAGCAAGCCTTCGATTACTCACCATGATGAGCGATGATTCCATGATCAATCCAATAGAACATAAATTTCCTTGTGCCTCGCTTTGTCCTTTTGGGTGAGTGGATTTATTACATCCTGTTGTTCATTCTTGGGAAAACATCCTGTTCTGTCGTCCGCCAGCTACTACAGTATCGTGCAGGGCTATTAATGCCCCGGAGCGTGCCTTCACAGTCGATCTACTGTGTCTTCAGTTGTTGCCGTCCTCCTGTTTCAATCGTTGGCCTCTCTGCATGACATCGTCGTCCATCCCGACGACATCATCAACCTCCCAGGTACGAACCGGTGCGCGCCATTGGCCGATCGACGACAAGGTCATGATTCTAAAGCGCAGCGCACCATTCGCCGGTGCACCCTCGGCGACAGGGTCACCTTCCCTCTGCGGCGGTCGCTGGCCACACTATTAATTTTGTCAACAACAAACGACACTCTCTCATTCTTTCTCTTTGGACAACCATGGACAGACTGACGGCCGCCATGAGGTCTCCCACCAAGGGTGGGAGCATGGCATCAGATGGCCCTTCGTAAGTATCGTTCCTCCCCTGGTGATGAGCTATGATCAATGCTGATGCTGATGCCTCGAAAACAGCCGTTCGAAGTCCTCCGCCTCCCTGCGGCCCTCAACGCCGCAATCCCGCCTCCTTGTCCGGGGCTCTCTCGGGTCGCTTCGGCGCTTGAGAAGTCGGTTGAGCCTGGGGAGCCTTCGCAAGGGCTCACCAGAGAGAAAGGATGTCACGAGGCTGAGTGGCCACGTGACTGGGGGTTCCCCAGTTCACAGACGGCAGCCGTTTCGTCCTTTGTCGATTGTCAATTCGGCCTTACATCCGTTTGACTTCGACGTCACTGCGGCCATGCAAGCTGTGAAGCAGCAAACTGCCGCCTCCTCAACCACCTCCCAAGAAGCCAACAGCACGAACAACCGTGCAATCATTGGCGCCATGGCGTCAAGACAGGAGATCGACGAGGACGACGACAAGACAGTCACACCAGTTGGCCGATCTCATCAAGACCTGCCCTCGCAGGCATCCGCCTCGCCTCCTGCCACCGCAGACGACGAGAACATCGTGACTAGCAGTTTCCGATCCCTGCTCAACCTGCCGCCGCCAGACCTCAGCCAACACCCGGCATTCCAGCCTGACCCACTGAACTCGACGAGCGACGCACCTCTGATGGTCACTACGTCGACAGTGGCCGAGATTCAAGCCTGGGCGCAGGAGAGACGACGACGACTCGAAGCAGAGCGCGGCGATGGAGTCAAGAATGCAGGTGCGAGCACAGCAAACAACGGCCAGGCTTCTCCCGCAGCAGGTGCGATGACACCTCGTCGTGGCGTCCGTTTCGCGTCAGCACAGCATCCCTCTCGTGGAGAGGCGCAGCCAAGCCCTGAACCTCGAGCGTCAGGAGGATTCTCTCTGCGAAGCAAGTTCTCTCGTCTCCGTCTTGACTCTGACAATGCCCGGACTTCCAGCAGTGATGACGCTGCCGAAGATGCACCAATGACTTCGCCGACTGCACAGCCCAAGACTCCAGTCGACGGCAACAAGCAAGACACTCTGCCAGCTTCACATGGAAACGAGCAGAAGAGAACCGGTCTACGAAAGGTCACTGGTATATTCAAGTCCAAAACCGACAAGGCGCAGCCTGATCCGACGTCCCCGCTCCCAGACCGTCGAGATTATACTCGACCAAGAGAGGATTTGGTAAGTTGTGCTGCCTCCCTGGACAAGAAATCCTTTAGTGACAGTTCTCCAGGAACGATATCTGCGCGTCACCACCAATTGTCGCTCCTACGATTACGATCCCGGACAGCCCTACCCTCGCCATCCGAATACTGGACGAGCCTGGCACTCTCGCAACCTGAAATGCACCAATTGTGCTGATTCCCTCTGCGGTGTCTGCGGACGCACCTGCTGCGCTTACAAAGCTGCCTCGGAAGCTCTCGAGAATCACAAGAACAATCCGCTGTCTCTTAGGGCTGCGCGAGATTGCCTCGCCAACATTTCCAACCTTTTCCCATTCGGACGCGAGGTTCCAACTTTCCTTCAATGCACTCATGGCGGTGGCTGCGGCAAGATGGTCTGTCCGGACTGCTGCGGGATGTGTCCGAATCCGATCTGTGCCGACATTCAGTGCCGAAAGTGCAAGAAAGATCCATGGTCTGAGTGTGATTGGCATGAGCAGATGGAGACACATGCTTTGTAAAGCCTCGACAATCTCAAGGGAAGACGACATGATTCAACACGGAGCGTACTCATCATGGTGCTATCGATGAAACTCCAGGCAATCTCGAAATCAAGGTCTGTGGTCGGCTATGATGAGATGAAATGAGAACGAAGGACATGAGCTTTGATACCCCAGCCTCGAGATGCACATTCCTCGGCTACTGATCACAACGTGGTCGGAACAAAATCCATTGATTAAGAAAAGACCAGGCGTTGGGGCAGAAGTGTACAGAGCATGATGGCCAGTGCCACAAATCCTCCTCTAGACAGAGAGAAGGTCATGCGTTCTCGACTAGGAGACAACACAAATGTACCCATTACTGCGCTACCACCGTGCCATCCCATCCTTCGCCTTATTCTGCTGCCCCTTTAACCAAATGCGCAGTCTACATTGCGTGCAAGTATCCCTTTGTTTCGCCGTAGCAGTAATTACCATCCGAGTCAGTTGCGCCAACGTATAGCGTCATTCTTGGCAAATGCCAAGCGCACAACTCGGCGCGACAATTGACCCCCCGATGCCACTTACCTTCGAAGCCTGGACGAGAGACTGCGCCTATTGATTTCACTCCAACAAACACCATCGAAGCCAGGTACAGCATCGGGCAGACCGACCGACCAAGATGCGTACCTACGACGATTCCTTCAGCGGGACGAAGATCTACCCGGGCAAGGTCAGTCCAGCCCAATGTGATTGTGAACTACAGGCGTTCCGTCTTTCGCCATCGACACGAACCCTTTCGGGAAAACCCAGACGAGGTACAGAGGCTGACAGAACTGGATAACAGGGCAAGCTCTATGTCCGCGGTGACAGCAAGATCTTCCGATTCCAGAATGGCAAGACCGAATCCCTCTTCCTCCAGCGCAAGAACCCGCGAAGAATAGCCTGGACCACGCTCTACCGAAGAATGCACAAGAAGGGTATCTCGGAGGTCAGTTTGACAAGTTCTATCGCCCTCTCTGGTTTCTTGCCCCGTGGAGATATCGTCTACATGCAATGAGTGCACACTGTTTGGGAAGAGGAGGAACTGCCATAATGAAACCCGACATTTTCCAGTTTCTGATTACGACAAGCGATAATAGCTGACACGAGTTTTACACATGAATAGGAGGTCGCAAAGAAGCGAACTCGCCGTACCGTCAAGCACCAACGAGCCATCGTGGGCGCTTCGCTCGACGTGATCAAGGAGCGCCGTGCTCAGCGACCTGAGGCCCGCGCCGCAGCTCGTCAAGCCGCGATCAAGACCGCCAAGGAGAAGAAGGCCGCCGAGGAGAGCAAGAAGAAGCTGGAGAAGGCGAAGGGCGCTGCCGGTGCCGCTAGAGGCCAGATCCGCAGTGGCATTGCCAGCAAGCAACAAGCCAAGGGTGCACCCAGCAAGGTTCAAGCCAAGAGCAGATAAATTCTTTGTCCCGAATTGACAGCGTCCTGGAAGTGCGTGTTTGACGGGCAGGATTTTGTGGTCCAGTGGGGTTTCTCGAGACCGGGCATACGGCATGGCATGGCACGGACATGAAATGGCAGGGCTCTTTGCTCGCTTTACGGAACGATGAGTGAGGAAGTCTACTCGACCGACTGCACGACAATCGGATTGAGAAGAAAAACGGGGATAGAAAAATACCTGGGATCAAAGCCAGCCTTCCACTGCATAGCATGCCCGTGATGGTATCTCGGGACGTTCGAGGTGAAACACAAACGATTCGATACAGTCAGGGATCGATGGAATTGAGAAGCCATCCGTTTTGACCTTGTTCTAGCTTTTGCTTACGTTCGGATCTGCCTGTCAAGCGTCTCCGGAGACTGCTGCTGCTGCTACACATCCCGATTTAGAGTCATAACTCTGTTGACTGTCCGCTGTGTGCTCCCCTTCTGCCACCCAACGTACAATATGTCTCCACCGTCAAGGGCACTATGTGCTCAACAGACGCCCTCACTTGACATAGCCATTCGTATCTGGGCTGATCAAGTCACCGATGCCAATCTTTTCCCCTCAAGCCGTAGTCAAGGTGAAAGCTGTATATCGCCCGGTCTGCAGCAATTGTTGGCCGTCAATGTTTTTCCCCGTCCGTGGTGGTGGTGGTGGTGGTTATCTTGACCATCTTCGAGCATGCCCGTAGCCGGCAGACACTTCTGGCCGCATGATCCGGCAAACGGCCACCAAGGACTTGCAATGGCAATGGCTGGTTCCGGAGGGCCTCAACATCGCCCCGTGCCTACACATGCAGCATTTTTGTCGTCAAGACCGTCCGTCGTTTGAAACGGTCATTTTTATTGTTTGTATGCGGTGCAGTGCCCATACTCATAATGACATTCTCAGTCGCCCAGAGAAGTGCCGAAGCAGTCGACGAAAAAATCTTCGGCCTTTTTTAGAACCTTAGCATCGCGTCGAGCATCGGCCTCCGTGCCAGCAGGCATCTTCCAGTTATTCACGCCCCACCACCATTTCCGCAGCCTAGCCCCAAGCGTCCTCCCCTGGAACTTGCTGCCACGATTCCAATGCCGCCACCCCATCATGAGCATGTTCCACACTATACCCTGGACCAGCGGCAGGAAGACCTGGTCTCGGATGGTAATGAAGGCGACTCTCCAATTCGTGTCGGCATTCTTGATGCTCGCCAGGTAGGATTGCTCGAAGCGGAAGTCGGGGATTGGAGGGAACGACTTCCGCCGTCGGCGCGGGTGGATGATGTCGCTGGGGATGGTGGATGTCGACTCGGAACTCGTGGCTGAGTCGAGCGATTGCGAGCGAGACAAGGGAAGACGGGCAGGAGGAGAATGCGATCGTGGCCGTGACCGTGCCTTTTGGAGTGAGGGTGATTCCACCACGGCCGGGATCTTCTCCGAGGCTGCCGTCGATGGGTTCACATCGTGCGCGGGCGACGGGTTGCGTTTGATCGAGGCGGACTGGATCGTCGAAGCGAGTTCCGATACTAGATTTGACGACATTCTAGCTTGGCACGTCAAGAGGGCGACGTTCAAAAGAGTCCTTGTATAGTAGATGGTATGCCCTGTCAAATGGGATGCTCGGTTCGTTCGTCTAGAACTTGGAGGCTGCTGTTGCTGGGAGGTGCTGTGCCAGTGGTCGAACAAGTGACACTCAGGGTGTTACAATCGCGGCAGATGGTGAGTGTGGTGCGTGGTACGGCGTCGATTTAGTATCGAGAGTGCATCTCCTCAGGCTGTCGATGGAACGAGTCGATATAGTGGCAGTGTGCAGCACACACAAGGCAGTTCAAGTCTGAATTGTCATGTGTGGTGTGGTGTGTGTTGTGTGGCCGTTCTGAGAAGAGGTTCGAAAGCTGATGTTGATGATGCTGCTGGGGTTCCATCAGCCTTGCAGCCATCCATCCATCCACCAACCTTCTTCCCCTTCCCCCCACTTCTCCCTGCGCCATCCATCGCATTATTTATTTAAATTCGACGGCCTCCGAATCTTGAACACTGCTATTTCAGAAAGTCGTCGTACAATATATTGCCTTGCAAACCGCAGTCCTCCTTCTTCTCTCCCGTGTCTATTCTCCACTGAATCTCTCGATCTTTTCCCAAAGTGCTTTTCGTTCTCCGCCCTCTACAATGTCGGACAGAAAGTGGAAACTTCTCTGCTTGGAGAATCCGCTACTGGATATCCAGGGCAAAGGGTATGCATACGTCCACGAAGCCACTTCCATTTCCTTGAACGGCCTTCCAGCATTATAGTTCCAAGGCTAACCATGCTGTTCTTTTCTACAGCGACGAGGCAATGCTCCAGCAGTATGGGCTGAAACTCGACGACACGCTCCTGGCGGAACCCAACCAGATGGGCCTGTACGATGACTTGATCAAGAACCGCAACGCGAAACTGATTCCGGGCGGAGCTGCCCAGAACACTGCCCGAGGCGCACAGTACATGCTCCCGCCCGACTCGGTGTGGTACATTGGTTGTGTGGGGGACGACGAGTACGCACAGCTGCTGCGCGAGAAATGCGCCGAGCAAGGTTCGCCAGTCCGATTGGAATTCGTTTGACGCAGCAACATGTATACATATATGGAAAGACAGAGCACAACTGACCACACTTGTGCTTCCTTAGGCTTACACGTCGAGTACCGTGTCGACCCGAAAGTGCCGACAGGGAAATGCGGCGTGGTCATTACCGGCCACCACCGCACCATGTGCACGCATCTCGCCGCGGCCAACGAGTACAAACTGGACCATTTGCTGGAGAAGCGGATCTGGTCCATGGTTGAGAATACCGATGTCTTCTACGTGGGCGGTTACCATCTGACTGTCTGCCCCCCGGCCGCCATGGCCCTGGCCAAACATGCCGCCGAGACCAATAAGATCTTCATGCTCTCCCTGTCCGCAGGCTTCATTCCGCAGTTCTTCAAGGACCCCTTGGCCGAGATCCTGCCATATTGCGACTATGTCTTTGGAAATGAGAACGAGGCCAAGACGTGGGCCGAGACTCAGGGTCACACCGGCATTTCCATGCAAGAATGCGCAAAACTCATGGCTAAGCTGCCCAAAGTCAACACCAAGAGACCCAGGGTTGTCATTGTTACACAAGGCACCGATCCCACCATTGTTGCCATAGCCGAGCAAGGCAAAGAGGTCGAGGTCAAAGAGTACCCTGTCCCCGTAATCGACAGCTCTGCTATCAACGACACAAACGGAGCTGGTGACGCATTCGCCGGCGGCTTCTGTGCCGGCATCGTCGCAGGCGAACCTCTCGAAACCTGCATCAAGAAAGGCCAGTGGTTGGCGAAGTTGAGTCTGCAGGAATTAGGTCCTTCGTAAGTCCCACCCACTCCTGTCCCCGGCAGCATTCTTCACTGTATCTGTGCCAGGGGCCGTAGCCCGCTCCTTGCTTCTCCATCCACCCCACACTCTTTACTATCCTGCACTGCAAACATACCATGCTCTTCAGCTGACGCTTTTCGCAGATACCCGTGGCCCAAGCAGACGTACAAGGAGTAAGCCAGGGACGGCCAAGTCAACTTGGACACCCCGTCCTTCAGCATAGCCAGGGCTGGACTCCACATCTTCGTTTTTGATCTTGTACCATTATGGCACACCCGTGCGGTCTCATTCAACAGAAGCCGTGTATGCGGGTTGATAGCATGTCTTCCACGACTTGATGATGAAAAAAGTGATACCAGGTAGAATGCACAGACTCGAGACTGGGGTCGATCTTCGCATAGAGTAGATCCCAAATGAAGAACTTCGATATTCATGACTGAAGACCCATGAATGGTGCCATCATCCATGGCGAGTCTTGACCTATAACGTTCTGCGTCCGATACAGGATCAAAGTGCGGAAACTCTGCTGAGCATAGCTAACGCGATTGGCCGACACGCATTACTGTACTCTCATTGTCTCAGCCCACCCCCATGGACTTGCAGGCGGATGTGTTTCATGTGGACAAGTCCACTTTCAAATCGCTGCTGCTGGGCACTTTGATCATCCGCCCTGACCGCTTGTAGGTGTTCAACCGCTGTGCGGGCGTGGGTCGCCAATGGCGCCAAAGGGAGATGCTTCCGACCTCGGGGTTGAGATCACAGTGCCTTGTGAAAGACCTGCACCAAAATTGGCCCGCAACGGTGACACCTCAGGGCGCAGTCGATCACTAATACCGGTCCAAGGGTTTACCGGCGTCACACCTTGCGGGCTGCTCGCAAAAGATGGTCCCAGAGACTGCAAAGGCGAGGTTCGGTTCGTTATCTCCTCGGTCTTCTGCCATAACATTTCGCGGAATTGCGCAGAGCCGTCCAAGTCTTGAGAGGCTGTGCGCAGATCCGCAGCTCTGTTAGCAGTGCTTGGTCGGGACGCAGACGCAGACGTTGGTAATACTTCGCCAGGCCGTGCTGTGAAAGGAGTTGGCCAGATGCTGGTCAACGCCGTCTCGTTGGGCAAGGTACTTGAGGAATGCCGGAACTTTGGCACCAAACCTCCAGCTGGGATTGCTGTCGGTGGCATCGACCGCTCTCCTCTCTGAAGGAATGCCTGGGCGACGGGGCTCCTCAACGTGGCCGTCGACAGGCCGTTGCCAACGCTGGGGGCAGTGCCTACTGGCTCGTTGGGTTCGCATTGTACTATATGGTTCACCATGTCCTCCATCGTAGTGGTAATAGACTCAGTCACTTCTGCATCCGACTTGGTTGTGTGCCCGACGGGCAGGCGGTCCATGTGGCCACGAGTTCGCCTCGAAGCCCGGGGGGCATCGCGGCCAACACTGCCTGTGGACATGACTCGCGTATGGCGTGGAGGAGCCTCGGGAGGTCGGCCATGCTCTGCTCGCTCGTCATAAAATATGAACCGATTGCCAGCAAACGTGAGAGGAATAGTCAACGGTCCAAACACATCCTGCTAGATGTCAGATCAACGCAGATAACAGAGATTCGTCGACAGTTACCTTCTTGCAAAGATAGAGTCCATCTTTAACCAAGCATTTGACTCGATACAGAAATTCGTTTTCCATGGACCGCGGCCCAAAAGCTGCTTCGTCATACAATGATTTGGAACGATTGTCACTGTCTTGGAAGCGTGTCCGCCTGACAAAATCGCAGAATGCCGAAAAGGCTAGAGTGTCTTGATCCTCGTCCAAGAGGTAAGAGAGTTCAGACAGTTCACGAATGACAGGGAATGTGAGGTTCAGCAGACTCAGGGCCTCTGCGTAGGTCTGCCATAACGCCGCAATCTGAACCTTGAGTGACTTGTTTGCGAGGAGTTGCTGTACCGTGCTCAGCAGCCACCCACTGTATAATCGGAGGTGAGGGAGGATGCGACGAGTGACCGGGGTGATCCGGGAGGAGCCATCCCATGAGCTGTGCGGAGTCCTGCCAGTATCTCCGACAAGGGGCCGAAGCTCGTCAAGGAGGAGCTGTAAAAACATGAAAAAAGTCGCAATGTTCATGTGCTGTGCGACTTCAAATGAACGGAATGCCGACACATCATCTGCATATGTTAGCCAGCGATGAGGCTGGTGAGACAAAGACGTACCTCGCACTCTTTTTGCTGCCAGATCCTCAGCTGAGATGTTGATCAGGCAGTATTTTCTGACCACAGTATCGTAAGGGCGCTCCCTCAGCTCGTCAGCAAGCAGGTGAATGATCTGATTCTGTTGTTCTTCATATCCCACATACTCGTCCAAGAAGCAGCGGGCGTGAAACAGGAGGAAGCTTTCTTGAAGCTCGCGACTCCCTTCGGGGACTGCATCCTCGCTTAGGATCGACATTCCCTGAGCTGACCTCTTTTTGATCTTTTTGAATTCAAGTTTCAAATTCCCCTGGGCTAGAGGAGCGGGATTGTCGACACAAATGGCGCGATAGAGGTGGTACACAGCTCTCAGGTGATCTTGGTCTGCCAATGCGATAACTGCGAGTTGATTGCTTGAGATGCCGGACGCAGGATCAAGGACGGAGGCAAGCTCATAGTACCCTTTCGCCGGTCCCCAATTGCGCTCCTTAGTTTGCAGCTCGGTCTCTCGGTATCTGGACAGATCGCCCAACCGGATCAAAGTCGAGTAGCATGAGCCAACGATCTGCTTCTTCAAGATCGAATCCACAGACAGAGGTTTGTCTGCCGAGAGCGCTGGACAGTGTCAGTCGGCCACCACACAAATGCATGGCTTACGTACTGTCTAGATTGAACCGTCGAGCGATCTCCATGACTTCCGGGACATCTCTGAAATTGGATGCAAGCCTCTGGATATATCCTCGATAGAAACGCATGCTTGATTTGATGAACTCCAGGTAGAGTTTCTCGGCCTTGCGGCGCTCAACAGGTCTCTTTTTGGCTTGCTCCTCGCGGAACTGGGCCAAAAATGGCCTGTACCTCTGGTTGACCTTTGAGTGTGCCTCCCACAGCCGCATCGCTACCTTCGCCTGGACGGCGGCGGTGAAATCGTGCATGATATAATCTTGACATGCCGACCGGAATCTGGGCTTGTCAGCTTCCAGTATGACCGCCAGTGCGACTTCTTACTTCGCCAATCTTTGTTCCAGATGTGTCCATGAGAGATCTTTAGCTGCTAAGGAGGCCAATACATCCCCCTCTGTACGATCTACAGTTCTATTGTGCGCGCTCGATTAGAGTATGCCACAAGACTTGAGAGGGTGACTGTACTTCAACGCCTCTTGCGTATTGTCTTCCATGATGGGCGTGGGCTGAAGGGACAGGTCATTGCGACCGTCTTCTTGGTCAGGACGAGGGTTTAGCGGAACTTGACCAAGGCTGAAGATCGAGGGCCATCAGTGCTTTCGATGTCCGTCCTCGGCTCTCTTCACAGCCGAGAGCAGATAGTAATCGCAGGAATTCTAAGCGTGGAGGTGGAGGAGGAGCAGTCGCGATCGAGGTCAGGGTAGGCCGTCTCTAACAAAGAAGTTAGACAAGAGCAAGTTGTTGCAGACGAGCAAGCGGACTTGAGAGAGAGCGCGCTTCCAGTAGCGCAGACAGTATATTTACGATTGAGTGTGGTGGTTGATTGTTGCATTGATTGGTATCTGTGCTTTGCAGTAATACTCGGAAAATCTCTACAGTGAGGCGTTAGATATCGGCGCGCAATGCAAGACCCCAATATGATGCCGGATTCAACTATCCCCTAACCTTTACCTCGTCCTTGTCCACTGCCGTGGTACTATCCCGTGCAGCTCAATGCCTCCGTACGCCAGCGCAATACTTGTACACATGGTATATCGTGAGTTCGTAATAATCCGACCGCTTCCAACGCCCGAAGTACCTAGTATTCATGCAACTCGTTGCTTCTTGAACACGTTTCCTCCGGGTTTCAAGCCGTTTGCTTCACGCTGTCGTTTTCGTTCGAGCTCTTCCTTCATGATCCTTTCGGCCTCACTCATAGGTCTCGAGGTAGTGGGCTGTAATGACTTCTTTGTGCCTGCCAACGCGTTCTTCTTCGCTGCTGCTGCAAAGACGTTCTTTGGCTTGATAGACGAACCGCCCAAGGACATGGATATGGCCGGCCGCGCAGCAGGTTGCTTTGTCGGCTCAGCCGTAGCCGCAACCGCAACCTCCGCGGCTGCAGTCTCTGGGGTGGATGGTGATGATGCGTTTTCCTTTACCGCGTCGGAGGGAGAGTCATTGTCTGACAAGGGCGGCGTGGGAGGTTTGGCGAGATCGGGTATTTGCTGCTTCTTTGCACCGAAGCTGAGAACGATCTTCTCTCCCTCTTTGCGCTTGATGCCCTGCCCTCCGACCGGCTCATTGTCTTCTTCCTCTATTGTCTCCTCGTCTCCCGAAATGTGGTTACCGCCATCTCGCCTCGCTCGCCGGATTTGTGCTTGGATCAATCTCTGCTCCCTCTCCTCGTCACCACGATCCTGTCTTTCCTTCTTCTTCAGCGCCTCCTGTCGGCGCAAGGCATCCGGGCTATTGTCGATCCAACTGATGAGCAGCGCGCTTGCGCCTGGACGTCCTTCATTCTTCTCATCTTCGTACACACGGCATATTCCCTCCCTACCCAAATATTTGGCAAACTCTGTCAGACTAGCCCACTTCGTCGCATTCATATGAATGTGCTCCTTGTTCGAGATGTATTCTTGATAAAATTGGTTGATGTTGACTTTCTTCTCCCCGTGACCGGTGCGTAGTAATTGTACGAAATCCTTCTGGAACTGGTTGGAGAAGTCATTGATGGCTTTGCGCGGGTCCTCGCCAATCAATTGCATCTGGCGTACATGCGATTCCGAAGCGACATGGCACTTGAAGCCGTTTTCGTCTCGCATCTGTCTTGAACATGCTTGACAGTACCATCGCAGCCGTTGAAGTCCTTTCGACTTCATCTTGTTTGCGATGTACTTCGTCGACCCAACTTCGGCTCGAGGCATGATTGCGGCGTGGGTCGTGAGACTTCCAGAGGAACAGGGAGGTAAGAGCCGAGATTCGAGAAGGCACGGTGAAATGACAAGGCGAAGGGATCACAAGGGGTGGAAGCTGTCTTACTTCAGCGAAGTCTACACGAATGTCGAGGTCCAAGTGTGCAGGTCAGTAGGTAGGCAGTAGGCAGGTACGCAGTGAGGGCTGCATCAAAACGCGCGAAGATCTAATCTAGATCTGAAGTGGCGTTGGAGCAGATCACGTGATGTTTGGTCATGTGATCGGTACGGCTCGTCGGGGACTGACCCAGAATGTCGGGCATCCGAGCCATTTCTTGAAGTGGAATTGAAATGTGCACAGTACGATAACAGACAGCACCTTCTTCTGCTGCTTCTTCACTCCGATCCGTTAAAAGAGTTCCCGAACATGATGGCCGGCATTTGTGGACTTATGGACGTCAATTGACCTATCCTCAACTTCAACTACGTATGACTTGAACCAACTCACCGGGTTTCACTGACCTGATCACCATGCGAAATGTGGCTTCGGCTGTCAGTGTGCTGCCGCCTAGTACGTAGTGCAGCACGGACTTCCGCAACCTTTTTCAAACCACAACTTGAACAGAACGGCGTGAAGGCGTTGAACAAAACCTTCGCATCTTTTCCTTGCACAGAGTATACCGTGGTCGGCCATCATCTGCAACTCGGTCAAGAATTTGTGCCGTACTCTGCGTTGCATAAATCGCCCAGGCGCCAGAAGATGTGGTCCGGCGAGCTGCGGCTTGATGTGGAGGCTAGAGCACCGAACCAAACCTCAACGCGAAGTTATTTACAGTCAGGCTGTGGGCTTTCATTGCCATTTAGCCGATGCTTCCACTCGCGAAGATTTGCTTGATCTTTGGCGTGATCCTGCTGACAAAACCTCAGTGGTACTTATCGAGGAGAGTAGAAAACAGTCGTTGCAGACACCGCTATCATCTTCCTGTTTTGCGCTTCGTACCACGACCTGCGATGACGTTCGTTAGATGCCTCGCTCGTCTTCCTCTCGCAGTTCCGTAGCGGGGTTGTCTGGCAATTCGGCTCTGCAATATGGACCATGGTGGTCAAGAGCGCTAACACTTTTAGCAAGCAGAGAAACTACTCGAGTCCGGCGGGTCGGAAAGCATTAAGCAAGATGAGTCACAGAAAGAATCTACGAACCGGTTGTAACAGGAACAGAAGCTCGAACATCACGCGAGGTGTTCAGAGCCCATATCTTGCAACCTGTATGACCAATGTTCCATATGCTGAGCGTGAGGACGGCAGAATCTGGTGCAGTAATTGTTACGTTGCAACTGCAACATTTTAGCAGGTAACAGCGATTTTTGGCCACTGCAGTGAGTCATGATGCTGATTAGATATAATAGTATTGTCGCCCCCTGGATACCTACACAAAAATACTCGTCCAGAAGGCGGAAAACAAAGTGAGGTGGCTCACGTGGCATGTGCAACTCCCAGGTCCAGGGATATGGACGTGACAGAGATGACAGCAATCCACAAATCATCCGAAACCCACCCACTGACAGAGGCTTGTCCCAACCAGGGCCCATGCTAAGCGCTGCTTTTCCCGGATTGCAAGTTGGTCAACAGTTTCAGCCGCTGGAACACGGGCTGAGCCGGGTATGAGAACCGCGTGTCATACATACATCACGCAGGCAGCCATGACACCTCCTCCGGATTCAAAATGAGAGCAGGCTGCATGATGAAAGAAAGCGATCTGTATCCATAATGAGGCAAACTAGCCTTTGGGTCTCTTGGGTAAGCTTGACCTAGAAGACTTTGTGTTAGCCCTTGAGCGCGGAATTGAATTTTACGTACGTCCAAGTCGCTAGGTATTCACTATACAGACTTGAAACTGCGGGCGCCTACCAAGCCGAAAGGATGTGGGGAGGGGAAGGAATACGTACTCTACGTGTACACAGTAGTACACGGTAAGCTAAGCTGCTGTATGGGCGACACCAGAACGCTAGATATTCGCTTATGAGTTGTGGCGCTGATAGAGGGGCCGTCCGGTACGGATTCTGCGTGCCACAGCAATCATTGCAGGGATCCGCCTGGCAGCGGGATCCTCGACATCACGCCGGCTGCTCGGAATTCTCAGATTGTGAGGCGGACAGAGGAAGAATTTGATAAGGAAAGGGGCAGTAACCGAGCCACTTAGCCTAAAGAGGAAAGGCCTCGGACCACAATCTTGGCAGCCGCGATCTTTGTTCCAACCTCCAATTGAACCGCTGCAACTACACACCTACTTCTCCCACATCTTCTACCATCCTTGTGCCGGCGCCTGTTTGGAATTGTCCCTTCATGCATTGTTGTGGTCTATCGTCCTCTTCGGCGCCGCCTTCCATTGCCTGTTCAGGTGTCTTTGCTTACAGCAGCTCAACCCCTGGCCCGCGACAGTTCTCAACACGCAGGCCCGGTCCCACAGGTACATGCTCCCCGGATGGGGATGGTGACCTGCAACAGCCGCCTATGAGCAGCTTTCTTTCGCTTCATACGAACATTTGCCGGGATCATACGCCATCATGCGCCGTGGTTGTTGCATATTGCGACAGGGGAAGACTCAGAAACCCGAGCTTCCGCTACAATTAATCTCTCGTTGTCTAACTTGGGCGCGTTCTTCACCCACCCTGTCCAAGCGAAATCGCCATCTCTTGCAGCATGCTTAGATGCCGGCGAGCCTATCCCTCACCAAATCCATTTTCGGAAGTGGGCAATGACTGCTATTTTTATAATATCGAGGCTGACTCAGAAGGCAACCCGTGGGCGTACATTCAATGGACGGTATGGTATGATGGTGACACCGAGAGTGTGACCCTTGCGACGGAGACCCGTTTCACGCATGCACGATCTAAATTTTTTTCATTATCACGGATACGGCACAATCGGCTACCATATTGATATCATTCTTCCAACCGGGACCATGGACTGGACCAGCAAAGACTCTCCCCTATGCAGCACTCAGGGATACATCCTGGTGATGGTTCCGCAGCCTTGCCGCTCTTTAACGGTTCCTGCATTATTACGAACAAGGTCATCGTTGAATCCTGAAGGCCCATAGCCACAATAGTTTGTCTCGGCGGCTGTTGTACACGACATCGCCCCATCACCATCCACTGGTTTCAGATCGGCCAATCGTTATTCCCACACCCTGTTATACTGTCAACGTTGTCAGTGTTGTTGGGCCAAGTCATTCCTTACGGATGGGTATCACGAATATTCTATCCTTCGTCCCCGACCAGCGCGAACTAGATTGTGGATGGTGCCTGAAAGTCTCCGGTGGACAAGCCGGCCCCGTTCCTGATTCTACCATTGCTTATCGCTTCTGGGTCACCATCAGCATCCCGGTCTACCCCTTGCCACTGTGCGTAAGCCTGATGATGGGTAGAGCAAAGCACGCGTATCGAACCTTATCATGTCTCATTCGGGGCTCCACCCGCGGTTGGGCTGGTCAAAAACTCCTTCGCCTGGTGAGGTTGCTTACTTCGTCATGCCATGCATTTGCAATTTTCAGCGCCTGAGGCTGAGCCCATCCCGTTGCAACCTCATCGAGATGCCCTGCATGGGAGCCAGGTATCTGTACCCATGGAAGAGGAAATAGCGCTAAGCACGCTTGTATGCTTTCGGGTGTGAGTACCCAGTGTGAGTAGTATGACCGTTTCATGCCCTCCCCCAATCCTCCGCTATGAGTGCTCTTTCACAATCTTCTGCACAATCTCCCATGACTTGAACGCCTCGAACGCCTATAGCACCTTCGCGGTTGCGTACACTCACTTTGAAGGGAGTTTCAAACGGTTTTCTCACCAAGTCATTCGTTCTTTATCTGCATTGCAAAATGGTCTCTAGCGGTTGGGTTTTGGGTTTTACTATTCTTTTCACGGCCTCTGTTGCATTTAGGTACGATCCGGCTTACGTTCAGTACAATCTGAACCAAAATCAGACAGCAGTCGATCCGCTAGACTACTGGGGAGAATGGTCGGGACATGAATATACTCCTTCACCGTCGAACTGGAGGTTTCCATTTTATACTCTCTTTCTTGACAGATTCGTCAACGGAGATCCCTCCAACGACAATATCAATGGCACCTCATACGAACATGACCCCAACTCCAACCAGATGCGTCACGGAGGTGACATTCAAGGCCTGCTGGATACTTTGGACTATTTACAGGGCATGGGAGTCAAGGTACGGTGGAAAATCTACAGCACATCCTGCGCCTCACTAGCGATCATATCTGACTTGTACAGGGGCTTTACATAGCTGGCTCACCTTTCATCAACATGCCTTGGGGTTACGATCAGTACTCCCCTCTTGACCTGTCAATCCTGGACCCTCATTTCGGTGACATCGATCTGTGGCGCACGGCTACACAAGAAATCCATGCTAGGAATATGTATGTCGTCTTGGACAACACATTCGCGACCCTCGGGGACCTCGTCGGATTTGATGGTTATCTCAATACCACGGCGCCTTTCACACTGGAGGAACATCATGTTCAATGGAAGACAAGTCGACACTATCATGACTTCAATATTGGGAATAACTATAACAAGACCTGCAAATACCCTAAATTCTGGCTAGAAACAGGATATCCCGTCGGCGACGATGTCACCAAACAAATGGTGGGGTGTTATGATAGCGAGTTCGATCAATATGGAGATACCGAAGCTTTTGGTGCGCCAAATCAAACTTCATCCTCAGCATTTCTAACAATTGTCCAGGACTATTCCCCGATTGGAGAAGACAGTTGACCAAGTTTGCATCAGTTCAAGATCGGCTACGCGAATGGCATGAGCCCGTCCGCCGGAAATTGGAAAATTTCTATTGTATTTTGATAGCTCAACTGGATGTTGATGGCTTTCGGTACGACAAAGCCACCCAGAGCACCATTGATGCTATGGGCTTCATGAATGATGCCATGCGCACATGTGCACGCAGATACGGCAAGACCAACTTCTTCCTTCCAGGCGAGATAACGGGCGGAAACGTGTTCGGTTCGCTCTACCTTGGCCGTGGTAGGCAGCCTGATATGCTTCCCGAAAACCTCACGATGGCAGTAACCATGACCAACAATTCAGCCGACAAATACTTCCTGCGCGACCCCGATCATGGCGCCCTCGATGCGGCGGCTTTCCATTATACAGTCTATCGCACATTGACACGATTTCTGGGTATGGATGGTAATCTTGAAGCTGGATACGATGCTCCGCAAAACTGGGTGGACATGTGGAACGATTTTCTCATTACGAATGATTTTGTCAACCCAAATACAGGCCTCTTCGACCCTAGACATCTCTACGGGGTGACAAATCAGGATGTTTTTCGGTGGCCATCTATAACCAACGGAATACAGCGCCAACTGCTCGGTCACTTCATCACTACAATCGAGCTTCCAGGAGCCCCTCTCCTCCTCTGGGGTGAGGAGCAGGCCTTTTACATCTTGGATAACACGGCCTCTAACTATATCTTCGGTCGGCAAGCGATGTCGAGCGCGACTGCGTGGCATAGCCATGGCTGCTATAGCCTCAGTTCCACCCAGTTCTACAAGATGCCACTCAATGCTTCACGACACGGTTGTGAAGACGAGGCGGTCAGCTATGACCATCGGGATCCTTCGCATCCTGTGCGCAACATTATTCATCACATGAACCAACTCAGAGAGCAATATCCCGTTCTTCAGGACGGTTTCTTCTTGCAGCAATTGTCCAACCAGACCGACTATATCCAATTGCCGGGCTCAGGAACTGTCAAAACTGAGACAGGGATGTGGTCGGTCATGCGATCTGGCTTCTCGGGGGTGCAGGATCTCAGTGGTACTGGAGCAGGCAATCTCCCAGTCTGGTTGCTGTACTCAAATGGCAATGCAACAAGGACGTATACCTTTGACTGCAACAACAACGCTACAGACTTGAATACCACAAGTTTGATCGCGCCTTACGATGCAGGCACCACCGTGAAGAACCTGTTCTATCCATATGACGAACAAACTTTGGTGGATAGTGTTCATCACCTGGGAATTAATGGCTCAACCAACCCAAATGGTTGTCTGAGCCATCTGGATATGGCGGCATACGACTTCCGCGCTTATGTTCCGCTGGACAACTGGGTTGGGCCGAAGCCTATGATCACAAAGTTCAACCCTGGCCATGACCACCGCCTCGAATCAAAGGCCAGCGCCAATGGGACTGAGAGGGTTGATATCGAGTTTCATTTCTCTGTGGAAATGGATTGCGACAGTGTTACCGATAGCATCTCGTTCAATTCAACCACTGAAATTGGCAGGACCCCGACCATTGACCCGAACAGTATTAAATGCGCCAACATGAGCAGTCCTGAGACTCCCCCTTATGTGGGGGCGATCTCGTCCACATGGTCTTGGTCTGCGACGCTTGAAGGTGTTGCGAGTGGCATACATGCGATTTCTGTCCGAAATGCATCGGCCCTCGGCGGGGAGACGACAAATGCGGTGGACCGCTTCTTGTTCAGAATTGGGCAAAGGGACAATCCCATGGTATTTACGACTAGCGCAAATTACTCGTCCAGTCTCCTGAGCAAGAGCGATAACGGGTCGCTGATTGTATCACATACAGCGGCTGGTGCCGACAAATGGCGGTACTCCACGAATTGGGGATCCTCATTCTCATCCTGGATGCCGTATGAGGGCGGACAGAGCCTGATTGAAGAGCAACCATGGTCCGGAACGCATCTCCAAGCCTGGAAAGGCACGCATGTGAGAGTGGAATACTTCAGCCGTCTGGCAGGCAGCAGCGACCATATTCAAGAGGGCGATGTGGACCACAACATTCCCAGGCGTTTTCCCCATCTCTTCCTGAACGGCCCCTATAATCAATATGGCTATGACGCTGGTCTGGACAACAAGATGAAATTGACCACCAACTCGACTTGGGAGCATCATTTCATGACAGAATGGAGTCTCAGCGGTGCAGTGGCGCAAATCAATGTTTGGGGTATCAACCCCGACGGCAAACCTGATCAGAGTTTTGTCATGGGAGATGCCGACGGAGATTCTGTTCTTGATCGGCTTTCGCCGTCATCGTTGACTTCAGTCGTCCTCAATATCACCCAGCCTCCTCCAAGACCGTATCTTGGATGGCGCATTGTCATCAATGATGGAAATCTGCGCTTCAAACTCGTGCCGTCAGGCAATATGTGGAGCCAGTTAATCCTTTACGTCCTTTTATGGACAGTCCCCATTCTCACAGCAGCCTTCGCAGTGTGGTCATTCATGCAAGCTTTCTATCAAGTCAAGTTCAATAAGGTTGGGACGACGGAGAAATCTGGATTGATCCCCGCAGGTGTCAAGAAACAGTTCAAGAAGCTCGTGGATGAGGAAGACCACCCGGGGATCCTCGCAAAGTTCACACGCAAACCCAAATTTGTTCAACCCACCGGGACCATCGTTGACCAGCAACGGCGTCGGACGGTTCTAATAGCAACGATGGAGTATGATATTGAGGACTGGGCCATCAAAGTCAAGATCGGAGGGCTTGGAGTCATGGCATCTCTCATGGGCAAGAACCTAGGGCATCAAAACCTTGTTTGGGTTGTCCCGTGCGTCGGAGACATCGACTATCCTGAAGATCAAAGGGCCGACCCGATGACGGTGACCATCTTGGGTAAACCGTATGAAGTCCAGGTCCAGACTCACGTACTGCGAAACATCACGTACGTTCTTCTCGACGCGCCTGTTTTCCGCCAGCAAACCAAGGCCGAGCCATATCCGCCCAGGATGGACGATCTCTCCTCCGCTATTTACTACTCAGCGTGGAATCAATGTATTGCGCAGACGGTGAACCGCTTTCCGGTGGACCTCTATCATATCAACGACTACCACGGCTCGGTGGCTCCGCTGTATTTGCTCCCTCGGACCATTCCTGCCTGTTTATCTCTGCACAACGCTGAGTTCCAAGGCTTGTGGCCGATGAGAACGCGGAAAGAACGTGAAGAAGTTTGTTCAGTCTTCAATCTCTCGCCGGATGTTGTCCAAAAATATGTCCAGTTTGGTGAAGTCTTCAATCTATTGCACGCTGGAGCGTCTTATCTGCGAGTTCATCAGCAAGGTTTCGGCGCGGTAGGTGTTTCCAAGAAATATGGCAAGCGGTCATACGCGAGATATCCCATCTTCTGGGGCTTGAAGAAAGTTGGGAACCTACCTAATCCTGACCCATCAGACACCGGAGAGTGGGACAAGAAGCTTCCGAAAGAAACAGATATCCAAGTCGACCCTGAGTTCGAGGCTCGCCGTCCCGAGCTCAAACGTCAAGCGCAGGAATGGGCTGGACTGGAGCAGAATCCGAAGGCCGAGCTCTTCGTTTTCGTAGGCCGTTGGTCTATGCAGAAGGGCATTGATCTGATTGCCGACGTGTTCCCACAGATTCTGGAAGCCAATCCTAATGTTCAGCTCATCACCGTCGGACCGGTTATCGACCTGTACGGCAAATTTGCAGCACTGAAGCTGGATCGATTAATGAAGCTATACCCAGGCAGAGTCTTCTCGAAGCCAGTCTTCACGGCGTTGCCTCCGTTCATCTTTTCCGGTGCTGAGTGGGCGCTGATACCGTCCCGGGACGAGCCATTCGGATTGGTTGCGGTCGAGTTCGGTCGCAAGGGCGCTTTGGGAGTGGGTGCTAGAGTGGGAGGCCTTGGATCGGTGCCTGGCTTTTACTACACCGTGGAATCCATGACAACAACGCATCTCCTTCATCAATTCAAGCTGGCAATCAAGGAGGCACTGGCCTGCAAGCCAGAAACCCGTGCTCTCATGAGAGCAAGGGCTGCCAAGCAGAGATTTCCTGTGGCACAATGGGTCGAAGACCTAGAAATCCTGCAGTCGACCGCGATTCGCATCCATGACAGGGTGGAAGCAACGAAGCATCACTCTGCAGCCGCTGAGATGATAAGGCCTAGCTCGGGATGGTCGACACCCGGCGGATCTGGCGCTGTGACCCCGCGGACACCCACCTTCCCATATTCGCGGACATCAAGCTATGTAACTTTGCATTCTCTTGCCTCTCGTCTGAAAAACCTCGGGCACAACCGTGAACCATCTCACGGCGCCAGCGAGAGAACAAGCCCCGGCGTCACCCGCTCAGCTTCGCTCGGATCTCGCAGAGGGCCCGGCCATGTGGATGCTCGAGACACAAATGATAGCGCGGAATCAAACACGACTACAACTTTGCCGCCCGTGCCGGATGTGGAAGGAGAAGACACTGGTCTGGGAACGGCGGTCACGTTGTATGACAACGATCGAGATTCGGATAATGAAGATGAGGACCATATTGGGTTTGAAGATGACTCGAGTGACTTTGAAGACGAACCCATCGCAATGCCAACGCAAACTCGTGGCCGCTATGAGAGAGTTCCGGTCCACGAAGAAGGTTATCCCCCATCAAGAGGCAACGAGTCGCCTCGCTCGCCCAGAGGGCTAGGAATGGAGCTTTCCACGCTGCCAAAGCAGAGATCTGGTGGAGGTGACAGTCCTCAGTTTCCAGCATCGCCGAGAGCTGATTCCGGCCTCCTTGCCCCACCTCCCGTTCTCTCAGAAAATCACAATCGACTGTCGAGCAGTTCGATGCTCTCGGTGAATTCTGTTGTTGGCGAAAAGCAAGACTTCATGCTTCAGAAGGTGGATCCATTCTTCACCGACAGCAGCGGCGAATTCGCACGAGTGTTCGAGAAGAAACTTGACGGCCTCAACAGCAGCAACTCAGAATCAGCGACCTGTATCGAGGAATTCCTCGTCAAGTCGGAGAAGAAATGGTTTGACACCTACCGGAACGCCAAACTTGGCCGGCATACCATCTATTCCACTGGCGCGGGCTTACAAGTCAACCGCGATTCACGGGTGCCTTCTGGCACTGCGACTGATTCCATGTACGAAGGCAGCAGTGACCATGGTTCCGGTAACGAACATGACCCGAACAACCTGGCCGACGAGTTTCTGCTGGGGAAAGACTATAGAGCCCCCAGTGGTCTCAAAAAGTGGATGCAACTGCGCGTGGGAGACTGGCCTGTCTATGCATTTTTCATGGCCTTTGGCCAGATCATCGCGGCCAACTCATACCAGATTACGCTGTTGACGGGCGAAGTTGGAGAGACTGCCGAAAAGCTCTACGCCATCGCCTCCGTCTACCTTGTTACCTCAATCTGCTGGTGGCTCCTCTTCCGTCGCTTCAGCTCGGTGCTCTGCTTGTCTCTGCCTTTCTTTTTCTACGGCCTCGCTTTCATGCTGATCGGGTTGGCGCACTATGTGTCCACGCCCCACGGACGCGGCTGGGTCCAGAACATTGGTACCGCAATGTACGCGGTGGCGTCTTCTTCGGGCTCCATCTTCTTCGCCCTCAACTTTGGCGACGAAGGAGGTGCTCAGGTCAAAGCTTGGGTTTTCCGCGCCTGCGTGATCCAGGGTACGCAGCAGATCTACGTCGTGGCTCTGTGGTACTGGGGCTCCTATCTCAACCGGCGCACAACAGACGACCTTGTCACGTCAGCCGACTCGGTGGTGTCAACGTGGAAGATTACAGCAATCACGCTGCCTATCGCCGTGCTTCTCTGGGCCATCGGGCTGCTGATGTGGTTCGCGCTCCCCGCCTACTACAGGCAGGCTCCGGGGAAAATGCCGAGCTTCTACCACAGTCTGCTGCGTCGCAAGATCGTCGTCTGGTTTTTCGTGACGGTGATGATTCAGAACTTCTTTCTCTCAGCGCCGTATGGTCGCAATTGGTCTTTTCTGTGGAGCAGTACGCACGCGTCGACGTGGCAGATCTTCTGTCTCGTCATTCTGTTCTTTATCGTCGTTTGGGCCGGCTTCTTGTGGTTCTTCGCCTTGCTTTCCAAATCCCACAGCTGGATCCTGCCGCTCTTTGCCATCGGCCTGGGCGCTCCTCGCTGGGCACAGATCTGGTGGGGCACGAGCAACATAGGTCTCTACCTCCCGTGGGCGGGTGGATACACAGCTTCCGCTTTGCTCTCACGCTCACTATGGTTGTGGCTGGGCACGTTGGATGCCATTCAGGGGGTTGGCTTGGGCATGATCCTCCTCACGACTCTGACACGAGTGCATGTCGCCTGTACTCTCCTTACTGCACAGGTGTTGGGCTCCGTTGCTACCATAGTTGCGAGAGCCTGCGCGCCCAACAAGATCGGCCCGGGTCCAATTAGCCCGGATATCAGTGGGAGCGCCGGCAATATTTGGCAAGCTTGGTTCTGGGTTGGTTTAGTGGCCAACCTCTGTGTCTGTTGGGGCTATTTCATGGTAAGTGGTGTTTCCCTGTTCCCACGTCGACGCCTTGGTGGTTCTAACTTGTTGTACAGTTCTACCGGAAGGAACAGCTCAGCAAACCTTGATGTGCCATTCTGGATTGTATCATGTTTCTTGTTGAACACGGACGCCATCTCACGGTCATGGTGACGTACCAATGTGGTTCGACGTCCAGTGGTCACTGCATAAGCTGTAATTTTAATCACTAAAAGAGGGATGCTCCTCCTCGAGCCCTGTGGGTTGGAACATGAACGGTATGTATGGGTTTCTTGTACAGAAGAAGTTCATAGAGACATGCGCGGATAGATATGCGCCCAGTGAACATGGCTCGAACATGTTGCCTTGTTGGTTCTGGGCCCTTAATCATCGCCAGTGACTTCTCGTTTGTTTCGTATCCAGACAAGAAGCCAGGCACGGGTTTCTCTCGTTCGAAGCCGGTCAGGGGAGACGAGGCTGCAGAACTGCACAATATGTCTTAGGTACTCCGCGATATGCTTTATCGATAAGAGCACGGTGGAGCAAGGCGCTGCCTAATCGCAAAAGACGCACGTAGAGTATACTTCGACGTAGTAGGTGCATCGTCCGAATCACGACGGCATCTTGAAGACCAGTCACCAAATCCCAACACAGGAGCCAAGTCTGCTGAACAAGTCGCGGTGAGGATGAGAGTGCGCAGCCTGGGCCTCGACGCGAGACCTCTTGCGCCTCTCAGATTCCGTCCAGGCACTCGAGCGTCCACCTCCAGACCGAGATGGCCGAGATGTCCCACTCGGACCTTTCAAAGCGACAGCAAGCAGCCCGTTCCCGACTTTGCCTTCGCATTTGAGTACGTCAAACCCAAACCCCTCACAGCGACCAGACGAGAGAGAGCGACAAGCGATATCTGACGAATTTGTGCCTACAGTATCGACGGCGTCCTGCTCCGGAGCGCCAAACCGATCGCATACGCGCCCGAGACGCTGCAATTCCTCCAAGCGAACACCATCCCATTCATCCTCCTGACGAATGGCGGCGGAAAGCACGAGTCGGAACGGGTGCAGGACCTCTCAGCGCGGCTGTCGGTGCCGCTGGACACGACGATGTTTGTGCAGTCGCACACGCCGTTCGCGGAGCTGGTGCACGGCGAAAACGGCTTAAAGAACAAATGCATCCTGGTGGTGGGCGGCGAGGGCGGCCGCTGCCGCACCGTGGCGGAGCAGTATGGCTACACCAACGTGGTGACGCCGGGCGACCTGTTCATGGCGCATCCGGAGATGTGGCCGTTCAGCACGCCGTTCCGGGACAGCTACTACGCCACGTTTGCGCGGCCGCTGCCCAAGCCCATCAACCCGGCCAGCCCGGACGACAGCCTCAAGATCGACGCCGTCTTCGTCTACAACGACCCGCGCGACTGGGGGCTGGACCTGCAGATCGTGCTGGACGTCATGCTCTCGCACCGCGGCATCGTCGGCACGTATTCCGCGTTGAACGGCGACCGCGCCCTGCCCAATTGCGGCTACCTCCAGGATGGCCAGCCGCCGCTGTACTTCTCCAACTCGGACCTGCTGTGGGCCGCCGACTACCACCTCTCCCGGCTGGGCCAGGGCGGCTTCCGCGCGGCTCTTGAGGGTGTGTGGCGCGCTCTGACCGAACCCACGGACGCAGATGCAGACAGAGACACAGACGCAGACGGCGACGGCGACGGCGACGCAACGCCCCCGCCGGAGCTGTACAGAACCATCATCGGCAAGCCTTTCCAAGCGACATACTCGTTCGCTGAGAAGCGGTTGCTGCACCATCGGGACGCTTTGTTCGCCCGTCGCAGCAGCCACGACACGCCCCTCAGGAGGGTCTACATGGTCGGCGACAATCCCGAGAGCGACATCCGCGGCGCAAACACCTACAAGTCGCCCCAGGGTATTGAGTGGATTGGCTTGTTGACCCGAACCGGCGTCTACAAAGACCGTCCTGGCCACCGCCCGTCCTGGGAGCCTAGGGCCATCGTCGACGACGTTAGAGCCGCGGTGCAGTATGCTTTGAAGGACAGTCATTGGCCCCAATTGCTGCAATAGCACATGAACATATAGATAATGAATACATAGACATGAGCCACACTATACCCAGCCTTTTAGATGGTAGTATGTATATATATCACGGATTCTGAGCGATCTTCCGATCTGGTCATCCCATGAAGCCACTTCTGCTTCATCCTCTGCACATCATGTCTAACACAGACTATCGCCGCAACCTACATAAGTTGCCAAAGTCAGGGCATAGACAGACCTATCGCAAATGCGCAATCTATACAAAGTCAAATGTATCACCCGCACGATCATGAATCAGTCGACCGACCCTCTCTGTGCCAACGATACGCTCGAGTTTGAGAGCATCCCATTTCGAGAACAACGCTCTAACAGCTCCCTTTGAATTGACCTGCGCGGCCTTGGCACTTTCATTTTGTGCGGAATTCCCACTTGGCAGGTTCAAGAAAGAAATGATTTCAGCCCAGAACAGCGGGTTCTCCGGGACACCATAGAAGACAATCTTCCTGACGCCCTTGATGCGGTATCGGAAATGGTGGTGGGCACGCTCTGAATACAGCAGCATGGAGTGGCGGCCGGAGAGGAAATGCGAGCGGGCGCGCATTACGTCTCGCACGGGGGTGTATTCGGAAAGAGAGCCGAATGAAAGACTGGTCGCGTCTGGCGAAGTGGACAGGTAGTTCCGCAAACGGACAAAGTCGGCGTAAGAAGGCGCGAAGAGTAATACCCCCTTTTGATGTCTCGAGTCCCGCGCCAGAGCCGGCAGGATCGTCGTGGTGAAGAATTTGAAGCGGACGTCCGAATCCTGTAGAGGATTGGGCGACGGAATGCGCAAGAAAGTCTGGTGTACGGTGGAAGGCAATAATGAGGAGATGGATAGCATGGCACCCGCATAGGTCGGGACGAGCTTGACACGTCCGGCGATGTTGTGCAGATGCGTCGATGCCAACGCGTTGATCTCGGGGGTCAGGTAGTCGGAGAAGATGATGGTCTGGCGCAGATATTTGGCCTGTCCGTCGAGGTACCAATGGCGCACGCGGGAGAAATCGCAGCCATGCGAATCTTTCGGAAGCAAGTTCAGCTGCGAGAAGACATACTCGACGTGTTGCCAGTTCTGCATTTGCAGAGCGTTGGCGTGGTCCATGATGACAAGTTCGATCGAAGACAAGAAGTCGGCGTCGTGGGCCTTTTTCTTGTCCTTCTTGCCGCCGCCTCCTGTCGTGATGGTGCGCATCAGACCCAGCGGCGAGCCGAAAATGATGTCCGAGTTGTAGAAGCCCGAGAAGTATTTGATCGTCTTCCGCGTGAACTTCAAGCCGATCCGAAAGTCTTCGTCGTGGTTGCCGCCGAAGAGTTCGCGGAAGTCCGCGGGCTTGTCCAGCCACTCGTCCGTGTCGTCTTGCGAAAACGTCTCCATGAACCGTCCTTTGTTCTCTTGCTGGTCCGGCTCGCTCAGCTTGACGATGCTGTCGACAAACCGCACGCACGCTTGCTTGGTGGGGACGATCACCAGCACTTTCGGCCGAGTGAATCCTTGGTCTCGAACGTCTAGGGCCTCGGCGTCCGACTGGGCGCTGAGTTTGGCGTTGTTCTTGAGCACCCGGTCTCTGGTTTTGAAGATGTGGTTCAAAGCGTGTAGGCAGGATAGGTCGCGCAGTTGACTGGCGTTCTTGAGGGTTCTGCATCCGCTGAGAATGTCAACGTAGTTGAAAAGCGGCCCAGCCAAGTTCTTCTCTTCGGGAGATAGCGATGAAAGGAGCCTCGAACCACTTTCGATGAGTCTGCGTTTCAAACAGAGGTCTTTGACTGATTTCACAGCAGTGCCTGGAGCAACTTCCCCTTTCCTAGAAAAAAGTGTTCGACGGACATCTGCTTCCATTGTGGATGAGTACGTCTCCCACTGCCTGTCGTCCACTTGCTTCGCCGCATCCTTCAGCTCCTGCTCCGATACCGCCGTATAGTGTCTCTCGAAGGGATCTTTGAGAATTCCGTCCTCATCTTCCGACTCTGCTTCCGCTTCCGCTGCTGCACCATCTTCGAGTTCTTCGTCTGCTTCGACCTCTTCGTCCAGTTCCACGGTTTGGTCTTCCGTCCCGGCATCCAGGGCTGTATCATGGGGAGTGCCGATGTCCTCCTGAATGGCCGTTTCTTTTTGCTTTGACTCGGTAGTGCCGTCTGTAAGTCTGCGCCTTTTTCTCACGGGTTCGCCGTCTTCCCTTGCCGTATTGAGCGAATGCAGGAGCGTGGCGTAGGAATTCAAAGGGGCCTCGTCTTCGCTGGCAGACTCTACATCTGGCTCGCTTTCGGAGTGTTCTTCTTCTTCTCCGCCCAACGATTCGTCATCCACGTCTTGGTCATTCAGCGCGGGATCGACTCTACCAATATTAGTGTCTGCATGAGTCCTCCTAGCCTAACGGGTCACTTACTCCGGTTCGTTCAGGCGCGAAAAGCTGAAAGCATCGTGCTTCCGAGGGACAGGCCCTCGTTTCCCTCCCCGACTCCCTCCTCGACTCCCTCCTCGACTTGGACCCGAAGGCTTCCCACCTCTACGTGGACGTTGACCCGGCATGCTGTGGGTTCTCGGAGAGTTCGAACAAGAAGCGAGAATCCCAGAAATTTGCAGATGCGGAGAAATCAAAATAATAATTATTTTGTTTGACCGCGACTCCATTTAAGCTTATTTCGCTAGCGGCAGATCGGCTCCGTCTAATGTCCGGTGCCAAGCCGGAGCCTTGTCACCCCTTTTCCCCTCAGCCTGATGCATCAGGTCGACCTGGCTAATGCCCACGTAGCAAATGGAAGCCACGCTTTCAGCCAGTGGTCATTTCCAACTTCTACCGTCCTCGTCACCATGGTCTTCGCCGGCGTATCTCGGACATGGTGCTACCGTCGTGTTGCTCCAAGCTTCTTGCTTTCACCTGAGGAGCTAGTCTTCAGCTTTGACCATGGTCTTGACGTCCTCTGTAGTATCCTCTGGCTCAGGTTTGACAGTTTCCTCAACCTTTTCCTGATCATCATCATCATCTTCTTCTTCCTCTTCTTTGACGAAGATAGGTGCCGATTTCTTCTTTTTTCCGGAGCTTTTGGGGGTATTGCTTCCGCTGTCCTCGGATTTCCGCTTGCGTGGAGTCGTCGCCTTTGCTCTCTTTGTAGGTGTGGTGTCGCTTGCAGGCCCGCCCAAGGTCGGATCTGCGGGGTCCAGAATCACTCCATTCTTGAACTCCAACCCGTGTTTCTTGACGATGTCTTTGAACTTTGAACTACTAAAAAGTCGGCAAGTATATTAGTAGACGCTCTCTACAGAGCCGCGAACAGTGAGAGAGGAAGGACGGGACATGTAATGAGATGAAACGTACGCGTTCCTTGCGTATCCGATGCCATTCTCCTTCGCGACCTCATCCCAGTTGGGCTTGATGGTTTCGCAATGCTTCAAGACGCTGAAAACGAACTTGAAACTCGCGTCCGTTGCATCACCACCTCCAGCCGCTGTAGATGTTTTAGGGGGCATTGTGACTTTGGTGGTGAAATATTAGGTAGAGGTATCGAGAGAAGCGGGTGGCTGGAGTTAAGAAGTGGAAAGCATACGAGTTATGCGTGGCAGAGATTGACCAGATCTAAGGGACTGATCTGGAGGTTGTTTGAATTAAGAGAAGACAGGGGAGTGAAGAGGGAAGAGTGAAGAGTGAAGAGTGAAGAGTGAAGAGTGAAGATTGGATTTGAGAGGTTAGGTAGGAAGAAAACGTGAAGGATCCAACCAAGGTGAGGTGAAGGATTTATACTGATGCCTGGTCAATCACATGGCTCGCCGTATATAGTGCTCTATTCACATATAAGTTAAGTGTCGAAGAGTTGGGACTCGGGACGGTACCGGACCCGTCTCTACGAGGTTGGCTTTTCATACGATCAATTGTTTTTCGTGCTACCGCTACAGATGCCATAATGACCAGACTCCAGAGAGCCCGGGCTACCTTGAAGGCAATTAGCATACACCTTCAAGTACCAACATAGATCCACAATATTATGCGGAGGTTAAATGGTATCCTCGCTTGTCTGATCATACTGGATGTGAGATGTCAGATCGCAATGATATTTACACTTTCTGCATATCGTTCCGGTAGCGGCCCCGTCTCATCTTGCTTTGGTCTTGCAGGAGTGGGGGATCGCTTAGCCGTGAGTTTCGTCCAACCGAAACACAAGATTTGCGAGTTTACTTCTCGACATATCTGGTACATGGGGAGTGTGAAGGCAGCGATCTCGGTGAGCATGAAATTGTGTATGGTATTCTCTCCTCTCCTACCAGGAAGGAGAGGTAATCTATCTAGTACCTAGTTTAATGGTATCGTGGCAGTCACAACCGTGACCCAGCAAAGTAGGGAAGGTACAGCAACCAGGGAAGCAAGCCAAAGTGGTAGGGTGGTAACAGGGAGTGGACAAGATCAGACACCCATCAGTTATCTCACAACCAGAGGGAAATGCACAATGGAGAGATAGTGAACCACTCCCATGAGAATAAACTATAAGTCAGTCAAAGTATGACACATCCAACTCTCCAGATCAGATGCTTTTTGCCCTCGGTCTCGGTGACATACGCCTTGCTGGAAAAAGGGGGCGAGGCTGAGAAGCACGTGACATTCATTTCTGTGCGACCGCCCACCCTAAAAGAACGTCGATGACCTGGCGCGCCTTGAAGATTATTTGGTATGTGTCATACGTAGAGGTGTGCCTAAGACTAGATGTCTCCTAAAACCAAGGTCAGACATGGCCGGCTGCGGTACAGACAACCACAAGGATGACCGGCAGCAAGCTCCACTGTCCAGTGCAGAGGATGACCACAGTCAAATACGTGACCATAAGCGCTACAGTGGAGTGTGTGCTAGGACAATCGTGATGGATCGAAAACTTCAATTGACACTGGTCAAGGCTGTTGGGAGTCAGGCATGGGTAGATGTTTCCCGGCACTTGCAGGGGAAGTACTAAAGTAGTTTTAATCATGACTGCTGGAAGTTCGAAGCTCGAAGAATAGGAGAAACAACAGGGAGAAGGGTCACTCTGAAAAGCGTGGATCTATCAACACGATCTCACTGTGCCACTGCCGATGTTTGCATGATAGCCTGCATTGTGGCAGGTCTGTAGTCTCTGGTGCTTGAATCACTTTGATGCCTGCATCAAGCTCCATAGTCCATTCCTCCCGATCCACCAGGAAGCCAGCCATAGTATTGATTCATGAGTCTGATCAGTCTGGGTCAGTTCTCCTCTGCCTTGACCTTGAAGGCTTGACCATCATCACCCATGTCTTCATTCATAGTTGCTTCTTCCTCCTTGCTGATAGCCAACTCATCCTCTTGGGAATCGACCGGTTCATCCTTGACTATGCCCTTTCTGCCGCCGGCGAATCCGATGCCCTTTCTCTTTTTGGCAGGGTTCTCGTCATCGTGGCTGATGTCACTTGTTGCCTTGTCTGCTTTTGATGGAGTCGCCTTGCGCTTCTTGCCTGGAGTGGTTGGGCCTGCAGCTCCATTGACTCCGTTCTTGCTCCCCGTCAAGCCCCATTTCCTCAAAATACCCCAGTGCCTATGGTAACTGAGATATTGTTAGCTTCAGACTTGTAGAAGTGCTAGATCTCCATCAAGGGGAAGGGTGTTGGATGTAAGATAAGATCGGATGGGAAAACTGGGTTGTCACCAGGTAGATACTCGATAGATCGATACCGACAGATCGTGTCCGGTGGACGATGATCAACAGAACGGCTTACCATGCATTTGCGCTCTTGGCGCCCATCTCTTTCGCAACCTCTTCAAAGTTGGGTTTGATTTTGTCGGCCGAATGCTTGATGCATGTCATGATGAACTTGAAGTCATCGGACTCTGTCTTGGTGGGAGCCATTGGGCCAGATTCGTGAGAAATAGGATTGTGTCTGAGTGGATGATATGTTTGGAGGAGTTCCTAGAGGCTTGATGAAGAACTGGTTCGAAGCTGTTGATTCCGAAAATGAGATGTGAGGGGAGTCGGGGGAGTGATGAGAAGTAAAAGAACGAATGCGATGAAGAGTGTTCAAGAATCGAAACCAGAAGGTGTTGCTTCAGAGGGGGTTCTCGAAGGCAGTGCAAGAAACAGGTGATCCAGGAAACAAATCGGCCTCAAAAGAGTCTCACTTCCAAGGGCACTCACTTCCAAGGGCACGTCTTGCCAAAGAGACCACCTGAAACGTAGACTACCAAAGGGGGACGTTGTGAGGGAAGATCATTTCATTCTCCTGTTATGCAGAATTGTGGGAGATGAGGCTCTTCTGCTAAAAGTGTTCGTATCGCAAGCAGTCGCCACACTCGTAGGCCCATGGCTGTCTCATCAATGGGGTAGGCAAACCATTGCTTTCAACCGAAGCCAAAAGCGCATTCAATCTCAGAACCTGGTGACCTTGGTGTCCAAGCTAGTAAGCTCGATAACCAAGAGAGACGTGTCTGCCCAGATACAACAGATGCTGTGGTCTGAGATCTGAGACGATGATGGACGGAGGCGGCTCAGGCGTCCTTGTCCTCGCTGCTCTCGGTCTTGACTGCATCCTTGTCGTCGTCACTCTCATCATCAGCCACATTGCCTGCCTCTTCTTCCTTGATGATAGGCTCCTCGGCAGATTCCTCTTTGATGTCTTTCGGAGCTGTCTTCTTGCCACCTCTCTTTGGACCTCCGGCGGTAGTAGCTTTTGCCTTACCTCCTCTGCCCTTAGGCTTCTTCTCCATAGCATCATCAACATCGTCACCTTCAGGGGCATCAGAAGCCTCGACAACAGCGACGGACTTGGCCTTTGCGCCCTTGCCTCTGGCTTTCTTCTTGGGTGGTTCTTCTGGTGCTTCCTCTTCACTGTCGTCATCTTCTGATGCCTCCTTCTTGAGAGGTGCCTTGCGCTTGGTTCCAGCTGGGGCTTTGGTTCTTGGCGGAGTTGCTGCAGCAGGGTCTTTGTTCGCCCAAGCTGCGCCTTCGTTCTCGAATTGCTTCATGATGGATCGGAACTTGTTCCTATAGGGACGTATGTCAGCATACATGAGTAGATAAAGGCAGGCAAATGATTGGGTGCTAGAAATGTAGGATAACGGTTCGAGAACCCATCCAGTCTATGCTTTCCAAAGCCGGTGAGTCGAGGTATCTGGACGTTGCATGGCGTGGATGTGGATGTGGATGTGGACATAAACATAAAAGCATAGATCGGGACATGTTGGATCTGTAACTTACGCTGCACCGCCAGCGCTCATATTGAGGTCTTTGGCAAGAGTGTCGAAATTGACGCTGAGCTTGTCTTTGCCATGTTTGATACAAGCAACAAGGAATGTATCATTGGAGACGACAGCCTTTCCACCGTCTGCTTTAGGAGGCATCTTGACGTGAAACGATGTTGTTTTGCTTTCTCTTGTTAGATTGATTGTTGGTGTGTGGTTCAGTGTGAGTGCGACAGGTCAGCCGATCTGTGATGAGCTGTGTAAATGAGAAAACCCGTTAGCGAATAAAGAAACTCGGATCAGGAGAAGAGAAACATACCGCTTGTGCTCACGAGTCTGAAGTCGACGAGGTAGATGAGGATGGATGAGGGTGGTTGGTTGTGAGAGTGAGATTGAATGCAAGAGGGTCGAAGAGAAATGTGATGGCTACTTTATGTAGTTGTGATGGTGCCGAGAATGGGAGCATATGGAATTGTGGAAGTGAAGCATGTGCCAGTGAAGATGTGAAGTGACAGTGAGCTTCACTCAGGAAAACATCATAGGGACACAAGAGAACAGTGTCCAGTCCAGACTGTCAGCCATCAAGAGCGCGTCAGACCCATCAGGGTGTAGGGAGGTCTTTCAACATGTTCAGGCTGTGACAGCAACAGCGGCCGCGCCTCCACCAACGCCAGCGTTGTCATCCTCGTCGTCGCCCTCATCAAACTTGGGCTTCTTGACACCCTCCGGAGGTGTGTCGTCCTCCGCCTTGCCGCCCTCGTCGTCGTCGTCGTCGTCGTCGTCGTCGTCCTCGTCCTCGTCCTCGGTAGCTTTGCTGGCGCTCTTCCTCTTCTTGCCCTTGCTCCTCCCATTGCCCTTTATCTTGACCCCCATGCGGCGGCCAATGCGGGAGACTTTTTGGTGACTATAGCGACGGCAGTTAGATAGATACCTAGAGAGGCAGATAGGTGGCGGTCTTACAGGTTCCGCGTTCCTACACCCGGGAGAAAGGCAGCCAAGAGGTCATAGTCGATGATGATCTCACCAACGGGAATTGATCGCAGAATGGCTTGGAGTAGTTGGGCCGTGTCATCCCCGTCGGCTCTGCGGTTAGACTTGCCGCTCCCATTGCCCTTGCTGTTGCTCTTTCCATTGCTATTACCATTGCTGTTGCTTGAGGCCATTTTGATTGTTTCTCTGTGGCTTTTCACTGTAGAGAGAGTGTGGTTTGTATGATGCTCATCAGAAGAAGTTCGAGGGACAGAGAATGAAATAGGTATCGTGGGAGAATACCACCGCAACGACCTTGGCGGCGCGTACTATCAGGGTCGCCGTCGATGATGTTGTTCACAGTGAACGTAGGTCATCGCATCCGCCCGTTGGTCGACAACGGTCTGGCTCTTTCGCAAACTGTGCGTATGCATTCAGCACCGAAAATCACCTCATCTTGAGTTAAATGTCTTCCTTTGATAATGGATCTTCGGCAGACTCCGAATCGACCAGAGAGAAAGGAACGCTGATAGCCATCCTTGTCAACAGAAACATCATCCTTCTCATTCAAATCCTCTTCAGGATCAAAGGGAGCAGACACAGACATGATTCATTGATTCTCAGGCATCAAATTCACCGGCGAGCGACTGAAAGCTGCCTGGCCACCATGACAGCTTGGTAACCCCTTCAACAAGCATTCTTACCAGTTTTTCTGCGATTGAATGACTGAATCATAACTATTGGGTCTTGGACTGGTGATATTGTTTCACCATGTCAATGTGTACACTGTTGAAGGGGTTTCTTGTCTTTGCAAATGGCTTCACTCCAACATCTAGCACCATTGCACGTCTCCCCATCTTTTCTCTATAGGAATGACCACATCCTGTACCCAGCGAACCATTTGAAAGGCGTGGGCAAAATGTCTCTGGATGCAAGGGCCAGGACGGTCAGCTTTGGGATCCGGGGAGTCCTTGACATAATTGCCTTGGATCATGCTTCGGTCATCATTGTAGGCTTGCAGCAGTGCCTACTTGTTGCGAATCGTGGAGTGCGGATGTCCTAGGAACACATTGCCATGGAAGTGGTGGCTCAGAGCAAGCCATCGTCTGCGTCACGTCAGAAGGAGTTCAGTCACGAGAGATCGAGGTCCGAGTTCGGTGGTTATCACCGTCGGTGCAGCTACGATGCTTCCGATAAGAAAGAAATGCAGACGACTGCCGCATACCGCATCCGAAGGATTGGAAGTGACCTGACTGGAAGGTTCCGCAGAACACAGCTCTGCAGCTCGCTTGCATGAAAGTTGGTCTGTCCGTACCCAGGTAGAGGTCAACCACGATTTGATTTCTACAGCGCCGACGGCCTGGATCAACAACCGCCTCCCGACCAATATCCTTGCATTCCACGTGGCTCTGGCTCTCTCGGTAAACGCCTAGCGTGATCAATGATTCGAAGTTGGCCGTGTGGGGAATGGCGAACAAATGGCGTATATTAGGTGCAGCGCCTTCTCTTAGTAGTGCCAAAGTTGACATGGCTCTGTCCGACCTGAGCCTGCTGCATTGGAGGACCAGGGGCATTCATGTGCGGGCTCTGACTGGAGAGCCACTGGCAGGGTGCCCGCAACCCAAGGATGCGGAGGGAGACGACGAGGACGGGCGTGGATTTTGAACTTGAACACAGCAGTACGTAGAAGAGAAGGAAGGGGAAGGGGAAGGGGGAACTTGAAGAAAGAGAGAAAACTTCGCAGGGGGATGCAACCCACCTTCCTCCTGCAGTTCCTGCCTGCAGTGGTACACGATGTACTCTGAGTGGGTCTGGCACGTCCCAGTCGCGCCTAGTCTGGTTTAGTGCAGGCTAATGCGGTCTAACCAGCCTTAGTGAAGTCTGGACCAGTCTCCACCGGTGTGATGTTGTTCCGTTCCGATTGGCGACCTCGGTTGAGGCTGCGCATCATAGCAAATTGGACAGTCGAATATCGTGATCTAGGGATCCAGGCGTGCGCATCCAAAGCCACTCCGAATCCTCAAGTCTCACTCCTTCCTCTTTACCGACCCTGTGGCTCCTGACCCAGAGCAATGGAACGCCAACGGGAGCGTGGCGTTCATCGGTCCCGCAAGGTGTTGATTGACTTTTTTGGCTGGACAACAGCGACGGGCCGTCGCAGAAAAGACGGTAGAGTAAGGCACAGCAGGGCTCAAAATCACCCATCCAGTTCGCCGAAGCGTGATTGCATAGTCTAGATACCACAGTGTGGCACCTGTCTCGCCATAACGTACAAGGGCACATAATCCCTCCGTTGTGAACTCTTGAACGCCTCATCGCCCACAAGTTGCCAATGGTGTGAGGAAGTGCAAGATGTGTAATGGTGTTGTTCGTGAGTCAACATGGGGGCTGATAAGCCCGCTGAAGCCTACAAGGCACCTAGCACGGGCCGTCCGCAGAAATTCGAACGGCTAACAGAGACCCAGATCAATACATGTGCCACCGACCGTGCAAGTCGAGGGCATCCGGCGGAAAATGACAATGTTCTCTCTTCCCTATCCTGTTCCCTCCGTCTCTTTCCGTCTCCCCTCCCTTCTCTCCTTTTATTCTCGTTGCGCCATGCTCCCGCCTCGGATCCAACTGGTGCCGCTTGAACGCAGATTCAAAGAAAAGGGGAACATTGGAAAGAGCTGGTACTGCCTTTGCATCAAAGAGATGCAAATCAAAAACAAGCAAGTTATATATGAGATTCGCCAATCGGGGTTTCCGGCTCATCTGTATGTGCAATATGGAACATATCCTTCAGATCTGTACAGGGGCCGCCTTGCTGTAAAAACAATTGTGTGGAGGTACTGTAGAAGTCGCGGGATCGGGAGGTGGTAGTTCGAAATCTGTGAAATGAGTAGTACGCTTTTCGAGGGTGAGGTCGTGATCATTAATGCATCATTAAGTTGTCCTTGGACTGGTTCCGGTGGTGTTCGAGCTTTCGCCGCCGTGGCACCCTTTTTCGTGTCTTTTCATGTTGCTCCTTACGCTGAAGTATTTCCCACACCCTGCATGCTTGCACTTGTAGGGCTTCTCGCCGGTATGTGAGTAGGTGTGGATTTTCAGTGAGCTGGGTCTGGAAAATGGCTTGTTACAGGTCGGACATATGTAACGCTCTTGCGTCTGAGGATAGGTCGGCGGATTGGCCGGAGGGTAGTAGTGATGATGCTGCCATGCAGGGGCCATTTGAGGATCTATTGGAGGCAATCCAGGACCGCCAACAGGTCCCGGAAAGTTAGTTGGCAGTTGGCGTTGTTGGGTTAGTCCACTATACAGAGGCGTGTCCGCTGAATGGTCGCTGTAGGGCGCTGGCGGAGGTCTTGAGGAATGGTCCTGTGGTATGGCATCTGGATGGGGTCGCGGAGGATGCGCGGAGCCCCATTGGTTTCCATCCAACAAGGGAGGATAGGATGGACCCGCGTCGCTGATGGGAGGATAGGTCGAGGGGCGCTGAGCGTAGAGTTCTGGGTTTGTACTCGCAGATCCAGGATGGTAATAACCGCTGCGAGCAGGGACGCCACTGGGTGAAATGTTCGTTGGTGAGGGTCTGGGGAAGTCGAAACTGGAGGCTGGCGGCAGTTCTGGCGTCGGCGGCGGGCGGTTTCGAGGACTTCCAGAAATCTTCAACCGATCAGGGCTTGTTGTCTGTCCCTGAGAGCCACTGGATATCCTTCTTGGGATGTCGAACACTGGTGAGGGGTCCTTCCCTGCTCGACTGTCAGCATTGGGTGCTTACGTTGGGGACGTCCATAAATGGCCAAAAACAAACCGACCCTTCTCTGCTTGCTCGGTGACCGCTTCTATGAGGCTGGAGATCGAAGGCAGTGACGGTCTCGCTTGGTTCGCCTGCGCCATCGCAACGGAGGCCAGTCGAAGTGTAGGAGACGGCGAAAGGATGCTGTGCAAATCTCGACCCGAATGATAGTTTGGAAAAAGCGCCAATGCCATAGCCCATGCACAACGGCGTTGATTGGACTACTGCATCATGCACAAAGGAGATTTGTCTCTGTTCGGGTGAATGTGCCAAAGATCGGAGGGTGTGCCGTCTGCGGTCGATGAGCAAAACTGATCAATTACTGTTCCTCGAGCCAGTCCAAGGCCGGAGGCGTGGCAGCTCGGACTCGAGAGTAGCAGGCTGGGTGCCACAGATGTACTGCTAAAGGACGGTTGACGAGGCTCCGGTAGAGTCAATATGGTCCAGAGATCTACAATGGTCGGCTTGACACAGGCGAGGACTGTGTTTATGGTAGAATGTCGAGAGGAGTGTACCTGCCGGTGGGGAAAATAAAAAGATGAAGGAAGATGTAGTTGGCAAAAGCGAGCTAGGAGATGCCGAATTGGGGAACCAGGGTTGTGACGTTGCGAGTAGCGTAGCAGGCTCAGTAGAGCATGCTGGTCGCTGCCTGACGGCAGATTTGACAACTCGCTCGGTGAAGAGAATGCTGCAAGGTGACAGATTACCTGGGTCGAGGAGGGTCACCGTGGACAAGGGCGCTTCTGTAGCCGAGCGGTGGAAGACGGTCAAGCAAGGATCGTCGACAAGTCGGGGGAGGCTCTTTTAGGGGGTCAGGCCCGGCTGACGGCGGGCTCGACTACTCTAGTTCGCTTTTTCAGTAGGAAGTCCAAAAGGACTGTCGTCAACCTGTGCCTGGCTGGCAACGGTGGAAGGCGTAACGATGTGCAGGGCTTGGTGGGAGATCAAAAGTGGGCGGGAGGTGAGTTTCGAGGCGCCGTCCGGCCGGTGGGCAATCAAGTGTAGTGTGGCAGTTGGGGGCGTCGAGCGCCTTGGTTCTTCGCTTTCGGGCGTGATCAATCCGCCTCCGGTCATTATTTAGCCACGGCGCGGCGGTCGAATGCTCAAGTGCCTAACATGGTTCCGGACGGTGGGTGCCGGATGCGTGGGTGTGCGTACTGTCAGAGGGCACAACGCGTTTGTGCGGGTGGTTCGTGCAGGTGAGGGTCCGCGATCGAATCGAAAAAATGCCCAAGGCGGTTAGGATGGGGGCACCACGAGACGGATTCGAAGCTAGAAACCCGCCCAGCGAAAATCCTGCCAGGCTGTCAAGGAGCGTAAGTACCAAGAAGACAGAGAAATAGGATTTGTGCTGGCCCCGGCTGGCCAGGTACATACCGCGAGCCTGGTAGGCCCCCCTGCTCCTTGGCCTGAAAGAACACGATCCAGCTGGTATCCAGCTTGAGTATGAAGCCACGTAATATCCCAATCATTCCTAAGCTCTCTTTCTGCGGTGCTGAACACAACTGCCAGACAACTCTTGTTCATGCCAACGGGTTGATGGGCGGAAACGGTGGGAGATGCGGTTGGCTGCCTCTTTGCGCAGAAAATCCGCATCGCCGGCGGAGACCGGGCAGCAAGGCCAACAGGCAGAGGAGATGGGCCAACGGCGGGGCTCTCTTCGGCGACAGTTGACGGATCGTGAGATTCCGCTAGCAACAAGCCCGAAAGGTCTTGATGAGGCCCGTAGAGGGGTCAAAACACACACACTGACAGAGTCGTGCCGAAGAGTTAGCATGGGAAGACTCGGAGGTAAGCAACATTGTGCGCCAGGGAGCTTAGCCAGCGGACCAGGTCCACTGCAGTGGTGGGTTCGAATAATGGAGAGCGGTTAGTCTGCAAACATTGACATCGGATGGACAGTAAACGGATGGAATGTATAGTCGAGGGAGAGAAGTGAAGGCGAGCTGAAGCGAATGTGGCCAGGTAGCAGGAAATCTGCCGAGCCGGAAAGTAGATGCTTTGTTCCTTGCCTCGCCTACTAGTAGGTAGTAGTAGGGGCTGTTCATACTAGTAGTACTAGTAGTACCTGATAGCAACAGAGGACGATCACATTATTGTGCCATTTGGCGGTAGTAGTATTGGTAACGGTGGAAAGGAACCAGTACACGGGTTACGGCAGCGGTCGTGGGAGCAGCTGCCCTGGTGGTGGTGGTGGTGGTAGTGGTCGGCGGGTTGGTGGTACTGGGAGCGGTCAATTGTGGCACCCATGTGAGGTAAGGTCTGGGAGTCTAACGTTAGCCGGGCTACCGAAGCGCGATCAGCGATCATGCGGCAAAATCGTCGTAGGTCAATCATGGGCACCGGGGGCCCATGGGTGCTGGTTGTGCTACTGGCTAAGTACTATGCTCTGTAGGCGGCAGGCTAGGAAACCTTAAAGGACAGGAGGCTGCCTGCGGCCCCTGTCCTTGACTAGTACTTAGTACTACAGGCTTGAAGAGGCCTTAACCCCTGGTTCCTCCTGGTGCTCCCTAGTCTGCCACGGGCTAAGCCTAAGGCCTGAGGGCCCCTTCGAAACACCACACTATAGACCTGACTAACGAGTTCGAGTTGTTGGGGGACACGAGGTATAGTAGTAGATGCTAACTTGACACTGTACCGGGAAACTCGGGTACAAAAATTTCTGTGTTGGCTAACCCTCAAGATTAATCAAACGTATCCATAGTCCATAGGTCCTTTATGCACGCAATAATTCCTGCCAGTGCTCTGTTAGGGACGGGATGATTTGGCCTTTGCCTGCACTTCGGGGTGCGGCGCCTAACTGGGCAGTAATCTCTTTGGACCTATTGAATCCAAAGACACCCACCTATCTAAACCTTGGATGCCGTCCCAAAGAACGTTTCTCATCGGTGTCTCTCGCCAGAGTTCGCTCTGTTCTTGTACACTTCTTGTCAGTACGTACTAAAAGGACTGTTGTCGGCGTGTGAAGATTCCAAGGAGCTTGAAGCCATATGGAAGCGGCCAGGCGTCTGAGAGGGCGTAAAGTGACAGACAGGGTGTAGCAACTCAGCACCTGCCACCGCCCGAACGTTCAGGGACTAGTCACCTACGGACCACCAACTTAACGTGCTCAACTCGCTAAGGCGCTGGTCGCCTATGCGGAAGCCCAATGAGCGACCCTCGGAGATTATGCACGGTAAGAACAGTCCAGGGAGGAACTCGCTTACTACTAGTACGTACCGCCATGGCCCATGTATCTGCACGCGAACACTCGAGAGAAAGATCTGAGGGACAAGGCCAAGGATGATGCCACCAATCCACTTAAAACATTGTTCCATGGGGTATTCTTATTATGTGTTCTTCTGGATTACCTTAGGTTAGGTACCAGTATATAGATGATATGCCTACGGCTGCCCAACACGTGTGGGGACCTCGCTGGCTGACAATTACCACTGCCAGTATGGCCCTGCCTTAACAACATGTAGTAGGCAGTTGAGTGGTTGGCCTGTGAGACTCTGGTAACGCTCACTCCGCTCAACACCCGACAACAATGCTGGGAAATGACTTGACAGTCTTGGGCTTGTGGATTAATCATTCCATGTTGTCTCGGACGAAAATGGCGACTGCTTGACCGGGGTCGAAGTACAGGCTCGGGCCTATCGTGTCTTGGGTTGTTGTCCCCAACTTGAAGGACTCTCCGGTTCGCACTTGATCGTTATTCGCAACCACCCCTGTCTGTTCCGAAGCAACGGCGCCATATTTCCTGACACCGCGCCAGGGTCGTACACTTTTATTTCGTCCTGAGGATCCCGGCAGTCCCCAGCCCACACGTGTCGATCGTGGCACACATGGTCCGCTTGATCATCCTGATCCTGCCCCAAGCCTAATGCCCGGCGGGTGTGATTTCCCACCTGCACGGCATGTGGCATCGCGGCGCTGATTTTCCTGTTCAGGCCATGGTCGACCCTCTCATCTGCTCTGCTTCCCCCTGGCCAGACGCCCTTTTTTAAGCTCTCCTTCGTTGCTTGTGCTGGTTCACGCGGGCGACTTGCGAGATGAAAAGGTACACGCCGCCCTGTCCGATTATGCCGCGGTGGTTTGAGATTCTTGTGGTTGGTGAGGTGGTAGACTAAGCATCAACGCCTACGCCCGCTGGGCACTCCACGGTCATCACTTGGAGCCGAGGACACTGCCATGGCTCGGTCCCATCATTTCCCAAACTTGAACAGAACTTGGCTGGTCTCTCCACCGTACTTGGCCATGTGGGAAAATGGATGCGAGCGTCAACTGTTACCTCGACCAGAAACTGAATTGGTCGCTAGGACGGCTGCATATTCTATTGCATGCAGCTGCACTGGCAGCTGTCTAGTTACTGGAGCACTTCTCCGTCGAACCTTCCCGTTGCTAGTAGGGTTCCAGTTGTGCGCGCGGCATCGGAAGAACCAGAGAGCTGGGATGACTTTGGCGGCTGAATTGCTCTCTTAGGCCTCAGGTCGAGCCACTCCTGGCCCCCTTACGACACAAACCCACTCGGTCGACCCAGCATTCAGGTAACATAGCGCCGAACTGACCCGCAGTCTGACTCGGACACCGCTCATGGGCCTCAATTATTCTCTAGGTGCATGATTCTCGACGCCGCGCCCAGGTAGGTGTCCAGTCTCCTGGGACGGGGTGGCACGTTGATACTAGATGTCGGTGAATCATCAGTGCCGTGCAACTTGTCGTACTACGTTACCGAAGCAGGGATGGTTGGGTTACCTACGTAAAGTTCGACTTGACAGATGTCGCATGGATTGGCCGCTCCAGACAGCGAAGCTGGAAGCCAGACCCAGCACACATCCAGCCTCCTAAGCCCACTTACCTGAGTCAGTTCTCCTTTGGGTCTGAAGGTCCCTAAAGGGCCCTCCCAAATCTCGATGCACCACGTGGCGAGAGGTACAGATTGGGAAGAACACGGGACCCCAGTCACCCAGCTCAGCTTGAAACAAGACTTTGGCACTGGCTGCGCCATCCAAGCGATCCCGGCTCCCACTGGCAGTCCAGGGAATGGAATATCTCTTGCAGTGGGTGGTGACAAGCAGCAGACGTCGCTTCGGAGCGGGCATGCCGACCGTCGAGTGCGCCCGTTGTCCGTCAGCAACAGCCTAACGGGTTATTGTGATTTGCAACCCACTGCATCCCGTTACTGTGGTTAGATGTCTCGCATATGCCCGCGCAACAGATTTTGGTGCTCTCGTATCTCCACCTGGCCTTTCTGTTCTAGGCCCATTCGGCCTGCAAGGTTCCCGACATTCACTCGGCCTCGTGTCCAGCAGCAGCCATGTGGTTCCCCTGGTAGCCCTCGACGCAGGCCAGACCACTCGGAGCACCAGGATGAGAGTTGAGAGATTATTGTTACTGCATGTTGTTGACTCGACCTGTATTATTGCTGCACAATTGACCAGACGATGGAATGGTACGTGTTCCTAGTCCATTCGCAGGCCCAGGCCGATTATACGGAGGACCCGAGAGCTTCGGGACAACCCCCAAGCACGGTGATCTGGTGATCGCTGCCGATCATGGGTACACATCACTGCCAGACAGGATGAAGGCTCGGTATTGTCCGCCATCGGGCCCTTTCTTGGACGAGTTTCTCGTAGCAAGGGAGCAAATGCTGCTTTTGAAGTGAACCAGCTGTGGTAGGGTGGTAGTACCAGTAGGCACCTCAGGTGTTCTGGAATACTCGTAGGCTACCTACCTACCTAGCAGGGTCCATGAGCGGCTAGACATATCACGACGACGACACTGACAAGGGGCGTTGAGCATGCTAAACTTTGAACATGCACACACTGCATGGAGCAACTCTTCTAGAACCGAGCTCGCCCAGAAAACGACAGTCACCACCAAGAGAGAAGAGGTCGGATGGAACAGGATAGGGATATGGATAGGGAAATAGGTCACCTAACTCCTGGCACAGGCCTTAATAGAGGCTACTAAGGTAGTATCTGGGTGTCTCTTATACGGGAAGCTTTATGCTAGCATCCTCCCGCTCGATTTCGTCGCCCTTTGAACCTTGAGCTTCTTTCAATATTGGTGAGAGACTATTTGGCGAACCTCGTACTCGCCTAGTAGTACCCGGTGTTCCCATAAATTCACACACTCTCAGAGGAGTCTGTCGGTCGCAAAGGACCGCTGCTTTGTAGTACTAGTACGGTAATAAGCTCAGCCCCAGCACCACCTGCAGCCTTGGGTCAGGTATTAACAGTTGTAAGGACTTCCCCTGTTCTTCGACGAATCAATAATACTATCGTGAAGTCGCCCTCGCGAGGCGCATCACGTCGTAGAGCCTAGGGAGCTCATTCCCCGCCTATTTCTCCCACGTGGCAGCCATCCCGGCACATCATCCCAGCCTGGAGCCTCCTTACTAGGCTGATGACACCCTTAACAAGGAAGAACCTGGTCGGTGATTACCTTACCTGCAACTTGTTTATCACTGCAGTTTGTCTTTCAAAGTCTGGCCGTTGTCTTGAAATACTAGGTAGTAGTAGTGACAGGATCCTCCACTGCAGCACTGCATCACATCATCTGCTAGTAGGTGCAGTGCTCAGTACAAGTGGCATGATTAATTCTTGAAGCTTGCGGAAATGCTTTTCGGCCAGTACCTGCAGGACTGGCACTTGATCCTAATAGTATAATAATTGGGTTCTATCAGAACCTCAGAGAGCGCACTACACTGGACGGGTGTCAAAGCACAGCACCGTACTGACGCACATTCTGTTCCCATCGGAATTTGCCAGTCGACTAGATTTTCGTCTACTAGTATGATGATGGCCTAGCACATATTACTGTTCTTACCTAGGCCTCTGAGTCTTTCCTCCAGTTGCAACCACCACCACTACTGCCTACTCTGGATCAGGTCGGGCAACCCAGGTACTTACGGTACTTACAGGTACCTAACCTCTACCTGCCTGTCTCCGGCGCTTCCATTGATCGCCGACATCAAATACTAGTACCCGTAATGGCCGTTCACAGTTGCAAGTCTGCATTAATACCTTAGGTATTTAGGTCAATGACTCAACAGCCCCGCATGGTTCTTCAGACATGACAAAATGCGACCGATGCTCGCTTAGAGCCACAAACCTCCCTTTGATGCCACGCTACACGCCATGGATTCGATGCGGGACCTGCGGGACTGTGAAAGCGAGTGTCCGGGAGAAGACGAACTCGCCTCGAGATGGAAATAGAATCCGCTTTAGCCGTTATGCCTGTGATCCTTCGACAACCTATCATGTCATGCCAGCCCCCGGTCGTCTTTGAACGTACATGGATCAGGATCGCCCTCGAACGCAAGGATCATGCCTCGTCTACCGAAAGCGGTTGACTAAGATGGAACTGACAATAATCATCATTTGACGATTCTCCTCCGCTCCTGATAGGAGGAGCCTTCGATGGAGGCTGGCTGCTATTTTGGCCAAGAGACGCGTCTGTTGTCTCAAGTCGTTGTTTTTCCAAGCCCACCGGCCCAAAATCAGAGTGCCAAAGGGGTTGCTCCAATGGGCTTTGAAGCATCCTGCATTTCCGTACCGTCTTCATCACCCTCAGGCTGTAGGAACAGGAACCAGATATGGCCGGCTTCCTGCAAGATATGAGTTTAGCCTTGGTGTAGTCGAGGACTGTGGTGTTCGTGGTGTGATATTACTGCGCCAAAGACTCCACATTCTGAATGATTTGTTCGTCTCATACTACCCAAGAAAGCAGACTGTTTCTTCTCCGAAAGCCCTTCTATCTCTGGCCAGTGGCCTCCCAACATGCGAGTAAACCCGATGCTCCCCTCGCTGACCATACCCCCAGCGGGCCCTCCACAAGACATCTGACAACGATTCGGGACGAGACGGGCCAAGCAGTCATGACAATGTTACTTGGCCCCCACAAATGCCCCAATTCACAGAGTGGTTATATCATGACAAGATCTTTCATGTGTTGATCAAGTGATGAGCAATGTCTCCTGCGGCTTGCTATGAACACCGCACTGTTTCTAGGCATGTAGAGGCTTACAGACTTCCAGGGTGGACCTCCAGGTATGGTTGATTGTGCGATCTTCTTTCAATCAGATAGGAAAGTCGACTCTGCAATGGCAAGGCTGGTTGGCATCAAAAGCCAACAACAACGCAGCTTCGAACTTATGACAACTTCGTCTTTGTGAGACTCCTTGAACTGTTGTAGCCCAGAGTGAGCTCACCATGGACAATCAACAATGATAGTGTGATGCAAACGGTTGTGAAGTTAACATGAATAGTCTTCGTGGCACTGACTGCCTTGCGCGGTTCTGTGACTTGTACACAAGGCTGAGTCATGTGACTCAGAACTTGATTCACGTGATCGCGTATTTATTGTCAATGTGAAGTCGCGCAGATGTAGACGGCAGAGTAGACTGTAGTCCAGACTTACAGACTACTGTCTTTAAAGTAATGATGATCTGACCTTGTCGTCTTTACTCTGGGAATAGAATTAGTTGGTCATACAAGAGAGTACATACAAGATTCAAGATTCAGACCATCACGTGGAAGAGCAGTGATGAGAGAAATCACGTGCCTAGGCAGTGTTGTCCCAGCGACGGCGTGTCAACAGTTACTCGCAGCATCACGAACATTGAATTCCTCTGCGCGAGATAAACTCCAGCCTTGTATCACATCATCTGCAAGGAAACTTCTACTGTAAACTCTACGCGACCAAGCCTGACTTCCTGTGCATATTCTGGTAATGCCATCTCGACACTGAGGGAACAAGCTTAACTGCGCCTACCATTTCAACCGGGACGCTCCTTCTCAACTAGCCAAAATGGCTCTTGATCTTGCCGACAACGACAAGTATGAAGTCCAGGAGATCATCGGTATACAACAGCCCTGCCTCTTCATATTCGTCCGCTGACTGTTCCAGGCCGCGGCGCATTTGGAATCATTCGCAAAGTCCGCCGTAACCGTGATGGCCATGTAAACGTCTTCCACACTCTGTCGCAAAACAGCTGCCACTAACACTACTGCCTACAGATTCTCTGCCGCAAAGAGATCAACTACCTGAAAATGTCACAGAAAGAACGAGATCAACTGCACGCCGAATTCTCCATCCTTTCGTCCCTCAAGCATCCTAATATCGTTGGCTACTTCCATCGCGAACATCTTAAACATAGCCAAGAGTTATACCTGTATATGGAATACTGTGGTGGCGGGGATCTAGGCTGCGTTATCAAAGAGCTCAAGAGAAAGAATGAATACGCCAAAGAAGAGTTCATCTGGAGAATCTTCAGCCAACTAATCACCGCCTTGTACCGCTGCCATTACGGAGTCGACCCCCCTGAACCCGGCAGTGACCTGTCGCGACAAAAGGAAACCCGGCCTCCACTCAAGGGCAAGATGATACTACATCGCGACCTCAAGCCCGAGAACATCTTCCTTGGTGAGGACCAGTCTGTCAAGCTGGGCGACTTTGGCCTATCCAAACTGATGCAATCGCACGACTTTGCTTCCACCTATGTCGGTACCCCGTTCTACATGTCGCCAGAGATATGCGCAGCGGAGAAATACACCTTGTACTCGGACATATGGTCGTTAGGTTGCATCATGTATGAACTCTGCACCAAGGAGCCGCCATTCAATGCAAACTCACATCTGCAGCTTGTGCAGCGTATCCGGAAAGGTGAATACAAGCCGATCCCGAGTATTTACTCGAAAGACCTGGCAAACGTCATTGCAAGCTGCCTCAAGACCAACCCCATGCACCGTCCAGACACGATCTCCCTCTTGACAGTGCCGTATATCTGGATTGCTCGCCGGCAGCAGGAAATGGTCACCATCGGCAAGGCTTTGAAGACTCGAGAGGAAACTGCTGAGTACAAATTGAGACAGGCAGAGGAAAGACTCTCGGCTCTCGAAGCTGACCGCGCTGCTATGAGAGTTGAGATAGATTCCCAACTCCGTCGCGAATGGGAGGTCAAAGCACGCCTGGAAATCGACCGGCAAGTGCAAATGGAATTGGACACTCTCCGAAAGAAATTCGAACAGGAGGTGGAAGGGCGTGTTGCGCATGTGCTTTCGAAGCAAACCCACCATGCGAATCTGAGGGCGCTCAGAGAGATGCAAAACCCTCCGAGTTCGGGTCGGAATAAGGAGAATCTGGATCCTCATTCCTCAGTCAACACTCTAGGGGAGGAGGACTTTCCCTCTACTACCGACATCACCGACTTGTCCGACCTGTCGCTGCACTCACCGGCCACATCGATAAGAAAGCCAGTGCCGGCAAAGAAGACAAAGACACCTTTTGCTCGCTCCAAAACCACGGTTGACTCACCGATGGACATCCAAATGTCAGAACCATCTCCCATGTCTATCTCGTCTCTCGCGCTCTCGCCACGCAGAAATGCTGCAGCGCAGGCTACGGCCAATGCCACTGTGACGGCAGCAGGCGTCAAGAATATATTCGCCGAAGCGGCACGGCAAAAGGCTCGGTGGGAGCCTCAACTCGCATCCTCGTCCGACGAAGGGGAGAATGACGACCTTGCCGAAGACTCGGATGATGATGGATTCCCAGCACTCCCTAGTCCCACCAGACCAAAAGCAAACGTCCCCAGTACTGATCCTTTCAAACAAGCTGCGCCATTACCCTTGAAGAACAGACCCGGCTTGATGAGGCAGCACACCACGGCGACCATGCAAAAGTTGACGGCAAAGCCGACCTTGTTCCCGTCCAGCACTACTGCTGCACAAGTCAGAGCTGGATTGGCATCGGCGAACGTGGGCAATGGTAACGCCAACGGCACCAACCGGCCGTCCCGAACAACGACCGAAATCGACTTCAAATCCACTGCACCCAAGCCGACGAGCCCCAGCAGACGCTTGAGCAAAATCCCAAGTCGAAGTGATCTTAGGGACTATATCGCGTCCGATGATGGAAGCACTAGCCCTTTGAGGCGTGTCGCTACCACTGGCGGCAGACTTCCTAGTAAATTGGCATCTAGCAAGGAGTCTGTCGCTGGCAATGCGGTAGGGGGCCGAACCTTGGTAGAACTGGCCCAGGCCCGCGCTGGTGGTCGTCCCCTGAGTGCCGACCCGGGTGGCAACCTTGTCTCGAAAGCAAAGACCAGTGCAGACCAGCGAGAGAAGGAAAAAGAGCTTCCTCCGGTGCCTGTGTGGGATCCCGAGGTCCTCGGAGACGACTTACCAAGTCCATTCCTGAAACGTGACGTGAGGATGCTGCGAGGACTGCGATGAATCGCAACAGGATGCGAAAAGGATGATCTGACGACATTATGCCTTGGTCCGCACAACCGACGGATCAGGTACTCTCTGAAATTAGTCCTGATTAGCCCGAACGGCCCCAAAAGGACGGCGGGGTGCCACTTTCCCGGAATCGCCCAGATTAGCGCCAGAGGATGGGCGGGAAGCGACGCCATGAGAAACGGTGCTTCTGGTTGTGTTGTTTCTTTGACAGCGTGGACATTAACTGTTTGATTCAAGCTTGAAGCATCTTGAGCGACCGAGATCGCCAGTATTCGGACACATGTGTTAGGCGTCGATTGGCATAGTTTTTCTGTGGGAGCATGAACATTCCTTGGACTGGAGCATGGAGCACACTCGATCAAAATGGCTGTACGTGAAGGTGGTGATTTGAGACACGATGGTGGCGCTTGATTGGTTTAGACCAGGACAACAAGGGTTGGGGGAGAATTGAGAGGTGATTGATGAATGTATGAGAGCTCGCAAGGACTTGATTCCTATCACAAAGTGGTCTTCGAGACAGAATCGAGACATCAGCTCTTAAAAGCCCGCCAGGGCAAATCACAAGAATCTCAACGGCTGTGTCCCTACTGCCATCAAGCATCTTCATCCCGAACTTCCTCGACCTCGACATTTCTTTTGGGCGTCTGCGTTTCAGCGGCCGCGAGAGCATCTTCGTGCGCATCTCTATCGTGAGAGCCCTCGTCGGCCACCGCCTCCATGCCCAATTCGCGTAGAAAGCGCTCTTCCTCTTCGGCCAGCTTCGCCGCGTCTACCTCCATAGCATGCTCTGTTCCTGTGCTTGAGCCTGAGCCTGTGCCTGAGCCTGCTCTCGTCTCCCGATCTGTTCGCGTGTAGCCCTGGGCCTCTAACCGATCCAGCTCTTCGGGCTCCACCAAGTGGCCGAATCCGCCTCCTTTGGCGGCTTCCTGCTTCTTGCGCACGACCGTTGGGACAAATCTACCCACTGCCTCTTTCCGCAGATCTCTGATTTGCGGAGCACTCTCGTAGGTGGTCTTCACAACTGGAGCAGGCCTGCTCGGTACTTCAGGGTTGATGGTCTGGTGCGCATTGTCCGCCTGCTGGAAGCCACGGCGGAACTCCCGCGGTATGGGAGGCGGGGTGTCCTCGGGCATAGGTATCCTCCGGACGGAGTCATCTGTGTCGCTCCCCGAAGAGTCCTGTCGACGCTGCCACGGTTTGCGCTCCCCATCGTGCCGCCGCTTTCCCAGGACGTTGCCATGATCCCCGTCTCTTCTCCGTTGCGGTGGTCCGCCGCCAAAACTGGGGGCCTTGTCCCCCAATGCTTCTCGGGCTTTGCGAATGGCTTTGAGGTCTCGTTCGAGGTCGTCGAGGATGGCCTTCTCGCGCGGTTTGATCTGGCCGGCGGCTTCGAGGGCCTTGAGGTCGTCGATCTGCCGTTGGATGCGCTCGGGGTTCCTCCGCGCCAATTTTTCGTTGCGCTTGGCTTGCAGTTCGGCGCGACTCTTCTTGATCTGTTTCGCCTTTTCCAGCTTGCGCTGCTGCTGCGCCGGATTGATCGTTCGTTCTTTATCCTTCGCCATGATGTGCCAACGTTAATCCAACGAAGGTAGGGGAACCGAATCGGTGTGTGGATGGTTTGGTGGTGCGGGCGTAGTGAGTGGACTTTGGGGCTTGTAGGACTTGGAGAACAAGCATGTAGTAGTAGTAAATACGACTCGACGTCAGACGTCAAGAGTCCGCCCCCCACAGATCCAAGCCCGGTCCAGTTCACGCCTAATAATGATGGGCGGGTTGTCTTGGTTCGTGGCTTTCTCTGCGTAAGGTACTAACGGCGTAGGTTTCTGCAGTGGGTGATACGATTGAACCCGGCGAAGGAGAAATAGCTTTCGATCGACGGACGCACGCTTCCCTGTGTATCAACCAGATCCTCAAGTTGTCCCCCTGAACCTTGGCTTGGGTCTCACCGGTCAGGACGAGATGGACTCCAGTGGTGGCCTTCAGGATGGCAGATGCAGGGCAAGGTGAGCGTCAACGACTTGAACCATGCGAGTGCTGCAGTAGTGCCACGTCCAAAGGTGCAGATAGTAGCTGGAGAGCTGGAGAGGAGCTTCTAGGACTACTCCTGCATGAACGGATCCAAGCGTCGTCGTGAACCAGTTTCAGGCCGAATCGATGGAGAGAAAGCGTCCGCCCGGCGCGTGTTTACAGAAATTCTGAGGTAGCCTTCAAGCCGCAAGCCGTAGCCAGTTGAACCCATTGGAACACCACCTTAACCCTTCTTGCTAGCTATTTCCCACCGATACTACCCCAAACGAAAGTCACCGACCACTACCTGGTAACTTGAAGGTAGTTTGTTATAGGACCCCGCCATGCATGCAGGGAAGAGAGAGAGAGAGAGAGAGAAAGAGTAGTCAGGGACCAGGGCTGAGACCAGACGCTACATTTCTTTCTACTTTCTACTTTTGACGACAGTAGCCGCGCTCGACGCTCCTACTAGTAGGGCTCCTCCAACATTCATCCTCTCACCTCCATCATTGTCTGCTCCTGACCATTGTCGCAGGCGACGAAATCGTTACTGACGGTTTCGGTCCATCCTCCCGCTCCCGAGTCCGTGGCCAGCGTCGGCCCTCTCGTCCAGTCCAAGACCCTTCTCTGCCGCTTATCGTCCTACCCCTCTTTGACCTGAGGCCGGCCACTGTCTACTCCGCTTGCCTCGCCGGCGGAAACACAACCGCCAGGTGACCGGAAAGGACACAAAAGCCACCGCCATCCCCTTGTTTGAGGAAGGAACATCGCAAGCGCTTCGTCAAATTGAGGCTCTGCAGTGTTTTGTGGGAGGCGCCCGTTGATACGTCAAGCTACAATGACCCGGCTCGTCCAGACTGCCATATTTCGCAGCCAGATCGCTGTCTGGTGTCTCTTGCACGACTCTTGACGGCTCGTCGCACGCCTATCAGCTCGCAGAACTGCTATGTTGTGTCTGGTCACCACGGGTACCTGTCGACAGCCATCTGCCTCCACGCATAGACTGGTTACTGTCCTCCCCGTCCTGTGTGGACGTCCATGTCCGCGCCTCAGTCGGTCAGCGACTCCGTCCTGGGCTTGACTCAAGCCGAGCTCTATCTCCTCCGGCAACAGCAACAGATCTTGGCTCAGCGGAGCCATCAAAGCGGTGGCATGCCCGACCGTGGCCGAGGCTCGAGCAGGCAATCCCAGCCCAGTTCCCGTGCCGCCAGCGCCGCCAGCAGTCAAGGGGTGCCTGGCCGGATCATGCTGGATCCGCACAGCCTGCAGGCCCTGCATCTGCAGCTGGACAATCTGATGAGGAGCATCCAGCGCCGCATTGGACAAGTAAGCCTGCCGGAATCGGCTCCCGATCCCGATCATCGTCTTTGCTGGACTAACTGGTCGTCGCATAGCTGGAGGAAGCTACCGAACAGTCCGTGCAGACCCACAGCAGTCGAGCCAACGGTGCCATGCAAGATGCAGACGCCCAAATCGCCCGAATGCGCCGCATCCTAAGGGAGATCGACGCCCTGGAGGCGGACTTTGAGATGGTCAAGAAAATCAGAGACAAGGTCAAGCAGCTAAGAAACCACGTCGACCAGGTCGGCGACCGCCTAGAACGGAGTCGCCCCAGCGGCCACGCGGCTGGAGGCCGTCCGCGGCGATGAACTGGGTGGATGATTGCCACGTTTTCCCCAAAATCCCACGACTACCGAAACGAACCAGGACCAGATTGACAATGATGAATGATGCGTATGGACGATTTTCAACAGGCTGGGAACTCTGCCCCTTCACTCTGCATCAGCGATCCTAGCTTTCACCTTGTGTGTATTCAACTCTATTTGGACGGCGAAGGCAGAGACGGAAGCCTCACGGCTGGACTTGGCTTACGATTATCATGTTTTACAAACTGTATAAGTACTGTGGAGTGGTTTTGGCGCCGGAAAAATTGTTTCCCAGCTATGGCTATCCGTAAGGCCATAATGACAGACGGACTTGTTCTCCAATTCCTGAGATCAGGCGAGTGTGTTGCAGGCATGTTGACCCTGTGAGGATGGTGGTTGATGATGCCGAGAATCAGCATGTGTTGACCAAAGATATTTGTCAAGAGCCTTGCGATCCGTGATGGTTATGTGGCAGAGATCGATCCTTGTGCGAAGTCACCATCCTGCTTCACCGCCCCAGATGAGGACGACCTTCCTTTCCCCCGCCCCTCTTTTGTCGTGATCCCGACCGGGAAACGTTTGATGGTGCCGCATTTAACGCATCGAATCTCAAATACGTCCGCCCATGGCTTCTGGCCATTTTTGCTGTAATTGACGACCAATTCAGTGCTTGTTCGCCCAGGCACGAGGAGCGAGTCACAGCGTTTGCAGATAGAATGCTTCATCTCGGGGGCGAGCCTGATCTGCGATTTCCGGGACACGCCACGAAGATGGCCTAATAGTCGACTTGCTTCAGATGCGTTTTGAGTGTCTGTGCTCTTGCTCTTCGGGAGGCCGGCCGGAGCAGTAGACGGATCTCGAACAATCCTGTTGATGGGAGTTGACCTTCTATTTCGGGCCACGGCTAAGTGTGTCGCAGCCTGATGAAGATAGGAGAGTCGTGAGTGAATGTGCTTGTTGGGCACAGGCGGCGCCGCGCCGTTTGCCTTGGAGGACTTTGTCTTGGCCATCGCTCCGTAAGAGTTGCTTGAAGGGCGTGCGGTGGCCACGTGCCTTTTGTTTCGAGGTCACATCTCGAAGGCCATGAGGTAGCCGGAGTGAACGAATGTAAGCATGGCGGTAAATGGCTACGATATACCACGCAACAGTATAAGGCTGCCCGACTTCAACCTGAGTGGCCCGCTTCAAGGCTTGGCATCATTGTGGCCAAGGACTCGTTTCGGCTAAACCTGTTTTGGGCTAGCCGGATATAATCCGTGCCTCTAGACTGCTGCAAACGTTGCCTCTTCGAAAACAACTTCCTCCGTCGCAGGCATCAACTCACCTTTCTTCCAACCCTCCTCATCTTCTCTGCTTCTCATCCTTCTCTCTTCTCGACCATTTCGGCTGAATCGATCGTTCACTGTTTCCCACCCTCGAAGTCGGATTAGTTTTCACGACTCGACACATCACGCGCGACACCCTTAGTACTCGACCACCCGCAACACCTCCTTCCTTCTTTCATCAGCCACCGTCGTCAAGAACGCGAGTCTATTAACCATGTCTGCCGAAGAGGATCTTATCGATTACTCCGACGAGGAGCTTCAAGCCACCGAGGCCCCAGCTGCCGCCGGCGCGACAAATGGAGCCGCAAAGAAAGGGGACTTGACAGTCACTGGCGGCAAGGCAGCAGACAAGGGTAAAGGCAGCTATGTCGGCATCCATTCCACCGGATTCAGAGATTTCTTGCTCAAGGGCGAGCTCCTACGAGCCATCACCGACTGCGGTTTCGAACATCCTTCGGAGGGTTAGTCATCCATTCCTACAAGCAAGAGTCCCTCCACGTTCTTCCTTTCGCGAAGGGTCCGTCCATCTCCAAGATAAGAGAAAAGTTGGCTTTGAGAAAGCAAACTTTCGCAAATTAAAGAGCTACACGCAAAACGATTGCCGCGATGATCTGGTTCAGAGTTGTGTGGGCGAGAAATCCTCACGCGAGGCCCGAGACAATCGGCGCTGGAGATATTTCAAGAGGCCCAAGCTTCCGGAAGCCAGGCGCCAGACAGATGCTCTCCTACGGGGGCTGTTACGTCGTTTCTGCCTTGAACTGGCATGCTGAAAATGCTGTCAGTCACGGTGGCCTTGATTGGTCTAGGCCGCCCCCGAGCCTTGGAATTAGTATTCGAATGGCAATGGCAACAGGCATCCGGGTACGCCAGTGTTGGTGTTTTGTCAGCAACACCACTATTGGGCGGCTTGGGGTGAATGGGGCGGGAATCGTAGCGCTTCGAACTCGAGGAGATGGATGGACCGATCTGCGATGCTTTTTCGTCGTCTTCACATGATTATTGGCGAGCCTCTCTAACATCAACACTTGCTGCAGTCCAACAAAAGTGTATCCCTCAGGCTCTCCTCAGCGTCGACATCCTTTGTCAGGCCAAGTCCGGTCTCGGTAAAACAGCCGTCTTCGTCTTGACCACATTGCACCAGCTGGAACCGGTCCCTGGCGAATGCTCCGTGTTGGTTATGTGCCACACTCGCGAGCTGGCCTACCAGATCAAGAATGAATACGCAAGATTCAGCAAGTACCTTCCGGACGTCAAAACCGCCGTTTTCTACGGCGGAACTCCCATTCAGAAGGACATCGAACTGCTCAAGAACAAGGAGACCTTCCCCAACATCATCGTCGGCACTCCGGGTCGACTCAACGCTCTCGTCCGCGACAAGATTCTGTCCCTGCGCAATGTCAAGGCCTTTGTTCTTGACGAGTGTGACAAGATGCTTGACCAGATCGGTATGGCTTGCCTCCTCCTTTTCCCTTACCCAGAATTTTCTAACAGGATCGCTCTAGATATGCGTCGCGACGTCCAAGAGATCTTCCGAGCGACCCCCACCGAGAAGCAGGTCATGATGTTCAGCGCCACCCTTCCTCTTGAGATCCGGCCCATTTGCAGAAAATTCATGAGAAACCCGCTGGAAGTCTTTGTCGACGACGAGACCAAGCTCACTCTTCACGGTCTACAACAATATTCCATCCGACTTAGCGAAGGCGAGAAGAACCGAAAGCTGAACGAGCTGCTTGACACCCTCGAGTTCAACCAGGTCATCATCTTCGTCAAGAGCACTTTGCGTGCGACCGAGCTCGACAAGCTGCTTCGTGAATGCAACTTCCCGAGTATTGCAGTCCACTCTGGAATCAGCCAGGAAGAACGGTATGTCTAGTGCCCCAGTCGGATAGTGGTATACTGACAGTTTTCTAGTATCAAGCGTTACAAGGAGTTCAAGGAGTTCAACAAGCGGATCTGCGTCGCCACGGATGTGTTTGGACGTGGTATCGACATTGAACGTATCAACCTTGCCATCAACTACGATTTACCTGCAGATGCTGATTCGTATCTTCACCGTGTCGGCCGTGCCGGTCGGTTTGGTACGAAGGGTCTCAGCATCTCGTTCGTCAGCAGTGAGCAGGATGAGGCCGTGTTGAAGGAAATTGAGCGAAGATTCGAAGCCAAGGTGCCTGAATATCCAGAGGGCGGTGTCGACTCCAGCACATATATGGCTTCTTAGATGATTGGCCGACTTCCAGTCACTCATCCATTTGAACCCGCATTTTCTGTTTGGGAACCTGCAATCCCCGTTCTGGTAACAACAGTGCAATAACGGGCTATCGGGGAAACCAGATGGAATGGAAATGGCAGATTGATTACTTCGGCAAAATGGGCTGCATGGTACATGGCTAGCTGACCTTGCTATTCTGTAGTTTCTGGCAGGAAATTGTCATAGTAGATTGTGACTGTTCTCTTGATTTCTTCCCCTTGTCTACCGTCACCAGTTCTGGGTTCTATATGTGGTGTAGTCACTGGTCAACCGTATAGTGATGGTAATGATGAAATGAGCCGACGGCCTTTCTGGTCGGCCGACGATCCTAAGATGCAAGATGATATGCAAGATGACGAGCACTCAGGCGTCAAGCTTCAATCTTTCCAGAAGCCTGTCGATCTTGCCAAGTAGAATCTGGTAGTTCACGGCGTCAGCGGCAAACTCGTCGCCTGCGAGCTCGCCATCCAATGTCCGCACCGCGCCGGATTGGAGAAGCGCCTCAGTTGCGGTGGCGGCGGTTTCGGGTGTGGTCATGTCGACGCCCTCATCTTCCACGATCTGAACGTCAAGCGTCTGCTGTCCAGTGTGGCGGTCGTCAGACTTCCAGTCGGTGGGTGACGCCGATGTCTTGTCCGCGATGGCCGCGATTGTTTCCGTCTGTTCTTCTTCTTCTTCTTCTTCTTGTCCCTGGCCAGCAGAAAGCGCGTGTTCCTGTTCCTGTGCCAGAGCCAGCTCCTCGTCCATGACGTCCTCCAGACCGGAGTCCTCGAAACGCAGCCTGAAGCGCTCGGACAGATAATAGCGGATATCGTCGAGCAGCTCGATCGAGTCGGTCTCCTGGCGCGCGCTGATACGGCCGGCCGACTCCTTGACCAGGTCGGCGAATTCGGGATCGTCGATATACGCTTCAAGGCGGTAGGCGATGTAGCGGGCAGCAAACTCTTCGAGACGCTGGACGCGGGTCAGCCAGGCGGCGCGCAGAATCTCGTAGATGTCCATGTCGACGTCCTCGCGGGCGGGCTCGGCCTCGGACGGCATGGCCGTTGCGGTGCCGTTGCCCAGCGTGGAGATGACGACGGCGGCCTTGGCCTTCAGCTTCTCCAGGAACAGCATGTCCGCGGCAAACAGGACGTCGACCGCCACGTCGAGCCCAAAGTCCGTCTTTTCCGTGTACAGAAACGTCAGGATGATCTCGAGAACCTCGGGCGAGCAGTCGATCGGCACGATCTGGAGATGTGTCGTCTCTTGGGCTTCGCGGAACGGAGAATCGAACATGGTCATGAAGAACTCGGAGCGGATCAGCATCGCTTTGTGGCATGGGTAGATCTTGGTTCGACGCGGTTTGCCCGTCTGCGAGCGAGACTTCTGGGTCTGGGTCTGGGTCTGGGTCTCTGGACTTGCGGATGACGGCAGGCCCTGGTCAAGGTCAAGTGGGATGCCCAGGGCATTCGTGGCAGACGGCATTAAAGAATCCTCCGAGGAGTGGTGTTGCCCTTGTCCTCCAGCCTCATCTTCGTCCGCATCGGCGCGGAGAAGGATGTCTGCAAAGATGCCATTGTCGCGATCCCACTTGATGCCGTCTGCTCTGGAAGTGTCGGTCTCGATGGCGTGTTTGAGGACATTCTCGCGGAACCAAAGGTCCATCTGGTCGCGACCCTTTTCGACCTCGTCCTGCCGCCGCTGCCTCGCCAGGCGACGGTCGCTGCTGTCCAGGATCAGGTGGGACAAGCTCTGGATCTCAAGATGCTTGCTAATGCGATCCACCCCGGCGAGGATTTCCGAGTCCGTGAAACCCGTGCCTGGCCCACCACCCGGTTCTCTCGGCAGTTCACCAAGATATAAATGCTTGAGCGCGATGCCGAAAGACGGGGGAGGAATAGTAGGCGGCAGTTTCCAGGATGGCGTGTCTGGAGCTGCGGCCAGTTTGCTCTTGAAGTAGGGCGAGCGCGCGGAGAGGATGAATTTGTGTAGGCGGAACGATTCATTGGCGGTCAGGACCGTGATGTCTGAAGTCTTGGGTTGCGCTCTGGTCAACAACAACACCAAGTGAGACGCGAGGGGTTGCAAGGGATCTGTAGATTTCGAATAATCGTATGACAATAACAGATTTCGTATCCGGTCGTTCAAGGCGTTATAAAGACATCTTTGGCCGCGAGTCAGCATGTCATATACCAGAAAGCCCTTGAGCACGTCGACACATACCTCTCGCCCTGGAACGTATCTCGTTCACATAGTGCTCCGGACTCTAGGAGCAATTGGACCACTTCGTAGTGCCCGCACAGACTAGCCTTCGTGACCGTCAGTCATTTTCTTCGTCCACAAAGCAACGGGCCAGTGGCGATGATGAAGAAATTGATATTGGGGGAAGGAAACGGCTTACCAGAATAAGAGGTGTATAATCATATTGGTCTTTGGCGTTGATGTTGGTCCCCTCTTGGATCATTTCCTGGCACACCTTCAGGTCTCCACGCCTGCAAGCGGCGCATAGTCTCTGGAAGTTCTCGCTGAAATCCAGGGGGTTGTCTTCCTTGAGGACGCCCTCCTCGATCAACCTCTTTTCGTCATGAAGACTGCGTTCGAGTTGATCTTTCCGGAGCAGACCATTTGCACTCATGGTACTGGACCTGCAGAGCACCTAATAGTCTTGGGAGGCGAATATACGCATAGACAAAGAGAGAGAGAGAGAGAGAGAGAGAGAGAGAGGAGAGATCTTCGAGCGTGAGGCGTTGAACATTCTCTTTGAAGTCATTGCCGCGGTCATATCAGACTCGAAGTCGACGCCACTGGGTGGCGGACTTAAGATTAGATTAGATCAGATATTCCCACATCGACGGTCACGTGTCAACACTTTTCTCCGCCGCCCACAACTGAACTGAAGTGCAGCATCTCAGCATCTCAAGACTGCGTGGCACGAGAATTTCACCAACAAGGCTGAACGGGGAACCAACAACGCAACTCTCAAAACCCCTGCACATCTCTCCCGCGCAACGAAGAGAGGAGACTGTCTTCCTCTTCTGCAGTTACCGTCCACGTCGACAACCGTCTCGTCTACCCAGCATGGCTGAGCAAGATGGATTCATCCACCTGGGACGTCCGCTTCCCTCTGCGGGCGCACAACCCACAATTGCCCCCCTTCGAGTCGTGATCCAACCTCAGGTAAGTTTGATGCAAACCCTCCATATCCATGACTGTGGCAGGGTGCTTATAGGCAAATCAAGGCGCTCTTCTCCATCCTCGACCACTGCACTCGCCGACCCCTTGACCAACCCCGAGTGATTGGAACGCTGTTGGGAACCAGGTCGGACGCCGACGAGTCCCAAATCGTCGTCCACTCCTCTTTCGCAGTCAGTCACACGGAAACGACAGACCAGGTCGAGGTGGACATGGAATACCAGAAGGCTATGCTGGCCCTGCACCTTCGCGCCAGCCCCAAGGAGGTTCTGGTGGGCTGGTACGCGACCAGCTCGGAGCTGAACACGTTTTCGGCCTTGATCCAGAACCACTACAGCAGCCAGGGCGAAGGCACTTACCCGTACCCGGCGATCCACGTCACTGTGGCATGCGAGCCTGGCAAAGACATCGAGGTCCGCTCGTACATTTCGTCCTCCGTCGGCGTCAGCCCCGAACGGGCCGCCGACTCGGCCGCCTTCATTCCCGTCCCGTACACCGTCAACTACAGCGAAACCGACCGAGCAGGAATCGAGACCCTTGAGAATGCCAAAGACAACGACAGTCAGACGACGACAGTCCTGACCGAGATTGAAAACTTGGAACGGTCGTTGGAAGATACGCTTGGCATGTTGGACCGTGTCTCCAAGTACGTGGAGAATGTGGTTGAAGAGGAGACGGAGCCTTCAACTGCATTGGGACAATTCCTCTTAAACACGCTGGCATTGGCACCCAAGGTCGACCCTGCGGATATCGAAAAGGACTTCAACAACCACATCCAGGACGTCTTGACCGTGTCTTATCTCGCCAACATGATCCGTACCCAGATGGATTTGTCGAACCGATTGGCGACCGCACAGTTGACTATGGGCAGTGGCGACGGCGCCGCTGCGGGTGCGGGATCTACGGAGAAGGACGGACGCAGACAAAACAGACAGGGTGGAGGTGGAGGTGGACAAACAAGGCAGAATCGAGCGGAAAGTGTGTCATTAGCGAATATTTGATTGATGTGCGAAATGATGGTTTCCATTTCAGATGCCATCCCCTCGTCCCCGCGAGGGTCCTGGCATGGTGAGTCGTCAGCTCTGCCTCGCAGAACATGATGGCTAAAGCAAGCTCCTCAAAAGCAGAAGGCAAAAGTATGGGCGTTTTGTGGCCGCAACACGGGCGCGCTTCTCGAGGCACTTGAGACGCGCTCATTCAGCGTCTACGACTTCGAGGATGCCCAGGATGGTTGTGTGTTTTCTGTTTCCCATATGAGAGAGTAACGCGGAGAGCATGCAGGCCACGGTGAGGGCATGCCATGCGCTGGCATAGATAAACAATCCGACAACAATGAGTTGGGAATGATGTCCAATGAGCAATGCCTACAACTTCATCCGTGAAGTTCGTGGCCACCTTCTGACCGCTTCTATTGAATAGAAGCTCGTCAACCAAAGCTGCGTAGGCGGTGTAGACTCTCGCTCGCTTCCCGGGAAGTGGTGTGGGTTATTTCATTTCGCTTTGCACGAGTCACATCTTCAACGCCCCGCTTCGAGCACTGCAACATCGACCTGGTCTCGTGGAGCATGTATGCACACACAGCTGCGCATAGATCGCTGATAAGGGGAGTAAAGTCGGTTTCGGCGTCGTGGCCTCTTCATTCTGCTTGCTCTCAACCGACCTCACTCCTCGGCCTCTTAGTCGCCCTCTCATCCAGGTCCTCATCGGCACCGTTCTCCCCACCAGCCTGACCCGAACCAGCATCATCACCCAGCAACTCGTCCCTGTCTCTCTTCTTTCTCCGGCCCCGGCCTCTGCCTTTTCCTTTACCCGTGCCCTCCTCGCCGACGACCTCGCCGAGGTTGACAAGATCGCCCACTGCCAACTTCGTACCCTCACGACCCTCGTTGGTGTCGAACAGTTTTTTCTTGTTGTCGATGTCGCGCTTCTTCTTGAACATCTCTTGCACGCGGCCGAGCTTGACACTGTCGCGGCGCAGCACGAATTCGAAGTCGGACAGCTTGAGCTTCGCGCGCCCGCTGTACGTCGCGACGCTGACGGCGTTGTGGCATGTCTCGATGATGAAGTCGGTGAGGATCTCGTCTAGGACACGCACGGTCTCCGGGAAGGGCTGGCTGAATGGCGTGGGCGGGTTCGTGGTGTTGGGAGTCGGGAGCGCCGATATGTATTGTCGTGACGAGTGGCCGATCGGCTTCTGGATGTCCGGGTGTGTAGGTGCTCCGTAGGCATATAGGAGGGAGCCCAGTTCAGGGCCGAAGTTCAGATTGCCCTTGTGTCGACCTGCGCGGGCTCGAGGTTCCATGTTCGATGAGGATCGGGTGTCTCGTTGGAGTGTGGTAGACGTTCTGTAAAGAGGAACTAGAGAAGGTCTGGTCGAGATAGCACGTATACTTGTTGGGAGACCACACGCTACCAAGTGCGAGTGGTTCGCCAACCAGAGATGTGCTGTCCAGTGACTCAGATTGCCATCAGCAGTTTCAAATAGCCACTTCGTTGAGTAAAGTGAGTTGGCATGGCTTCGTGGTAGTATGCCATGATCATAGTAGGAGGGAGTAAGACGGATTGTATGTACGGAAGGCTGAAACACACTGCAAAACATGCCAAGATCAGATAGCAGATCAGAAATACACTAGCAGCTCCTAGTGGTGGTTAATTGTCGGTCGTCTGGCTTCTTGACTCTAAAAGACATTGATCGGGGTCGCTAGTGATACTAGTCATTCAGTCGCAGGTCGCATGCTTCGAACCTCTCACTCCAGCCTCACTCGACCCCATCAAGTCACGATCAATCTGCGCTGCTTCACTACTTACTACAAACAGAACCCGACTCTTGTGAACTCCCCGGCGCATGAGACACAAAGACTACTACTATCAACCAGATCACGGACAGCAGGCAGCTTGACACATCCAGCCATTCCACCTCTGTTCACCTGTCTTTCTTGGACCAACATCTGTCCTTCTACCATCACTGTCCAAAGCCATGGTACGTCCTCGCCTGAACCATTCTATCATCCACCCCATCCATACATACCTAGATACCTCATTCCTCGTTTGAGATCATATCTCCTACAGTGCACCACGAGATGCCAGAACTAATACTGACAATGTCCCTTTCATCCGGCTTTGCAGACGGCAATCTTCAACTTCCAGTCTCTGCTCCTCGTCATCCTCTTGATCATATGCACATCCACATATGTGCACTCCATGTTTCCCAGTGTTATGGATAGGAACAAGGATGGGTAAGTTCAGGTGTCTGGCCCTCCTAGTCGGGCCCGGAATGGCGTTCATGGACCTCCCCTTCCCCCCCCCACACTCGGGCCCTGGAAAGTCTTCTTACAGCACGGCATGGACATGCCTTTGTCTTTGCTTGATGTGCACCACGAAAAAGAAAAAGAAACCCCCTGCAGTACCCCCGGATCTCCACGAGACCCGACGCTGGCGTGATACGACTCGATCATGTGTCCAACCTGCCCTTGCTGACCACATACACAGGGTCACCGGTATATTTTGGAAATGTGCACGAATAGGCGAAAGGCTGAGTCCATATGTTAGTATCTTTTGCGTCGCTATGGCTGTAAGTCGTCCTCCGACTAGGCACACCCATGGCTTGACAGTCATTGCCTCTCGACCGACCGAATCTTATGGCTGACTTCACATCCCAGTTCTCCATCATCCTCGGTCCTTGAACGCAAGGCTCTGGGTTTGGATCAGCGGATACTTGGGTGCGGCAGCATTGATCGTGTTTCCCACCATATGGCGTTCACAGGTGCTGAGCGAATATGTACTTAAAGAAGTGACCTTGCTAGCGTGCCAGGCACTCCATCTGTGTCATTGATGTTCCTACATTCAGGGGTGCAAAAAGGGACTAACGCTCAAACTCGCCACGAACCTCATCATAGCATAACACCTGTCGCTGAAATCGACCCACGTGGGTATCATGCCTGCTTTTGACTCCCATGCTTTGACATGAACAACTCGTCACTCATCACCATTGTTTCCATGACTCCGACAGAGCTCAAATGAAAAGCTCATTTGTACGCAAAAGGAAATTTCTCGTCGTCCTTGATCCTCCTTGCTCTCGGAGTTCCCAGTGTACGGCCGCCTCGATCAATTTTGCCCTCTATGAAGACCAGTTCATCTTTGTTCTTGCCGAAAGCGATCACAGGCTCCTCAGGCACGCCGATGAACTCTCTGATGGACATATTGACTGTGGTCTTCTCGAGCCTTCCCACTGCAAAGGGGTCAGGCGTGTCCAGCCGTGTTTCCCGCTGAATGTAAGTCTTCACTTCTACCTCTTCAAGGCGTCGATCCACTTCTTGGTGAGGGTTACCATATTTCCTCTTTTGGTCTCGACATTGATACTTCAGCAAGTTTCCGACAAGTTGCTTTCTCGAAGGCCTATTAAGATTCAGTGGCGGCAGGTATTCTTGATAAGGATAATGGCTCTCCTCGCCGGCATGGATGTTGATTGGATTGAAAGATCCTTGCTGCGGCCCCCAAGGCAATTCGGTTGGTGTTCGAACTGGATGACATACCAGGTCGTTGCTGTCGTCTTCTTCCGACTCCGAGTCCGACTCGAATATGACCCCCCGTTCCTTCAATCGAGCAACAGCCGCTTGTTCGTCGTCCTTTGCCCATACAGGTTGATCGACCTCTGTTGCCGTGGAGGAGTCGTGGCCCTCGAACAACCTCGACTCGGCTCTGTCTATCGTACTCGGCTGCGTTGTTGATGAAAGAACACTGTTCTTCCGGATCTCCGTAAACAAGGACGAAATATCGGGGGAATCGATGTCCCGATTCTGACCGAGGGCCCTAAGTCTGTCCAGTGGGACGTCATCCTCGTCTTCTATGTCGGACATTGTCACTGACGATGGCCTCAATAGTATCATTCGGGGCGGCGGCCGAGTTTGCATCAGAGGCACGTCGTCTCTATCGTCGTCCTCCTCTGCCGCGACACCGGTGGTAATTTGGTGTGGCCGGACACTAACCCGACTTCCAGATGAACTCTTCCCAAGAACGCCCGGTGGAATTTTCGAAGTACCTTTGCAAGCACTGGCAGGGCTTGCCAGCTGCTTTTGGTCGGCGCTGTCGACGATATCGCTGCTTTCGGCGCACAGCTCTCCTGTATGGCACCGTTGCTGAAAACCTTGCCGGGATTGACCGTATTGAGGGGGGCCCGGAGAGCCAAGTGTACGCTGAAGATTGCTTGAGAAAGTATGCTTGAGCCTCGGATCAGCTGAGATGAGATCGTCGGCTTCGGCCAAGGGCCCTGTTCGTGCAAGACCTGATGCATGGGAGTAATCTGCCACTTGCTTCCTACTTGGTTTCTGCTGAGTGTCACTCAACTGGATGCTCACTTGACGCAGACGCCCACCGATTTGCTCAGCATCGGGTGTGGTTGGGCAATTAGCCAGCACACCAGGTTTTTCTGGAGTCGGTGTCTTCGCCGTCCCTTTGCCTAAGGGGATTGTTTCTGTCAATTGCAGAGTATTTGACACCATCGCTCCCACAGCATTATGCATGCGCGTGCGAAGTTTGGAAGAAGGCAAGCTTAACGGAATCCTGCCCAAGCGACTGCTATCAGAGTAAGGCAAAACTTCTCTGGGTGCAATGTCTTGATCATTGTGTTCATTCGCTGGCACAGGCGCTGCTGAAGTTGTAGTTCTGATGCTGTTGTCTCTTCTCACTGTTACATTTTCAAGCATTGCCGTCCTCGTTAGCTGCTCCAGTGAGCTTCTTCCATTTGGATTGTTGTCTATAGCGTTGGCGGCTGCGTCAGATTTGGCGTTATTGCTTGCAGACAGTCGCCGTAGAGACTCTTTGGCCCGGTTGATGGACAGCGACGCAGGCTTGATTTTCTTCCTAGGGACGAAAAGTACATCCTCCGGATGGGTTCTTTTGAGCGTGTTGGGGATCAGATACTGTTGGAGAGATGGTGTTGAGGTAGGTTGGCGGGGATCTTGGGCCGGTGAATTGGTCTCGATAAGATCCGGAGCAAGATCGTTCTCGGGAAATCTGCGCACGATTGAAGGAACCGTAGTCAAATCATTGGCAGCTTCATCGGGAGCATTTGCTTCCTTGCCGTACGGTCCAAGGTTTACCGAACATTTGACACAGCGACGGGCATGTCCAAATATCAATTTATGGCAGCCTTCACACGGCTTCCTCCCTACTGGAAGAGTGCCGGAATCAGTGTCGTCTTTCTCCAAAGAACCGGTAGTCGTTGGCCGGGGTGGTGGAAATTGAACGATTGATGCGTTTGAGGCCAGTGGCGCCACGGAATCTGCATCATCTACAGCACCACTTTCAACACAGATTCCTGAGGGAAGAAAAGTGTTGAACTCCTGGATGAGTAGCCTGCGATCTCTGAGGAGATCTGCTACCTTTTGCACAATCTTGGAGAAATCGATGGAGGGGCTTTCAAAATCGTTCAAGACTTCGACAAACTTGTCAAAGAAACCCGGCTCATCAGTGCTGTGAGCTCTGACTTTCTCCAAAAAGCTCTGTGCCGCATCTAGATTTGGTGGGCGGCCATCCCCAAAGTTCAGGGGCGCAGGATGAGAGCCATACTGAACCATGTTTGCATGCTTTAGATTGAGGAGCTCGGCAACCTGTCGATTGGTTGGCATCATAGAGAGCTGAGCTGTGCTCTGGCTGTCATGGCTGGAATCAACTCCTGTGGGGTCATTCTTGTGAATTGCGGACGGCCTGTCCTCTGCTACCTTACCTCTGGGTTTGCGCGGGTCGAGTGTTGCAGCATGCGGCTTTGCCATGTGTTTGGCAGTCTTACCGGATGAACCTGCTGATGCGACAACCTCTAAAGAGGTCTGCGCAGTCTTCTCTTCAGACAAGAATTGTTTGTTGATCGCTGAGGAACTCGCCAATCCAGGATCAGATTGCACCGAAACCATGTCAGGTCGCTTCCCGCCGCCGGGGGCACTCTGGGTCCCAGCTGCTAGGTTCAATACGCTTAGATTGTCCGATTCAATAAAAGAGACAGGCATTCTTCGTGCATTCTTGGCCCAGGATGGGGTTGCGAATGATTCCGGCATAGATTTTGGGAGAACGGGGGTAAGGCCAGGCGCGCTTAGTCGCGTATCGCGTCCAGCCTGCGCTTGGGATGGTTCATCGATGGCAATACGTGGCTTCTGGAGTGCAGGGTGGCTGTAAGGGCACCCAGAATGAAGAAACCTGCAATCATGATCGGCCTCCCACCGAGGACACAAATAGCTCCTCAACGAGTTCGTGCCCTGCTTCTCAATTGGGAGATTGATTGGCTGCCAAGCGAGTATACCAGTATTTTCATGGGCAAAAGGGCAATCTTCCTCAGCCTTATTGCATTTGCGGTTGAGGTTCCAGTAATAGCATGTGAGATGCTTTCGCGACGGATATTTATCAGGGCCGATGTAGAGCCCAGTGTCTTTGTGGGAAAAGATGCATGTGGACGGCTCGTTGAGGCACTGGCCGTTTCTTCGCCATTTTGGGCAAGTGAATGCTTTGGCTGCTGAGCTTCCATGGGGGGCATCCTGTCCAGTGTGTTTATGGGCAAAAAGGCAGTGGGCCTCCAAAAGGCGGCAGCCGTGGTATTTCCAGTGCGGGCATGTGATATTCTTGTACAAAGTTCCCTGCATGGCCGTGGTGGAGGCCAGAATAGTCTTTCCATCGTCACCCGTCGGGATCGGCTGTGACATGGACGGTGCGGGGCGTCGTCTGGGCTTGTCGATCGTCTCCTCGCCATTAGCCTCCTCATAAGCGACTGATGTTCCTACACCGCGCAGGATGGGCGACGCTGGAACTCGTGCGAGATGCAGAGGGTTCGAAGAGGAAACGGATCGCATGGGTGGGTGCGCGGTAGCAGGGGAATTGCGACCGGTGCTGTCGTTTCCAAGCTCACTTCTTCCAATGGTCTCGCGTGAGTATTTCCGCAGGCAACGACCACAAACGAAATCCTCGGGGGTGGCACTGTAGCCACTCAGCATTGCGCTCTCAAATGTAGGGGACGATACGCACCTGCTCTGGGGCTTTGGAATCCCGCAGCGATCATGGTAGCCTTTCCGGCATCTGCTGCAAGGCACCAGCGGAGTGACCTGGCTTCCAGGCATCCCACATGCTTTACACACGAGTTTGCTTCTGGAAGTCACCGTTGAGGATGTGGACGCCGTCTCCTCGTTCGCAATTCTGGTAGTCCGGAGCCCGCTCATTTCCCCCAGTTGCTTGGGAAAAGCCTGTGGCTGCACGGAAACGGTCAGACATGTTTTCTCAGCCAATTCGCCGCTGCCCACTTCAAGCTCAGCATCGCCACGGCTGAATGCAAGGTAATGAGTATGGGCGGATGATACAACAATATCTGATGCCGACGACACTGCCGCCTGACGAGACGAGGCGACAGTGCTCGGCCTGAAGAAGTTGCCTTCAGACGCATTGAATGCCAAGCCCGGTCTGCGGCTTCCTCCAACTTGAACTTGAAGCACCGGCACTTCACGTTCACGTTCATCGTCATCACCATTTCTATAACTCTCGCCAGGCTCCCCCATTACCTGGTCTCTATTATGCTCCATGGTGGTCCTTTTAATACCTCCTCCCTCTCCTCCAGTGCTTCGGAGTGGAGAGAGCGATTGCCGCGTTCGGGAAGCCAAGCTGCCCTCAGTAGTATGTCGAGCGACAGTGTTGGAGGCATTCTTCGACGCGGTCCCTGTAATTGTCAAGGGTTTCATGGTATCCATCTGTGCCCTTGTCTCCTCCGTCCTCCTACCACCTTGCGCTCTAGACAAGCTCTGTGGCAACGAAGACGTTGATTGCTCGTCGTAATCATGACTTCGTCCCGCTGTTGGGTCCAATCTCTCGCCATCGTCAGAGTCGTTGGTGTAAGGGTACAGCCGCGAGCTGCGATGATCTGATCTGGTGGAAAGCTTTCCACCGCCCACCTCATTACTGTAGCGACGTTCAACGTGTCGATAGTAGTCTGGCTGTGGAGGCCGTTCTGGGCGTTGGGAAGGTCTGTAGGAGTCCCCTCTGCGAAACGGTGGAGGCGTGATTTTGCGTCTCATCGATCGGGGTGCGGTGGGTGGCTGCATCGCCCACTTGGGTTCGCTGGATCCGGCAGAAGGATTTGGCTGTGGCGAAGAGGCCGCGCTCACCCCACCAGAAGCGCTGGAGGACGGCTTGCGGGTCTGGGCTGGAATAGATTGGCCATCAGGGTTCGACACACGGTCAGTGATCAAGGGCGGAGAGAAGCCAAAGGCATCGGTGGCATTGGAGAATACTGAATTTGCTGCAGCCATGCTGGCGGACCAGACGAGGAAGGGCGAGTCTCATGTCAAGCGAGAACCTTTGTTCTGGACTGAGTCGTGCAAGAGGCCCTAGGCAAAGGATGGGATCAGCTTCATGTCGAAAAGTATTGAGAGACGAGAAGAATGGGTTTATGGCTCCATCAGGTCTTTTCAGTTTCACGGGTCTTCACTTTGGGTCATTTGGGTTGCGTTAGAGGCCAGCCAGAAACTCAATGCAATGTCCCGACAAAGAAAGCGTCTGCAGCGCGGGAATGGACCATGGATCAACGCTTCCAGCAAACCCAAACAAGCGACACAGCCGCACGCCGCGATTTACAGAGATAACATGTGCACTGCTGCCATTGACTCAAGCATCCATCTCATATGCCAGGAAGCAAGCCCCATATTAGCAGTGCTCCGACTGTGGGTTTCATGTGCACAAACCCTCCAGGTTGAAAATTCCAATGGATCAGGGAACCCCGTTCTTGCATGGTTTTGCCCTCGCAGCGTTCACAGCTTGATGGTTGCGGATGCTCGAAATCAGATCTTCCCACGCACAACCAATTCCTTTGCCTGGTACATCCAGACAGCCGGGTCTTCTGCTACCGCCAATGAAAACTAAATCCAATCCGACCTTTTACCAGATGTTCATCCTCGAAGCAAAGCAGACAAAGACAGGCAGTACACAGAGAGGCTGGACTTACCGGGAACATTTGAGGGTACCACGTGGGGTAAGACACTTCGTGCGACATCTCAACAACCCCTCTCTTCCGCTCATTCAGCCTGACTGCAAGTGCCCACCCTTCCAGCGTTTTCAACGTGTCATCATGGCGGCTGATTGCTGAGACATAACAACAGGGTTAGATTGACGCTCGGCGCTGGGCGTAGTATCTCATTCCCTTGAAATCAGCTTTCCCTGTCACTCGGCGCGCGCACCACATATAACAGCGCAGGATGCCACTTCGAAAAGAAGCTGACGATAGCAATGGATATAAGAAAAGGAATTATATCAGGAGCGGTGATTGTGTTCAACAGAAAATAACATGTGCATATACTGCAAGCAGAACAACATTCATCACGAACAGGAACAGACAAAGAAGAGGCGGTCTCAGAGTGGTTAAGCACCTCTGTCGAAGCGAAGAGCGAAGGGCGAAGAGCGACGAGGTTGGCGGCAGACAAATCAGCGAGCAGCATGAGGGGGCTGGCATCCTGTGGTTGTGATTGGTCGGTGTTCAACGTCCCCGCTTGGCATTACAAACCCTGCGATATGAATGGAGCCACGAATTGTGATGGATGTGATAAAGAAACTCGCTCACATCTAGTACATTACTGATACTACTAGTGCACAGTGGATACTGAGCGGGATTCTAGACTCATGTGTCGTGGAACCTCACTTCCGATCCGATCGGATGGGACGACCTGGTATAGTAGTCAGGGAATACTGGTGCAGACATCCGCAGACACTTCAGATCTGTACGACATTGTCCCCATGTACTGATCAATCTACAGTCTCCGGTGCCCCAAAGGTCCTCGCAGCCATTCCTTCTTCCCCTTCGTATTCCGACTCCATCACCAGCCCTTTTTGAGCCTCTCCTGTGGCTGCATCGAGTGGGTCTGGCGAGCCCAGATGTGCATCCAGTCCTTCGGGTATCTGTCGCTCGTCCAGAACATATCTCACCAGACGGGAAAGTCGAGATTTCTCGTATCGATTGAGCAGAAAGGACCATTCACTTCCTGATGGCAGCTGGCCCTTGGCCAACATGGTGCGCCAGACTCTCTCCGCCGCCCCTTCTTCCCCATGCCGCAGGAAGCCGCAGAGGACCTCGCTCCACGTTCGCTGACTAGGCTCACACAATCCGAGCTCGATCATCTCTTCGACAACCTCGAGTCCCTTCTGGAGCGTGGACGGTTGCCGGGAGAAGAATGAGATAAAGCCGTTGTACAACACGTCATGCTTCGCTGCCTCACATATGCTTGTATCTTTGTGTTGGATTAAATGTGCGATCCAATGCCACAACCTCGAGACTGGCTTCTCGTCAGATTGGCACAGGACGTAAGCCCAAATCGTAAATCCCAGCGCAGCCGGACGGGGCTCCGGTAGACGTGACACCGACTGTTGTTCAGCAGGGAGAGGTTCCGCAAGGCCGAGCTTGACCAGCGGTGCTCGATCGTACGCGCGATCGTAGATAGCAAGGATATGAGCAAAGCAGACTTCTGGCGGCAGCTTCCGGTCGAAGCAGCAGACGATGCGGACAATGTGCATAGTATATGCGACTAGATATGGATCCCGATAAAGGTCTTCGCGTGCATGAATGGCGGATAGGATCCTATCCAGTTTTTCCCGGTCCTGCCGGTCAAAGCTGTCCTTGAGCAGCACCAGATGGCTTTTGGCATCGACGTGGATATTTTCAGCTTCCATGAAGCGAAACACTTCCCATGCCACATTTGATAACCGCAGAAAGACCGCCTGCTGAAGAACGCGATTGTGCACGTTCGCATCTAGAGGCAGCCCAATCTGCATGAGACGGGGTAGTACTTTAAAGTTCCGGCCACCTTCAGCGTCCTCCACACTATCAAGCCCTATCAGGTTTGTGAGCCGGTCCAGAATCGCCTGCTTGAAGGGCTCTCTTTGATCCACGGGGATCGCGGAGAGAAGCTCAACTGCTCGGTCTGGATTACCTTGTTTGATGAAGTGATCCACCACGACCAGGATCAGCGGAACAGGGACCGGAGCAGAGTTCTGGAACACTGTGTCAATGATATTTTCGCAGTGTTCGGGACTGTTGTGCCGTAGTAGAAGGGCAAGGAAAGCACGGGGCATGGCGCCTTCAGGGAACGACCAGACTTTGGACACGTGCTTGATCTGACGGGCGAACATGCGTTGAAGGTCCGGTTGGCTCTTGATCTCCTCCCCATGGACAAGCTCAAGATAGGTGAGACACTCGCAGCGAGTTTTCCACTCCCGCGGAAGCATTGGCAGGATGGACAAAAACTTCAGAGTCATTCGCGCAGAGTCGGTGAGACATCCAATGAGGATTGAGGGGAGAGTTTTGACTCTCTGGTTCAACCCGAGACGAAGCCACGCACGCCGCAGAGCTTTGCCGCCACGTTGTCCCACAAAATGTACGGCCGCTTGTCTGTAAGCCTCCAGCTCTCGCCGTGCCCTTGACAGATCACCATCCTCAGGGAATGTCAATGATTTGTATAATCTGACCCACTCTTGCGAGAATTCATTACTGTTCGGCAGAAAGTAAGGATCCCCGCCGGGTTCAAGAGGGACATGCCTTGAGGCTGGAGGAAAGGACCATGCGTTTGTAGCGGCGCGTGAGCTCCAGGGCACCAGAGCAGAGGTTGCATCGGGCCCCGGAAGCTTCCTGTTGACGAAGCGCTTCGTCAATCTTGAGGGAAAGTGGCGCTCGCTTGATTGCTGCAGCGTGCTCAACTTGTCAGCCGCAGTGCGTTGCCCCGTTGAAGTGTTTGAACCGGGCTGCTGCGACGCTCTCCAGTAGCTGGGTAGGCCCGCAAGAACAGCATCTTCTACTGATTGTCGAGCCGGAGTAGTTTTTGCAACATCGGCTGCGCCGCGGACTATTCGCTTCGTGTCCGAGTCATCGTCTGTCACCTCGGAAGCAGGTGTGCGCGATCGGACAGCATCGGCAGCAGAAGCGCCAGTGGATTGTTCGGACGGCGGGCTAGGATCACTTGATGACTTGGGGCGCGGAAACAGGCTCTTTCGATCAATAGCCTGGTGGTAAGGATGATAACTGGGCGTGGCCGAGTAAAAATTCCGCAGTGCAATGCGGCTCAGGAAAGAGCCTGTGAGACTAAGGGGTAGGCATGCTCTCAGGGTGCGAGTCGGTTTGCCGGACATTCAGAAGTCCAGGCATTTGGGAGTCCTCGTAGGCGTTGTAGAGTGAAGGAGCATCGAACTCAAAAGCACAGAGCTGCCATCGAGTGCGCGAGATGGAGAAATCTGGTTGAGGAACTTCAAGTTGAGTTCACGGATTCTTCTGGGAAACCGCCGCCGAGGTTTATCCGCATCTGGCCCAAAGTCTCTAGAAACTGGCTGCAAGTCCGTCACGACGGCTGTGTATGCCTCACTCTGCTCCGTATTGCAAGACACAACTTGTTCGACTCCTCAACCTCCACGAATATCGGATCGTCTGCTCGATGTCGGCGACTCATACAAGCCTCGACGCTGCGGCCGTCGACCGCAAAGCGCGCCTCGCGAAACTTGCTTCTCTAAAGCGCAAACAACCAGAATCCGATGCTCCGGCATCGACTGTGAAAGACACGGAACAACAAGATGACAATGATACATCAGTCGCAGAAAAATATCTTTCGGGACGAAACTACGATCTAGCCTCGAAGAATGCTAAATTGGGGTTTGAGAATGCGCCCACCGCCAACGTCGAGACTTTGGAAGAACGGGCGGAACGCATAGCCGCATCCACCGCGGAACAAGCTGCTAAGGAGGAGACAGAGGCGGATAAGGGCATCGACCTATTCAAGCTGCAGCCCAAAAAACCCAACTGGGATTTGAAGAGAGATTTGGCAGAAAAGATGAAAATCCTCGATGTTCGAACACAGAATGCAATCGCCAGGCTGGTGAGGGAGCGAATAGAAAACGCAAAGAAAAATGCCGTGAGTCAGGGCGGGACTGCCTATTCCAACGAGAGCGGCGACCAAGGCGAAGAAGTTGGTATAGAAGGCAATACACTTGTCGAGGGCATACATCAGCGGGAACAGGAGGAGGAGCGCGAGGCTGCCCTTGGAGACGAAGAGGATGTCCCCTGATCTGCTCGAACGGAAAAGTTACGCCTGAGATTTGGATTACCCCATATTCTCATACTTATCGATCGCTAGAGCCCTTACTGGAGGGCTGTTGAAACTGGGCCATGACGTGAAATCGAAATGGTTGATACCCTCGTACCTCAGCTTGCCATTCTAGGCATGTGCTGTCAGCCGGCGGGCGGTAGCTTCTGGGCGGGATCACCCACATAGCCCAGGCGATCTCCAACGATTCCGTCAAACTGGCTTTTGCAACGCGCTGCACCCGTTTCACTGGAGATTGGCAATCCTGGGTGGGCGCGCCGCTCACTCTCGCCTGTTAGGCGGTGCACAGATTCGAAGTACGAAGGGAAAGCCGAGAGAGACAGGCACGAGCGAGACCGGGAGATGGTTCGTTCTGTTCTGCGGTCCTGGCAGTTATTAGCCAAACGAGCTGGGAGCCCTCCAACCGGCGAGAAGCCCATGTGAACACACAAGAACTAATTGAGTGTCAGAATGTATTAATGGAACGAATGAAGCATGGTTAAGGCATCAAATACATTTTGCTCAGAGGTTCAGCCGCATCCAAGACTGTCGTCCGGCCTTCAATGCTGCCTCCAGGGCCCTTGCGAAGTGAAAAGATACATATCCCAGGCAGTTGAATGCATAGTTGGTTGGTAGCAGAAAAATATGATAACAGTGTCAGATGTGGTCAATCACATATTCATCGCCTGCGTCAAAGCCAATCGTTTGCTATACGGACTCAAACTGCGCTCTCGCCGTGACGGACCATGATGCTCTTGAGGAATTCTGAATCCTCTTGGGCTCCGTGAGCCGTGATTGCTCCCGTGAGGTTGCACATGCCGATAACGAGTGCCGGCGCGATCATCGAAGTCATTGTCCGAGTCGTCTAATGACCTCCTGTCCTTGGTGATCTGACTCTTGTCCATGCTCGGACTGTTGGTCCTACTGCGGTGGCTCCCGCGACGTTTTGAATTGGGCCTGCCTCGATCGATCGGACTTATGGTTCTATGCCGGCGGCTTTTCCGGTGGGAGCCTGGCATTCCGGGAGGCGACCTGGGTGACCGAGAGTATGAACTGGAAACAGACCGGTGTCTTCGCTTACGGGATGAATTGGCTGCTGCCGTCCCTAAGCGCGCGGGGCTCGCTCTGTCTCTGTTGGGCCGTTGGTGGTCTCTGCTTCGCGGAGGCGTGGCTGAGCGAGATTTGCTAGTGGATATAGTTGAAACTGAGCTTGAAGAATGCGCAGACAGCGAACGTGACCTTGCATGAGGACTCTGAGATCGACTTCGTCGGTCTGGTTCAGGAGTGCCGCTGGCCTTCCGTCGTGCCTCTGCTTCGGCCAATTGCTGGTCTGCCACTCCCTCACTAAAAAACTGTCAGTAGGCGTTCTGAGGCATCGCGAAAAGCCGTTCATCACACCTATTGAGCAAGCTGTTGGCCGTGCTGTCCGTGAGTTTTGGCATAAGCTTTGGATTGAGTAGTTGTTGTGTCCTTGACGGTCTCGGGGCGTACGGTCTCTCTTGCACACTCGCCTTACACTCATAACTGTAGTGGCTTAATGATCAGTTAGCGACGTCGCGTCAGATGGTATGGTGTCACTCATAACATATCTTTTTTGAGACATTTCTGGCAGACTGTGGAGGCTGTCGCCTTGGGCCGTCCGAGGCCGGGAATTGTGCGATATCGATTCATTGAACACAGAATAGTCGAGAGCGGTAATACGAGGGGACCCCTCGATCCGAGGAGATGGCTTCTCCGGGATGTAGGTCCTTTGTAAGAGGATGACAGAAGGGATGCAATTTCCAACAGGCTATTGGGAGAATGCTCTGTAGAGAAAATACTATCTATGCCTTGATGACGGGTTGCAGATGTATGGTGTGCAGTGGATGATAACAGAGCCTCAACACGTCTATCCAGGGTCAGACTCACAAACAGCACACTCGTAAAGGGCAGGCAGACTCCAATCGGGGTGTTACTAACGGCGAGATTGACCGACTCGAGGACCGTGGTTGCACTGTCGTTGGTGGCAGCAGCGAGGCAGACACCTCCTTATCGGACTTTGTGCTGCGCCGTAGGGTCGATAATGGGTGGCACACCAGTACTAATAGTGTAGTAGGTATTCACAGTGCTAGTACTACTACTAGTATGTTAAAGGCTGTAGAGGGTCGTTGGCGTAACAAATTTCTATTGAATGCCAGTACTTTAGTATGAGTAGGTAGTACTTAAGTACCTTAATACTAGTAACATGATACGACTAATAACTCTGTACGTAGTAACATTTCCTACCGCAGCCTCTTGGCATTCTCGAACCTCACGGATTTTGGATTGCACCCTACTACATACTATGTCACGCATCTCCCGCCCTGCATCTTCCACCTCACCACTCTAACCCTCTGTCATTCCAGCTCCTAGGGCATGGTGGACTAGAGGACGTCGTATCCAGTTGTCAGACTAGCTCTCCCTCGCAGAGTTCGCACCTTCATCAGCGCCCCATCATCCGCGAAATTTGCCCTCGGGCTGTTTGTTGGACAATTAATTGCCTTCTTCCAGCGGTTTCAAACCCGTTTCTCTCTGCGAGATCGACGCATCGCAGTATCCGACCTGTCTTTGTCCTTTGTTCGCCCCTGGCATCTCAGGTACATCGCTGCGACCACCTGGGTGGAAAACATTCTCTCGTGGCCGTCTTGACCACAGTTCACGGCAATTACGCTACATTCGAAGCCCTCAGACCTCCTCGTCGAATCCATGGAGCCTTTTCGGTCGCGCTCTGCAGGCTCGCTTGATGGGCAAGAGATTGTGTGAGACAGCGGACAGAGAAGGTGTAGCGTTGGCTTTCGCTCCTACATTACACATTCATTTCCAGTCCTCAGCTTGGTAGCCTTACTTCGCGCTGTTGGATACGACGTGACGAATCTCCTTGGGCAATATGGCGTCTCCTCAGGTTGGCTCGGTTCCAGCGAAGTTGTCGTTTGCAAAGGTCTGTCCAATGTTCTCTCTCTGTCATTCCATTATTGACATGTCTTAGGTTGCTGCTATGCGTGTACCTGCTGCTCAATCAGCGACACCTAATCCTTCCGATGGATCGAGAACCCGTCCCTTTGAGGGTAACGGCCGGCATAATGCGAAGGCAAACAATGCTGTACGCCCCGCTTCTCCAGAAAAGCGAGCAGACGGACCACCGCTTGGGGCTCGGGAACAACGCACCCAATCTGAATATGTAACGAATGCGATTCAAGGTCTCTCCCTTGGGAAGACCCCAACGATGCCGTCCAGAGGTCCTCAAAGTGCGGAGAGCGGAGAATCCCTGGAGGATGATCAATCCCACCTCTCCACTTCCTCGACTAAGCAGCAAAGTTTTGATACCAAGAGTATGGCTTCCGTAACAACTTTTGCGATGGACGAAAAAGAGAGTATCCGTCCCGATGACAGTGCAAGTGTCCGAGCAGCGGATGATGACGAGACCCCGAACGCCGCAAGCAGAGAATCAAGTTTGCACCGCGATTCAGAGCCTCTAGTATCAGGCCAACAGCCAGCCCTTCGACCTAACGCTTCCGGCGTCACCATCGCAGCGCGCCGTTACCAAACCTTGACCTTGACAAACACCCCCCGTTTTGGTGATCTGCCTGTTGCTCCCCTTGTCCAAGAACAAAATGCACAGCAGGCAGGGTCGGGAAGCTCGATCATGCAACCTGATTCAGATGAGCGAGTATCGGCACTCCCTGTTGCACCTGACGAGAAGTTACTGGATGCTTTGGCAAGTCCGAAGGACCGTCTACCTCTGCTACAGCTGGAAGAGAAATTCATTGGGTTTATTGCTAATCCAGAGTAAGTCTCCAGACTTTTGGAAGGCCACATTCGCTGATCGTGAATAGGAGCGACTTTCTTGACCTGCCTCCGCAAAATTCCTTCGCCAGACTCCTCTCCCACAAGCTCGCGGATTACTATTCTCTTGCGCATCATATCAATGACGATGGCACTTCGATCCGCCTCTTCAGGACTCCTTGTGCGTCTTTGTGAGTTGCTACCATTATCTCTTCAATTGCCAGCCACTGATTCGGAAGTAGGCCGACTCCATTGCATGTTTTAGCTCAATCCATTCCTGCGAGTCAAGCGCAGGCTCCTGCAGCTACAGGTGTAAAAATCATGCGCAGGGGTGGATTGGCCCTGCGTCAAGGGTCTGCTGGTGGCAGCACTCCTGCAAGCTCCTCTGTCCCATCGAAAGCGACCTCGGAAGCTGGCCTGGACATAGGTGTCGAAGAAGGCCTCATGTTTCCTGCCGATGGGACCCCGAACAAGGATAAGTCCAAACTGACCAGGGAAGAGCGAGAAGCCCAGTACAAAGCAGCGAGAGAAAGAATCTTTGGCGATTTTCAGGAGTCGGTGACCAGCGAGAGCGCTTCAACTGGAGAAAACTCGGCTAGTATGTCTCGATCGAGCTCGTCCAGCGGAAAGAGAAAATCGCGGAAGCACAAAACCCCAAAGGACGACAGTTTCGAGGCACGCTCAGCATTTATTCCTAGCTATGCGCCTCTGCACATGCAACACATGCCAGCGCATTATCAGCCCCAATATGCCGAGCAAGCCTATCAAGCCCCCTATCAAAGCCCGCCCAACGGATACGGCACGGGCTACAACTATGGAACCACTCCCACTCAGTCTTATCCTAGCTTTGAGCCATCCATGCCGTACAACAGCAATAACTTGGGATACATGGCCAGCAACAGCCAGCAATTCGCTCCCTCGGACTCGTGGTCGTCGATGCAAACGCCTTCGTCTGCGGAATGCTTTAACTATTCTGCATCTTCCACTGGCTATCAGCAGAACATTTCACCGATGATGAACCAAGCAACCGGTCAATTTATGTCACCAACTTATCCTGGAATGCAACAGCCCCAGAACTGGATGAACACACAATTTCAACCTCCTTATCAGCAACCTTCGGCCCCAACTGGCTCAAGCATGAATAGCTGGTCAGGTTTCCCATCTACTACACCTTTAGGCAACACGACATCTCATGCGCATGGGCAACTTTCCGGCCAACAATACAGCGGAAACCCTGCTTATAACGCCCAGCAACCTGTCCCTGGCAGCTATTCAAGGTCCTTGTTCAACCCACAGACACGGTCTTTCATCCCCAGCAATGCCATGAGCCGCGTCGGTGGCCGCAATGGCCGGAAGAAACCTTCGGCTTCGTCGGCCCAGATTCGAACCAACAGTACCTCGAGGCCTCCTGCAGCTGCCGAACCTTCTGGTGTAGCTATGTTCCCTCCACCACGGCGGTTCGATCAAGGGTCGATCACCTTATCTTCAGCGAATCTTCAATCAGACTCCTTGCAGCAGAAGTATGGTGCCCCTGCCCACCTGCCCAAGAAACCCCCGCCATCTCAGGTGCCAACATCATATGACGTTGATGGTATCAACAACACAGCATCAAGCACGGGTTCAGGTTCGGTGAATGAAGGGCCAGGTCCTGGAAGTGGCGGATTAAGTGGTGGCTCCCCTGCATGAGCTGCCTCAGCACGTGGGCTACCACGTTGTTTGGCTCGTCGCTCAAGGCTTTTGGGAATCGGGAGAGCGCGAGTGAGTGAGGAGCACAAATGGCGCCGAGAATGAATTATCGTCTTCGAAGGATCTAAATCTTGATACTTTGGGTGTGGAAGAGCATGAGCGCAAAGGAGACAAAGATGACAAACGGGCTTGGAAACAGCATCACAAGGAATGGGACTTTGCATGAAGATGGGAAAAGGGGAAGGGGAAGCTACCAAAAGCCAAAAACCAAAAACCAAAAAGGCGTACCACTACCATTGAAGGAGTTTTTCTACGTACCGAGCAGACAATCTCCATTGCCTACCTTAGGTAGTCCCGGGCCAACCGTTTCAGAGTAACTCCAGCCTCGGCGTTCCCGTAAAAGAAAGACCTTGTACCCGAGACTTGTGCTGTCAAAAAGGCGCAATTTGGAGCAACCCTTAGGAAATAAGGTGAAGGATAAGGTCGTCACGTCATCAACGTAGACAGATTTACCAGCTACAATTGCTAGAGCAGAGACCTTCATTATTGGTCACTCTCCTTCGGACTTCAGATCATATGGTCGCCAATGTTACTTAGTGACCGACATGGCCTCAGGAGAATATGAAGGGGGGAACAAGATGGAGTGAGTTGTCTCGTATATATAAGTGTACCCAGGTCGTAGTATGCACAGGTATCTCATATGTATGTGCTAACATCATCTGCCTCGTTCAATCATATCCTCCGCTCTGAGTATATACGTGGTATGCATATCCAAGGGTTGAAACATTCAAGCCGTATTCCTGAACTCCTCGGCTTTCATTCTGCGCCGGAGAACCAATCCCCCCCTGCCGTGCGCCGCATATAACGCCCGAAATCTGCCCAGGAAACTCCCTGTGATCTATCACCAACAGAGCTGAGCCGGCTCCGGTGCATGGTGTAGTGCTGATCCCATCCAAATGCGTCAAGATCTCATCAATATGCGTGTAGCCGTACCTCATCGTTCACTGGCAGCAGGGCGGAGCTGGTGCAGCTCGAGGCTCTCGACTGTAGGAAGGCCCGTTTGTTGCCGGCCTCTGTAATCGCTACCGCTACCTTGGTTATCGTGAAGGCCGCCACCACCACCACCACCACCACCACCATCATCGTCACTATCTTGGTCCTGCATCAATCCGACAGTTTCCTCGACCATCTGCTCGCTCTTTCCACGTCCCTGGGCATCCACGACAACTCGACCAGCAACTCCTCCCGCCTCGCTGTCGACCGCGGATGACTTGTCCTTTGCAACCGTATCACGGGCGCTAGCAACCCACACCGCGCCCGCCAGGATCAGCACACTGCCAACCCAGCTCATTGTGCGGGGGCTGACACCAAAGACTAGCTTGTCCGCCGCGAGCGCAAACAGCATCTGCGTGTATACCATCGAGGTAGCGCGTGTGCCGCTCCCACTCACTTTGGGCTTGGAAGACGACGACGACGGGTGTTTCGGCGGGAGAGCATGTGCATTGTACTCAGGGGGTGATGGGTGGTGATGAAGGTTCTCCGAAGCTGAGGAGGCATCACCTTCAATGTCGCTGATTTTCTGCGTCGTCTGGCCATCATTCTGCAGCTCGGCAACATGTCTTTGCGTAGGGCCTCCATAGGACAACCCCACAGTCAGCAAGCATTGCATAACAAAGCCGCAGAGTCCGAGGCTGACAAGCAAGCCCCACTCTGTGATGTTTCCTGGAAGTCTGAATTTGACATCGGGAAAGATGATCAGAGCCGCCAACGACACAAAGGTGCACCACACACTGAAGTAATTGATGCTAATGAAGGCGTGAGCGCGCTTGCCAATGGCTCGAATTGACGTCAAGGCGCCAGTAGAACCAAGGACGCCAAGCATAGCAATGCCAATGGCTGCGAGATGCTGATCCGCGGTGGGTTCTTGAGGAGCAACGGATGTCATCGTGGAATTGGAAGGCGGGCTGGCTGACGGGTCGGAAGTGGTTGTAGAAGATGAAGAAGAAAAGAGGGAAGCCGGCTGCGCGATGAAGATAACGCCTACAAGACTGACCAGGCCGGCCAGCTGCTGCTGTCGGGTGAAAGTCTCGCCGGGCATGACGAAGCTGCAGAGATAGCAGGTAAGAATGGGTGTCAGGAATGTCAACACGGTTGCTTCGCTCAGCGGCAAGTATAGAAGGCTGAAGTACATGCCGAATACCCCAAAGAAGCCACTTAGACCTCGTGCCACGAGCAACCAGCGGACTTCGCGGGGACCAAAAGGAAAGTCAGGTACTGATTTTGAATATAGGCCGTAGCTAGTACATAGAACTGCGGTGATGGACTGCCTGGCGAACAATATCTGAAACGGATGCATGGGTTTGCCGTGGGGGCCCGCCGTCTCAAGCAGTCGAGTGCTGACATTCATCCCGGCCCCAAAGAATTGAGCCAGCACAACCAACATGGCCCCGTAGTTTGTGATGTAGAACGATTGCAACGCCGCGCCAATACGCATCCGTGGGGAGAGAGGTCTTGTTGGACCACTATCCTTTGAGGCATTGCGGAAAAGAAGGTGCCGAGCCTGTCGCTCTTTTGTGTGCAAGGAGAGTTCGGAGAGTTCTGAATATATACTGTCGAGCGAGGCTCGAGAAGTGCGATGCAGAGGGACATCGAGGTAAGCCTGTCTTGTTACCGTGACGTTGGAAGATGAGGGGGAGGATGCGGCAGTAGGGCTGTTCGAGAAGGATTGTTCAGGTCTATGCTGACCACGGACGCTGTTGGTGGACATGATGACGGCGCCATTCCAGAGCCCGAGAGGGACAGCGTACGATGAGATGGATGAAGTACAGGGAGAGATGACCCTATACAGAGAGAACAGAATAGGAATGAGAATGAGGAAGAGTATCAACCACGACAGCCAAAGGCCTGGTGAATGGCGCTCTGTAGGGATGGCGGGTCGAGAATGTATGGTGTTAGATGGTAAGAAAATGATGAAATGGTTGAAAAGCTGGAGAGCCTGGGGAATGGAGATGGATGGTGGAGGATGGTGGGGGATCGCCAGTCACTGCTGCCTGCGCTGCGCTGATGAGGCTCCTGAGGCATAGGGAGAGACTTCCACCTACCTAGGTAAGTAGGTACTTACTTAGGTACTTATGCAACAAGGCATCATTCATCCTTGATCATACGCCCATACGCCCAGTGAATCGATCATGATCGAACTTATACCCGCTCCCAGCCATCATTGACCAGACCATTTATCCTCAAACGGGCAGAATTCTGTGCATAAACGGCTGCGACACGCCCCCCTTCAAACGGTCCATCGACTAGCACGTACCACATACCCATTGCTCGACCGCCATACTAGTATGAGATGGACAAGGCCCTTCCCACGGCCACTATCATGAAGTACGTTATGAGAACCGGAAGAGTCTTAGGTTTGGCTGGCAGATCGAACACAAGATCATGTCACAGGACAACAGCAACTTTCTGCACGGCCACGCCGCTTCCTCTCAAACAGGATGTCTAGCTAAAAAAGAGCCTACGAGGCAGCCTCTGCCTCACCTCTGCGGAGGGCCAACAACGCCCTTACGTCTGTCACGTACTGCAGTGCCTCTAACATGGGTATCAAATGAAGCAGATCGTTGTCTGTCGGGTCGTTGATCCATCCTTCGATCGGGATGGCATTGTCTGGTACGACCGAGTCAGTCTCTCCCAAACAGACGGACGGATGTGGGTGGCGTACCTTCATGGAAAATATAGCTCACAGGGCTGTTGTCAAGAATGATTACCTTGCTCAAATCAGGCTCAATGCTGCTGAGGTCTTTGATGTATGCTCCATTGCGAAACGTGCAATGCTGCCGGTAATATCGGCCCACAAAGTACTTGCGCTCTTGTTCCAGCCAATCAATCACAGGATCTGCATATTCTTGGACTGATGCTGTGAACACCACCAGTTTATACCATTTCGACACCTTACGCAAGAACTCGTCGCAATGCGGCCGCTTGTGGACGTAGTAAAGGATTGGATGGTGCGGGCCCAGCATTGGAGCGGCCTGTCCAGGCTGTGGCGGCGACAGAGCGACAGGGGTGTTCAACTTGACTTCGACCATGTGCCCAGAGGACATTCGGCCTCCCTTCGCCAGTGAATGTATCAGAGTCTCATCGAGGTCTAATATCAGCGTCTTTTGCTGGAGCGAGGGGCCGCCGCGACTGGGCGACCGCGGACTAAGGTTGGCGTACGAAGGTTGGCGCCTGGGAATGAGAGGTCGCGGCGGCTGGGGCGCATGCGGATATCTCGTGATTCTCAATGACGGTGAAGGAGATGTCGGCGACTTGATATTGTCCACCGTCAAAGGGGCGCCGTCACCGAGCGGACTGGCCGTCTTTTTCTGCTTGCGCCTCCTGGAAGCCACGTCATTTTGCTCTTTGATGCGTATGGACGATCTTCGCGTCTCCGACTCGTCACGAGATCCTTTTCCAGCTTTCGACCTGGCCTTTTTCAGAGCCAGCTCTCCCTTGCGTGGGTCCGATTCAGAGTCCGTCGTCGAGTCGCTCGAATAGGAATGCCGCAACTTGGTCTCTTGAAGGACGCGATTCGGCAGCTTCTCAGAATCCCATCTTCTTTCGTGGGCAGCAGGTGCAAGACCCACGACATCCGCAGGGCGGCTATGTGCAAACCGGGGGGGCCGTGGCCATCGCGGCACCGTGGCGAGTTTCCCATCCTGACTGCTGAAGTATTTTGCAACATACACCACTGGAGCCCCGATAGCTGCCAGTATAGCTGTGATGGCATCTGCAAGCCGTTTCACAAAACTTCGCAACCCCTCACTGTCTGATATTCTGTCTTTCTTCTCATCGACCTCCAGCAACGGATGTTTCTCATCTTCCTCCCCGTCTTCAATGGGCTGATCGCCATCATCTATTGCAGCTTCGGATGTACGTTGCTCCAGAAGTGGTCCGTCTATTTCTTTCCGTGTAAGATCGTCGCTGTACGATCGCCCGGTCAGGAGTTCTCCGTCATAATCCTTCTGTAACGACTCTCCCTGCGAGTGCGATCGCGGACGCGGGGGGGGTTGAGTTTGTCCGATGACTCGGGATGAGATCAGGTTGAGGGAGTTCATTCTTCCACCTGACGATCGCGCAATCGCACGCGATCAGAGTGCAACAGCAACAGCTGCACCTCCGCAGCACTTCTGCCCACCCCAATTCGTGACAACAGAATCGCAGAGTCAGTTCGCTGGCAAGGTCATTTCGGGTACTGGAAAGTGGGGTGTCGAGAGGGTTCAGTAGGATCGAAGGGGATAGGTAAGTAGCTGGTTCCAAACGATCACATAGTCGAAGCTCTAGTAGATGTTTCCGATTGGCGATCGGGATTGGCCACGATATGCGCGATTACAACGATGTGCCCTTGAAGGTATGTGGAAAGGCACAGGAAAGACAAAAGGTCATTTGGGATACTAACTTATAATGCACTGGCAGTCGGAGGGGGCTCATCCGGCAGTGGTGTCAGTAGTAAGTACTACTAGTAGTGGAGGAGCCTTTGGTGGCTGGCCGGCTGCAGTGGCAGAATGCACAGCTGATCAGGTTCAGATTGGCTGCGTCACGTTGAAGAGTCAAGAGTCAAGACTCTTGCCCGCCAAAACGCCGTCAAACACGAGTCATCCCAACTGCGCATTCTCTCATTCAGGTACACAGGGAACTTTTTTATGATGCCACAAACATTCCTCCAACACGCCGACAGCACACGCCGCGACTTACGTCTTGTCATATATACAGAACCAGGTCCAGGTTCGACGTGACTTATCGCCATATTGACCCTCCATTCCCACAGGGCTCGCAGCAAGCAAGGAACACCGCTTCACTCACGGCCCACTTCATACCGTCGACTGCGTTCGTGCTCGACCTTTGTGAACCTGGTCGACATCAGTCTCTAGTTTAGCGGGCTGCCGCTATGGCGCCGTCGACAGCATCCCTGACACCGGGTCTCACAACCTTCCAAAAAGTTCTGTCTACGGAGCCCCTGGACTCGTCCATCGCATTTCTGGTCTCGTAAGCGCATTCTATTCCATTTGCTGATATACAACTCACTCACCATTATACTTGCCCAAGGCTACTCAAGAGACGCCAGATCAAAGGCTCGAAACGATGCGCCGTGGCGACTACACTTCTACTCCTCCGCACCGTGGAACTCACAAAACAAGCAGACTCAGAGAGGCTGATCCAAAGAGTGTCGGAAGTGGGCAAGAAACTCATCAATGCGGCCCCGCATGAACCTGCCGTAGGCAACATAGTCCGCAGAGTTCTTGGTATAATCAGGGACGAGGATGAAGACGATCAGGCTGGTACGAGGACCGGAGATGACGGCACTCCTACCAGTGAAGCTGGCTCGGATTCTGTCGCATCGCTGGAGCAGCCACAATCTCGAGGCGGCATGCATCCCATAGCCAATGGCTTATCTGCCAGGCCCGATGCGAGCGCGAGCCCATCACCCCAGCGGGGAACCAGTCGGCCTCCTTTGATGAGCTCCCACACGGGTGTACCAGGGGGGCCTCGCGCGGTGACCTCCATGTTCAGCATCATATCACATCCAACAATGAGATCGTCCGGCGTTGATTCACCAACGCATCGCAGTGGAAGTGGGACACCGCAGATGACTGCATCAGGGATCCTGTCGAATCTCCGCCCGGAGGTGATCAAGGGTGTCAAGGAGATCATTGACGAAATCAACGCTGCGGACGACGAAATCTCAGCGGCTGCGCTGGAACAGATCCATCCACAGGAAACGATAATCACTTACTCATCCTCGCTGACGGTCCAGCGCTTTCTGCTCAAGGCCGCATCGAAGCGGAAGTTCACCGTCGTACATGCGGAATCATATCCCAACAACCATCTCAAGACGCATGCCCTCCTGACCGGCACCCACGATCCAACCGAAGACGAGGACAGTTTGCCGAACGACTCGTTCTCGAAACCTCTGACCTCGGCTGGGATAAGCGTCATAATGATCCCAGATTCTGCGGTTTTTGCAGTCATGTCACGCGCCACGAAGGTGGTGCTGGACGCACATGCCGTGCTTACCGATGGTTCACTGGTAGCCGCCTCAGGGAGCAAGGCGGTGATCAAAGCTGCACGGTTTCACCGTGTCCCTGTGCTGGTCGTGGCCCCGACTTACAAACTGTCCCCCTCTTACCCCTACGACCCGTATAAGATGATTGAATATGGCGACGCTGGGAAAGTGGTGCCGTTTCAGGACAGCGAGTTACGCATGGGAGTCGAGACAGGCGTCAGAAACCCGCTGTATGACTTTGTGGAGGCCGGGGATGTTGATCTGTTCGTCACCAACCAAGTGCCTGCTGTCGTGAGTGCTGGTTATCTCTACAGAGTTGTCCGAGAACAGTATCACGACGAGGACCTACAACTGTGAGGGTTGACTCAGTGCACTGGCGCCCTACTGTGTTATGAGTAAACCGAGTCCCTCCCTGGGACTACTTCCAGCTGGCGCCGGAGCTGTTTGCTTGGAGTCTCAGATACCCCAAATCCCGAAGTAATCGCAAAACATGTCATGATACCTAATATATCTGGCACGGCACGACATCTTCCGTGCGTTAGAAGACTTTGCTCTGTCCTCTCAGTCTGCCTGCTCCTCGAAGAACTTGAAGCAATAGCACACTCGGGTGGGCACAGATGGTAGGCCAGGATCACTGTTATAATGATGATCAACCTGGTCAATACATCTGCTAACCCGCTCGTGCCCACTGTATGCCAATATGTGGAATACCAGACCATTCTACAAATGACACCGAATTGCGAAGGCTGGAAGGATGCAAGGCGACGTCTTTCAAGAAGCCACCACGAATGCATGAGCGGTAGTAATACAAATACAAGCAATCATTTTGTCTCTTTGACCCAAGAGCCAAACCAAACAATTAGTTTCCTTAGTACTCTTTATCCTCTCCGACCCGCTGTCTTCTCAGACGACCGGGCCCGTTCTTCTCCTTACTCTTCGCCGTCGACCTGCGATCCTTCTCACCGCGTGCCCATTCGTACAGCGTGCCATCCTCCTCGAATTGTTTCTCCTCCGCGGCGGTCTGCGCGTCCAGATCGGCCTCGAGCCTCTGGACCTCCTGCTCGAGGGCCTCCTCGCCGCCCTCCCGGAAGCGCGTGACTTTGCGGACATTGACGGCGGTGAGTTCATGCATGGGCAGGCCCTCCTTGCGTTGCCGCGCGAGCGCCTTGGCCGTCATGCTGAAGCGCATATCGCGCGGCCCGTCGACCAGCGACAGGATCGCCGAGGCGCCCTGGTCGTCCCGGATCGCTTCTTGTCGTAGCACTCGCGTGTAGCCGCCCGGTCGGTGTTCGTAACGTTTTCGTAGCACAGTAAACAGTTTGTCCATGTGTCGTTCGGGCTCCTATGAGTCAAACGCAAAGAGAGTGGTCATGTTAGTCTGGGCTTGTCTCCGCTCATAAAAAAACACCCGCAACTGACGATCGTTCTGGACTGCCCTGCCCAGATGTGGCAGCTCACAGGAGACTCGGGACCATGAAATGTTTCACCACTTACGAAGAATATGCTCTTTGCCCGTTGCTTGGCTGCGTTGGTGTTCTTTTTGCCCAGTGTGATCAGCTTCTCGGCCAGCCGTTGCGCTTCTTTCGCCTTCGCGTACGTCGTGGATATCGATTCATTGGCGATCAGGGATGTCACGAGGTTGCGCAGCAGGGCTTGTCGATGTGCCGAGTCGCGGCTCAGATGTCGGTATTTTATAGAAGACATGATTTCGGTTTGTTTTAGTTATAGAGGTGGGCGAAGTTGGTGCTTCAGCCCGGCCGCGCCGTATGCAAAATGTTCTCCTCGTATTGGGGCGTTCCAAGGGTGTTGTCGAAGATTGCAGAGGGTCCGATGCTCGTGTCGTCCTTGCTGTCAGAAAAGATAGCCGCCTCTGCTTCTGCACCGAAGACTCGCAAGGGAAAATGACCGATTGTTGGGATTCTCTCAAGGTTCCAATGGCGATAGTAGTAGTACAAAGTATCTACACCCTGAAGTCTGCATCAACTTCGAGTTCAACGCAGCTTCATCCCTCCAATCAGATCGGCTGTCCGGCCGCTCTTGGCGCCAAGAATAGGGATTCCGGGACTCGGCCTTGGAGTCAGCCTCAGCCTTGCCCGGAGATCTCATTCAGCCTTGCCGTCCAGAATGCCGACCGACGGCTTGCAGTACCTAGGTAGGTATATTCTAAATGTGCAAAGTTGGCAGATTGTATGACGAAATATGCATTGAGACATCCTTGTCTTTTTTATACATGTATGTACAGTATTTGGGGGTTTCCGTCCGAAATTAATGGGGGTTTATTCTCCGCCCAATCCTTTAGCACCGACAACCTGTCTCCTGTCGGGCATTTGCAAGCCCATGCTCCCGACATGACGACACTATTCTAGTTGTAGCCGTTCGCCTCGAGCTCAGGCTAGCCCTGCGGCCATGGCTGCGAAGGGGACTATGGCCAGCAGTCCGGTCAGAACAAGCTTGGTTCCAGCACCTTCAAATGTCGCAACGGTGGGAGCAGCGGAGCTAGTCTGACTTACAGACTGGGAACAGAGCAGAACATGAGTCAGCACACTACACAGTAACAAACTTCCCGGGCATTGCAACAAGCACTCACCTCACTTCCTGTCTCTTCCACAGAAGAAGTTGCTGCAGTGGTTGTAGCGGCCACTTCAGTTGCAGCAGCGGTTGAGGTCGCTGGAGCAGCCGCCGACGAAGTCTCGACTGCCGGGGCAGAGGTGGACACAGCACTGTCTGTTGTAGCGGCCGCGCGAGGGGTGGCATCAACTCCACACTCCTCTGCGGCACTTGAAACACTGTTGCCGTAGTATTGCCAGATGTCGTACACCAAAGCGCAATCAAGACAGGCATCGAGTTTCGTAGTAAAGTCTGCGGTGTCACAGTAACCTTCTGTACGACCGTCCACGATCACGCCGCCTTGCCGAGGTGTCAGAACCGCCTGAGGGATAGTACGAGAATCCGTGATTCACTTACCGCAGTTGGCATGACAGTCGTATTGGGGGGTCCCCGGGGCTTGCCGGCGATGGAGGGGAACATTTTCGGGATAGACGAAAGTAGCACTGGCGGTGGCGACGCCAAAGGCCGCAACAGCAACGAGCGAGGTACGCATTTTCAGCAGATTAGAGAGCGACACGCGGGAGAGAGCAGATAATAACCACACCGAATGCAATTTCAGGTACATGGGCAATAGGTATTGAACAACAAAAAAACGGGAACTGCCCTGGACCAGAGCACTGGGTCTTCATATACCGACAGAAGTCAAGCCCGGCCACATTTCCGCTCTCAAGCAGCGACCGCAAGCGGAGCCCTAGAAGAGGCCGACGAGATTGTTGTCCTGACTTCAGGTTGACTATCGAAAGCAACGTCCCACCTGAATGAAAATTTCGCTCCTAGCTTCGCGTACACAACACAAGATATCAGGAGTGAGCCAGTCCAAGCTCTTGCGCCCTTTTCTGCATTTCGTGGGAGGAGGCTGTCGCGTCGCCATGGCTCCAAAAACGATGGTGGGAGGATGTAGTCGCGATTCAACAAATCAGGTGTAAATGACGGAAAAGACAAGAGGATCGATTGATCTTGGCGTGAGGAGTTTGATCTTATCAGATTTGATCAAGATACTGTCAGACAGCCCAATTTGGGGTTGAAGCAGCACTTACTTGGTGAAGATGACCCATAAATCCTGTCTGACAATAGTATATTCTTGCGGCCGAGACCGGCATATCAATCAGATTAGATGGATAGGTCTGTCAGCCTGCTGGATTGGACGACCTCGCTGTCGCGCCCTGTTCTATTTGCTTGGGATGTCGTTAGGTCGTCTGTGGCGCCTCTGCAAGTTGTTATCCTTCTTGGACACTCCATGGGTGAGTCGCCTGACCATCTCCAGTGGAGGCCTTGGTCGCTGCCATGTGGCATGATGCCCTCCCAAGATTCTTGGATTGGGCATGTGGATGCTGTCGAAGGAGGGCTCCTTCGTAGCAGCCCCGTCGATGTCGACCTTTCCTCGAGATCCACATGAATAGCTGACCAGCCATCCCCCTGCTATAATTACCCAGACTGTCTCGCTGAAAGCGATATGCGAGACATCCCAGGTTTTTTCTCTCTTGTCAAAAATCAGCCATTAGTCACCCACTCAGAAATCCTGTAGCTTTCTGCTCCCCTAGTTGATATCATATCCGCGACCGAGTCACTGACAAGATGCTCGCTGCCCAAGCCGCCCTCCTCCTTGCCGGCCTTTACGGCGGGACAGTCGTCGCGCAAGAACATGGAGAGGACTACGCCAAAACCATGGGCCCCGTTGCCTTCTTGTGGCCCTCTGATAGAATCTGGGATGCAGCCCATGACAACAGCGCTCCTTGTGGCACGCCATCAGGAGTGACGGACAGAACCGAATTCCCCCTGCGTAAGCTTGGACACTGCACACTCTCGAGATGAATGACGCTAACGACCCTCCAGTCAATGGTCAAGTTGCATTGGTGGCACAGGACGAGTCTTACTCGATTCAGGTTGCCGTCTCTTACAAAGACAGTACGTTTGCTTGACCGGTCTTATTTCCCTTGCAATGTTTGGCGGATACTGATCGATGCATAGACCCGACGTCGAACGATGATTTCGAGACGGTGATTGCATCACAAAGAATTCCCTCTTTGGCAGAAGGACACCAGTGCTACCCGCTTCCCAGCCCACCGGCAGATGTCGAGGCGGGTGCGAATGCGACCGTGCAGATCAAGTACATTGCGGATTTCGACACGGATGAGAGCCAAACCTTCTATGCTTGTGCAGACATAACCTATGTCCCCACCAGCGCATTCACTTACCAAGTCCCTTGCTTCAACGCCACAGTTGACGACTATAGCATTTCTGACAACACCGGGGATGATTCTGCTGATGCGACCACTGGCGCGGGTGCGGCCGGGGCCTCTGCCACCGCAGCTGTCACCACCGAGACCTCGGACTCATCCTCATCGGGACTTTCTGGCGGTGCTATCGCAGGCATTGTCGTTGGCGTTGTGGCCGGCGTCGCTGTCATCATCGCTGCCGGATTTCTCTTGTGGCGCCGTAGCCAAATCAAAAAGCGAGCTCGTCAGCAGGCCGCCTCGGTCCGCGCTGTTGATTGGGAGAAGCCTATGCAAGAAGCTCGAGCCACCGCATAGAGTCAACGCTGCGGGAATAGAGCATCGTCAAGCGCTGGCCTATAAGAAAGCGCAGGACTGCGAATGGAGGAGTGGAGGAGAGACAGACTAAGTGCACGTCGACGGAAGCCGCAGGTTTTGGGCAAGAATAGGCTTGCAGAAGGATGGTGTAGGAGGTGGATATGGATATGTAGAATGTCGGACTGAGGATGCTAGTGTACGGGGATCAAATCACAGAGGTTGGAGAGAAGAGTCTAGGTAGAGAGAGATATGGCTCCGTTGACCCCTTTTAGGTCATGAATTTAGTTAGTACCTAAATTAGCAGGGGTTGCTTCTAGAAGCTTAACACGAACCTCGTGGGAAAGTATGCCGAAGCTCTGACGAGCTGTCGAATGCTTTTCGACGGGAGCTCTGTTCAGCCAGAACAATACATTCTTCATAGTACTGCGATCTCCCTAGTGCATGTGGCATCTTAGAAATCCTTTCACCTGATCCCTCACATTGCGAAAGCCTACACGGCACCTTACTCGACGTTCACGCCACATCAAACCCATCTTTCGCAGCAAGCTCGAAAACCAACGCATCTATTGTTTACCAGTCAAGGCGGGAAGTCCGAACCGCTGTTTGTGAGCACATTCGGTAAAGACCCCATAAGATGGGCTTCACCACGGGATTTGTAAGTACTGGTAGACTGGACGAAAGGTCAAACCGTTCTGACAACCGATGCAGCTCGGAGGGGTGACGTTGACATACTCGCTCCTGTATTTCTCACTATACATACACCGGGCAAATCGCAGTGTACAACGATCGCTCCTCTCTCAACAAGCGACATTACTCAATTCAGTCGTCGAGCCTCCCCCGCCCCTACCGGAACCACCGGCCTATGAAGTGCGAAGAGCAGGACTCGTGGAGGCGCTCAAGGACCGATGGAACAGCGAAATAGAACGGGTGGTGCGCAACTTCGAGGAGACTGACTGGGCAGAGAAGCGCGCTCTCCTTGAAGAGCAGGCAGCTATTGTATGGGGAAAAGTGAAATCATCCGAGTCGGCTCAAAATCTGGAGACCAAGACCGAAGAGCTTGAACAGAAGCTCAAGGACACCGTGACTCGGGAGACAGAGAGGGTGAAGGATGTCGTCAGTCGTGAGACCGAGAAGGTGAAAGAAGTGGTCTCCCGTGAGGCCGGGAGAGCCAAGGATGCGGTCGCCAGTGGTACAGACAAGGCGAAGGCTACCGTTGAGGACAAGGTCCAGGATACCTTTGGCAGAGAACCGCGGCTTCTGGAGCTGAAATGATTGAAAGACAAAGCTCCGTCCCCTTGCTCTGATCCTACAATAACTGTCCGCCGGACAATCAGCCCTCAGATACATGGCCTGTTCACTCCAACGTCAACCACTACTCCTTCGTTATAGGCCGATGCCCACAACATGGCCCCTTCAGAAATCACAAGAGTCTCAATCCGCGGTCCTCGGTCACAGCAGCTGCCAGCTCGCCAGGCACAGACATACCAACGTACCTCAAGCCAGACAAACAGAGCCTACAGCTTTGCATGGGCGTATTACAACCGGCCACGAGACCAGCCTTTTCCCAAGCCATGTGGGCAAATTATGCCGAGGGAAGACGGCCACAACCTCGACATGATAGTCACGCCTCATAATCTCGGGACCGGGTTGTGACAAGCGTCCTCACTAGTTTAAGGCTCTGCGCCCGGGTCAGGTCGTTCATTGCTCGACTTGGTATACAGAAGGCAGCGGAAAAGGGATAGCAGGTTTACAGGGGAGATGTATGCGGTGGAATTGTCGGCCTGGTGCAGCGTCCATGCACAAGCAGTGATTTCGACGTCTTATGGACTGCTCTCACTTGGGAACAGCATCCAATGTGGCACAAGGCTTGCAATCAATTCGATTTTGTTTGGTACCCTTCGATCCATTCTTGAGAGACTTGTCACGGATAAGAAGAACGCTTTGAAAAATCTACTCCAGAAACACCGAGCACGCTCTTCCGTTCCCTGCTATTTCCCACACGCAAGCCATTTTCTTGAAGACTGCAATATCACTTCGTACTCGTTACTACAATCGTTCCCTGCTCATAATCATCATTTCTGGATTGTTTTGTTGCTGTGGCCACAGCCAGTGTCAGCTCCTGACCACCGTGCAACAGTGCAGAATGTCAAGGGCCAGAACCCGCCAAGGCCGAACCATTATTAGTCTCGTTGGCTCTCTGGAGGCTCTTCTCTAGCTCTTTGACCCGTACCTTGAGCAGTTCATTCTCTCGCTTGACCGCCTCCAGCTCTCCTCGCTGGAGTGTGGCCTCCTCATACCTCGCACTGGCGACCGCGGCGGTGGCACTGGGGCTGCGAGGAAGTGGGTAATGAGGGACGGACTCCGCGGCAGAACTTGACAGGTTGGGCGCATTCGAGGACACCGAGGCACGGTGAGGATAACCGTAGCCACTTTGACTCATGTGCGGCGAGGAGGTCATGGAGCTGGTGCGGAATCCCGACGCGGATGTCGAATTGTGCCGACTCATGTCCGGACGGCCCAGCTCCATGCTGGGTCGAGCGCTTGCCTGGACGCTCTGATCTCGCGGTGCGGCGACGCCGGACACGCTCGTACTGGAAGCATTGGCGAGGCTGTCTCGAATAGATCTTGTGGATCGGGTGGAGAGATTCGAAGAAGATCGGTGACGACGAGCAGCGGTGGGAATGATGGTCGTCCCTGTGCCGCTTGTGGGCATATAAGGATCACTGTTGGAGAAGAAATGGTCGGACGTCGAAGAGGTCGTGGAGGCTACCGACGCCGTCTGGGCACGCAGTGCGGATAGTTCACGGGTAAGGCGATTGACCTCCAGATATGTTAGCTGTGTATGTTTCTTCTTCTGTTTCTTCTTTGCCGGATCTCACAATGCTCTCTTGCTCCTTTTCCAGTTCCAGGTGTAGTTCGGCGGCGGTGAGAGGTCGGGGATGCCGAATGGGTCCTGCATAGAGTTAATGAAGTAGATCCATGGTCCACATCTGTTGTTCTCACCTGGTCCAATGCCGACACCAGCGTTGTCCATGATTGCAGCCTGTGCCGGCCGTGGTGAGCTTGGGAGACTGTTGTTCTGTGGTAGCGGCGGGGGCAGCATTTGGCTGGAGGTTCTCCTCGAAGCGGATTGCAAGGAACCGGGAGGGGCGGTGGAAACGGAATTGGAGGTCTGTGAAAGAGATGCACCACGAGAGGATCTGGCAGCGGTAGTCGGATCCAGGGCCATGGTTGTGCTGTACCAAACAGTTGAGGTCTACAGGGAGATCACCCAAAGAGAAAGTGAGGCTGTTTGGGGTCGAGGCTCTGACGGTGGTCCATACGCAGTCGGGAGTTCGAAGAGTATGTAGGTTCGAGTTGCAGCACTCATCCACGGTTCAGTGCGTCCGGCCACACACTGTTCAGCTGTCGGGCAGTCAAGAAAGACAAGAAGCAAGTGACGGGCAGGGTGGTGAAGATCACAGATGCCGCTGTATACCTGGGCCCTAGGCCGGCGCAGGCCCATGACGCTCCTACTGGAAATGAAGTGTCGCGTCGCTGTTAGCCAATCACCAGTCAATATAGCGATATGTTGAAGTCGAACGTCCTGTCAAACTGGCGCGATTCGTTACTACGCAGTTATATCCACCATGATGATACGCTTCCAAACATCATTTACAGAGTACGCACCCTTTCTTCCATCGTTGATGATGGATGTTACCGTGACGAATCAAGCTCAGCCTTGCCCCGTCACATTCACATCCGCAGCTCGTGTACAGATTGTCTCTAGCTACGAACTACTAGTAGCGAGTCTAACAATTCTGACTCCTTAACGCTGCCTCGCTGCGATAACAACCCCCCCTGCCTCGTTCCCGTGAGAACATGATATTCACGCCCACGCCCCAACGTCCAAATCGTGCAATCTATGAGACAGTGTTGTGGCGTCAGGGTCGTACCTGTCCACGGCCGGGAATGCGTCGTCCATGGTCAAAGTAGACCCAACGAGTACGTACCAAGGAATGAAATCAATTCCTGACTTGCTTCCCGAGTGGCATTATGGTCAAGACGACGGTTCAGGTTCGTCCTTGCGATGAGAGAAATGGATGGGTATATTGGTTTCTGCGGACTTACCAATTGTTATAGTTCTCCAGAACATACAAAGGTCATACAGTTGTAAGTGACATGTAGTCATCGTGAACAAATGGCTCCTCGCCTCTCGTCATCCGCCACCGATTCGTCGCCTCAAAGGCGCCGGGCAACCCTTTAAACAACCACCCCCATTTCCTCAGGAACCCTTCCGACATCTCCCACCCCGCCATCTCCCAGGGCGGCGACCAGGCAATGATGCCGCGTCGCTCGATCTCGTCGTCGGGAAAGCCCTCGAACAGCCCGCCGATGCAGTCGGCCCACAGCTCGTCCTCGTCGAAGGTGCCGGCGGCCCGGATCAGGCGGTCTCGTCCCTCGGGGCACGGGAAGATGTCGATCCAGTCGCCGTGCGGCACAGTTTGTTGGAGGATTGTGGGCAGCAGTGTCGAAGGGAGTAGTTCGGGCTTGGTAGGGTATGGTATGACGTGGGTAACTTCCTCGTCACATTCGAGCGGCGTGACGAGGATCCCCGAGATCAGTGTGCGGTTGACGGCCAGAGCGCGCAGGGCGTTGAATTGGAGGAGTGTGATCAGGTGGTCTGGACAGAGGGGGAAGACAATGTTAAGCTGCTCTTTTCTAGGTTTGTTTGGCAGCAAGGGATTTCTCGCATTGTATAGTTGCTTGATCCGGGATGCTGGGGCGATGGAGACGGCTTGCTGCTCAATGTCCCAGTATTCCACCAGCACTTCTGATTTGACCAGTGTCCCGGTGGCGGCACTGGATGCTTCCGCTTTCTTTGCCAGGGCTTTGCGTTTCCCTACTGGACTGTTATTTTTGATAATCGGGTACCTCTTGATCGGCCTGGTCTCGACTCTTGATTTGGACGGAAGAGACCACGAGGCCTTACTTACGGTATGCCCTCGTGTTAAGTCTAGTCTGTGCCCGTCTGCGTGCTGTGGCGTCCTTGGTCCCGGTCCAGTCATCTTCCCTGCTTATCGCCTGTACGCGGTGAGCAAGTTGTGTCGTGGTGGTGATTGGAGGCCGCCCAGTACGTACCTCGACCAATTGTGGCTTTGACACGAGTTGGACGTATGATGCTGTTGAATCTGCCGTCTGATATGTACGAATCATGATGCTAGCGGACGTTGAATTTGCGGTGATGATGAAATTGGTGATCAATGCAGTGGTGCACGTATGCTTTTTACTACTATGTATACGGTGATTACTGCAGCCTGCTCACAAGATATGTCGACGACTACTAGTACAGAATATTCCGCAGCTGAGGCGCAGACAGACAAGAGGGTTGGTGAAATGGCACAGTATCATTGGTCAATACGAGAATATCTAACCTGGACAGGTCTAGCGACCTGCAACCTGCTCACGCCACTAGTCTGGATCAGGATGACGGGGCCCAGCATCACATATGCACCAATCGATTGGCAAAGGCAACGTTTCGATTAAGTTTCCCGAGGGGCGCTAATCTGGTTAGTACCTTGCTAGCAGCTCCAGATTCGGCAGGCGAGCCCCATGCTTCATGCAGCTGGCTCACCCGAATCCTCTCATTGGTTCACTTATTCACCATGTCCAAGTGGAATGTGATATAGTAGTACAGAGTAGGTATGCGGCTGGCTCACCATATCTGATCAAGATACAAACATCTCGGCCGTTGCTCTAGTAAAACAATACACTATAAAGATCATAGCAACTCCTCAACTCCGACATAACTGTTCGTAGCATCAAGAACATAGTACTCGATTCAGGTCATCAATCCCACTTTCACTGTTTCACACCTTGGCTCAAGTACTCATCGAAACATGACTTTCCATCCAGACTTTCTCCCTGATCTCACGGGCAAAGTGTTCATAGTCACAGGTGGGAATTCCGGCATGTAAGCCTCTCCCCTCCCCTCTCACCACGAAGCCCAAATCACTGATCCCACCACAACACAGAGGCTACTACACCGTAGCCCACCTAGCAGAACACGGCGCCCACGTTTACATGTGCGCCCGGTCCCCAGAAAAGGGCGCAGCAGCCATCGCCAACATCAAGAAAATGTACTCGTCAGCCAATATCGACCTCCTCAGAATGGATCTCAGGGACCTCACCAGCGTCGTTACAGCCGCCAAGCACTTCCTCACTCTCGAAACCGCCCTACACGGCCTGGTCAACAACGCAGGCATCATGGCGACGCCCTTCGAAATGACCAAAGACGGCCACGAGGCCCAGTGGCAGACCAACTACCTCGCGCACTGGGTGTTGACGGAGCACCTGCTTCCTCTGATGCTGCGGACCGCCAGGACGCTTCCTCCCGGCAGCGTGCGCATCGTCAACCTAACTTCATCGGGCCACTTGGGTGCACCCAAGGGCGGCATCAATTTCAAGGACCTGTCACTCAAGTATAGCGGTCCGTGGGCCCGGTACGGACAGAGCAAGCTCGCCAACATTCTGCACACCAAAACCCTGCACAAGAAGTACGGCCCCGGTTCTTCCAGTGCGCAGAACGGGCAGGGTGAGATCTGGGTTTCGTCCGTGCATCCAGGGCTGGTTGAGACGAACCTTGCCACGTCGCTGGGGGAGTCGGGGTCAAGCATGATGAGTCTTTTCTCGGTCGTACGCATGTTTGGATTGATGTGGCCTGCCGATACGGGGTCGTGGAACAGCCTGTTTTGTGTGGCGAGTCGGGATATGACGGCCGAGCAGAGCGGCATGTATCTCGAAATCTTCCGGCGGTTTGGGGAGCCTTGGTGGCAGAGCGGTGCGGCCAAGGACGTTAAGCTTGCAGAGAGGTTGGAGGAGTGGACGAGGGAGGCAATGAAGAAGGAAGGTTGGGTTCGGTGATGGTGTCAATTGACCTGTATATTGCTGCCAAATCCTAATATTCTACGGTCTCGTCACGAAGCCAAAGGTCTGATTCTCTGGACTCAGCCGCAAGCTTCCTCCTGCGATCCGGCTCGTTGTCTCAGACTCCTAGCTGCAACCCCGTGCGGTTTCTATCCAGCTTTCTCAAGTGCTTGCCATCTAAGCAGCCACCAGTTCAGTTTTTTATACATCTGGTAATGCTGGCGAAGTTCCGATCGCACTCTTGCCTTTTCCAAGGCTTGGGTCGTCTCCTCCAGCGTTCCCCGAATCGGAGTCCAGAGTCCCTTCAGAGCTCGTAGGCCTGGTTTTCTCGGTCATAGCCGTCTGGTCTTCCGTGCTTCTGGGAGAACGATCACCATTGACGTTCTCCACATGTGCGGTGTTCTCTCCTTTCTCATCTTCGCCAATCATTGCGGCCAAACTTCGGAAGTTGAACATCGGCTCAAGGCTCCCGGGAGGGGGGGTATCCGAACCAGAAAAGGCGGCTGCCTGGCCAGAATCAACGTACGAGGAGGAGGCAGAAGAGGCAGTGGACATCTGCCGCAGATGTGATCGTCGGAAGGGTTCAGCTCCGAGAGGAACCGGTATCGAGGACGCCAATGATTCCTGGCTGGTACCAGAGAGCGACAGGGCAGGGATGTACGACGGCCGCACCGGCTCTTCTTCCACACTCGGCCCTTGCGATGGGGGTGTCTCGCTGCGCTCAATCGCCTTGCCTTTGCCCGCCGGAGATTCATCCTCCAAGCCTAGCGAGAGGTTACTGCGAGACCTTTCCGTGAAACTGCTAGATCCGTCGCCGGTGCTGGTGGTGGAGTTCAAGGTGAAGAGACTGTTCTTGCGGGCGGCTTTTTCCGCCTTCTTACACTCTTTCTCCTTTTTCTTTGCTTCCTTGCGTGCTTCCTTCTCCTCCTTCCTGCGGCGTTCCTCCTCGGATGCTAGACTTAGCCTGATGGCTTCCATCATCATCATGTCTTCGAGGTCGTCCATCCTGCTCCTGCGAGAACTGCTACCGCGAGGCGGGGGTAGGAAAGGATTTCTCGCCTCCGAATTCGTCTGCTCGTGTTGACGCGCACCATTCCTTTCGGCCAACATTGCCAGCGCACTCAAGTTTGAACTAGGACCATTCTCTGTGCCCTCCAAAGGAGGCCTCCTGAGCATATTTCTTCGACCAAACGCCGGAAACGTTCGAGATTCACTGCTCTGTCCGTTCATCAAATACGCTGCGGTGTGCAGAGCTGTGGCTGCTGCAGATCGTCGCGCAGCGTGAGCACGAGCCGCCGCCAACTTCGTAGCCCAGTCTGGGCGGATCTTGTCTGTGGTGATTACCTCCGGGGCGTTCGCAGAAAGCGAAGTGCCCCGCCGACGGCCGGGACCGGGGGACAAGTTACCTGAGGAGATCGACGTCTGAGAAGACCTTGCCGACATGACTTGGTAAGGCTGAGATCCTGTTCCGTATGTGAGCCCTCTTCGGAACGGAGGTGGCGTGTAGGTGATGCCGAAATCCGGAGTCTTGCAATAAGGGCATGTTGCGATCTCTGAGACGAGGAGACCTTCCTCTTGTGCTTCGCTCTCCGCATCGGACGCAGGTGCGGCATTGGGCTCTGGCTGTTCATGCTCGGGGGGATGTGGATCAGGGCGTTTGATTTGAACGAAGCATTCCGAACAGATTGGCTGTTCACAACATCGGGTGGTGTTGAGATACGGAGGATAATAAAGGAAACAAATTGGGCACTCCGTGGCGTCTTTGTACAGATAGACCTCGATGGGTTGGCCATTGACGAAGGGGTCCGGCGGCAATTGGAACTCTCTCGGCGTCATGTCGGCTTGTGAGTTACCGCGGGATGATGTGGTTAGGGAGGCCAGTGTTTTGGCTCGAGTTCTAAAAATGCCAGTGCTCGGCGAGTTAGATGGTGGTGCCGGTGCCGTAGAACCAAGCGGGAGTGAGTGAGGAACAGGGGATAGTCGTGCTGAACTATCCGATTGGAATGACTGCGACCTGGATCCAATGGGTATCGTGGCGTTTTTGAGAGACGAGCCTTTGGTTTTGTCCGTCGTTGTTCTTTTGGTGAGCCGATATTCGAGTTCCGGAGGGACCTCATCGGCCGGCGGGATCGGCATACCTCTAGCCGCTGCCATAAGTTGATGCTCTGCCCAGGAATCGGAGAAGTCGTTCAAGCCTCTCCAAAAGGGCGCCAGTCGCCGTTCAATCTGTGCGGCCATCAGCAAGGAGAACTGGACTGGAACACAGCGACTTACCATGAGTTGACGGACAATAACTTTGTTAAAGTCCTCGGGGCCAACGTAGACACCTTGAGTGACGAGATAGCCTCCATCAACATGTTCTTCTCTCATGCTGCGTTCGCGCTCTTTAAGTCTTGCTACTCTTTCTTTCTCTGCCTTCCGGGCCTCTCTCTCCTGCTTGTTCTCCCGCCTGGCCTCGAGCGAAGAGGCATCTTGATCACTACTCCCGCCGATGCCGAGAAAGGAGAAATCCGGTCGGCTGCCCGTCCGCTGGCGAGAAGAGGACACGGCCCGAAGTGAAGCCTCTGAACCATTGGATTGCGCATCTGGTCTTGCAGCCGAGCTCACGCTGCCACCGACCCTGGAGCCGGCGGAACCCTGTCCACGTTCTTCTTTGGTCTGCGTATTGCCCATGTTGACAGTACGGCTAGATGTTTCAACAACCTCCTACTGCTTGACCACCCCGGTACGTTGGGATCATCGCCACATATCCCGTCTGCCTTCTTCTCCCGAAGACAATCGTGATGAGTTTAGGCAGGATGGGAATCGCTCGGCTTCTCGGGCGGTGGTTGCAGGCGATGTTGGGGACCAATTCACTGTCCGGATTGGGACGGAGTGCTCACTAAGAGAGAACACGAAGGTCGGGTAGGATCAATGGCAACTCGGGCCAGGAAATAATAAGAGGTAGATGATGTAAAATGCGGTTCGGTTTGTGGAGAGATCTCACATAGTATCCATGTGAGGTTGGGTTCTAGCAGAGTGGCTTCCGACGCAATCCAGTTGCACAGTGCAGCGAAAGACAACAACAGCCCAGTGGGCACTGTACGGCAAGCCCGCCAAGTTTCATGCAACGAAGGATAGCTAGCGACCTCTAACCGGCGAAGACTTGCGGGTGAAAGTGGGAGTGAGCAACGGTAGCCAGGATTAAAGAAGGTCGTGCGTGCATGGATAATGCTTCCGAACTCGACCGATAACGATATGACACAGGCAACCCCCAGACCAAACCAGGGTTAGAGATACCTCTAGGTAGTCTTTCGGACCTGTGTTATAGCTGGATGGATGGTGGACTACTACGTAAGGTACTTCAAGAAGCTGTTCGCTGCCTCAGCTAATATGATTGTTGCCGCCACTGCCGGCTTGATGGCATGATGAGCCCCGCGGTGGCTCCTTAGGCTCCTTAGGCTAGGGCTAGGGAGGCACGCAGCAAGCATTATTCTGTAGTACTGACCTTGCTGGGCTCTACAGAGGGACGTAGTCGTAGTCAGCAGCTACTACTATACTACTGCTGTAGTAGTAGGTGATAGCTGATAGACTGCAGTGCCAGTGAGGGAAGATTCTTCTCCATTTATTATTGTTGTTATTGTACAACACTTTATCCGTTCATTCAGGCGCCGAACTCCACCACCAGACAAATTGGCGCCAGCATTCAATGCGCTGGTTTCAACACAGGACTGCTGGGCGTCTACAATTGGAGACAGGCTGATTACTATGACAGTCGACTCGATGCGATTGCACATAACGCCTTTCAGCCCTGACCTCCTCCGTGCAGTGGTCGGTCCAAATTTACTAGACCAAGTCTCCAACCTATCCTACCACACGGTCCAAACATTCCCAGAGAACAGTTACGGCTACCTCGACTTGCCTACGATGGAGGCGGAAAAGATCAAAAAGAAACTCAACGGAGCCATTCTGAAGGGCAAGAAGATCAAGATCGAAGAAGCGCGGCCGGCGAAACGCAGGCGTCTTGAGGAACCCGCGGAGGACTCGTTGACGAAAAAGTCTAGTTCGGACACAAAGAGGTCGGAGAAGGCGCACAATGTCATTCTGGGCTATGAGCTTCCCCCAACTCGCAAGGTGAAGCGCGGGTGGACGGAGGCTGACTTGACCAAGTCGGGCAAAAAGGGGAAGGGGAAAGGGAAAGTTTCATCCTCGACTTCGAAGTTTACCGACAAGAATGAGCTCCTCTTCCGCACGCAGTTGCCCCCAAACAAAGCCAGATCAGGCAAGAAAGCGAAGTCCAAAAAGAACCCTGGTGAACGCGTGGTACATGAATTTGAACACTCGATAACGCAACCTTCCTTTCTCCGACAGGATGACGCTCAAGGCACCAGAGGGAATTTAGAATATATTGACGGGCAGGGTTGGGTTGACGAAGCCGGTCAAGTGGTTGAACCAGAAAGCGAGCGTATCTTGGTGAAGAAAGAGACGCTCAAGCATTTGAGGAGCGCTGGTGGAGACATGGAGATCTCTTCAGATCACTCGTCAGCTGCTTCTACGTCTTCCTCTGATGATGAATATGGAGTTGCCAACGGGCAGGATGAGGATGAAACGAGCACTTCTGGCTCATCATCTGACTCGGAGTCGGACGAGTCTTCGGACACCGGGGCAGCGGGTTCGGAAAGAGCGAGCTCCGCCACAGGCACCGATCAGGAGCCCACCGTGCCAGGAGAGGTCCATCCTCTCGAGGCTCTGTTCAAAAAACCTAGCAAGCCTGCCTCACAGGATGTAGCAAAGCCGTCCTTGGAGGTCACGACGTCGTTCTCGTTTTTTGAGGCCAGCAATGAAGACGATGTTGATGAAGGGGCCAATATGCCAGGGACACCTTTCAGTTCCCGAGATATGCAGTCTAGAGGTCTGCGAAGTGCTGCGCCCACACCCGATACGGCGCACCCGAGTCGGTTCAACAGCTATGGAAGTTCGGGGTTGCCGGACGACGAGGAAGAGGAAGAGGAAGACGATGATGGTCCAGAGGCTGATACTCCTTCCGGAGGTCTTCTTGAGTCGCAGAAGCATCTCATGGAGACACCATCCCGGAAACAGAGCGAGTTTGAGAAGAAGTTTTGGCAAAACCGAGGCGATAATAATCGAGCATGGAAACTGAGGCGCAGGAGTGTACTGAAGGAAAAGAGACAGCGGGAGAACAAGGCACGCAGACCGAAGAACTGGTGAGGCACGATTCTGATATGAGAAGGAATAGGCACAGCATACTGTTCAGATACGAATGGGCATACGGCTCCTGGGAGTCGTTAGCCTGCCATGCCTCCCATACTCCTGCAAAAGTGTCTTCGAGGATAGTGGACATCAACAGGTCACAGGCCAGGGGATGAGGGCCACGAGGCTGCGCTGTTGTCCTCTGGTTTGGCTGACTACGAGAGACTTGTATGAAACAAGATGTGTACGTCTGTAGGTACCTACCTACCTACCTACCTAGGTACCAGGTATCTAATAAGCCAGAATAAGTGCGTTTGTCTAATCCACCCCCAGTACGTACTAGTATGGTGTACACAGTACTGTATCTACCTACCGAGTAAAATGCGCTCTTTGTTTGGGCTCTGGCGCAGCGCAGCGCAGCTGACTCAGCTTCATGTGCCTCGGCCGTGGACTTTACTAAACACTAAACAGACACATGGCAGTACAGTGGAGCATCACAGCCACAACTTGAACCACAACCAACACCAACTTGTACTCTCACTTCCACAAAAACTCGGGCGCCTAATCCACCTACAGTCAATGCAATATCCTCAACCGAACTGTGCATCTGCATAAGGTAGATACCTACCTACCTAATGTTAGCAAGCTATCTCTCTTCGTGTCTTCTTTCTTTTCTGCTCCTTTTCGTCCGTCAATCGGACAATCCTGCGCTGTCGCGACCACACAGGCCATCATTGCCATAGACTCCAGCGGCGACCACCAGATCTTTACAAAGGACATGAGCCCTTCTCCTCGCTTCAAGTCCCCTTCGACAAGTCACCCCATCTCTCATGCCACCAAAGGGCCAGCGCCGTTCGCATACAAAATCGAAGAACGGGTGCAGTCAGTGCAAGGTCCGGCGCATCAAGGTCAGTCAGTGTCCTCGGAACCCTCCGGGACCGCTATAAATGCTTACACCGTCAACCTTCAAGTGCAACGAGGTCCACCCCATATGTTCCAATTGCGAACGGCGCCAGATTTTCTGTGATTTTTCTTTGTCGCCTGGTGCCAGCAATTCTCCCGGCAGCCATGCCGATGCGCGACAGCTGTCCGGTCAGCCAGCATCAGTCTCTGGCCGGACGCCCTCGCAGAATGCTGTCGATCCCTTCCATCTGCCAGACCTGGTCAGTACCAAGAAATCCACCGATCTCGACATCACCGATTTGAAGTTGATGCACCACTTCACGAGCGTGGTCGCAGTAGATCTAGCGAATGCCCACACTACCGAAGCGCTCGCGCTGTGGCAAGTCTACACTGTGAAGTTGGGATTCAAGCATCACTTTCTTCTCCGTGGCATTCTGGCCGTGGCAGCTTTCCACCTGGCATATCTTCATCCTGACAAGAGGGCCGACTATGAGTTGATCGGATCCACTCATCAGAGCATTGCTCTCTCCGAGTTTCAGGATACGCTTGCGCACGTGGACGAGAGTAATTGCCAGGCCCTATTCGCCTTCTCCTGTATACTTATCATCCTCACATTTGCTTCCAGCGCAAAGGACACGCCCAAGGACCTGACGACTGACGTGCTTCACTGGTTTTACCTTCTGCGAGGGGCGCACATGGTGCTGAACTTGCATTCCGAGAGCATCCGGTGCAGCTTCCTGAAGCCATTGTTGGACGAGATGGGCCATATGGAGAATACAGCAGCGTATATCTTCCCAGACACGGATCAAATCACCAAGCTCTTTCGAATCTGCAGCTCTCCCGAGGACGACAAAGAAACCGCCCAGGCATACGACTTGGCCATTCATTCGCTCCTCAGCACGTTTGTTCAAGCTTCGCTGCTCAGGCAACGAGGCGATGCGACCGTCCTGGCAACATTCGTGTGGCCGCTCAATCTGGCGCCCAAGTTTCTCGACCTTTTGAGCGAGAAACAACCTGAGGCCATGATCATTCTCGCCCATTACTGCGTGCTCATATACTGGGCACAGTTCCATGAACCAGACACGTGGTTCATCAATGGATGGGCCCAATACATGCTCGAGACAGTCAAGGCGTCTCTGCCTGAAAGCTGGCAAGAACACCTGAGTTGGCCCCTTAAGATCATAGCGCAAACCAACGGAGGTTGAACGGCTGCTGGATGCGAACCATGTCTCCCTCGCAATACAGAGGTTGTCTTACAACCGGTCGAGCTGTCTTGGGCTGGCGAAGGAAGCAACAATGGCTGTATAAGAGACGGAGAGTCTTGATCAAGGCATTGTTCCCAGCTGAAACCCGAGCCCTCGTGCCGCCAACACTCCTGACCTTGGTCACTATCGACGGTATTACAGGACGTCCCTGGCGCCAGGCAGCGACACCTTACAGCATTATGCCACGAGTCACCAGACACGCGAGCAATATCATGTATATGGCACACATTGGGGCCGATCATTGTCTTATGGACATATATAATATAGTATTGTACAACAGGGAAAGAGAGCGACATTGCCACTCCACCCAGCATTGCAGGTTGGTAATGAAGGACAGATGTTTCAGAAAGTTTCTCTCTCTTTCTGCATGTGTTAAGACTTCCGCCTGGTACCATATGAGAGGCTGAGTTCGAAGTCTAGGTCTTTCACCAGGTCCAGGTGTTAAAGCGAACCACGGGAGGCAGCACGTGATATGGTCAGCTCTCGATCTAGCCCTGACAGAGTAAAGTGCCCTTTGTGTCCGCCTACGGGGATCTGTCCGTACCAGCCACTTTGTCCAGTATAGAGTAGGTACCTAGACCTACTGGGTAGGTAGTAGTAGGTAGTAGTAGGTACTACGTACTAATATCTTGCTTCACCCATTCTTTCTTTCTAACAGCAATCAAATACTTCGCCTTATGAGTACTACCCATCCACCCACCAGCGATTCATGCCATTGCTCTCCAGGATGACTATGCCAATATTTCTACCAACGGAGGCATCAGGTGAGAGGATATGCAGTGGCTGGAACGGTCCCTGCCTTTTGGTGGAGATCTTCTGAAACGACCCGCGACGTACAGGACACGGACACGGCCCCCTTTTTGTCGCGTCAATGCTTCAACACCACCATTCAACGCACTCACTGCACTCAATGCACTCATTGCATCCATGTCGGTTCTGATACACTGCACCTCCGACTCTCCTGCTCTCCTTACGCCAGGCGTCTTTTGTGCGCACTCACTCCGCGCTTTTTAGCCTGGTGCTATTCTGCTATTCTCATTCTTCCTCTCCTCCCCCCTCTCTCTCATCCATCTCAACATTCAACGTTCGCTATTTTCTTCTTTACCACCAGCACTCCGATATCCTGTCCTTTGCGCTCGACCAGTTCGAGCCTGGACAACCGCAAACTTGTCGAGCAGGTCTCGCCCGTCCCTCATATAGGGCCCTCGAAATCGACCATCCTCGACCATTCTCTCAGCCCTCCGCAACACTTCCCGTCTGATCGGCGAGATCGACAGCAAACATGGCCAACAAGATCCTCCTAATGTTCATCGCCTTCGATCTCATTTTTCTACTATCTGCCGGCCTACATCTATTCATCCCGCTGTTCACGGAGGCCAACATCAAGAACAACACCAATGTGGAGAATATTGCCTCGAATCTGCTCCTCGACCATTGTCCGCTGACAGGTAAGGTTTTTCTGAGGAGTCAAGCAATCACCTGTCCCGTCACAATGCGCTAACGACTTATATACAGCCAGTATGGCCAACTCGGTGGTCATGTTCGTCACATTCCTCCTGTCTGTCCCCGCGTTCTTCCTCAAATCGAACCGCACCTTTCTCAAACTGCATGCTGCGGGCGTCATCGCGGCTGCGATCATGACGCTAGCCATTGGCTTGGCCATCTGGTTCTCCACGCTCGAGATCCACAAGAACCTGGCTCCCATCTGGAACAAGCAGCCCGCCTCGACGGTGACTCTGCTGCAGGCCAAGTTTCAGTGTTGCGGCTACGACAATCCGGCGCTCTTCGTCAAGGACGCCACCTGCACCAGTGCCGCGGCTGCCGCTCGCCTCGGACCTTGCGTGGCTCCGTTCGGGGTCTTCGCCAATAAGTTCTTGGATCTCGTCTTCACCACCTTCTTTGGCTTCGTCGCCGTCGATATGATGCTCTTGCTGGCTGGCCTGTGCTTGATCAAGGACCGGAAAGAGAAGGAACGGTACAGACTGATTGACGAGAAGAGCGGGTTCGGACCGATTTAAGGAGACCGGGTGAGACTGCACTGGTGACAGTCGGCTGCATTCTGCAGATGGGTTGGTCTATATTCTGCTGGTACCAGTGGGATGCAATGCCGGAGGTGGGTGCTGGCTCTCATTCTCCTGGTTTACAGCTGCATCTCGGTAGCATCACCACAGGTGTGCTTTCACGCATATTTCTGAAATCAAGCAAGCGTTGCGTGAGTCATTGAAGCGTGCATATACCATGGTGTCGGGGTCTATGGCGAGAGTGGACGCAGGCGGCAAAGGAAGACTGGGCGCCGACAAGTCGATCGCCAGAATCAAGACTATAGTACGAACCACTCCTAGTATAGTTGCTAGATGACCAGTCGAGTGAATTGAATATCTAGGTTCCCACATGTCACGACTTAGATCTTCAAACTGGGAATCCGCTCAGGGTTGGCTCCGAGACGACAGTGCATAAGAAGAGGTAGAACGTAGCCAGAGTGGGATGCGTAGCATATATATATATATATATATATATATTGGAATCACTGCAGCCGTGTGGGAGCCAGGCGAGAAGGCTGCAACCGGGGTGCCAGCAAATCTTGGAGACAAGGCTGGCAGTGGAGACGACTGGTGAACGGTCATAGACATCATCACTACTACGTACTACACCTCCAGATCCTAGCGCCACACTGGCATGGCCAATGCAGCCCCCGAACACACCATAAGAAACGTCCAATGGTCTTTTTGCTGGGATAGATTTCACCAATTCTAGAGAAGATCTAACTGCATGCCATACTAGGTCTTCCCAGACACGACGGCAGCAAGAATTAAGGAGTCACCCACAGACCGTCTCTGCAACGCACTTATACACCCATACGGCTCGAACCTTGTCTTGAGCAAATGGAATAGTACGGTAGATTCAAAGATGCTGGATTAACGGCCTGTCCTTTCGGGGATCAACCACGACGGTCAACTCAGGCCATAGCTGGTCCACTTCCGTTGACCTCGACGGAACACAAGCCTCCACCCGCTACAAGGCCTCGAGAACTGGAGGCATAGTTCGTGTCCGGATGGCCTGGACGCTGGTCACACCCGCTTCACGGGGCATTGGCATGGCTCTGACCCGTCGACTGCTCCAGACTTTGCCGGCCAGCGTGCCCATAGTTGCGACCGCACGATCGGATCAGTCCGGGGTCAAGGAGAGACTTGTTTCATCGCTGGACTTGAGTGCAGCGCAAGTTTCGCGACTGGACGTGCAGAAGTGTGATGTCCTTTCGGAGTCGTCAATTGCCAACTTGGCCGGATATTGCAAAGAGCGCTATGGCGACAGGAGCAAGAACAAAAGTTCTCATCTACGACTGGGCCTCATGATTCCTGGTATGTTGGTGCCGGAAAGGGCGCCCGACAAGATCGAGTACGACGCGGCTCTGGAGACACTGAAGCTCAATCTGCTGGCACCGATGATGCTGGTGAAACACTTCTGCCGCTTTCTACCGCGAAAGTCGGCCACACTGGAGCCCCTTGACGCAATGCCGGACTCGGCGGTATTGGCTCTGATGAGTGCAAGAGTTGGATCCATCAGCGACAACCGTCTCGGCGGTTGGTACAGCTATCGGTCTTCCAAGGCTGGACTCAACCAGTTGGTCAAATCGACAGACATCTACTTGAGGATGCAAAGCGCAGCGAACGCCATGTGCATTGGCTTGCACCCTGGGACGGTCAAGACTGGCTTGAGTGAAGAGTTCTGGGAGAGTACTCCCAAAGAAAGACTGTTCACTCCAGAGTTCAGCGCAGAGAGATTGATGGACGTTGTCGCGTGCGTGCAGGAGGCTGGACGTGGCAGATGTTGGGACTGGGAAGGCAAAGAGATCCCTCCGTAGTGTACCTAAGCGTACCTACCCAAACACCCATCTATATCCATGTGAGATGGGGTGTATGCAGCATCACGAAGCTGACTCGATCAAAATGGCTCAGAAGGTACTGCCAGCTTTGACCATTTATTTGATGACCACCCATCAAAGGGAGATCGTTTCAGTTGTGCCGGATGCACGCGCAATCAAGCCATGGTCAGATAGCTGGATATTGAGAGACACAGTGTTTCAAGAACTCCAGCTCGCCATGTTTCTTTTGTCATTGTTTCCATGCTCGGTCTGGGAATCTGTGGGCATCGAAGTTTCGCAACGTCGTGTGCCACCATGTGTTGATGGTTGGCTGTCTTGATGATTCAGCGGTCTCAGGGATCTTGCTAATCGGCAGCTAACGAACAAGGGTCTGCGCTAATAAGCAACCATCTGACTATGGCTGCCGTGCGATGGAGCAGGGCCGCGCAAGAGGAGATGGTGGTCTCTCCGAGTCGGCGATGAAGCAGCGTGGACGTGGGCAAATGCGCAGGTTAGTGCATGGTGGCCTCCAGCAGCTCCATGATAGTGTTCATACGGTAGAGCTTGAGGAAGAGAGATGTGATCTGGTACTTTTGATGCTTGGATAAGGTAAACTGGAAGGTATTTGGATACATAGACACAGTCCTATCATTGAGAAGTAGCGATATGTCACCGCAGCCCACTGCAGGACTATCTAACACAAGTCACGCTATCTGGACAGTGGTCTTTTATCAGCCACTAGCATTCTACTCTGCAGTAGAGCGGCGCACTGACAATGACTAGTTCTGCAAGAATTCAATCTATTGCTCGAGAGGGCGACGATGCCACTGGAGGGACCAGCGCTGCGCCAACACTAGCACGGCGCCGGCGTGGCTGCTTGTCGCTGGCTGGCCACTGGCGTCTGCAGGCTGGACGGGTCTTCGGACAATCGGGGAAAGAATGATCCTCTGGAGGAAGGCAGGCCAATCACAGACTCCACTTCCTCGTGGCTGCCACTCGCTGCCCAGAGCCCTCAGTCTACAAAAGGCAGGCAGCTGCCGCTATGCCCTTTCCGACTCCCTTTTCCTCTCTCGTCCACATTCAGTTTCTCCCCCGTCAATCAATCAGTCGAGCAGTCGAGTCGAACGCCTTACCTGCCTCCTGTACGACCAGCAGACCAGCCTTTTCCAGTATTGTCGTCTGAAGCCACCGACCCAACAATCAAGACTTATCGAGTCTATCCACCCGACTACGCATTGCCAATTTGAACAACTTACCCTGCGTGTTGGGTCGGACCCTTTGGTCCTAGAGTCAGCGGTACGTGGTGTCACAAGTCAGTCACATCTGTGTTTGTCGCTTTTGTCCTTTCCTCTTCCATCGAACACGAAGATGATCCTCGGCTCGTCCCATCGCGGCGAACAATGACACGACCAGTCTTTTGGAAGTCAATAACTGCCTTCGATTGAAGGCAATAAAAAGACCCTCGAGGCCAGAAAGATGACCAGTTAATTACTGGTTCTGCTTCTACTCGTGAAGAATCATGGGTTTATGCAGGCTACCGTGTCGGGTCCTACTACTATAGTAGTACCTGGTCTTATCGGCCAAGCCACTGCACTCCAGCCACGGGCACCATGACCCGGGAGGGATTCTGCCCTTAGGCTCTCTCCTCCAGCGCCCCCATCCCCTTCGCCCACCCCTCCCGGGCTCTCTTCCAGGCTCCCTCGGGCTTCCAACCTTCCCTGGTCGAGGGTCTCAGGCCTTTTTGCTTCACTTTTGGACCGCGTCTGGCACCCCCTCCTCCCACTAGATGTTGTCGGCGGTGCCACCCTGCGACTGGATGCAACCCACCGAGAACCCACCATCGATGGGCACTGGCATCCACCCAAACTCGAACACGGATGATTGTCGTTCTTCACGCAACCCCCCATCCCCCCTCCGGCCCATGCCCCAATTATTCCTATTATTCACCATCTCGCCTCTGGACTTTGCCGAACTGTCCCGGTCCCTTAACTGCGCTGCGGCGACTGCGCACTGCCAGTTCCTGCCTCCCCCCATCCAAACAACACCAAACCCTTTTCTCTTTCCTTTCTGCCCCGACCTTCCACAACTCGTTACCCGGCCATACAGAAAGAGCTTACTTCTTCTGGCTTCCAAACCCACATCTCTATCCCTTTGCAGTCATTGCTGTTGCACATCCTGAGCATCCCACAAAAGCTTGATCGGGGATCCAATTCCCTTGTCATTCCCCGGATTCCCCTCGCGCATTCGCCTGCGCTGCGCGTGCGCGCGACTTTCCTCTACGCTCCGTCCGTGTACGTCGTCGTGACCTGTTTCTTCAATCTTCAGTACTTGCAACCCATGTTGACTCCAATGACCTTGCTACTATCATCATGATCACATTTTGCGCTGCCTATTATCATGTACTGCCTCAAGCAAAGCTGAACTTGCGCTGACTGTCGCGTCCAGATCAGGCAACCCTCCCAACCGCGTTCAAGACCCGAGGTCTTCTCTGAAAAGGTATATAAAACTCGCCCACTTACTTCCTCATTCGTCTGTTGACATTTTCCTTGTTTAGGCAGATATTGTCATACCCTCTTCGCCTCTCGAGAACTTACCATGGCGGACATTACCGATCCCACAGCTGGCATCGACCAACCTTCTCCTGGCGATGATCTCACCGGCAACGGAGCTGATGCGCGTGGGACCAAGCGACCAAGAACCTCCATGGCAGGAGACGATGATGATGACGATGATGAAAAGGGAGGAAGAGAACGAAGAAAGATTGAGATCAAGTTTATCCAAGACAAATCCCGCCGTCACATCACATTTTCCAAGAGAAAGGCTGGTATCATGAAGAAGGTCAGTTCGCGCTGGAGTCGAGATACCGTGCTCCAAGTTGACTCAAGGTACAGGCTTACGAACTGTCCGTCCTCACCGGCACTCAAGTCTTACTTCTTGTCGTCTCGGAGACTGGCCTTGTCTACACCTTCACCACCCCCAAACTCCAACCTCTCGTCACCAAGGCAGAAGGCAAGAACCTGATCCAGGTATGTTCGCGCGCGTCCCCCAAAACTTGCCCTTGCTAAATTCCCTAGGCATGCTTGAATGCTCCAGAGCCCTCCGGTAATGAAAACGGTGTCGACGCCGCGGACGATGTTGCATCACCAGATGACGTGCCTCAGATGCCTTCTGCAGCTGCTGGCATTCCCCGACCTGCTGCTCATGGCGGCTACATGACTCAGGAACAACAACAGCAAGCCCTGTATTATCAACAGTTGCAACAGCAGAACCAGAGCGGACAATATGCGGGGATGCCACAGATGCCTCAGCATCAACGCGCGTAATGAAGACCAACCTATCCACCTAATGATACCTTAAGAATCGCAGAGGTTGACTTCCTATCGACCTGCCACATTGTCCACGATCACGGCAGCGATCGCTGTCAGCTGAGTGCCTACACAAGGCTGAGGTGCAACTGTCAACCCTCAGAAAACACCCAAACTCTCCTCTAGCCTATCGGCGTTTCTGAGATCCTACTGCGACAGCGCCGAAGCACCAGCAGATCATGTGCTCTGGGCGTGACTGCAAGTCGAGCTCTGATATCCTCACTTACGCTTTTGTGTGAGTTGTTACTTATGAAGATTGGTTGGGGTTAGCGGCTGGACGAAGATCAGGGGATCGAGGGGGTGCAAAACATGGCCTCGTCATGCTTTTCCAGGCGAGAAAATGCTAAAAACGAGATTCTCACAATCGACTGTTTCCACTCTTGTCCTAAGCTTCATGTCCAGTTATTGCTTTTCGTTTCCACTGTTGGCTCCGGCCGTGATATGGCCACGCTCACTACAGCTTGCTAGCGACCCATGCAGGAGCTCGTTTCTCGACAAAAGCTCTCAAGCCCTCTCGGATGTTCTCTCCTTGATTAAGTCTCTTCTGGTAGACATCGATGATGCTTTGGGTACCGTGTTCTGCCGATCCATCTTCCCAGCCAGCAATGACCCCAGCTCGACTAACAATGATGCTGTCAGGACTGTTGTTGCAGATTTGTTGGGCGTACTCCAGGGCTTTCTTGACCACGGGTCTGTCGAGGATACCGCTGTCGGGTGGCGCATCGTCAGTGATGGCGTTGACCATGCCCCAGTCCCTCGCCTCGGCCGCACCGACTGTCCTCCCCGTCAACGCCATCTCCATTGCCCGGGGCCTTCCTAAAGTCCTCACGATGCGCGGCAATGCTCCGGCGATGGCAACGACGCCCCGCTTGACCTCCGGGAGACTGAACAACGCCCCCTTTGCCGCCACCACCATGTCCATATTGGCCACCATCTCCATTCCTCCACCGAACGCGAGGCCGTTGATGGCCCCGATGACGGGTTTCTTGCCTAGTCTTCGACTGATGCCTCCGAACCCACTGGGTGGCATGGTGCGCTGTCGTTGTTGCTGCTGTTGTTGCTGCTGTTGTTGACTTTGAGTGTCCCCTTTCGCCGATTGCGCCTCCCCTTCTCCAACCGACTGATTCCACTCCTTCAGGTCGGCGCCCGCGCAAAACGCCCGTCCCATCCCCGTTATCACGCAGCAGCGCAGACTCGGCTCGTCGTCGTACCACGCCAGCACGGCGTCCAGGGCCCAGTGCATCGGCGTCGACACACAGTTCAGCCCGCGCGGGTTGTTGAGGACGACCAGGAGGATCGCTGGCCGCGGGATCTGGAGGAGGACGGTATCTGGAAGTTTCGGTGGCGGTGTGGTGGTCGGGAAGGTCGTTGCATGATTGCTGTCTGGGTTTGTTGAAGTCATTATGGTTGTTTTCCCTCTCTTTTGTGTTCTCTTGTCGGTTTGGGGATTGTGAGACTTGTGGATTCGGCGGTAAAGGCAGTAGAAGCGGACAGACAAGGTAGAATGGCCACCTTAGATTATGACTTGTCCTCTTTGAGGCTCTTCGACAGGCTGAATCGAATAGAGTGTTTCCTTGCAGCTCTCCTCTTTGAGTTTGTATTGGAGGCCGGATATTCCTGCGTAGCGTACTAGCAGTTGGCTAAGAGGTCGCGGCTTTGTGCTCGTTCTCGATATAAACAGATATGTCCTTTACTAATACCTAGGTAGGTCCTGAGTGTTGTAAGGAGTAGGACACAGAATGAAGATCACACTCCGGTTATGGCCATGCATGTACCGCACCGTGAGTGGGTGTGGAGTATATTCGCGTTGTGAGTATTGGATTGGTATTGCCCGTCCTTGGAAAGATCGAAGTCGGAATCGAGCGACTGTCTCGAATGAGTCCTCGCAGTCAATGGATAACGCCTGGGTGCTTTTTTTCTAGTCTGTATATTGGGCAGCCTGACATACAAAGGAAACAAGAGTCGGGAGGATACTTCAGGTAGGTAGGTAGGTGGGAGGGGGCATATACCGAGTTGGAGAAGGGCCAAAAGGACGATAGTAAATAAATATATCATTTATTCCTTTTTACCGAGGTTCATGCTTTGAGAGCTCTTGCTCGGAAATGCGTTGATCAGTCAGTTGCGTACCTACGACATATTGTGTATGACATGGTCAGTCATCAAGTACAAGCACAGGTACCGATGCGTACATCGTTCTTCAGCTGGGAACAGCCATATCAGATGCTCCTCTGCTGCTCCAGAGGAGAAGATATTCGGATCGACTCGACGCCAAACGGTCGACGCACCTTGCTTTGACTGCAACCAGCAGTATTCGGCGTCAGCGCCGGCATCATGAACAGGAATCACATGTCGTCAGATTGGCTCTGAAGCAATGGACTTGAGGGTATGGCGCGATTTTCTTACGTGTCTCCTAGCCTACTAGTAGGAATTGGGACGATTTCACACTGCAAAGGCTCGCACTACGTGGTCATCGAAGAACAGGACTGATCATGATATGTTATGTTGAATAATGCAATTTTGGGGTCCTAGAGGGACGGAGGCCAGCTTGTGCCATCAAAGATCAGGCGGTGCTGACCGTGTCGAACCTATCTACCTAAAGATGGATATGTTCGTACCCTCTGACCCGAAACCGAAACCCGAAACCCGGTGCAGACCAGCTCCAGTACCAGTAGCACTCTTCCTTACGCCGTGAAAGTGAACCATGAACCATGAATCATGTTTCTCGTGCTAGTCGTGCCGGTTGATGGCCGACTCTCACTTCGTGTCGCTCTGAACCAGCTTGACCTTATCCAGGATCTTGGCATATAGGGGGTGGTCAGGATCCAGGCCGGTGAGCTTGGTGGTTGCCTCTTCAGCCGGCATGCTCTTCAGGATCTTCGCCAACTCTACGCTCTCGTCGTCACCCTCGACGTTCTGGAAGCGAAGCGCCATCTCAACACCACGGACCAGAGCAGTGACGTCGTAGCCACGTTCGGCGAGTTGAGCAGCAGGGCCGATGAAGCGTTCGTTGCGGCTAAGCTTGCGGAGAGGTGCACGACCGACACGAACACAAACGTCCTCGAGATGGGGATTGGAGATGCGAGAGACGATGGTGTCGACGTACTTCTGTTGTTCCTCCTCGGTGATGTCGTGTTTACCGCTGATGAGGTGGGCGGTTTCTTCCAATGCCTCGTGGACCTCTTGCTTGATATCTGGATCTGCCATGGCCTCATGGATTGTCTTGATGCCCTTGTTGTAGCCAAAGTATGCAGCAGTGGCGTGGCTGGTGTTGACAGTGTACAGCTTGCGTTCAATGTACGGTTCCAGGTCTCCAACCCAGTGGATGCCATTGATGTCCGGATGGCCAGAGTAAAACCCCTTGGTCTCGACACACCACTCGTAGAAACTTTCGATGACCACGTCAAGGTTGGCGTCGGCAGGCTGGGTTGGGACAATTCTGTCAATAGCGGAATTGCCAAACTCGGCCTTCTTGTCAAGATCCTTCAGCACCTCAGGCTTCATGTTCTTTGGGTCGGTGATGAGTTCCTTGAGAGCGTCGGTGGCATTGATCATGTTCTCACAGGCAATGACGGCGAGAGGCTTCGACTTTGTTCTGGCTGCAATACCATCGGCGATGGGTTTGGCAATGAACTTCATGACGTTGGGACCAACAGCGCAGGTGACCACATCCGCGTCAGCAATTGTCTTGACGACATCATCCATGTTGTATTTGGAGTTGATGGCACGGAAGTTGGTGATCTCCTTGCTCTTTTCTCCGTCTGCGCCAACTTCTGTGATCTTGTACGACTTTGCGTTGTTGATTCTGTCAATGAGGTCGTCGACGACATCGACGAAGACGACTTCAAAGCCAGACTCATGGAGAAGCTCGGCGATGAAGCCCCGTCCAATATTACCACCACCGAAGTGGACAGCGACGCCAGGCATGTTGGCAGTGCAGTGGTTTGTGCGGGTGAGGGGTGTTTGAGAAGAAGAGGGATCTAAGGTGCGCGAGAGTCAGTAAGAGACAGTATGACAACCGCGACAAGGATTGTCAGTACCGACCGTGTCTAGTAGTACGGTAGATCGGCACGAACAGACTTTCTGAAATGAGGGCGAGGTTGAAGAGTAAACTAAGGACCCGCGAGGTGCTTAGAATAAGTAGCACTGGCGCCGGGGACCTGAGAATTGTTCTGAATGTGCGGTCAACAGAAGAGAAAAGGAGGAGTTGGTGTTGGGATGAGTTGTAAAGGTCTGAGAGTTGTGAGTTGCTGTGAGGAAGTTTGGAATGTAAAGGCGACCGAGAGCCTAAAACAAAGCTTGCTTCAAGTTGCTTGTTGCCAGTCAATTAAAGGCAGTGTGCTATTCACAGTCTTAGTGAAGCTGCAGCCCCGCATGCGTCACTTGAGGCGAGAGGCGCAGGGCGTAAAATCCAGACGGAGATTGGCCAGCAGCACGGGAAGACTATACTTAGTTTGGATTAGCGTATGATTAGCTTCCCGCGAACCTGCCTGACCTCCGCGATTTAGCGCAATTCGGCTGAAGATCGACGTCATATGATAAATACTAGGGCTGCGCAGCCACCGCCGCTCCGACGTAGCGTGAGAGGGGCAGACTGCGACTGAGAAGACATCAATATACAGATCTTTGATACTCTGTCTGCATTCAAGGGAAACCTGGTATTATAGAATCTGTCTTGGCCGTACCCGGCTATATCGTTGCATCAAACAAACGGACAAACCTGGCCTAAGGTTGTCTCGTTCACACCTCAGTACTGGTACGCCGTCCCTTTCTCACCATACCGGTCCCGTTTGTGCCGCCCTGTACAGCACTGTGCTATGGATGTAATGGATGCCAGAAGCATCACTACAGTCGCCGCCCAAGTCATACCCAAAAACCTCGATCCTTTATATGCTGCAATGCCGATATCGTCGCCGTATTTGTTGATGCTGTCCACGGCTTTGACAATGATTGCTGTGGCTATGGCTGATGCTATGCCCAGAGAGAGAAAGGCAAGCTGAGAACAGACAGTCAGTTAGAGGTACTACTAGTATTGCCAGCAAAGAGCTGAGGGAGGTTTGTACGCACCATATCAACGAGGAAGTTGACCATCGCTGACAACCGCCCATCTGTCCAAATACCCCAGAGCGCAGTCAACACTGCAATGCCCGCAAATGCAATGCCAATGATGTACAACACGATCATTGCTATGCTTGCAATCTTCAAGGCATGCTCTGCATCTTGGATCTTCTGTGGCCAGTGTATATCGTCCAGGGTGACACCACTGGGGAGCTTTTCTTGGATGACTTTGGTCGGTTGGAAGTGGAACAAGGTTGTTCGGTTGGAGCAGTCGGTGATGTTCTCGTGAGCATGGCGCACGGTGGCATTGGGCTGGTAGGATCCTTCACAGAAGTCCATCAAATGGACATTGAAGAAGTCGGGCAGATCCAAGGCTTCGGCGATGTCTGAGGTCACGTCGCTCACGAGGCTGTTGAGGTCTCCTTCGATGTCATTGACCAAATTGTCAAGGAAGCCACCATTGCCGTCCGAAGTATTGAACACACTGGTGTGGCCGATCCGAGAAATGTTGAGCTTTACACATATCAGCATTGCGATCCGCTAAATACACCTTGTGAGTATGCTTACCGTTAACAGATCTGCATGTTGAAGAAAAGACTTGCTAGAGCCTGCAAATAGACAGAGAAGAGAGAGCACGAATGCTGCAATTGCACAGGCCAACGTAAGGAAAGATGACAATCGCATGATGAGACTGAGGCGCGCAGGTAGAGAGGATTGGCAGTTGTTGATGGATGTTGGTTCGCAGCAAATGTGGTGAGGCTGTTTGCCTGCGTCCTACTAGTACTAGGCGTAGAGGAACGAGGTGTGACAAGCAAGAGCATGGTGAAGGGAGAGCATTAAATGTAAACACCGTGACGCGCAAGGAAATGCCAACTCATACAACCTGAATCTTGGATGATCGACATGTGTCAACCTGATCTCCTCCAGTGTCATGGATGTGTACAGGGGGTCGGAGGGAAGGCTGGGGTGAGGACGGGCGTCTAAGCTATAATCTCAGGCAGACTTGGCTACGAAGATGTTCCATTCTCACCATAGACTATGATGTCTTGGATAGGTGACAAGGGGATAATGCTAGACAACACTGAATGCTGATTCGGAAGCTGCTATACCAGTTGTTTCGCTGTGAGACGAGAGAAGTATCGCTGTGGGCGCTTCGAATCTGGGTCCCGGGCTCGCTGCCACACGCTGCCCTTCGAATCAGGAATTCTACAACAACAGGGGTTGAGGAGGCCTCTTATTAGCCAATAGGTCGCGATACTACTACTGTGGTAGTGTTGGTATCTGGCACCAGCAGGCACCAAACAGCCCAAGATGGAATCCCGAGGTATAGTGCCCCGACAAAAGTCACCGGACAGCACCCTTTTCCCACCTAAATTCAAAATTACCGAGGTGTATTCTAAGGTAACCTCTATAGATAATCTCGTATTAGCTAGTTATATAAGTAGAGATAGCTAAATATAGTAATTATTATATAGAAGTATTCTTAGTAAATCTTCTAGTTATCTAGTTATCCTACTTCTAAATATAATACCGAGAAAAAGCGATATTTTTCTATATAAAATTTATATATAAAGATTAGGATTAGCTAGCTCTATAGAGATAACTAGCTAATACGAGATTATATATATAGAGTACCTTATAATACACCTCGGTAATTTTGATTTTAGGTGGGAAAAGGGTGCTGTCCGGTGACTTTTGTCGGGGCACTGTATAACCAAGTTTCCAGGCGCCCCTTCAGTGCGGATGGGTAATTCTATAGACACCTGGCAAGCATGTCAACCACCCACAGGCACAAACATGGGTCTATGGGCAGCTACGTCACCTGCATTATTGTCTCCTCCTTAAGATCCCTAGCCCTAACCCCCCTGCCCGCCTCCCACTTCACAGCCTTGTCTGGGGTTGCTTGCCGTCAACGTGCTATGCAAGCACCTACTAGTGGCTTAAAGCAACCATGTAACAAACCAACAAATGCCACGGCACAATCCATCCGTTTGTCGGTTTACCGTCGATTGAAGCATCCCTGGTAAGCGAGTCCTCGATGGTTTCGGCCCAGATTCTTTGTTAAAGGGAGACCTCTTCCCACCAAGCGCTATCCCTTGCCACCCCGGCACCTGTTGGTGTACCAGAGACCATTCGGTAATTTAGATCGTCATGTTAACAAGCATTGCGGTCTCTGGTGCTCCTCGGCAGAGATCCTGAAGCAAATCTCTTGTACAGTGCTAAACACAAGACACTTGTGTAAAGGCTTGTCACAGAAAAACAGCCGGGAAATCATTGAGACATCCCCGAGCCATGCTGCAGATCTTGGGTGTCCTTGCGTAGTTCTTTAATGGCTGTCTTGGTTATTGTCAGTCAAGAAACCGCTTCTGACATACACCACGACTCACAGCCAAAGCTTCAGGGTTGACACCATTCTCAATGAGTGAGACACATAGAGACAACTGTGTTCTGTCCAATTGAGTGTTCTTTCGAGACTTGTCAACACTGGATCATCTGTTCCGACCTCCACGGTACCATACCAGTAAGATCGATATCTCTTCGAGTATATCGACGACCTCCCTCGCTTTCTCGCGCTTCGACTCCGTTGGCGGCATGTTGGGGGAAAGGTCTGGCGGTTGCAGACGCGTAGGTTCTCAAATCATGAAGAGTAGCTGAATCAAATCCTGACAACGAGTTTCGCCTGGCTAGGAAGTGGTCCACATCACGAGGGCGGCATCATCTTCAGATGTCTTGCTATCCGACTGGTGATGGTTAGTTGAGCAAGGTGCCAACGCGTCAATCGAGGCTCTACAGAGTAAGTTCAAGTCGTAATAGTAAGTCGAAGTTGCGCCTTGAGACGGGGGTCGCGTTGCCAAGTAGAGTGAGAGCTGCTCGCCGCCCACCCCTCTTTGGGATCAGGGCGATGCCGCCCTATGCTCTCCCGAAGGAGCTCCATAGGCCGGATTCCGTTGCGCCTTAGCGGATAGTGCGACGCCGACTCTACTTAGTAGTACGTAGTAGGTAAAGGAGATCGACTCTTGATACTCCCGTCGGTACTATACCATCGAAAGATGTTTTCATCAACGATTTATGTAGATATCTATCTCCTTACGTACTATAAAATAGGAGCTCGACATCCTGTAACCGTGATCTTGGCGCCTCCCGGCAACGCTGCTTGGAGGAATACTCAGCAAAGGGTCCCGAAAGGACAGGCAAGGCGTCAAAATTTCAAGTCCTCACAGCAGTCAGGTCTCCTCCATTGGGGCAATCATCGTGACAGCAAGAAAGAACAAGAGCCACGTCTGATGGTTTGCGTTGAAAGGGTATGCCGCACACAAGTACGGAAGTTTCGAATCCATCCGAACCAATAAGTCGAAGAGAATATGGTCTCATAGACCGGCCGGAGTCGGACTGCTTGCGCCTCTGACGAACGACGAATGAACAGGTTCGAACTTGGTGTGCATGACCACTTCGTTTTCATTTCAGGCGTGGGGGTTACTTACTCCCTATGATAGCCCTAGAGCTCTGCGAATCTTCGCACCGATACCTCTCAAGCGATCCAGAGACTCATTCGAGTAGACGAATCGAATGTATTGTCCAGCCTGGATGTCTCCCCAGCCAGCCATAGTGGTAGCACAGATCCCTTGCTCCAAGAGTCGCCGTGAGGCCGTTTCCCCATCGATTCCAAAGTCGCTCACTCTTATCAAAAGACTCCACCCCCCAGCAGGAACCCCAACCGGAAGACCGTCCAATTCCGAGGTGATGAGATCTCGTCGCGCTTGAAGTTCAGCCACGTACTGCGGCATGGTCACTGGCGACCGCTCCAGTGCCACAGCTACGGCCTCCTGCGCAATGCCCACCGGTACGACGACATTCGCCATCGAGACTGCCGCGATGTCTCCCATGAGATCTTCCGGTCCCACGATCCAGCCGACTCGCCATCCAATCATCCTCAATTCCTTGGCCGAGGATCCCACGGTGACCGTTCGCTCCGCATGCCCGGCAAAGATGCTGGATGGACGATGGGAAGATTGTCGAAGACGAGCCGCTCCATCGCCGAGTCGAGGATGAGCAAAAGATCTTTGGACACACATAATTCCGACACGAGATCCCAGTCGTCTTGATCGAAACAAGCGCCGGTCGGCATGGAAGGCGACATGAGCAACATCGCGGTTGTTCGATCGGTGATGGCGGACCGGAGCGCATCACGGTCCAATTTCCATTCGCCACCTGGCTGGAATATGAGTGGAACGAATTTCGGGACACCTCCTGCGAGAAGGACACGATTGATCAGCCCGCGGTATATGGGGTCCGTCATGATCACTTCATCGCCCTCCTCGATGGTTGCCAGGAGCACGTTGAGGATGCCGGACAATCCACCCGCAGCGATGACGCAGTTGCGTTCGCCAGAATATCCCACCCCGGAAAGCTGGGATACATGTTTAGCTGCGACGTCGCGTAGATGGGCTTGGCCGGTGAACGGGAGATAGCTGTTGCAGTCGTCTTGATGGAGGGCTTGCTCCGCATAGGCGACGGCAACCGGATCGGGTGGGATGTCAACGTCTAGATTCTCGAGGCGAAGATAGTCGCGGTCAGAGGCGTCGGTGAGGTTGCCCATCTGGTCAACTCCGATGCCCTGGATATGTTGTAGGCGACGGGGACGGGGACGGGGACGAGGGTGAGGCATGATGAAGATCAGTCACTTGTATCGAAAGAAGACAGACAGACGCCTACAGCTGCGGGTTCTTGAGTCAGTGCTGGTCAGAGCAGATTCCTACCTCTATTTCTCCAGCCTACACATCCGAGAGGAAACTTCTCGGAATTCGTGCTGGATCAATGTCCGCGCGCTTATTCGCAGGCTTCCACGAAAATACCGCATATTCAAATGCAGCTCGCGAGAAAGCATATTTCGGAAAGGTGTGCGCGCGGCGCCGACGGTTTCGCGAGGCTAAGCTTGACGGCAACAGATCACATCCTCATGCGGATGTCTAGACTGCTCTGCTTCGTGAACCGGCGGGAAAGGCTTTGAGAAGTCAAGCGCAGGCTCACTAGGCCCGGCTGTGATTGGCGATTCCTTTCGGCTGAATCCGCTGCTTCTGATCTGTGAGAGGCGAGAGGAGGGTGAATCGCGAGTAGATGTTCTTTTAAAGCGGTACGATTGGCGTGAGCGGTGACGCGAGCTGCGCGTAGTAGTAACTCAGCTTGAGCCATGAGCCGCCAAGACCGACTTTGCTTGAACGACTCTTTTACTCACATACCTACCAGGTAGGTACCTAGGTGTAAGATAAGGTACATACCAACGCAGTCTAGGAGCCGTTCATTTCAGTCAGTGAGTGCGTTTGCTCGATGAAGAATATCCATATGTTCCATCCTCCTCCACACCCAGGTCAGGCTTGCGGACTATCAGCGCACTACTTCACGATTTGGCCATTCTTCGCAGCACATGGTCGTCGCAACAAATGCTCATCATGCTGACCATGTGGTCTTCAAGGACCTGCGCAGCCTTCCTCGTTCCAGTGTCTCGGAATTGTTGCTGAGCTTGCAAAATCTAGAGAAGAAACAATTTGCCTCTAACGAGGTGTTCCCTTTCGACGACAAACTGCTTGCGAAGCAGAATACGGCGGTGATTGTCGGAGTATTGCAGCTCGACTCCAGGCTCCAACTTGTGGCCTATGCCGTCTGCGTGAGGTGGAACCATCGTCTCCTCCTCCACAAGATCTGTGTCGCCCCAGCCTACAGACAGAAAGGCATGGGTACGAAGCTGATGCGGTCGATAATAGACCGTGCTCGCCAGTGGTCTTGCCGCGGGATCGACCTCTGGGTGGACGAAGCGAACGACAAGGCGCAAGGCTTGTACTCCAAGCACAATTTTGAAATCCAGCAGTCGGTGCCAGACTACTACGGCCCAGGTCGACATGGCGTCAAAATGTGCCATGTCCTGCAGCCTTGACCCGTCCATGTGCGGCTGCTAGGAGAGGTGCATTCTCTTATAGCACTATCCCTTGCAGCATTTCTGAATTCCCAGATAGCCCTGCCACCTCTCGGGAAGACCTTAAGTGCTTGCAGCATCCCTCAGGTTTCTCGCCATGGCAACTGCATTGCCCTACTCCTCGTCAGGTATTCGGCCACCTGGCACAGGAAACGTGTTGGAGTTTCTTCGCGACGATCTCTTTCCTCTCGCCGACCATATGAATGCCTGTCATTGAGAGAAGAAAGCCTTTCTTGGCATGCTTTTTGGGTTTCCTCGCGAGGTATGCTGCGGCTGCACCAGATCTAGTCTTCCCGTTCGATGCCCAGTTGCCGCCTGTGGCCTACGTCTCGCAACCATACGGGTTCACTTTCTCCGTGGCAACCTTTGTATCTGACGGACCTTCGATATCGTATACACTTCGCAATCGACCCCACTGGCTTCTTTTTGATGGCGATAGCAGAAGATTCAGGGGCACACCTACGGAGAAGGATGTGGGAGTCAACAACTTCGAACTGACTGCATCTGACCACACTGGAGAGGTGTCAACCAACGTTACCCTCGTTGTCCTCGAATCGATAAACTTGCAACCAGACCGACCCGTGCTGCCACAATTGCAGCGAGCCGGACAGGCCTCTTCGCCGGAATCACTGCTATTACGTCCCCTGCAGCGCTTCTCTCTACCCTTTGACCACAACACTTTTAGTGGCATCGACCAAAACACGCACTACTATGCTGTGTCTGCGGATAAGTCCCCTCTCCCGTCGTGGATACAGTTCGATCCAACACTCCTGTTGTTCACAGGGGTAAGTCCTCCTTTGACCTCGCCTTCCACATCCCCACAAACGTTCGGAGTGCTGTTGATAGCATCAAATGTACCCGGCTTCGCCGAGCTTGCTGTTCGCTTCGACATCATCGTTGGCGGCCACATCTTGGCCTTTTCGACACCGTGTCAAGTCTATGGCATATCCGAGGGTGTCGCATTCCAAACTCCGCCCTTCCGTTCCCTGCTTCAACTCGACGACCGAGCCGTAAGAGATGAGCAAATCGCGAGCATCCACGTGGACGGTCCCGGGTGGATCAACCTCGACAAAGGGCAAGTTTCGCTGAATGGTACTGCAGCGCCTTCGCCCAGCAACACAAATGTCACAATAAGTGTCATAGATATATACGATGATGTCGCGAATCTTACGATCTTCTTACGGGAGCAGGCATCGCCAGTCATGGCCTTGGGCACCATCGTGGACTTCAACGTGACTATTGGCGAATACTTTTCTCACCCGCTCACGTCTGCATCATTTTCACCATCTGCTGGGACATCGATCTACCTAGATCAAGCTGCTGGCTGGCTTCACATCGACCCTTCGAGCTGGCTGTTATCGGGTCAGCCACCCGGGGATCTTTCCCAATCCGACGTGAATGTCACCGTCACGTTGCAAAATGCCACAACGACGGCCACCGGCGTGATTGGTTTGCATCTGATACAGCTCACCCCAACCGCCTCACTCCAAGTCACTGGGATTATGGAGACGGCAACAAGTCCGGTGGCCAGTCAAACGAGCCATAGTTCTGATCTATCAGGAAGCGCAAAAACCAAGGGCATGTCAAGACGACATGTGGTAGCCATGATACTAGCCATTGTCCTCCCAATTCTTGCAGTCCTTGTCGCAATCTGCCTCATATTGTATTTGATGCGAATGAGGCGTCGCTCACGAGATACACCTGTTGCCTCGGACGAACTGCGTACAGTCCACACCAGAGAGGGTAGCTTAGGACTGGAGTCCTCCGTCCTGAAAGGGCCATCGCAGTACATTCCGGGGGACTCCACCGAACCAGGTCAAATACCAGTGGTTCCTGGGCCTCCAAAGATTGATTTTTCGTGGTCAAATGACTCCTTGGGCCAGTCAAAACTCAGAATGTCCGCCATAGAACAACCTGCTGAGGGTCGCCATTCGACAGTATCTCGAGCAGACAGTCTTGTGCATCCAACTGTTTTAACGGCCAGGAGTGACGCCAATCGAAGCCATACTCTGGGCGAACGGCCGACTGCCAGGGAGTTCGTGATGGAGTCGCCTGCGGGTGAATCTGAGACGTTCCGCAACGTGCCAGAAAGAGTCTCATGCTTGTCCACGCTTCACAACATGCAGCAAATAGAGGCACGTCTTCCCACCAGGAAGAGCGGTGCGGGACATGGTGCTGGTATCGCCATACAATCGGACCTTGCTGCAAACGGAGACCCATGGCGGGCTACGTGGCTATCCAATCCCGCCAGTGAAACACGCCGGAGCACAGTCGTCCTCGAGTCGTTTCCGATACCTCCGAGAGATGCGCCGGGACAAGACGCAATTGGTTCTCCTCGCGAGTTTTCGAGTTACCTTGATGATGATATGTCATTCGAAGCCCGACGGCAGAAATGGCACACTGAGCGGGCTCGAGCGCGGTTGGAAGGTATGACACGCTTTTCCAATGCAGGTGCCTCACGGTTGACGCCCTCTCCACGACCGCGACGAACCGGCAGCAGAAACCCCCGGGAGCTGACAGCACGATCAGCCACAGTTATGGAGGATATAACAAACAACGGGGACAATCGTTGCAGAAAACAGTCATGGCAAAACTGGGTTGAATCAAAGCGAGGTGCTCATGATGTCCAGACACCTCTCGAAGTCCCGCTCGAGGTTGGGCATATGCCCGGTTTGAGGGAAAAGCCCAGTATCACCAGCAGCAGGCAGTTTGACTCTTTGCCATCCTCGCGAAGTCAATGGGATCCCGAGGATTGCATACTGGAACAGGCAGAGGCTCAAGATTCGGAATGGGAGTCTGACGACAGCGTAGCAGCATGGCCACAGGATATGTCTGGCCAGTCGCCGTACTTGCGCCGGCTTGATAGACGGGACCGAGGCCAAGCGCGAGTGGACGGTTTCGAGCAGGCGCAGAGTAGCCAAGATGGTAGTTCCAGGTTTATATGATGACTAGCAATCTTCCCAGACTGGAGGAATTCGACAGAAGGGGGACGGTGGTCTGGGCGTGGTCTACGAACAGTTGCTATACCACCGTATACTGTAGTGGCTCCAGGAGACTTGACACGACGTGGCGGTCCCTATGCTCTGCCCTAAAAAATAGCTTAGATGACACTACTGTGAAGCAGACAGACCCAAGATCCATCCGTCCAGCCACTGGCACGGCACGGCACTGAACTGAACTGCGCTGCAATCTGTTACTTTGGGCCTCGTTCGTCATTTATCGCACTCGGGGGTCCCAGTCTCAGCAAACAACCTGTGCTTGCACCTGATGACACTCTCTCCCACCTCCATCTCTAATTCCTGCACGCGACACCTTGGTATTTGATCATAAAACTACCTTCGCGCTTCATCCTCACCTCTATTATCACCCTGTGTATGGTTCGGCCGTACATTGCCATTGCCCGCTAAAAACCTGCACCCTTCCCCAATCTGGTCTTGCACCACCCGTCCTCTTCGTCTCTGACAGCTTCATGACATCGCTTGCAAAGAGTACATGACCATCGCCACTCCTGGCAATCATACACAAATAAAGGGCTGCAAACATGGGTCAGACTCTGTCGGAACCCGTGGTGGAAAAGGTGCGTTTGTGAAGTGTGATTAAACACCCCGGCTGCGGCTGCGAATGCATAGACTGAAGGCGGTGGTGACTTGGTCGGTGGCGACCAGTCTCACCATACCTTGGAGTCTCTAGCCTCGCGTGTGCAAATGTATAACCATCCCACGACTGTCGTCACTAACGACTTGCTGTGCAGATATCCGACAGTGGCGCAAATGATGCTGTTATTTACGGACTCTCCGCGATGCAAGGATGGCGTATAAGCATGGAAGACGCGCATGCCGCTGTACTCGACCTGCAAGCGGAAGGATCGGGCAAATCACCTAAGCCTTCCGAGCCTGACAAACGTTTAGCTTATTTCGGTGTCTATGATGGACACGGGGGAGAAAAAGTGGCACAGTTTGCCGGGGAGAACGTTCACAAGATCGTCGCGAAACAAGATGCATTCTCCAAAGGAGATATGGAACAGGCGCTCAAAGACGGGTTTCTGGCCACGGATCGTGCAATTCTGAATGGTTTGCAGCCCGTGTTCAGGACGTTATATGTCCGTACTAAAGAGCTCCAGATGCGCGTTACGAGGATGAGGTATCCGGATGTACCGCTTCCGTTTCGATCATATCAAAAGATAAGATCTGGGTCGTGAGTGCATCCCTGTCCATGTCCATGACCTCCACTCACATATTTAGGCCAATGCCGGAGACTCTCGCACCGTGCTTGGTGTCAAGGGACGAGCAAAGCCTCTCTCGTTTGATCACAAACCACAGAACGAAGGTATTACATCCACGGGTCGATGCAATGGCACACCATATTGACAGATTCACAGGCGAAAAGGCTCGAATAAGCGCTGCAGGTGGCTTCGTCGACTTTGGTCGAGTGAACGGCAACCTTGCCTTGTCACGTGCTATTGGTGACTTCGAATTCAAGAAGAGCGCCGACCTCTCTCCTGAGCAGCAGATCGTGACCGCGTTTCCGGACGTGATTGAGCATGAGATTTCTGAAGACGACGAATTCCTTGTCATAGCCTGCGATGGTAACTTCCCTGTCTCTGTCCCGGATACCATGTCACTAACAAGCTGCAGGTATTTGGGATTGTCAGTCTTCCCAGGCCGTGGTGGAGTTCGTACGGAGAGGAATTGCTGCGAGGCAAGAACTACACCTCATCTGCGAGAACATGATGGACAACTGTCTTGCATCCAACAGTGAAACTGGAGGCGTCGGCTGTGACAACATGACTATGATTGTCATCGGCCTGCTCAACGGCAAAACGAAAGAAGAGTGGTACGACATGATCGCTAAACGTGTGGCAGATGGCGACGGCCCGTGTGCGCCGCCTGAGTATGGCAAGTCAGTCCTCTATCCACGAGACCATGTCTCTTCTAACCTTTTACAGCTGAATTCCGTGGCCCGGGAGTTCGCCATCAGTTTGATCACGACAGTCCCGACGAGTATGAACTTGATCTCGATCATCGATCAAGAGGTTTCGGTGGGCGGGGTGGCCGTATCATCCTACTTGGGGATGGTACTGAGGTTTTGACCGACTCAGACGACGCGGAAATGTTTGACCAGAGCGAAGAAGACAAAGACACAGCGAATCAAGTCAAGAAGAGCACGCCTAACACCTCGGATGTTGACTCGACCCGCAGTGAGCGAGAAGGCACACCTGCTCCCCAGCCAGCAAATGAGGAGTCAAAGGGACACAATGAATCTGGGACTTCGCAGGGCTCGGAACCAGAGATCAAAGCAGTCGCGGATGACACCTCAGAGCAGAAAGCTGTCTAGTGCAAGAGAGAAGAGATGTGCAATGACTCGGGCAGATCGAACATCCATCACGACTCAAGACGCCCCCTTGCCCTCAACATGTTGACGAGGGATATCTTAGTATGCATGACTGTCTAGAACCACATGAACGACCGGCGATTGGGGGTCCTTTGCATGTGGTCACGTTTTCCATTCTGTCGAGATACAACAGAGAATTGCGAGTAGCAGGATGTGCCTGTTTCTTTCCGTACCACATAAACATTGCGGCAGAGGCGTGTTTCGAGCGCACTCTCATCGCACGACCCCAGCTGCTCATAGCCTAAGGGTTATGCCCTGATTTCTCTGTCTTACTGAGGCTGATAACTATCGAACGCCGGTGTCAGATGAGGCTGTGCAGATGGCGACAGCAGTAAACATGCGTCCGGGGATCGAACAGGGTACGTAAACAGGCTCGATGGGATAAGGAGCCGAAGCAAAAGCACATCACAGCATGACGTTGGGCCTGCAGCTGCAGCTCTACCACACTGCAAACAAGTTGCCAGAAAGTAGCACGGATGGAACAAGTTGGAAAGCCAGAACTTGAAAGGGCTAGGGATAAGGAGGAGGGTCGACCCCTAGGCACCTTGTGGCACGGCCGCAGGCAGGTGACGGCATCGGGCAGCCCCATCGGCATCACCGCAGGCTAAACTCACAGCCAACAACAGGTTTCCCGTCTCACAACTAGCCGTGTCCTATCCAGTTCCATTGATATTGCAAACACATTGTAGTAGACTCTGTTGTCAATGGGTGGTCCGCCATCAGTCTGAGTTGATAACCTCGACAAATTGACCTCATCGGACGCTCGCTCTTGTGACCACTACTTCCTGAAATCGTCCCTGCTCCTTGGCACTTGTCGGGAGTCCCTTTCCCCCTACTACTACTAGCTAGTATTCGTGGACTCGTGGACTGCTTCTCCCAGGACATCTGCCTTCGTCTGGTTGTCCCCTCTCAGTTTCAGGATACCGCCCTTGGACGTCGTGTTGGGTCGATTGAGCCAGTTGTCACAATGTCCTCTCCCTCATCGTCCAGCTCGGCCAAGCGAAAGCGGACCACCGCCTCTGAACACCTCAAGTCCACGGCGACCGAACTCCAGCAGCCCTCCTCCCGCGATGCATCAGGCGAAGAACTCGCGGATACGCCCTCACACAACACCCGAACCCGCAAACACGCCTCGAGTAATTCGATCGACAGTACCGTGCCTCCTAGTAAGCGGGCTCGGACTCGATCAAATGCGAACCCTACCGAGCCCAATGGTGCGAAGCACGACCATGAGGGCTCTGATGATGCCAGTGACCATGATGAGGAGCTGGATCTGGATGACAAGGACCAGCAAAGTCATATGTCTGTTCCTAGCTCGGTGAAGAAGGCTATTGTTGTTGGTGAGGACACTATGCAGGAGCCGCCAAAGGCAGGCTTGAGAGATCCTGTAGGAGGATACAAGACGAACCCGCCGCCTGTGGGACGACCTGTCAGAGTGTACGCCGACGGGGTATTCGACTTGTTCCATCTTGGGTAGGCCCAACGCATTCCCTTCCGCTCTGGTTATGAGCAATTCTGACTTCTCCACAGACACATGCGCCAGCTGGAACAAGCGAAAACGGCGTTCCCAGACACCTATTTAATCGTCGGAGTCACAGGTGACGCAGAAACACACAAGCGGAAGGGTTTGACAGTGCTCACCGGAGCGGAAAGAGCAGAAACTGTCCGTCATTGCAGATGGGTGGACGAGGTCATTCCTAACTGTCCATGGATTGTGACACCGGAGTTCCTTGACAAGCACCACATTGACTACGTCGCTCATGACGATGAGCCCTATGGTGCGGACGAAGGAGATGACATCTACGCGCCAATCAAGAAGGCAGGCAAGTTTCTCGTGACACAGAGAACCGAAGGAGTCTCCACGACAGGAATTATCACAAAGATTGTCCGCGACTATGAGAAGTATATCGCCCGCCAGTTGAGGAGGGGCACAAGTCGTCAAGAATTGAACGTCAGCTGGCTGAAAAAGAACGAGTTGGATATCAAGCGCCATATGCAGGAGCTGAGAGATAGCATCAAAACAAACTGGAGCACTGCTGGAGGGGAGATTGGACGAGATCTCCGACAGTTTTGGCAGAATGCCGGTTCACGGCCTGCGAGTCCAAATCCGTTTAACAGACAGCTTAGCGATGGCCTGAGGAGTCCAAGCGCTGCCAGTGCTCTCGACCATCTGAAGCATCTGGAGGTGCCCGGTAGTGCTGACAAGCGCAGCGACTCTCCAGGCAGATTCAGCCGAAGTGAAGACTTTGCAGCTGGATACAGCCTGGGTTTGATCGGAGGAGTCAAGTCATGGGTAAGATTGGCTTCCCGCCGTTTCGAGGATGATCCAATACTAACCAGGGTCGCCTTAGATGATGCGTGGCAAGAGAGCTCTGAGAGATAGTCAGCCACCAAGCCCCGATGGCAGTGAGGACGATGAGGCTAGAAGCCCCTTCAGCAACGAGGGCGATGTCACCATTGAGCTCAAGACACCACCGATGGGTCGAGGGAGGAAGAGCAAGAATACCAGCGAATCTGACGACCTACAGTAGGAAGCCATGGATGTGATGCATTGACCCGGACCGATGGGAGAAATTGGAATTCAGCTTGCTCTGTGAAGGGAGAGTAGCGACGGCGAGTCTGTCCAAGGTTGCTCTGTCTTCCACCAGCGGAGTGGCTATCGTTTGGGGAAGTGGTGGTGGTGGAAACCTTGGTATGGGAACGGTGGCCAGTATCAAGCCTTGGGGCATTCTTCAAGTACGTAGTTATTAGTTGTCTGAGGCACAAAAGTAGGTATTGTTGCTCAATATACATATCACTCCGAGCTGCACGTTTGTCTAAAGATCATTCATGTCAGACACGCAATGCTTTTCTTTGTTAGTAGGGGCTGATGGATTCCGCAGATCCAGAGGCTCATTTTCTTGTAGTTTGTCATAACTTTGCTGGCATTGAAGGTCTATGATTCGGCCAAATCCTTTGGCTGGCGAGCCATAGTCATGCTTTCAGCGCTTGAAATGTTGTCGTGACCATGCCTCATGGTATGATTTTGAGTCCGCCTCCGATTCCAGACCATCATTTCGATGCAATTTGTCTGTTTGTAAAATCTTTGGTGTTTTCATGCGCCACAACAGTCCGCTCCAGAAACCCTCTTCCATCTGAACACGTCTATGATCTGGGCTTCTCCTTCTTCTCCTTCCACAAAGCAGTCAAACCAACACCGGAGACCTTGACGACCTTGAATCGCACACCGGGAATATCACCCTTGGCCTTGCCCTTTCGACCGAAACCGGCGAGCAGAACCTCGTCGTTCTCGTCCACAAAGTTCAAGCAACCGTCATTGGGCACTGCAAAGAAAGACCGTCTGTTAGCACTCTTTCGCTCACATGACACAGTACAAGCTTTGTTTCGGCAGATGCCATCTTCAATCGGAGTCTGGGGCGTGGGTTGAGGCTGTATATATCCAACGTACCGAAAGCAGTAACCTTCTTGCCGTTCTTGATCAATTGCACTCTAACACATTTTCGGATGGCGGAGTTGGGTTGTTTGGCTTCGACACCGACTTTTTCCAGCACAATGCCCTTGGCGTGCGAGGAGCCACCAAAGGGAGATGACTTGTAGGCGGTTCCGAGGAGACGCTTCTTGTAGTGGAGATCGGCCCAGCGACCTTCCTTTCGGGCGGCGACGAGCTTGCGGGCGGCGTTCAAACCGCGGGGCTTTCCTCTGTTCGTCATGTCTAATGTTCAACAGAGATATGTTAGTTTTTGCCGAGTATCTCAAGAGGGATTTGAACGTCGTGCAAATGAGACCCAGTCGGTGGCGCAATGGGCTGCTCTCAGGAGCGAGACCGCAACGTTGGAATGACCCGGGTGCTGAAGAGGGAATGGGAGTTTGTACGTACTGGCGACGGTTGACAAGCAGAAAGTCGAGTGGAAGGGGAGGTTGACGGCGGTTTGAGGTCGTTGTCGATAATTTGCGGACAGGATTGAGATGGTTTTCTCAAGTCTCAGTGCGGCTGCCAAGACTGCGCCTGCGGCTGCGCAAAATGCAGTGGCTGAAGCTGGAAAGCGGTGAGATGCGGCAGAATTTTCGGTTCTGCGGAGCATACGATGTTTCTCCGCAGTCGTTGTTGACCTCGCTCCCCAGATCCAATGTACTATTCCCGATCACTTTGTCCTCACGCCGTCCTGTTAGCATATCGCTCGCTATTACATGGGATAGTATTGCATTTTGAGGCGAGAGCAGTGCTCTCCGCCGACATCGCAGATGGCGTCGTCTTCAAGAAAGCCGCCTCAACTGGAGCCACCGGCGTCAATGCCTTCCGAGCGTGAGCGGCCCAAACTCAATACCTCGAGGACGACTGCGCATCGTCTGCCTCCGCCGGCACTGTTCCAGGGCCCCCCGTCGAGAAATACATCGCACATCTCGCTCGTGCTCCCCGGCGACAGGGTCCCTGGAGCGCCTGGAGCGGACGCAGAACATCCGCAGCGCATCCACCGACCTGCGCGTGTCCCTGCCGCGTCCTCGTTCTCGGGGCCCTCGCTCCGCCAGCCCGCCGCGGACGCGGACGACCGTCGAGCTGAGAGTCTATGGGCGGATATGCAGAAGACGCTGGCCGACGTGGAGGTCTCGGCCATGAACACGTCGCACGTGTTTGGAGCATCGCATGCAAGAGCCCTGGAAGACCTGCGCGCTGCACAGCTCTCCCTGGCGCAGACCTGGGCGCAGACCGAGGCCGACGAATTGTACGAGCACGACTTTAACAGTGCTGCGGACAACAAGAAGGACAGTCTCAACCAGATCAAGACCGACGTTAGCAGCCAGCTGGATACGGCGTCTTCGACACCTATTGACCCCGGTCCCGGCAGGGGTGCCAAGGGGGCGAAGATGGCCAACCCGACCCGCAGCGCGTTCACCAACAACAAGAACCTCGAAGAGGAGACCGAGCGAGACATCCAGCTCGCTCGTAAACGCAGAGAGGCCAACGACCGCTATTTCCAGCAGGTCAATCGCGGAGTTCTCGATGTCGTCAGCAAGCTCGACGAGGTCGCCGGTGCCATGCGCCGCGTCGAGCGAGAATCCCGAGAAATTTGGGACGAGTCAAGTGATGACAGCATCAGTGGATCAGAAAGCGGAACGGTGACCGATCGGACTGCACTGACTGACAGTCCGGGAACTATACGGAAAGAACGCTGAAGATGGAAAGACGCCGAGGCACTTCTATCGAGGCACAGACTCGACTCTGCAGGCATGCAAGGCAGATTCTGTTGTTCGTGATACTTCATTCTAGGCAATGGTCTGTGGGATTGGGTGGTTTGCCCTGTCAGAGGTGACAGGGACTACCACGTTCCGGTTGCCACAGCAGTGAAGAGCGGCAAGACGGAGCTGGCTTGTATTGCGTGGTGCCTTGTTCTTTACTAAATCACCTCGACTTTGCATCTCAAGCAGACCGAAATCCGGACTACAATTCGAGCTGCACTCAGGACCAATGGCTGGCTTCGGTAGGAAACTCTGCCCAGGGCGACGCAGACGGTGCTATCCAGAAATGAGCCCCTGTCCATCCCTCTACCAACACGTTATCTGGCCATTATACAGAGAGCTTCCCTGGCTCGTACGTTCTTTCAAAGTGCCTGTGCCCAACATTGAAAGCGGAGGCTGGCCCGAGAGTACGTCAATGCCAATACCAATGCCTTCTGAGCTCGAGATTCCGCCGGGTTGTGCATATAGGGCCCGAGGACCATGTCCCATTCAAAACCACGAGAGATGGTTCTTACAGACAACCTGAACACGGGAAGCCATGGTCTATAGCCTTTGTCACGCCGAGCAGCAGTCTATACAGTCTTGCTTGCTCTCACTTTCTGCCGAATACTGACGGCGGCGAGGGCAGTCCAAAGACTATATTTGTTCAGGGATTGAAGAAGATTCCCACTTCCACGGACTGTTGTCATGATGAAAGGGAAAAAAGACCCTTTGGCATGAATTGCGGGCGAAGTGGTAGTACCGAGCTACACTTGTTTTAGACTTGGACACAACCTGGCGCTTCCGGCTTACGTCTCTTATGCTCTGCATTGTTGTCTCTGCAATTGGATTGTGCACGTGCTTAGGATGACTTTGTTTCCCTCCTGTTGGGCTCTGTGGCTAATAACCGTAGGCGAGGCTGCTTAGGCAGTATCGAAGCTTGATTCTATTCAACGATGCTCCGTGATATTGCCCTATTCAGTATTGAAGAGCAGTTACAAGTTCTGTCTGCCAGGATCACATATCATCTGACCCCCGCGCCTTGATCAAAGCGGCTCCGGCTTGCCCGCCTTGAGTCGGAACCTGACTCGTGACCATGGGTCATTTCTTCCTGTTCCACGAAGCGGATAGACGTACTCCTTTGTCTGTTGCGCGACTGTGACTGGAAGGCCTCGTCCATAGCATCCGCGCCACGTTGGTCCTGAGCTGCTCTGATGGACGGTCCGTGAGTGGGTCCGGGATGCTGAGTTATAGGAGTAGGATCTTCAGACTCGTCATTCTCGCGAGGCTCTTTCGATCCCGCCGAGCTTGGTCGGCTGCTTGTTGTAAGGGCCTGGGAAGAAACCGAAGCACCACGGCGATGAGATTTGGTCCCGTGGGCCAAAAATGGAGAACGTGTCCGAGGTAAAGATGCCAGGTAATCACTCTGGCTTTCTTCGTCGTCAAGTTCTGCCCAAATACCTCTTATGTTGCTGTCCGGTTGCGCTGGACCGGAGAGAGTGGGTGGTCGTTTGCGATCGATCAGGAGCGGCGTTTGCTCGTCCGTGGAACGTCTCGAACCAGATGTAGAACTCCGCTTACGTCCATTGGGAAGCAGTGGAGGTCGTTCCTCCGTTGGCGACTGCACCAAGCCCATCCCAGGTGTGAGAGGCGTTGCTGGAGGGAGGACTGGATGAGCGGACTCTTGTGGTGGAGTGTCATCCAGTCTCCAAGACAAGGCCAAAACGCCGCTGAGTAGTATGACGGTGCCCAACGCCACGAAGCCGGCAGACAAAGCAGTGAGCCTTGAAGCTTGTTGAAAATAAATCAAACCATCCAGAATTGCTATGATGTTGTAAACGCAAAACACAAAGGGGTATAGTACACTGGTGCTGCAAAGACGTAGGCCGAGGTGCAGATAATATAACTGGGTCAGCGCGAAAAAGAGAAGCGCGACGAGGATAAGCCACGATTGAAAGCGGCCGAATTGATTCTTGTGATCGACGATAGTCCGTACGAGCAGCTCCACGGCGGACTTCGCAACCAGAAGGGAATGGGCAGATAGAATGCCAGATATCAAGGCATAACAAAGGCCTCGAGTGAGTCGTAGGCGACTCAGTCTGACTTTCACTTGCTGTGGTAACTGAGCCGTGAAGGAACGCGACATCATTGCTGTGCGATCTGAAATGGTAGACGCTGACCGAGGTCGTTCAGCCTTGGGGAGACTTTGTACGACGTGCTTGTGAGACGCCCAAATCTTGAGGACGTGAGCAAGCAGAATGGTAGCGACCACCACGACCATCGTCACAACCATCCATATTATGAAGTCCCGTTCGTGAAGAAGATCCAGCAACTGCTGCAGGTTGTGCGCCGGTTCGCCAATGGCACCAAACGTGGCTATGAGGGCGGCCCCAGAACATGTGAGGATCGTGCCCACAAGAGAGAAATAAGTGAAACGCTCGCCGAGTAATAGTGTCGCGAATGCGGTGTTGAAGACCAAGCCCGATGCTTGGAGGGTAGAGAGGACAGGCAGGGGCAGTGTTGTGATTTGTATGGTGCTGCCGACCACATTCGAGATCAGAAACATGAACATGCCCAGTCGCCATTTCTGCCTCTTGTAGGGAGGTCGCCGCGTCTCGGGGATATGTTTCGCATCTTCAATGATATGTGACTTCCGTTGGAGGGTCAAGCCGAGACTCTGTATCGACGTGGACAGGAGGCCAACAATAATTCCGATCTGCTTGCTAGTGAGTCAGGGTATCCCATTGAGTGTAAGAGACCTACGGCAATGCTGCCTTGAGGCGAGATGTCACCGATTCGGCCCATAGTGTGATGATATTAAGACGGTGCAAAGGTCCATTCGTAGTTCTCTCAGGTTGGCCGAGCAGACCATCTTGGGCCCCGGAGCATGGAGATGATAACTGTCTAGCGATGGAGGGCGTTCATAATGTAGAGTAGGGATATAGGGCGACGAAGGGTACACAAAGGGGGGAGTCTTGTATGCGGGCGGTGAACGACAAATAGAGAGAGGAGAGGCTGTCAAAACGTGTTTGGCGTCGCGGCGGGCGGGTGACTTCATCATTGAGCTAAATGGTTTGCAGTACGGGGTTCTCTACCGCCCCGTACAGTTCTGCCCAACCGTGCGTGCCATTGGACAGCCTCGAGGTTGGCTGCGCATGCTCTTCGCCGTTCACTGATACGCTCCACCGTTATACAAGACGAGGGTCATACCTTCCATATCTGAGCTTCCTTTGAACACATGTTCTGGCAGACTCCATTGAACCAGCGATCACTTGAGCTTCCCGTTGTTGTGCCTTTCACATATCGTGGCTTGCAGCACTGGCAGATTCTTGAGCCCACCACTTGCCAGAGTCAGGACAAACTTAACGGCAGTACAGCTCCCAGACTGCCTCAAGCGTCGAGCACCGTTCCCGACTATAATCTCGCCGTCGGAAACTATTGACCTTCCTTCATCCATTGTCTCTAAAACAGTACAAATTACACCGCCAACATGTCGTCTCACGCGCTCTCGGACGACCAGGTATGCCTATGGAAGATAGCCTGCCTAGCGTGCCTCGCTAACCAACCGCTTCGGCACCCCAGGTCGCCTCCGAGCTCAAGAAGATGACTGCCTTCATCCGGCAAGAAGCGATGGAAAAGGCCCGCGAGATACAACTCAAGGCAGATGAAGAGTTCGCAATCGAGAAGTCTCGACTGGTGCGAGAAGAGATCGCTGCCATTGACACCGAATACGAGAAGAAGTTTAAACAAGCCTCCATGTCCCAGCAGATCACACGGTCCACCATGGCCAACAAGACGCGGATAAAGGTGCTCAGTGCCCGACAGGAGCTTCTCGACAGGCTCTTTGAGCAAGCCAGGGAGAAGCTACCCGAAGCGGGATCCAAGAGCAAGAATTATGAGGAGATATTGAAAGGACTGATTCTTGAAGGCATGTACATGCTCTGCGAGAAGAAGGTCTCCATACGGTGCCGAGAGGCGGACAAAGAAAAGGTTCAAAGTGCGGCCAAGAAGGCTTCTGCTGAATACAAGGAAAAAATGGGCAGCGGGTCGGAGGCCGTTGTGGACGACAGCGAATGGCTGCCAGCCGAATCGTAAGTCATTGCTTGCCAAACCACTAAAGCAGAATCTAACTCAACTTCAGAGCTGGCGGAGTCTTTGTTGTGAGCGGTAGTGGCAAGATAGAGCTGAACAACACCTTTGAAGAAAGATTGCGGTTGTGCGAAACCGATGCTCTTCCCAGCATCAGAGCCACGCTGTTTGGGGAGAACAAGAACAGGAAGTTCCATGATTGAGCGGACATCTACTTAACTTGCGAAGGAGTTCAGTGTCATGTCTAGGAGGCAGAGGTATGCTGTTTGTGTTTCATCGCTCATGTAACAGGGAGGCCAAGCTCGAATAGAGGCTGGCATCGAGAACAAGGACATATTCACCACGGCTGGCGACAAATCCTGCCTTTATTATCACACGACGTATGGATGGGCTTATACCGTCATCGGTGCAAAGTTCCTATTCCAAAATGCCTACTGAAGACAGACTTACATCTCTTGGCAACATCTAATCATCAAAATCATCATTCATTTCGCCGTGACGCCATGCTCGTCTTACAATGTACTAACAGACCTGCGATGTCCAGACAGCACGAGTCGCACCTCGAAAAAGACAAAAGACACTCAGAAGGAGAATCCATGCATCTTTACTCGCTCAGCCCGAGCTGCTTGCGGATCGACTTCTCTGTCTCAGAACATGCTGACGATTCCCCAGACGATGTGGCTGTTGCGAATGTAGCGGAAGCCTCGTTCCGTGGCGTATTCTGCAGGTCGTTCTCTTGCGCTTTCCCCTGCTGCTTTTCCTTCCTCCGTGCCAAAAAGTGTTTCATGAAGTCCTTGCCTTTGTCCTCCGTGCGAACCTCCTCTGCATCCTGGATCCTTCTGGTTGTGCCGTCGAAGATGTTCTTCTTCGGGCGCAACTCAGTCCGTACGCTGTATAAAAGGCGCCAATGAAGGGCTTGTAGGACGTCTTTTGCCTCAGTCCGCGTCATGTGCGAGGCGCCTGTGTCGATGATTGAGATATACGTGGATCGGATGCTGTCTGCCAGACGATCCACTGATCTGTTGAACAAAACCTCTTCAGCGCGTGAGGGAAAGGTCGTGGGACGGCCACCATCAGATATTGCAACATCAAGAACGGAAGTCAGCGCATGTAAAGCGACATAGTCGAGAGCGTTGGGTCCTTTGCGACGTCTGGTGTCAAAAGACGAGGATGTTGAAACGTGCTCTGCGAGGATATCAAGAGAGATTCGAGGCTTGAGAGATTTATCGCCTTTGAGTACATCAACTCCGAGAAGAAAACACTGCGCAAGTGAGATGCGCACCCTGCATGCTGTTGTCGACGTTGGAAGGATATGTGAGAGCAGATGGGCCTGCAAAACTGCGTCCTCCAGGTGGTGACCGACATCTGCAACCATGCTCTCAGCAATGTGAGACCGCAGAGTGGGCTCCGGTAAGGATAGCAGTGTTTCCAGCATTCCTTCGACTTTGCAGGATATACGAGCATCACTCATGAGTCCACAGTCGACGGCGATTCGGCAGACAATCGAAGTCAGTCTGCTCAGTGCCATAAAGTCCATATCATGGCAGATTGATTGAAACAACTCCAAGGCGGCCAGAAGGTATTTCGGATCACGCTTCGAGGGTGCTCTGAGCAGGCGGTGCCGGGGTTGAATCGAGACGGAGTCTTGGAGACTGACATCATCTGCTCCTAAAGTCTGGAAGACGGTCTGCACGTCTTGGGGGGTCAAGTTTGTTCGGGTCCATGAAGAGCTCGCGTTTCGCAGACACTGGATATACGCCGACCGTACATCATCCTCCCGCTCGATAACCACGTTCTGAAAAGTCCAGTTCAGGGCCTCGTCGGATAAGCGTCCTTTGGCGGCGAGCTCAGCCATATAGCCAGACAAAAATACCCGCGACAGGGCCCCATCGTCCCCTGGGCGCCACAGGTCGTCTGGAATCGCTCCAGCAGGGAAATCAACGCGCGCAGGAGACTCGTGGTGCCAGTCGTTCAAGCCATTGATACCGAAAAACAAAAAGACACAGTTGGATGCCAGAGCCTCCGTGCGTTCCACGGCGTCCATGAGCCTTGAAACCCCCGCCTCTCCATCTTCAGTGGTTGCGACCGCTGCGAGTAGTTTTTTATCGAGGTTCGCATTGGTCTCGACCTCCGAGGCTTTCACGGCTTCTTGGAAATCGGCTCGAGATCTCTTGACCTTTTGTTCTAATTCTTCGTCGTCAAAATGCTCATTTAAGATTCCAGATATATCGAACCGGTGCTCCAGCTCTCTGGCATACAACGCTCTCAGTTTCTCCTTGCTCATCGAAGGGTTCGAACGACCTCTGGTAAACAAGCTCAGTGTCTTCAAGCGCTCGGCTTCGAGCCGTGTTTCATCTGGCTCGGGAGAAGACGACAGAGAGGTGACATGACCTCCCTTTGCTCTTCCCAGGATATCATCCAGTGACTCCAACGACTTCAGCGACTCCGAATCATCCTCGTCTGAATCAAGGATTTCGATGACCTCGCCATTTTTGATCACGGCCTGGGTTGAGTTCGGCAGTTCCGCGAAGGAGGGCGTTTTCAGGGGCTTGACGGGGGTGGGGGATGAAGAATCTTTCCTTGCGGCTTTGCCGAAGTCAGGCGGCTTCTTGTACGTCGAGGGCGGCTCGACTGACAGGTGAGGTCGGGGGCTGCGGATGGGAAGAGACGCTCGGGAACCCGGGACGGACGACGGCGAAAGAGCGGAAGATGATGCAGGAGTGTGAGCGTGTACATTCGCAGACCGTCTGGCAGCCTTGGGAGTGGTCATGAGACCGACATCCTTGGACGGGTTCTTCTGCTGCTCTGCATCTTCGATCAAAGGAGACGGCCGTTTGGCCGGAACGTTGCTTTTGAAGTATGGTTTGAAGAAATCGGTGATGGGTCGCTTCTTAGGTGGGGGAGAAGGCATAGAGGCGACTCATCAGGGCATCTTCAGAAGTTGCGCGTGCGACAACTAACGCCAGGTAGGCCCATTGACCAGCGATGATGTGTTTTGGTGAAGGTTGCAGGACATCCAGAGCAGAGGCGCAGCCTAGCAGACATGAAGTTACAGTACCTGATTAACGCGCAACGCGCCAAGGTGCCCGCCGTGCTAGCAATTCGCGCGTCATCTGGGGCAACCAAAGATTCCCCACCGCAGTCACACATCACCCGATACTAGTATCTCGTACCCCGACATTCGATTGATTTCAAACAGGTACTTAAGATATGTTGCTCTGCTGACTTGAATATAGAAACACAAACAGTATCTGATCTCACTTGATCATGCTACAAGCAACAGCCTCTGCACCGTACAGCAACTCCAAATCGATGTGCCTTCGGCGGGCCCTGGATCCAGGGCTTCTATACCTCAAAGCTGAATGCTCCTATGCCGCGGGTATGCATGAGCACAGGCACGTCCAGAATGATCAGTAGACCTCCATTGCAGCAAGCAGGGCAATGACACCCCCTGCCCCGTCCAATACGGATCGAACCATATTCATCCAATGCCACCGCCTAAGCAACACTACAACTTCGCCCCCTCCGACCTTTTCCCTCATGGTAGAATCCTTTGATAGCGCAATCAATCTCTCGTTTGTGTTCATCATAACCAGTCTAGTCCACGGCAGTGTTGCAAGAGTGAGGCTGGCAGCCACAGCATACCGGACTCGTCTGTCTGGGTCGAGGAAAGCGGCGAGTCCCGTGCTCAGGCTGGATAGAAGTACCAGTGGAACTATCGTGCTGGCGCCACGGTAGTAGAACTCCGCGAAGATGGAGGTGCTGGTCTCTGCGGGGAGCCGGTAGAGGATCGGGACAGTAAGCTGAGAGGCAGAGAAGTGCACGCCCGAAAGGTATATGGAGGTGGAAAGACCCAGAAGGGACGTTGTCCTGAGGATGGCAAGGTTGTCCATTACTACTGACGATGTAGTTGACCGCGATCTGGAGATTCTGAAACTTGATGGAGGGCGTGTTCTTTTTTTGTTGAGCACGCAGTGTGCGTCAGGTACCAAGTTATATATTGTATACGCACGCAGCTTGAGAGGTGTCTGTTATTAGCCTCGACCACAGTTGCCTAAGTTGTGCCGTGCCGAAGTGGCAGCTGGATACGGACGTAAACACCCCATCTACACTCTATATCCAGCCGTTGCACATCGGCGGTCGGAGAAAGAGATGCCCTCCCTCCCCTTCCACAGAACAGGCCCACCATTGACGTTCGACACCACCGTGTCGAGGCAAATAGTCCACCTGGTAAGTTCGAGTAAGTAGGTATGTCTTTCCATGGTCTTCGTGAGAAGCGGTATCCCTCAGATATGTACGATTTCAAAACGAACCAAGCTTTCAATCCCCGAAAGGTCCAGCACGGCAGATACAGAATCGATACCAAACAGCACGCTCTACCATTCGTTGTTCGAGTCGATATGACTCGACCCGTGCAAAACACAGCATCTTAACATACAATAAGACGCTGCTGTCTGAATGGATGGATGATTTACAGGGCCGCCTATAGACGGTCACCATGATCTCCCTGGGAAGTCGTCGTCTATGCGACATCTTTGTACATTTCGATGTCGACTCAAGGTACCTTGTGGGCATTTGACAACCTTCCGGTTGCAGCACACAGGTTTGTGCCGTTGTAGAGACCTCATAAGACAGTGTGTTGCAACAACATACATGCTAAAGAAATTTTCGAAATTGCTTGAAGGACATGTCAAGTTATATATTCACATGATCCCCCGTATTAATATGGCGGAGTATTTGTACTGCCAATAGAACCCATCAGCGACCTCTTTAACGATGTCTCGTACATTGTCAGAGATTCTGGTTTCTGATGACCCTGCATCCTGTGTGGTATATTGTAGTGCTCACGAGCCCACGTTGCCCAGATGGCAATAATTTCGTGAGGCATCTGACTTGAAGCTCATACAAACGTTGCTCGATTGAAAACTTCTGGATTGCTCAATCCCATCCTGGAACATAACGCTCGATTGCGCCAGTCAGGATACATGAACGACATGGCTTGCATTCACTCAGCATATCCCATTAAAGCACTGTGCCACACAGCTCTGGACCAGAAGGGTATCGCTCCACGTGTTCCCACTCAGGGTAGGAGTTTCTGTCAATTCATAGCTCGAGTCAAACCCACCAGCTGCCCAGGTGGTGTATCCCAGGAAGACGTCGGCGTTGCTATTAAGGAAGCTCAGCTCCTGACAGAGAAGCGTGGCACAATTGGCATCGTTCAATCCTCCCGTTTCCGTCAACAAGGCAACACGCCCGTTAGATCGGAGATAGTCGACCAAGTTAGACAGTCCCGCTCTGCCGTACGAGGTGTCGATGTTGTTCGTGACGCATTCATTGTTGCCACCAGAGTCATTGGAATCAAGGTACTCGTGCACCTCGAACACCAGCTTTGAAGTCCCCCCAGCTGGGTCTGTGATGCCCATCAGCGCCGGTCCAGACCCATCAGAGTTTGTGGGCAGGTATGTAATTGAATGGGTCCAGCCCTTGCCGGGGAGAAGGATCAGTTGAGACGTAGCTCCAGCCTGCCGGATGGCGTTGACAGCGGCCTGGAGAGTCGCTGCCCAGGTGTCGATGTCGATGACACCGCCGTCGGATGACTGGCAAGATTCGTCGTGAGGCTCGTTCATCAAGCCAAACGCAACGCGACTCTCTGAAGCGTACACCGTGGCTAGCTGACTCCACAGACTGGCAAATTCGGCCGCCGACGGACCATCCTGGCCGATGATCATGCCGTTGAAGCGGGCATAGTTGTGGATGTCAACGATGCAGAGTGATGCACCAGAATCGAGGCACCCTTGGACTAATGTGTTGTAGGTTGCAAGGTTGGTTTGGTCAAGAGTGTTGCTGGCGAGGGACCCTCCGTCATATTGATTGATCAGATATTGCCATGAGACGGGAAGTCTGAAAGCGTTCAACCCATCATCGTCAACGAAATGGTTGATCTGTGCGATATAGTTCGTCGCGTCCACGTAAGGTGGCGACGTATGAATTCCACAAGTGTCGTATGAGCCAAATTCGAACCCGGCGATGTTGACTCCACCATACCGAACATGTGTGCCTGTACTAGTAGACGAGGGGCTTGATGAAGTGGTTGTTGCAGTTGCAGTTGCCGTGCCGCTGCTCTCTGAAGTGGTGGTTATTGAAGTGATTGGAGTCGGCACGGTTGAGAACGTGGTGGGAGAAGGAATTGTGCTTGTCGATGAGAGCTCGCTCGCTAGGAAATGTAAACAACCATCCACCGTACGACTAGTCAAGATAATCAATCACTTACCAGGCGGTGGTGGGATACATTGCCAGTAATAGTCATTGCTGTATGCGCAGGGCCAATCGTCAGTGCAGCATGTAGAGCCTACCCAGTTGATGCCGCCACATTGACCCCAGTTGGTGGCACAGGGAGTTGTGGCCGTGGAGGTGGAAGAGGTTGTCGAAGTTGCTGTGGTAGTTGATGCTGCTGAAGTCGGGCTCGAAGTGTCTACCGGTATTCGACACTCGGAGTAGTAGTCATTGTCGTATTGGCAAGTCCAGTCCGACTGACAACAGGACGGACCAGTCCATCCGATACCTCCACACTGTCCATAGGTAGCGCTGCAATCAGGATTTCCTAGGTAGGGTAGACATTGAGAATAGAAGTCGTTCATATACTGGCAGCTGGAACCGGTGGCACAGCACGTAGAGCCTGTCCACTCGGTCCCACCACATTGCCCGTAAACAGTCGAGCAGCCCTGTGCAGCTGCACGGGATGAATAGAGGAGGATCGTTGCCATAATCATTGGCAAAGGCATCACCCTGCCTCGCTGAAAGAGGTTCTGCATTCTGGCTGCCCGTTTTCAAGGCCGGTCGCGATCGCGCAATATGGCAGATTGACGCCGATGCTGATACTTCTAGAGAATGCGGACCACGATCCATTGTCCAAAGCCATGCGGTCATCCTCTTATATCCTGGTCCGAACACCCTTTCCAATCTCTCGAAGAGAACGACATTCTTGGCCATGTGTAGACTCTGGCCAAATATCATGCCAGTCTGTGCGTTCCTCAGGGTCGTTGCGAATCCGACACCTCATTCGAGCTCGGCCCCTGCTCGACACCGAAATGCAAAAATTCGGAACAACTCTCCATGTATACTAGTACGTACAGGATCATAAAGTATGAGTCCCAAGTACTAGTAGCATTTTGAACGTCGAAGCGTGACAGGCACAGAGCGCTCGGGCCAAATGGCGATCGGCAACGACGTCGTCGGAGATTGTTCGTGCCAAACGGTCAGTGACCTAGGTCTTCGCCCCTGACAAGTAAGTAGTTTCATAGAATTAAAGTCCGCGTCAAGGGAACCACATAACTGACTTTCGGCAGATTTAGAAGACCGTCGGTGTCGTGCAGGATGCACCCCCACCACTGGCAGTTTGTCGTCTCCGAGATCCGTCGTTGCTTTTTGGACGTGGCTAAAACTCTCTCAGTGGTACTTACATATTTTTCATTACTACCTATCGCCTGGGAGAGGGAACGGGTGTGGTGCGTTGTATATAAAGGCGATTTAGTAAGTAAGTACTCTTCCACCATATACGAATCCAATCCTAGAGCGGTTGCTGTTGTATGGTCTGGAGCAGGGCTCTCGCATCACAGCCAAAGTCGGCAGGCCGGGGCCAGATGTAGGAGGAGAGTCCTTCTCTTCGGATCTCGAACAGATCCACTCCTGTCCATCCTTGTTAGCCTGAAACGTGAAAGCTACCATCCTGAATTGTTGACGGAGGGTCTTAATCAGAACTACTAGTACATATATACCGCAATTTGCGTTTACTTCCCATGCAGTGGAATACTAAGTACTAGCTAGTACTAAGTAGTAGTAGTACCTACTAGTAGTACTAGTAGGAAAGTCTGGATTCAATCTACATCCCCCTCCAACAAGAGAGTCGGAGCTCATACAGACTTCCTCAAGTAAAGTATCGCGTCTTTATGGCTTGCGTAACAAAGAAGTTCAACCCAACGCTTTCAAGTTGTCAGGAAGAAGCACCTTCTTCTTGCCGAACGATGCATCATACGTAGATACTGGAGGTAAGTAGGTACTTAGTACTAGTACTTAAGTACATAAGGTAGTAAGTACTTAGTTTGAAGTCGTCGCAACTTCCACGCGTGTACAAGTACTACTTACTTTATGCAAGTGTTCAGCTTTTAGACACTGCTTCTAAGGCTGCCTAGGGCATGCATGTTCGTCACCGCCATTAAAATCGCCATGAGTACTACTTACTTCCTGAGACCGCGGTTTTGCCAATTTAACAGGAGGGCGCCCTGCGTACAACTCAAGCTACTACTGTAGTTAAGTAGTACTTACTTACTAGATACTTAACTTAACCCTCCCTTCACTGTAAGCACTTCCAGCGCGTCAATACTACTAAGTACTTACTACCTACTTAGTAGTACTGTAGCCGTCAACAGTGCATGCAGTCTTGTGCAGTACTTAGTGACTAGGGCGCTGAAATCGCATCTTTTATCGGCAAAATCAGTACTGTAGTACTTACTTTAGTGTTCGGAACGGAACTTAGGTATTTACCTAGGTACTACTACTAAGTTACGGCAATTTTTTCTACTAGTACTTATTATGATTCAGTTGTAATCGCTATATGATTAGTATGATTATGATTATACTTGATACTACTACTTACTAAGTACCTACTATCTACCTAGGTAGCTAGTATTACGCCTAAAACCTGTTTTAACTAGTAGGTAGTAGGTACTAGTACTAACCTATTAGTAGTCCTTAGGGAAAATTATATCAAACCCGTATCAAACCTCAAACCCGTATCAAACCTCAAACCCGTATCAAACCTCAAACCAGTATCAAGCCCGTATCAAGCCTCGAACCGGTATTGACCCGTATCGAACCTATATCGATATTTGATCTAGGTCTAATCTAGATTCCTTCCACTCCTCCATCTTTGACACCTTCAGATCAACGAGTTCTTTTCCCCGAGGAACAAGCCTCGCTCCAGCATCTTCACGAACAGCACCATATTTTCTCTCTCCAAAGGTATAGTAAGTACATCAGCTTCTCCTTCAACGTAATGTTCAGGGCAACGAGGGCCACGTGAACATGTCTTCGACAGCACTGGCCCCCACGACGTAACGAACGGGTGGCACTCTTTGGATGCTTCGACTTCAGTTGTACTGTATGTGGCCGCAGGGCTCGTGGTCAAGGACGACGTTCGATGGTTCCGAAAGCCTGCAGGGCGGCGACATCGGTCTCATAGTTGATGTTGGCGGTGGGCGTCCCTGTCTTGATATGCACTTTGGCTGCTCGTGGCTCCCGCACGATTTGACTGGCTTCAGCTAAGTAAATAAAGTAAGCATTGAGCATAATGGCATTGTTTCTTGAGGAGAAACAGAGTGGCCACACGGTTCTGCTGCATTCAAGTTCCTGGCAGGATGGGGCGGGCCGACGTCGTTTCCTTGGATTGACCTGGACACCGCTTTTCACTAAGGAAGGGACCATGGACCATGCAACCGAGAAGTTGAGGCAGTTGTCAGTAAGTACCTATGACACGGGCGTGCCAACGGCAGGCGCAGGTGATCGAACACCAGTAGTAGTAAATAATAGTAGGAAGAACCTCAGGAAGTGTACTTAGCGCTTAGTCCCTAAGGGTTAGTACTAAGGAGGTATCTACTACTACTAGTAGGTAGGTAGTAGTAGTACTAACTTTAGAACTTAGGACTGGTAGTACCTAGCCATAGAATAAATTTCTCCTACAGGTAGTATCCAAATGCACGTTTGCCTTCTTCGCCATTGAGGATGGCTGACTCGCCGGGAAACCCTTTGAGACCGCCCTCGAAACAGCCGCCGCGGAAATCTTCAGGAGAGACCCCAGCCAGGAAGTCCTTGAGCTGGCCCTTCATGTACCGGGCATTCATTTCCGTAGTGGGTGTGGCTGCGCCGTACACTACGGCGGCATAGTCCTTACCTTTATGTTCGACGTCGACAGCGTGGCACATCTGTTCAACATTAGCTAAGTCATGATTGCTCGTGAACCGTAGTCACTTACATCCATATGCCACCACACAGAGTCACCTGGTTTCATTTCGGGGATATACGTCATGGTTTCCTTTAGGCGCAAGTGAGGGAAGGGTTCGGGACTGAGCACCTGGGGTGTGTGCCTCCATACGCCTGGGAACCAAGGGTCGTCGAGGTCGAGGGACCACTTCTCGGCGTCGAGGACGTCGCCCAGGTTCCCTGGAGGTCGAAAGAAGGGCCGCAGCATCACGTATGCAATGCCTGCCTTCAGATCGGGAAACAGCTGGAGACTGCCCTCGTGCGGCGCCGTGGGCGACAGGGCAGTCCAGCCCTGGAACGCACGTACGACGTGCGACTGAGAGGAGCCTGGGTAGTAAGCAGGGTCCCCACGTTTGCGCCAGGTAAAGTCAAAGGCGTCGAACTCGTCCGGGCGGCCCTGCCAGATCTTCTCGTAGATCTTGCGGTAAGCCGGGTCGCCCCAGCGGCACAGGCTGCCGGCGTCGATGTGCGGGCCCAGGCCCGTGAACGAGTTGCCGGGGGGCCGCATGCGCATGGCGTCGGCGTAGGCCATTGGGGCGGCGAAGCTTTGCTCGAGGTCCTCGTCGTCGTGAAAGAGCGAAATGATGGCCCGCTGCAGCGCCATGGCGCGCGGGTGGGTGCGCGCCTCGACCTGGGCTTTAGTCCAGTAGAGCTGGAGGATATACGGTTGTTCTTTTGGCCAGCCTAAGACGCCTCATCAGTCCTGTTCGACGGATGCTGCTTGACGGAGTAGGGTCTTACCAGTGATAACCCCCTTGTTGTCCTGCATGTACTTCTGCATCCATTGAAACCACCCCTCGGCCGTCTCGGTGGGGATGGTGCCTCGAACCACTACACAACCTCTTCGCTTGACCTCTTCTTTGTCGGCCTTGTTCATTGTGAAGAAGTCGTCATAGGAGAATTCACGAATCATCGACGAACCCTTCTCCCGAATCTCCTTGGTGACGGCCTCAAGCATCTTGCAGACCTGAATCCAACTCCGCCGGAGGTTCTCCTCGCCGTACTCGGCGGCGATTTCCTTTTTGATTTTTGCGTTATCAGGGTGCAACTCTCCTTCCTCGCGAGTGTATTCCGGCCATGGCCATGGGGTTTCGGAGCCTGCGTCACCCATGACTATTCGCTGGTGTTCTTGAAGGAATGTCCTGAATGCAGTGATGGCCGGTTGTGTTTAAGAACTGAATTTATCAGAGCTGTCACAAGTGTCCTTGCAGCTTGGTTGAATATATACTCTTAGCTCTTTTGGGCAGTACTTCACCAATCTGGTTAACCGCAGCGGGTTTCTCCCTCGAGTTAACCGCAGTTCTGGCCCTGAATAGAGTTAGACTTGTCAAATGGGGCACCATCAGCCCTCTCGTAAACTCTTGGAGAGTGTGAGCGCTACACTGAGATCCCTACTCCTTCGCTATCTGACTCGACTGCCCCAACTTCCCATCCCGCAAGGCTGCCGTATCTTACTAGTCCCAGATAGGCCAGCCGCCAGAGTTCAATGCTAGTCCCCCATAGTGCTCCATATAAATGACCAGTCACCAACCACGGTCTCCGAGCTTATCGAAACAGCCATCCAATATAGTGGAGAATTATAGAGCGAATAGTGGGGTTGAAGGCGTACACATTGCAAGAAATGACTCCGGCGAATATCATGGCAATATCGGGAATCTGTTGAAGTAATGATTCTGAAAGTGTGAATCGACTTTCCTGTAATCTACCTACCTCATTACCATCATAATTGACAAAGTTTGAAAGAAGACCTTTCCGGCACTCCACAGTCTCCTCGACGAGCTGCGCTGCTCTCCGCCCACCAGTGGAGAGTCGATCTTGTCTCCTGTCGCCCTCATTTCGCACTTAAGGGCTTACTGTCGGTCAGGCAACCTCCGACTTTGCGAAGTTTGCAAGCGTGACATTTTGAGCGGCGTTCTGCTACATGTTTGCCAATTTCAAGGTCTCTGAGAAAGGGACGGGGTCGACCAAGACCATCGTTCGACATCGCCGGTCGACTGCCGGTTGCTATACGTGTACAGGCCCAGCCCCAGTTGCCAGTTCCCCGTTCCCGATCCAGCTCAGCATGTTCCTCGTCCAATGTCGCGGGACCCAGACGTCAAGCCCAGGACTCCCTTTCTTGAGCGACCCTCTCGCTGATGCCTCCCTTACACAGGTCGGAAGCGGAGAAAAAAGTGTGACGAAATTAAGCCTATTTGTGGCAGATGTGGGAAAGTCCCTTCAACCCCGTGCGTCTGGGATGCCCAAAATCCATATGCACGTCCATCGTCGTCCCAATACAGCAGCAGTACCAGCCTCGCCGACTCCAGCTCATCGATCCCGCCATCACTGCCATGGAGCCTGTGTATGTTGATGAGGCAGACACAGACCGACAGCGTGGCGCTCACACCCTCACCAATGGTCTACAACAAGCAGGTGGACTTCCTGCTGCATGCTTTCCACAACGTCCACTCAATGTCGTACGTAGACCCAAGCTACTCGTTGGTTCGGCTGGCCCTGCCACAAGCCCTGCAGCGGCCGGGCCTCCTGCACGCCTTTGCCGCGTGCGGCGCCGCCATCTTGTCGAGGACCGATCCAAGATGGGAGTCAACGAGTCTGGCCCACCACATCCAGGCCACTCGCTCCATCGCCACCGCTCTCGACGACCTTGGTGGCGATCAGATGATGTCCAACGACGATGAGTGGTTCCTGGCTTCCATTAATCTCTTACACATCTTTGAGGTTAGTTCTTGCTGCCAGAGGCGGTGCTCCTTCGTTCTACGCTCACAGTCCACATATAGACACTGCGCAATCATCCTAAGGGTCGACCAAATACCTTGCATCTCGCTGCCGCCCATCAGATCTATGGAGGAAGAGCATCCGCGGGGAGCATCCAGCCGATGACGATTTTGCGCCGCAGAGTCCTGGGCGAGTTTATCTTCCAGCTGGCCATCGCAAGTACCTTTCACCCGTCCTTCTTTGAGACTGAACATTCTTTTCTCTATGTCCACAACCTGCTGGAAAAAGTGGGCGTCAATCAGCGAGAGAGAAGAAAATCAGAAACCATCAACCAGGAAACCAAAATTTGCTCGGTTGACCAATACCTCGAAATGTTTGAAAATCCCGTCTTTGACTGGATATTTCGTCTGTCGTATCTGCGCACCCGAGTGCCACTAACAGGCCAGTATTTGACCGAGGCTGTAGCCATCCTGGCCTACATGAGAAATTGGCGGCCACTCACCTCCTTGGCCGCGACGCATCTGCCGCGCGAGATGATCGCTATGGCCGAAATCCATCGCATCGCCGGGCTGATTTTTGCGCACAAAATCCTCGATCCCTCCCTCAAACCACGCGACCTGGCCATCCAGAGCTACGTGCGGCAGGGTACCGCCCTCCTTAACACTTTCCCGAAGTCGAAGCTCAAGGATACGAGTGTGATGATCTGGCCTATTTTCTTCCTTGGCCTGGCCGCAATCACAACCGACGAACGAGGCTCCTGTCAGCGACCTCTGCAATATCTCTCCTCGGTCTGCGGCATTGGATGCACTCGAGGCATTTTGGCCCTGCTGGATCATGCATGGGCACCCCAGTCGACGTCTTCTGGCAGCAATGAGGGTCTAGCTCTTGATGTGCTGTTTCGAGACGACCTTCTTAGCCAGATCATCTTCTGAAGTGGCTTTGCGCTGCCGAGTTTCTACCAAATCTCACAAAGCCAAGACCATTAAGCCCATCCAGACTTGTCCGTGGCTGTAGGAGTGATCTGATCGCCGAGTCTTGCCATCTTGATTAGAATGGTATGACGAGATATTAGATCCCAGGCGGCGTTGCCATCTACTTCAGCACTTTCTACTTATCGACGTTGATCGTCGGTCTAATCTACTATGGGTAATCCCTGTTTGAATCAATCCAGCTGCTTGCATCGAATGATCGCGACTTGTGAGCAGCAACCAGGTACCTTTCTCAGCTTTATCTGCCCTGCCGGCTTCGTCGACGCCAGCCTTTGTGTCAATAGAGACCTATAAAGGCAGAGTTTCGGTGACTGAGTATCAAAACGGATCATTTGTTCCATGATCCCGCTATCTAAACCTCTCGAAAAGGATAGCCGCCATCCACAGCCACACGTGTCAAAGCGATCATTTGTTCCATGATCTCGTCTCGAAAAGGATAACCGCCAACCACAGCTGCACAGATCCGCTCAGCCTCGATTCGCAACCAAAGACCGACGGGCGATAAAGGAAAGGGTGGCCCCGTACCCACTAGGAATAACTCTTCCTCTCTCCACTTCCCCAATCACTCTGAGCCTCCCGCTATCAGGAGGAAGGAGCCTTTGGGCTGGAGGTGTCAAACGGCGTATGCCGGTGCCCCTTATCGCGGCAGTCGCTCTGACCATTCTCTCCTTCCCCACTCATCTACCTTTGACGACTCTGAGCATGCTTTTGAACTATTCTACTGCCAAACCTGAGCATATCTCCGCCTTTAGTGCACGACGTCTCGAAAAGTGATGTGTCCATGCAGGCCAGCCTCCTGCCTCTTGACTTCCAAATATCCTCGACTAGCTTCGGAGAACACCCGAGGGTTGGCCATGGTAGATAACACTCGACGGACGAGCTCGGTCGCTCGATGGTAATGACTTACTATAAAGCCAGTGGTGCGAAGATGAGTGAGTCTTGTAACAGAGCGACCTTTCTCTGTCACTTGTTTGACTTCGTCGACATTCATACCAACTGTGTCGACTGTACCTCTTGCTCGAATACCCTCGCCCAGCGTTGAATCTCTAAGGTGGCAGCCGCAGCCCCGTGACTACCACTGTATGGCATACACCTTATTCGGAGCCAAGGGCTCGGCCGGGCTGAAGATGGCGACGCCTCGCAGCTCTCTGGTGACTGTTGCGCTGCTTTTGTGGTGCTCCAGCATCTTGTCGACGACGCTCGGATACGATTCCTCGATGATGCAAGTGGAGCGGCCACAAATCATAGAAACATTGTGCTAACGTTGGACAACAGGAATGGCCTGAATATTCTTCCTTCCTACACTGACTACTTCCACCTGAACACCACGACGCTCGCTGTTCAGTCGGCCATCGGCTGGGCAGGCCTTGCGTGTGCGGGCTTCTTCTTCGGCCAGGTCACGGACTGGCTGGGCCGCAAGAAGGCTATGTGGATCAGCGCTGCCATCACCCTTATCGGAGCGATCTTGCAGACTGCTTCGCAGAATGTGGCCATGTTCGTGGTTAGCCGATTTATTGTTGGCGTGGGCAACGGCTGCGCCTTTCTCTGCGCCCCCGTCTACCTGGCCGAGGTGCTGCCCCTGAAGTGGCGCGGCGTCGGCTTGGGCCTGTTCATGGCTTGCTTCTACGTCGGCGGCCTCCTGGCTGCCGGCATCACCTACTGCACGGCCAAGATGCAGTCGACCTGGGCCTGGCGCCTGCCATCGGCCATCCAGGGCGTCCTCACCGTCATCTCCGTCACCGTGCTACCCTTTGTGCCCGAGACGCCACGCTGGTTGATGTACCACGTCCGCCCCGAGGAGGCCCTTCGGGCCATTGCGGCTACCCACGGCGACGGCAACCACGAGGGCGCCTTGGTGCTGGCCACCTACAAGGAAATCGTGGATTCGATTGCCGAGGAGAAGAAGGCCAGCAAGCTGAGCGCCTTCGAGCTGCTCAAGAACAAGCAGAGTGTGCGTCGCTTGATGCTGTGTACCTCGGTCGCCGTCATCACAATGTGTTCTGGTGGGTCTCGGCTCCTTGCTTGAGAAATAGAAATACTGATTTCGAAACAGGGAACAACATCATCAGTTTCTATTTGGGCAAGATGCTGACCAATGCCGGCATCACCAACAGCAACACTCAGTTGGAAATTGTGGGTCTCACCCCTTTTTGTCTTTCTGAGATGGACTAACACCAACCACAGAATATCATCTTGAATGCTTGGTGTTTGGTGGTCGCCCTGGTCGGGACTTTCCTTGTGGACAGCGTAGGCCGAAAACCTTTGGGCATCATCTCATGCGTGCTCATGACAATCTTTATCTTCCTGGTGGGGGCTTTGACAAAAGGTCAGTTTGGTCAGGTAATTCTTGGTCTGGCTCCCATGACTGACGAATCCTCCCAGTCTATGGCGACAGTACCAACAATTCGGGCATCTACGGCACGGTGGCCACCATCTTTTTGTTTCAAGGCTCATACAGTCTGGCCTGGACGCCTCTCGCCATGCTGTACCCGCCCGAGGTCTTGAACTATTCGGTGCGATCTGTCGGCATGGGCGTGTATACATTTCTTACCAACGGATTTGGGTGAGTTGGAAAGTCATTTGCTAGTAGTTCGCCACTGATATCAACCCAGCCTCATGGTCACGATGGCCTTCCCCTACGCGCTGGACGCCATCGGCTGGAAGACGTACATGATCAACGGCGTGTGGGACGTGCTCCAGATTGGCTACGTCGTCTACTACTGGGTCGAGACCAAGGGTAAGACTCTCGAGGAGATCGACGAACTGTTCGGCGGTGCCGACCACTTGACCGGCCCGCGCATCCAAGAGGTCCTGCAGGGCATCGAGCCGCACCTCGCCCTTGACGGTACGGACGTCGTGGTGGCCGACGGGAAGCAGGCGATCCACAAGACCACCTCCAAGGAGTAGGAGTGACAGGGTCAAACGTGTCAACCAGATCTGGAGTATTAAGGGGCTGCTTTTGACGTTTTGTATGAGGATTGAGATGGCGATTTCGCTATCCCACGAGACGTCGATCTACACCTACAACTCTCTGTGACCTACAAGTCCGCAATTCTGGACATTCAGACTACAGTCTTCTAAAGAAAACTGCACCGTTGGCGTAACTTTCGATTTGATCAGTTTCCGTTTGATACTAGTAACCGTGTACCCGTTAGCCACGCCGAAGGAAGTATGGCAGGATGACCTAACGGGGTTGCGGCACAGTCAGAGGCCGTCTCGCCCATGCTTAACGCCAAAACATCCTCCAACCCTGAGTCGGCTATAAGCCTTATATCGATGGGCAGCACCGGCCCCACAGTACCTAATAAACACGCTAATCACCAACTTTAGGCGGGCCGATACGAGAGTAAGATCAAGGGTTGGATTCCGCTAGGCACGGGCCGCACGGCTATCAGCATGGCTGCTTCGCCTCAAAGCACCGGGCCAATAAGAGCTAGCAGCAGCGTATCGTCGTTTGGAGAGTGTGATGCTTCAAAATGGAGGACGTCAAGCAGGATTGAGAGTGTCAAAACAAGCAACCATCACGAATCGGATAGAGAGAGAGAGGGACCCTCACAGTAATAGTATCTAATTAAGTAGCCCATGTCCGCGGGGGGTATAGGAATAAATTCCAATAGAGCCAGCCATCGCAAAGATGCCCAGCCTTATTCTGTTTCGGTACTACCTAGGTACTTATGTACTTACTAGTACTTAAGGTACTAATCTCTCCGCCATCCGCACTCCGTATCGGTACCTACTTAAGACAGGATGACAGTGGTAGGTATTTCCGGTACTCGGTCGTCTCGGGCCATGGCATATACCCTAAAGAGAGGCACTCGCCATATCCTAGAGACCAACATCAGCCAAGTTTTGCCCGACCATACTACCTACCCAGTTATGCATACCCGGTCATACGTGAAAATTGGCAGCCCTTATCCATCGTGAAACATCCAATAAATATCCAACGTCGCCTCCCAACCAAAGGTAGCGTATCCTTTTGGCTCTTGTGAAACTGGTCAGATCGTGCCTTCCCTCTTATTGCTTGTTACTCATGAACAACGCGAGGTAAGAAGTGAAGGCGGCATCTGGAAAGTCTTGACGCTGCTGCCAGGGAGCACTTGCAGTAAGTATCTACAAATCGTCCACAAGTGGCTACTACTAGTACCATGTACAGGCAACGCTTCGTCGAAACCAGGTGGTTGAGGTTCTCCGCGCCACTTTCTTGAGCCTGCCGCAAGATGCGAATTCCACGCTCGAAAATTCGGATTTGCTCGTCCTCCTTCCTGTTCACCATATGCTCCAAAGTCGGCGTCGTCGATGTCGAGAAGCTTGATTGTAACAATCTTGCGATCACCTTATACGATAAACACTGCAATCTGAGAAGCCCAAAGCTTCCAAGACATACTAGTACTCTTTGTACACTCTTGCTTGCTAATAAGCTCGTCAAACGCACAGTCGGGCTCGGGCTGCTTGGATCTCTTACACTTCTCTGCTACTACTAGTACTTATTGCACCTCAGCCAAGCGGACCGGTCCGCATGGCGAAGGTGTGCAGTCATGGCTGCAACGGAATCGGGAGAGAGTCCATGGCAAAGGCGACACAACGCCGTTGCCGGATAGATTTCGCTCTTGGTACTTAATAGGACTTGAAAAAATCTCTAAGAAGCTTCTGAGAAGTATCGGAGAAGACTCTGAAGCTGTTTCGATACAGTATCTACCTATACAGATTTGATCTTAGAGGGATGTGTACTATAGTGGTACGTGTTGCTATGTACTAGGCCTATTCGTAAACTTTCCGACAAAGTTACTTAGTGGTATAAGTAGGTATTAAGTATTCCTTTATATACCTGAGTCGCAAAACTAACCTCGCAATCGACCATAGGATCAAGAATGCAGCGCTTCCCGTTCGCTCAGCGGTACTTAAGCTTGATACCGGTTAGTTAGTACTAGAGTGGGTGACCATCTGGGAATCCTGACTGTTGATTGTTTTTGCATTTTAGAGGCAATAGTTTTGGAAAAGAAAAATTCGGTCCTAAGTCGGATTCGAACCTAATTTTTGACTATACTTGGTAAGTATTAGTACTTAATAAAGTACTAGGTAGCCTAGGCCAGCCCGATCTTAGGTTACCTCTAGTACCCCTAGCCCGGTACAGCTCAGTATAAGGTCGGTTGTAGCTCGGGCTGTAACTAGGTTGTATCGAGCTGGCCCGGGCTGGGAGTGAGCAGAGTAAGGGAGGCCACTTAGTATATACTAGGTACTACTTAGGTACCTTAGTCTCAATACCGTTTGGATTCGGTTTCCAGACGGTTTTGATATACCTAGTCTTAATAAGGTAGGAAGGAATTCTAAGTATACCTATTTTCGATAGGTATAGATTTGAAACTATTACTAGGTAAGGTAGCTAGGTACCTACTATAGTAGGTATTTAGTATAAAAGTACTTAGTATATCTAAGTGTTATATAGACCTAGAACTAGACCTAGCACTAATATTATAGTAGATATCTAGTACCTACTACTACCTATTCTAATCTAGGTATTTTTAATCTAGTTTTAATCTAGTTCTCTAATCTAGTTCTAGAAGCCCTGTATAAGTGAACGGGATCAACCTCCTCGCTCGAATAGCTTTACCAGTGAAATAGCTTTGGTGTTCTGCTTCGCAAATCTGTGTTGTTGTGAACACGAGTACTACTAGTGATGCAGTCTGTCGGCATAAGCATCCTCGACCGGAACGCTGCATTTCAGGGGAGGGTGAAAGGAAACAAGGCAAATGTGATCGTTCCAGGCCGGTGGACTTTGTCCACCACTCATCATTTGGGAACATCTGATGATATGAAACGGTCTTGTCCTCGATGTTCAGCAGAAACAAACATGGCTGTTGATGACATGAAGCCACTGTGTTCCACGGCAGCTATGTTGACCGTGCCTTTCATAAGTACTCCATGTATCTTACTAGTATATATATCCAAATGACCGTTCCACAGTCCAGCGGACTCGACCATACAATAATATATCACAGACAGAATTGCCCTTGTAACCGGCATATAAAATAGAACAAAGACACAAAAGGGAGGAGAATCAAACCGCGGTCATCGCAGCAAGCTGTACTTCTCTGCAGATATGGTATATACCGTACCAGACCGCCAGAAGCTGATGAGGAAATAAACAGGTGATCCAGACATGAAGAGATTAGCTGTACGCAACACACCTGGCAAGCGCGGCTCACAACTCAGACCAGATTGAAGTGCGATATACCGGGTACTAGTACCCCAGTAACTTTCGTAGAAGGGTTTTGCGTAGAGATGTCGAAACGGCATGGTTCAGATGGTACTAGTATTCAAGTGGTTGTCCCACGATGGGGAATCAACCAAGTGTTGTGAGAGGCGCCTTCCCTTCAACCTGACCATGGATGGCTTAACGGCAGAGAGAAAGGAGCAGCTGCAGAGGTGAACACTTTCGTATGACGGGCGCAACAGAGAACGGAGGCGGATGGGGCGATGTTGTTGAATGAAGATCACTCGAGGAATGCCCATACAGGGAGTGGACCATCGCCGCGGCTGACTCGTCTGCATTTCAGGAGGGCAGGCGGAAAATAGATACAATCCTTGGTGTGAGCATCCTCCGTTCAAGTCCTCGACGTCTAGGATTCGCGAGATCGCCACTCTTTGGAGACGTACACCAAGGTCGGCACAAAACGACCATGGGGCGAGCCATGCTGCCTCGGGTCAAGACATTCGTGCATAATCCTGCGGATTATATCGGTACTGCTGCACCGGAGGGGAGGAATTCGGGTCCGGCGTCGAACCCGGCGAACGGTAGGGGATATTTGGTGAATGTTTCGTAAGATATCCGCCCCCCGCAGGCAGTTCTGGCATGAACGACCGTTTATCCAGCCCTGGGCTGGCCATGCCGCCGCCTTGTCCTTGGTCATGGGAGCTCGGATGGGAACTGACCGAACCGGCGTAGCTGAGTCGATCGCGGTCAGACGTACTGCTGTGATTGAGATTGGTGCTGTTACTAGTATTATTTGGAAAAAGACTCTGGTTGGGTGAAGTGGCCGACAATTCGGATACTGCTGCAGAGAAGCGGTTCGGCAGAGGCAGCCGCGATGGTTGCTCTGGCAGGTCGTAAGGCGTGCTGCCCGGCATCTCGATGGCGAGGCCCTGCGGAGGCGGGAAGCCGGGGCTGTTGTTGTTGCTGTTGCGATTACTGTTGCTACTGCCGTACTGCGACTGTCTGGCGTAGGGGGAAGAGTATTGGTATCCTGGCGACATCGGAGGCGGTGGGATGTGCTGCTGCTGCAGATTGGGAGAGAGTAGAGACGGTGAATAGTGGCCGGCGCCCGAATGGGACTGGAACATTTGCGACCTGTCGGCCGGGTTGATGGTCTTGAGCTTGCCGTCTTCCATCATGGCGCTGAGCTGTCCCGAATCAATCAGCTCGGCTTTCTTGACGAGTCGATCGACCATGATCTTGGAGGCGGCCTTGAGTTCCTTCTTGACGAACGAGATCATTGCCGGGTTGCATTTGATTTCAATGTCTTCTCGCATGTAGAGGCCCTCGGCGGGCGCACCACTTCCCAGCTCCCTGGACTCGGGAGGTTCGCCGGGCTGGTTGCCTCGAATCTGCCATTTGTTGCGGACGTCGACCCCCATGGGCGCATACACGTGTGTCTGTAGTCCCCATGGCATGTCATGGAACACGCCCTTGAATGATATCTTGCCGGAACCCATCCTTCCCATGCCAGGCACATATTGTATCCGCTCCGCGATCTCGTACCATGTGGAGAAGTATTCATCTGCGGGGGCATTCTGCGGAGCTTTGACCGGCGTCCAACCGATAACGAGCGGGTTGAGTTGGATGATCTCGCCATGACTGTGCAGCATGTCGATGGCCAGTTGACGAGGAATGTGTGAAGGGATCGGAGTGATGTTCGCGTAAACCGACTTCTTCTTCATCTTTATGGCGGTTGGCGCGAGGTCGGTCGGTGTACGTGTACGGGTAGGTCGATGGATTCAACGCGTCACTGTCGCAATAGTGCTCGAAACCGTCGGGAAGGGGTTCGATAACAATGTCGAGAGTTGGGAATTGGACGGCGGATGCTGTGTGAGAGTAACGCACCGCAGGCAAGTGATTAGTGACTAAATTGGTGACGCTGACAAGCGACGCAATAACCTATGCGTTGGCGATTGTCCGGGCCTGAACCTGGTGCGGAGAGAGGATTCGAGGGGATTTCTAGAGATCACGACGGCGTGTGAGAGTTCGCAAAAGATTGCGGGTAGTTCGAGGAGGAGAGGAGGCTCTGGAGGAGGGATGGCAGGCGCAGGAGGCCCAAATATGTAGAGGAGGATGAATAATGCTTAGAACTTGTCCGGTGGTGGTGGTATTGATGGTGGAGGAGGAGCGATCGGTCGTTGTCAGCAATGGATCAAGTGTCGCGCGGGATCTGACCGACTCGAGTAGCATCCGCCTTCGCCTGTCTTACTGCTAGTATGAGATACTTCATTCATCTTGTCCCTTCTGCTCTTTGACGATAGAACTCTCGAGAAGTAGGAAGTACTAATAGTCGACAGATGGGAGCTGTGTCATGTCCTCCCACTACGCCGTGCGGAGTCGATTCCATCAGCTGGCTACAAGGTTGATGGCGGGCCTGATTTCGAGGATACAGTGGCTCGTCAGATTCGTCATCTACAGTGGCGGAGCGACATCATCAGACTGAAGAGCAAAAAGTGAGGCCTGTTACACCGTTTATCTCGGATTGAATCTGGCAGCGGGTTAGACTGATTCCATTCTGCCATGCAGTGGTATAAATATCCACACCATCCCCCCAGATCTGCGGAGCCCTCGATTCCGGGGAAAGCCTCCCCAACATTGCGTTACATCTTTGACCCGAATCCTCCGTGTCACACCTAGAAGTCGTCGTTCATGTATCGCTGCAACCACTGATTTCTTCCAGTCCACGATCGAATCTTCTTTCCGAATATCCTGCTCGAATGTCAGCAATTTGAACTCTCATACCGCGCTGTGGCGGTTATTCCCACTGCAACTCACCAGAGAGGAACTGTCAAAAAGCACACAAGCAAGAACAGCGCTCCAAGGATGCAGAACACCTCCAGAGGTCCATCCCTTGCCAGCCAGTCATTGACAAAGTAGGTCAGTCCGAACGTCAGAAGATTTCGCGCGTTGATGGCCACAAACGCCTCCTCGTTCAGCTTTGGGTAAGAATCGATCACGTAGCCAAAGACACATGTCGAGGCGAATGCCAAACTCATGTTTGCAAAGCCAAAGGTCAGGACTGGGCCGATCCAGTGAGTCTGGTAGTGGACAGTCGCCCCAAACCCGAAGAAGCCCACAGTTCCTAGGACGATGACAACGGTGATGAGCACCAGACGGAACTCCGGCTCATAAATTCCCCTGTTTTTCTTCGTCAGGTAGACACAAATCCAGTCGTTCAATGGACCCGAGATGACCTCCCCGAGTAACGTGAGGATGAATGGTGAGAGACTAATGAGGCCGACCTGTGACACCGAGAAGTTGTATGGCGGTGCCACGAAGATCACACCATTGACCACGGAGAAGACGACAATCCACGTCAGGGTGGTGCCGTAGATCAAAAAGCCCCAGGTGACCGCCGGGTAGAAGAACAAGATCACCGGGCGGGTGAAAATCTTGTACATGGGGGCGTAGCTATATCGTCCTGTAAAGATCCGTAGCGATTGCCAGTATGTCATTTTGGGCTCCGCGGACCCCCGTGTCACTGAATACGAAAGGTGTTTGTCCTTCTCACCTTGTGCTTGGGAAAGATCGTGTTCGTGAGCTAGTGCCATGTGGACGTGCTGTGCCCCAGGCTTCTCTTCGTCGCCGATCGCATCTGTGACCGGGACGACGACCACCGCATCACGACGATAGGACGTCTCTGGTACCAGAAAGAGGACCCCGAGCATGAGTACGCCGAAGAAGATGGCGCAAACCCCAAAGGTCCACTTGTATCCATCGTTTTCGATGATGTAGCCACTGACGAGGGCCCCGCCAGCTATTCCCGTGAGCAGGAACAAGTTCCACACTGCAATGCGCGTAGCTCGCTCGTGCACGAAATAGAGATCGCCTATCGTGCATTGAACAAGGACCTGGAAAAAGCCGTAAGAACCCATCGTATCTCAGCCACTCAGATACTCACCTCATACGGCGCCATGCCAATCCCCGAGATAACTCGACTTGCCAGGAAGGAGCTATAGTTGTCGGCTTTGGCTCCCCAGACACTGCAGGCGAACATGATGCAGATGGCCAGAATGTAGATTGGCCTTTTGCCGTAGATCTTGGCGAGAGGATTTGTGAGAAACAGGGCGAGACCAATGGCCAGGATGAGCCAGGCTGTAGCCTGAGACAGGACTTCCACGGTGATATTGAGCTGGGCCGAGATCTCAACAAATCCTGGCGACAACATAGGTCCAAACGCTCCCACAACCGCGGCGGAGAGGCCGACAATGAGAAGGATCATTTCCTTCTTCCATTGCGGCCAATTCAGAGGGTCGTTGGGCGAGTCTGAAGGCTGTGGGATCAGGATGATATTGGAGAATCTCCCCTTTCCGTGCTTGAGCTGCTCTCGCGGGACTTCGGCATATTCGGGTGGCAAGTCATCTTGATCGCTCATGAAGCTGGATGTGACGAATAGTGGTAAGTATCTGGTAAATTCGAAGCTCGCTATCGGGTGTGTAGACTTACGAGGTGCCAGGAACCACCTCCAGTTTCTTGCAGTCAATGATTCCAAAAGGCATCTTGCCGTTGAGTGGTTTTCAGCAAGCAAACGAAGCGGGTTTCGACACAATAGGACAGAGGGAGGCAACTTAATATGACAGTCTTTGACCATCAGCTACTAAGTAGCATTGGAGTATCCCATGGCATCGGGGCATCGACCAGGATGCAGCTGGGGGTCGTTCACCCTCATAGCAACAGGGCTTTGGAAGATGCTGAAGTGTGAGGGGATCATCTCTCCTCGCCATGTTATTACAGCAATCAACTCTGATTCGATGGACTGGCCGGGATTGTGTCGAGCTGGTTGCAGAAATCGTACATGATTCGAAATGGAGCATTGCTAAAGGCTTTGCCAGAGCCGGTGGAGATAGTCCCTGGGACAGCTGGAAGCTGGCTGATCGGCTGAACAGACCGACCCCGGAATATTCCCACCAAAGCCTTAGCATTCATGTTATGCTCCGAAAGGGTTCTGCAAAACAGACCTGTCTTTGGTCCTGGGGAGAACCCCATTCTGCCCCAGATCCATTTTACCCCAGTTGCCCCGTTCGGGGTGGTACTCCAATGGGGGTATATCGTGGCGTGTGCCGAGTGGTGATCAAGGCGGAGTGGATCTAGAACAGCATGCTGTTCGAGCGGACATCATGGATATCTAGGCTTGCTACTAGTAGGTAGGTAGGTATGCTTGCCATCTCTTCTTGACGGTGCTCGTTCCGGGGACCACCGTGTCCCAAAATTCCAGTTCGGCAGTTGAGTGGGATTGTAGAGAAAGCTCGTCCCTCTGTCTCTGCGCGGGCCCCTCCAACTCCTGTGGTGCCTCGAAAAGAGGTCTCGGGTGCACCGTCGAGACTCAAGAGGGAGGCTGGGAAGAAATGAACGGGCTGTAGTCCAATGTCGATCAGGAGCTGAGTCCTGCAGCCGGGTCCGTCGTCTGGTTTTCTGCAAAGGAAGAGTGACGGTTTGTTGAGAGGAAGTGTGGACGTCAATAGAGGATGAAGCATTTCTATAGAAACAGCAAGGATCCATCTCGAACTAGTAAATGAAAGACCCAACGCGTTGTCGGAGATGATGAAGAAGCTGAAGCTGAAGCTGCTGCTGCGCGGGCGAGACCTCGACGTGAAGCAACCCATCACATGACTGCCATCTTCTACTGTCGAGTTCTACTCGAAGGCTCCCTTCGCTGAGAGTGAGCAGGCACCGCAATGTCAGTGAGATATCTGTATATTCGAATGCTTCCTGCCCCTGGTTACAGCAAACCATAATCAGAGATCAGGAAAAAGGCTGCTGGCAGGCTATAACGTGCAGAGACAACACCCAACACACATGAGGATCCAGTATCACGACCCTATCTTCATACCTGCGGCGTTCCCACTACTCATGCAAGCTGATCAATTTCTTGTGCCAGCACCGTTGGGACCCCCTTGGTCTCAGGCTCTGACACACTGTTCGTCTTGACGTCGGTGCCATGTTTCAATCTCTTCAGGACATCATCGACGACTCTATACGCGTGAGGTTCTGCATCAAAGTCGAGCAGCCAGGCATCCCGCTTCAGATGCAGCGACTTCGGGTCCTTCCAAATCTGACCCCAGTCGGCCTTGTGCCATTGCTCGCGCGTCGTGATACCAGTTTTCTGTGCGCGGTGCACACGTTCATACCTGATGGCCTCATATGCCCGGATGCCCAGCTGGACGTTCTCCTTGCCAGCCTTCTCAAGAGTGATTGCCACCGTCACCCCGTCTTCCATGGACTGGCTAGCCCCCTGGATCGAAGTGGGGAGAAAGGGATGCGCGGCGTCACCGATCAGAGCGATTCGGGCCCTTGGTGAGACGAAGGTAGGCAAAGGATCCCGAAATACCAGTTTGTAATCGACCAGTCGGTCCGGGGGAGTGGCGTCGACGATGTCGTGGACCACAGGGGACCACCCGACAAGATTCTTCTTGACATCTTCTTTGTCTCCAGGGAACTGCCAGTCCTCGTCGATGTCGGCGGTGTCCTTGTGCGTCAACACCCAGCTGAATTCCTTGCCATTCTTGATGGATGCTGCAAGAAAATGTTTGTCTTCACCAATCTACGCACGGTGTTCCAGTCAGTATGGGAAGACGGATTCAATTGGCTATGAGGGGACGACGGCAAAACATGTCAGGAAAGTCCACTCTTACCCAACCAGAATGCGAGTCTCCGTTCACCACCAGATGCTTCGTCCTTTCATTTCTGGCGAGTTCGTCGGACGGGAACCAGCTGCGATAAACGGCATAGCCTGATGGCTTCGGACGGTCCTCGAAGCCCAAGACGATCTTTCTTCCAGGTGACTTGACCCCTTCTGCAGCAAGCACGCAGTCTGCAGTCAGCTTCTCACCGTTCACCATAACTCCCACTTCCGAGTCATTCTCGAAGTAGTCGCTGACATGCTGCCCAAGCCGAATATCAATCCCCCTGGCTTTGGCATGCTCGTACACGACACGATGGATTTCTCCTCGGTGGCCGTTGATCCTTCTGCCCCATTGTCTTTCCACATCCCACACCTGTCTGGTGGCAAAGTTCCCCATCCAGTCATAGAAGTCCAGTCCATCACTGTGGTGGATGACGGGATCGAGCTCGTCAACGACTCCCTCCCATCGCTCAAAGATGTGGCCTGAGTTGGAGGCGAAGCTGATGATATCGCCCAGCGGCTTCAACTCCGCAACTTTCTCCAGCAATATCACCGAGTGTCCTTTCCGGTCACACTCGATGGCGGCGCAGAGTCCGGCGAACCCAGCGCCGACAATGATCACTTTGATCCCAGAGGGCGGCAGCCTTGCGTAGCTTGGCATGTCGGGTGTCTCTCCCGCGAAGATGGGGACCGTGGATGCCACGCAAGTCGATTGTACCCGTGCCTGTAACTCTGTTGAAGTTATCAGGTTAAAGCATAGCTACTGATGGCTCCAGTTGAAACAACAGTCACACCCCTGTCCTTACCTCAACACCATCTCCAACTATACACGGTCCTCGGGATATCTGGCGTTGCCTGGGGTTTGTCCGGGGGTATCTCAACAGCACAACTGCCGACAGGCCCGAAACGGTAGTGGATGAGGCATGAATGGGTTCTCTCCGTCTCCATCTCCGCCTCCTCCTCCGCCTCCGCAAATTCATTGACCGTGGCGCCCCACGAGGAGCGGATCGTCCTCCACAACCTGAACCCATCCGCACAGGAGCAGTGGCAGCATGACATCCACACCCAATTGAAGCCTCACTAGAGGTGCTCTGTGCCACACCCCATTGGCCATCCTTACCGTGATAAGAGGACGAGTCATCATCGTAACGTCGGCATCTTCGCTCATCTGCGGCAAAATGTTCTTCCGGGCCAGTCTCTGTCGGACGATACTCAAGACCTCGGAGCCCATCTCTCAGCCCGAATACTTCGTCAAACTCTGACCATCCCGCCCCTGTCAGGTTATACATTTCAATCAGACGGTACTCTTCAATCCCCTTGCGGAAGTCTACTGGCGATACAGGCTTCTCCATGGCTTGGTCTAATCCTTTCGTTGTCTGGTCAGGGCTGACAGCCCTCCTCTTGCTGGGAGTAATCGGTATCTTGTTTCACGATGTGATGCTATGGAAGCGAATGCCGCCGGGCCCGCAGCCATTGCCATTCATCGGTAATAAACTGGACGTGCCCAAGAAATACCCCTGGATCCAGTTCCAAGAATGGTCGCGCAAATACGGCCCAATCTATACGATCTGGTTTGGTCGGCGACCGACAGTCATCATCTCCGACCCCAATGTCGCCGTGGATTTGCTCGAGAAGCGCTCGCACAAGTATAGCTCGCGACCGAGGTTCGTCGTCATGGGCGAGATCTTCTGGGACATGTCGAGCATCCTGGTACAGCCGTACGGCAAGGACTGGTCGGTGCGACGCAAAGCATTGCACAGCGTGCTCACCCAGCGAGCCCTGCAGCACTACAAGCCCGTGCAGGAAGCAGAGGCGACACGGCTATGCCATCAGCTCCTCCAGCGGAGGCATGTGCCTGACGACCTCGACGATCTGCTCAACCGGTACACCGCCTCAATCGTTTTCACCATTGCATACGGACATCGCATCGACAGTATGCAGTCGCCCATCATCCGGCAGCGGATGAAAATAATGCATTGGAACGCTGCGATCAATGTTCCTGGGCGGTATCTGGTCGAGTCGTTCCCAATTCTGAAATATATTCCTGACATGTTTGCCCCGTGGAAGCGCGAAGTCAAGTCATGGGGTCTGGGGGAAGCCGCAGCCAACGAGCAGCTGCTGGACTATGTGCGCGAAGACATGGAGAACGCGAAGAAGCCCGGCGCGCCGCCTCTCCCCAACAGCCTTGCGAAGCAACTTCTTGAGGCGCGCGCCGCGGACCCAGCGTCCTTTGCATTGCTGCGCGAGCGGGACTTTGCCAGTCTGCCCTCTTCAGTGTTTGGTGCAGGAGCAGACACAACGGCATCGACGCTGTCGTCAGCAATTTTGGCCATTGTGACAAATCAAGAAGTCCTCGACGCCGCGCACGCCGAGCTCGATGCTGTCATCGGCCAGCACAGGCTGCCCGGGTTCGCCGACGAACCGGCATTGCCCTATATCCGGGCGGTGAGCAAGGAGGCCCTTCGCTGGCGGCCCGTTGCCGTCCTCGGCGGCACACCCCACGCCAGCACTGAGGCCGACACGTACCAGGGGTACTATATCCCCAAAGGCACCAACATCCTCGGCAACAGCTGGGCCATCAACCTGCATGAAGAATACTACCCAAACCCGGACCACTTCAACCCTTTGCGGTTCCTGGACACAGATCCAAAGGAGCTAAGTTATCTTCCGCCATCGTACGTGGCCAGTACAGCTGTGGAAAAGGGTCGGCCACATCCCAGTAAGCTCGGCCACAGCAGTTTTGGCTGGGGTCGCCGCATCTGCCCCGGTGCCGACCTGGCATCAAACAATCTGTTCATCGCTCTCGCCCGTGTGCTGTGGTGCTTCGACATCAGACCCATCAAGGGCGTCGTATACGACACGTACGACTATACCGATGGCTTCAACATCCGGCCGAATCCGTTCAAATGCGAGTTCAAGGTGCGCAGTCAGCGGCATGAGGAAGTCCTGAAGTCCGCTTTCGCCGAAAGCTATGACTACTTGGAGAGAAACTTCCCGCTGTTCAAGGAACATGAGATAGTCATGTAAGATCCTGGAACACTGGCTCATGGCAGCCGCCGCTGTATAGTTGATGAAACCCGCAGACTGTGCGATTAGCGTTCGCCATAGGTAGATTCGTATATGCACATTGAGGTGCGCAATAAGAGACATCGACTCTACCTCGCCCCTTGCATCCGTTTGATTCGTTCCTCGGCTGCTCTGGCTCTTCGTTCCCTTTCCAGCCTCATCCTCATCTCTGGCGTCAAGCCCCTAACCTCTTCTTCACGTTTTTCTGCACCTGTTTTCTCAACAACGGTGGCAAGTGTTTTGCCTGTACCAGCCTTTCTTTCGATTCGGTTCGCGTTGCGCTGCTCTTCTTCTTGCCGGATCTGATCCAGCTCGGCGTTTCGTCGCCGAGCTTCAGCAGCCTCTGTCGCCGCTTTCTCCTGTTGAGCCTTTGCATCTGCTTCTTCTTGGCTTATGGGTGCAGGAACACGTGCTTTCGACCAGTCGAAGCCGTCCTCGCCCAATTGGTGGCGGGCTATTCGGAAAGCATCTCTGGTTTTGGCATCGCCCGCAATTTCATAGGGCGTCTTGCCATCTCCGTTTTGAACGGTCGGATCGGCCCTGGCCTTGGTGAGCAGCGCCAACACCAGCGCAGGAGAGTTGGTCGCTGCGGAGAGATGGAGAGGCGTGGGTGCGTGGTGGTTGTCCGTGGCTGGGAAGAAGGCAAAATTCGGTGAAAGTTGATTCTTGGTCAGATACAGTAAGACTCCAGGAGCCTTTGACCGGCGAATAAGAGCCTGTAGTTGAGATGTGTGGAACTGAGACGACTCTTCCTCCTTACTCAACTTTGGCGCCGATGCTTTCGGTTTCAGCTCCTTGGGAGCTGCCTTCTCAACAGGCTGCTTTTCAGTCGATGGTTCGACCAGCTTCCCCACTTTCAGCCTCGTGAGCTCGTTGAAAGACTTTAGGAGTTCGGCTTGTGTCGCCCGACGCGTGCTGAAAGGAAATCCACGAATGCGTTTGTCGTTGCCCCTCAACACTTGGCCGTCGTATGGACCAAACAGTGTTCTTCTATTCGCGCTCCCGGTGGCACGAATGAACAGTAATTCCGCACTTTCTATCAGTTCCCTCCATTCAACCAGCACATTTCTGATATCCGTCTCCAAAGCCATCTCGTTGTATCGTCGTATCGATGAACCGGCAGAGTGGGCATTGCCTTTCGCATTGTCGTTCGCAGATTGTGAGCCGCCCTGTTTCCGCCTCGTCGTGTACCGATGGAAAGTTTTGTGGACCCTGACGACGGCGTGTCGTTCTTCCACGCCTCCGGGTCCCTTCCTCAACTCGGGGACTAGCGAAACGATCATAGCGGCAAAGTGACCACCGCCAACCATGCAGAGAAACCAGTGTGGGTCATCATGTGAAGAGTTTGTTCCATTCGCTGTTGTCTTTCCGCTTGTTTTTGCCATTGTCGGTTTCAGCTGTTTCCTCTTAAGGATGTCTACCAGAGAGGTTGACGCATTTGCCTGTTCTTCGTTCGTAAGGATGGCCCTGTACAAGCCCAACCCCACATCTTCGCCAGCTTTTGGGCTCGACAACCATAGAAGAGGGGCATTTCCGAAACCAACTTTCTTTGTAGGAATTTTATCAGGTTCCTCAGCCTCTTGTGAGATTTTGGCTTGTTTCCGCAGGAGAGCACTCAGTGTGGTGTCTCCGGGCTTGCCCTCCTCTTCATCTTCGTCTTCCGAAATCTCCGACTCAGATCCTGACAGCGATTCGTCCAAATCTCCAATCAATCTCACAAATGTGGCCTCATCAACTGGAGGCATTCCCTTTATTTTCAACTTCAAGTTGTAGCGGTGGAAATCGGACTTGACATGCTGCCGCTGGTCCTGGACGTTATGGAAGGAGACTTTGCAAAGGGTACATGATGTAGAGGAAGAAACTGCATCGACGTTCAGTGCGGGCTGTTGCACGGTTGATCCCTCTGGCTCTTCTGTCTTTGGTGGTTCTCCACCTACAGGAGTAAGGCTGTTGAGCAGTTCGGGTGGTAGATCGTAGACTTGGTACCATAATGTCAGCGCCGTCCGCGGAAAATGAATAGAAATCTTACCATAAAGTGGCCGTCGAAGCAGCTGATTCGGTTCATCCTCTTTCGTGGCCATCGTGGCGACCGCAATTCCCCTCAACCAACGCCACGAAGTAGATCTTCCCCGGCCCTCTCAAACCAGAGTATAAATGCTTGTAAAGAATATCTGAGATGGTCAGGGCCTGGCTGCGTCATAACCTGGAAAGGGCATATTGTTCAATACGTTACTCTGAAACAAATGGGCCTGAAGTGCACTTGTATCACGTGAGTTCGTGTTTGGTGCCTGCGCGCGACACGTCGGCAGCCTTGCCCGTTGCCTGCCGGCATTTGGCAGTAGTAAGTAGATCGGCCACTTTGAATACTAAGAACTTCCTTAGATCGATAGCTTCAACTGCTACTGTTTAACTTGCAAGCAGGGCGCAGCTGATGCCTGCCGCACCCTGCCTTGTACTGCTTCACCCCGTTCGATGTCTACAAAACCCAGTTTGATCTTTCAAACCTTCCAGAGTCTGCAAGTCTACCTAACCAAACCTCATTGCTGACCGTGTAGCAAAGATGCCACGCACCAAATCATCCCCCAAGGCCTCCTCTCCCTCCTTGCAGGGCGTCGCTATCGCTTTTGCCTCATACTCACCCACTGCTCATGACCACTTTGACAACAAGAACATCACCCAGGTGAAGGCTGAGATAGACAACTGCGGTGGAAATCCCGTCTCCCGAGTTGGCCAGTGCACTTACCTCGTCGCCAGTGAAGAACAAATTGACAGACAACTGCTGCGCATCAGTGAGGCGCTGGAGAATGGCGTGACAATAGTCTCCTATGACTGGCTAGCGGCCTCCCTCATATCTACTCAAGCAATCGATCCCCTTCCATATGTTCTCGCCCCGGCTGGTACCGGCGGTGAAGTTGACGCAGAGAGTGATGCAGACGACCAGCTTACCCCGCAGAAGTCGAAGAAACACTTGAAGCGTGGACGACAAGGTGAGGATAGTGGCGAGGATCACGCGGTCGCAAAGAAGGCCAAGCACTCTTTCCCGGCAACATCAGTGATTGGGCCGAAAGATGAAGCCTCTGCTCCCAAACCAGCAACCATCCGCGTCCCTGTGGATGTTACGTGCCGCAATGCTGATCAGTATTGTGTCTATGTCGATGAGAACGGAACACCCTACGATGCCACTCTCAGCAAATCCGACTCCACTGTCAACAACAACAAATTCTACAGAATGCAGCTTCTGCACCACCTTGACTCCGATGACTACTTCTCCTGGTGCCGTTGGGGTCGCGTTGGTGACACTGGTCTGAGTAAGATGTTCGGAAACGGGACATTGCAGTCCGCAATCCGTGAGTTCCAGAAGAAGTTCAGAGAGAAGAGCGGCAACACTTGGGCCAAACGAGATGTCTCACCATCGCCAGACAAATACACTTACATTGAGTTCAACTATGAAGATTCTGACAACGAAGAGAAACCACGTACACAGCAATCGACTCCCCGAAAGGAACGTGGCATTGATGAACAGAGCCAGACCGTCAGCAAGCTGGCCCCAGCTGTGCAGCGTCTGATGAGTCTCATCTTCGATATCCAACTCTTCAACAACACGATGGCTAGCCTCGATTATGACGCGCTCAGAATGCCACTGGGCAAGTTAAGCAAGAAGACTCTCCTCAGAGGTTACGAGGCGCTCAAAGATCTTGCGAATATTATCGCGGATGCTCCTGGCATGCCCTCAAGCCAAGCCATCCAGGAGAAGAGCAACCAGTACTTCTCACTTGTCCCCCATGTTGTCGATCGCAGATCTGTCCCTGTCTTGAACGACATGGATCTCATTAAGGTAGGCTGACATGACTCTTTTTGCGTGGTCCTCGGAAACCTAACAGACTTCCTTTCTATTTAGCGCGAGATCCAGCTGTTGGAAACACTGACAGATATGCAATTGGCGAACGAGATCATGAAGTCTGCCAAGATCGACAAGTACAAGCAGGAAAAGCTTCACATTCTCGATCGACAGTACCAAGGACTTGGAATGCGAGAAATGACCCCTTTGGATGATACCAGCAAAGAATTCAAGGAAATTGCCTCGTATTTGTGCAACTCGGTGGGTAGTACTCACGGCATAAAATACACGCTACGCGATATCCTCCGAATTGAGCGTGATGGAGAAGCCGACCGGCTCGACACATCCCTATACGCGAAACTCGGCAAGAAGAGTGACCGGCGTCTCCTTTGGCATGGTTCCCGCTGCAGCAATTTCGGCGGTATACTCAGTCAAGGCTTACGCATTGCACCTCCCGAAGCTCCTTCTTCCGGATACATGTTTGGAAAAGGCATCTATCTTGCCGACATGAGTAGCAAGAGTGCAGGGTATTGTGCTTCTTCCAGCAGTGCCGGAACAGGTCTTCTGCTGCTTTGCGAAGCTGAATTAGGCAAGCCGTCCCTCCGATTGATCCATTCCGACTACGAAGCAGCCAGCCGCGCAAAGAAAGCTGGAAGCATCTCTACATGGGGTGTGGGCAAGACAGCACCAGTACAATGGAAGGACGCTTCGTGCGTCCACAAGTCTCTGAAGGGTGTCAGCATGCCTGATGTCGCCTCGGTCCCTCCCGGTCCGTCCGGTGAATCACATGCCTCTCTACTCTACAACGAGTATATCGTCTACGACATTGCTCAGATCAAGCTCAGATACCTATTGCGGGTTGAAATGAATTGATGCAGGGATGCTTGGTTCGAGCACTGGAAGAGGATACTCCTTGAACGAAACCCTGGAAACAGCGCGACGACTGTGAACCCCCGTTACAGATTGAGAGGAGGTATGGCCGAACTGCAAACGAGCTGGTGTACATCGAATCCGAACTCTGACGAGCACCACATCGGGGCGAAGTGACACGGTGCATCGCGAGCTGGCGAGTTGCAATCAAAGGCGTCTTGAGTATTGCAGTATTGGACTTGTCGTTCAACTCAAGCTCGCACCATGAGAGAGAATTGGCACTGCGCACAATACCACCCGAGCGAGCTCATACAACAACATTTTCCACTGCAACGCGATCAAGACGTATGGTATGGTATGGTATGGCATGCCATGACTATGGAATCAGCGAGACAGACGAGTTTTCTGGTGGAGGACAGGTTAGGTGCTAGATGCTAGGGCTAGAGTAGAGTTGAGCTAGAGAGCTTTTGCAATGAGCGCGAAACATGCAAATCTTGTCAAAGTCGTTGTTTCTTGTTCCGGTTCTAGTCATCTCATTTGTCGTCCCTACCCTCTCCAGGGTGCGCTTGTTACATTGATCCGTGCCATAAAATGACCCTGCACTTTTCTGTGGTTTATGTCCCATTTGTCCCCTTTCGCCTTCAATTCTCTCATTGCTTGTTCTGAGAAGCCTTGAGCCTTGTTCGTTTTTCAGGTGTTCTAGATCTTCTGGATCAAAAGTGCCACCATGACAGGTTGTGCCTATAGACTTGGCCTGCATCTTCCATCAAGTACCCACTGCTCGAGTCCGTTTTGTCATGCTCCACTTCTTGCCGGCAAGACGAGATGGATCCATGACATTCGGCCTCCCTCGACTCAGAAAGCCCGCTCATGGTATGCTGCCGCGTGTCGTCGGCGGACCACGCTGTCCCTGCGAAACCTCGGTTCGGGATGTGGTTGAGGTCGGGGTACAGCAACAGGGAGAGCAACAGGGCCCGGGTTGGCGTTGGCGTTGCGCCTTGTGAAGATGCCACCGAGGAGCGCTAGAGCGTCGTCGATGAGAGAGTCTACGCTGTTGTCGTCATTGCCACTGTTCCGACCTGTTCCATTGCGGTTGCCGTCGCCCTCGTTGTTTGAGACACTACTTGTGGAAGTGGAGGTGGAATTGGCATCGGCAGAAATAGTAGCGTTGGCATCGGCGGTCGCATTTGCATCGATGGAGGCAGTCACGTTGGCATCTGCAGCAGTAGCGTTGGCAACCGCAGCCACAAAAGCTATATTGGCGGCGGCCGAGACGTCTGTGGTATTTGCTGCTGCTGCGGTTGTGTTTGCAGCAGCAGGAGCCACAGCAGTGTCTTTGTTCTTGTGATGTTTGCGGCTCTGCAGGGTATTCCGTTTAAATCCCGTTGGGACGGTGACGACGTAGGCCGACACGGCTGGGGCGAAGTAATTGGGGAGGACAACGAGGGCACTCAGGGCCAATGAGTGCTGTATGTGTAGGGCTTGTCCATAGGCCAAGACAGAGGGTAGGACGAAGAGGGAGAATGTGAAAAGAGCGGCGAGAGAGCGAGCCATGATGGAGTGACGGGTTTGGAAGAGAGTCAACAGCCTGTGTCTTGGATTGGATGGGAAAGGAAAAGAAAAGAAAGTGAGATCGCTGATCAGTCAAAGTAGAGATGGCGAGAGAGAGAATGGATAAACCAGGACCAGCCTGGCCTGTGATTGTAGAGAAGGAGAGATCTGGCACGGGATGAAGAGGAAAGCTGCCTTGTTGTCGACGACGTCGTGACTTGATATAGGTAACCATGCATAGGCTGCTTGAGAGGTTAGTCGTTCCCCAGTCCCCGAATCGGGGATGTCTTTGTCTCATCCACGACTTGAGACTCGGATGAAATGGATAGCACCGCTTTTCTCTCACGGTTCCAACGTCGTCCTCGTGCGCCGAGGAACCTTAAGTCGGTGCGGGTCTAGGCTTCGCCAGGGATCAAGGAGTTGCATGTCGATAGATTTCCTCGAATTGGAACAAGGTGATGGAAGCTGCCACCACGCAAAGGGACGGGAGCTCTGGTCGTGTCGAGGGAGGGATGTACCTTACCTATTCGAGACATGTTCATTGCTGGCAGACGTCGACTGATGCTACAAGTGATGAGGCGTACCGAGTATGAGCGCAGCCGTCACATTGACATGGAAGGAAAGGATTGGCTGGAAAGCTGGATGCCGTGAGACAAGGAACGTATGGAACATGTCAGGTGGGGGGCTGACAGGGGGTGACAAGGCTGAGCTTCGGCGGGTGGAGCGGAAAGGGGGAACCGTTGAATGCTGAAGGTGTTACAGCTCCAATTCCCGCCCTTGGCAAGCGATCTGTCAGGATGTATTTGACATCAGTATGTTGGAAGTCGTCGTTGTCGTCGTTGTCGTCGTTGTCGTCGTTGTCGTCGTTGTCATCATTAAGCATCATCACCGTCAATAATAATGGAGTGTAAAGAAAAGGTGAGGCAGTTTCACTTCGGTGACATTAGGTTTATGCTGCAATGCTGTTGGGTATCTCTCATTTCATGTCTCGTAAGATCTCGTGTTATACATATGGTCACAATTGGGATTCGCAGACAGAAGTAGATTCAATCTCCACCCAGTCTGCGACCAGCTCCTCGACCAGTCCAACTGCCCGAGAAGCCGCTGGTCCATCCTCTGGCTTGTTGCTGAGGCACAGGTCTGCCAGGTCTAAAGGTCGTGCCGTAGGCTTTTTGAGTGAAAGCACTTCGATCGGCTCCAAACAGTCGCTTGATTACAGCTGGAGTCTGTATATAATTTCTGCCGCCTTGGAAGGTCGGATACAACCTCGTGAGGAAGTCGTAAAGGTGCGCTGCAATGATCCCCATGCCCTGTTGCAAGGCCGCTTGCGGGCCGCCCATGATCAGGGTCAGCGTGAGCATTGCCCATGGTAGCAGCTCGACGGGGATCTCAACAATGATGAAATGGGCTTTTTTGCCTCGGTTGTCTTGGGCGAAGGTGTAAATAAAAGCGAGGAGGAGGGCTTGGGTGAAGATGTGACCTCCTAGGACAAGTCCGCCGGTTCCCTGCGCCAGAGTTAGTCGATGCCATTTTAAGACACGGATTGCTTTGTCGCAACAGTAAGAGATGCTAAGTGCAAAGTTGAATTGTAGGAGGCCACAACCGCCAGACGCAATTTGGTAGATCGCGAAAAGCTTTCTCATTCGAGCCCCCACCATGCCTGCACCACATACAGTCCTTTTGACAGATTTGCGAATGACAGGATCTGTACGTGCCGCAGGGGTAATCTCCCTCGATTCCAGGAACCGCTTCAGCTAGGCATGCAACTGGGCGGGCAGATATGCCGAGGTTTGGATAGAAGGAATGACAAAACAAGGGGCGTGATACAGGGCGAGAACAGGCACTTACCAATGTGACTGTGGCAACGAAGACCACATAGGTAAAGAAATCTCCCGGCTGCGTGAATCGAGGGGAATTGAGCTCGAGTCCGGAAGCATATGTGTACACTATACACTGTTAGAACCTAACGTCGACGTAGAGAACAGGTGACGCACTGAAATAGAGGTCAAAGACAAAGGAGAACCCGCCCCCAGTCAAGATGAAGGATGAGAGTAGACGCCATATTTCTGGAGGGAATTTGAAGATCCATGGCGAGTGGAATACGATTGACATGGGGTTCAGGAGGCCTCCATGGACAAGAGCAGATTCCACAAACATGGCTGCCACAATTGTCCTGCTCAACTGTTAGTTTGTCGAGCTTGCAAGAAAAAGGGATACAGATTACTGACCTGGTGACTGGAGGGGCACTCCAGAATCTGTCCATGATATCGACACCGGCGCTCATCTGTAAGTCGTGTCTATGAGGACATACTAGTTAACTCAATGAAGAGGACCACTGCTGAAGGACAAGCAGAATTGATTGAATAGCTGGTGATGGTTGAAGTTGACACTGTGTTGCGTCGCCTGAAAATTGAAGCTGGAAGACAAAAGAATCACCGTGCCAAGAGTCATGATGCACTAAGCCCAATCTCGCCTAGTGGCCAAATCCCAGCAGCTCCGCACGAGACTCGCTGAAAATGAACTTTTTCCAACCATCTCTAGATGCCGCAGTCCATACCATTTGCTTGATCGCAATATCTACAATTTGCACGCTTTCACCTGGTCTCAGGTCCTTCTCGTGGGATACATCTCCCTCGGGTTGACTTGTTGCATTGTTATTCGGCCTGTATTCATAAGGACCTGCCTGCGGCGTGCCCTATTCAGCCTCCAATTTCCCGCGACATCTTCTCGCCAAAATGGCGAAGGTCGAGAAGATTGAAGAGGGCGACTTCAGCATCAAGCCCGAAAATGCCACACCCGCGATTCCTACATCTGAATGGCCTCTTCTCCTCAAGAACTACGATAAACGTGAGCATTGAACGACCGCCGCAAAGCCTGTCGCACTGAAACTGATATCTCTCTCCAAACAGTACTCGTCCGCACTGGGCACTTCACTCCAATCCCGTGTGGCTGCACGCCGCTGAAGCGCGATATCAAGTCCTACATCTCTTCTGGCGTGATCAATCTCGACAAGCCCTCCAACCCGTCCAGTCATGAAGTCGTTGCATGGGTCAAGCGAATTCTTCGAGTCGAAAAGACCGGTCACAGCGGTACCCTCGATCCCAAAGTCACCGGATGTCTTATTGTCTGCATAGACCGAGCCACACGGCTGGTCAAATCACAACAAGGTGCTGGAAAGGAGTACGTGTGTGTCATCAGATTACACGATCGGTTACCCGGCGGCGAGGCACAGTTTGCGCGAGCTCTGGAAACTCTGACCGGCGCCCTCTTCCAACGACCTCCTTTGATCTCTGCGGTGAAGCGACAACTTCGTATCCGAACCATCCACGAGAGCAAGCTGTATGAGTTCGACAATGACCGGCATCTCGGCGTGTTCTGGGTGAGCTGCGAGGCCGGAACCTACATCAGAACGTTGTGTGTGCATCTCGGATTGCTTCTGGGTGTTGGCGGACATATGCAGGAACTGCGACGAGTACGGAGTGGAGCCATGGATGAGTCCAAGGGCATGGTCACCTTACACGACGTTCTGGATGCACAGTATGTGTACGACAACAACAGAGACGAGTCATATCTCCGAACAGTTATCTCGCCGCTCGAGAGTCTCCTAACCACATACAAGAGAATCGTGGTCAAGGACAGCGCAGTTAACGCCGTGTGCTACGGTGCAAAGCTCATGATCCCCGGTCTGCTCCGCTTCGAAGCCGGCATTGAAATCCACGAAGAGGTCGTGTTGATGACCACCAAGGGCGAAGCCATTGCTATCGGTATCGCACAGATGTCGACTGTCGAGCTGTCCACCTGCGATCACGGTGTTGTCGCCAAGGTCAAGAGATGTATCATGGAGCGAGACTTGTACCCTCGACGATGGGGCATGGGACCAGTGGCTCTGGAGAAGAAGAAGTTGAAGTCCGACGGCAAACTTGATGTAAGACTTACTGCCCCTCACCTACCAAGATCCATTATGCTCATAGTTCCCGCAACATTGTATACTGACATTCTCTCCAGAAATATGGTCGACCGAATGAAGCGACCCCAGCCAAATGGACCACGCAATACACCGACTACAACGCCCCGGCCTCCGCCGAAGGCACATCCGCCGCCCCGGTGCAAGAGAAGACCTCGCAGTCCGACGTTCTCGCTGCACCGCCTGTGGCTCCCAATGGAGAATCCGCCGAGAGCATGGACCTGGATACGAGCACCGCGGCCCTGGCGCCTCCGGCTCCCACGACCAACGGCGAAAAGGAGAAAGACAAGAAGCGCAAGAAGCACGACAGCGAAACCCCCGAGGACCGCGCCGAGCGGAAACGCAGGAAAAAGGAGAAGAAGGAGAAGAAGGAGAAGCGGAAGAGCGCCGCCAGCAAGGCCGACGACAGCGACGACAGTGACTAGTCGTGTTGAGCCAACTAGGTGAAAAAAAGGAATGGAGGGCGAATCTTCCCGGTCTGCAGCAATGGATCGGAAAATGGGGGTTTCTTGTGTAGTCGATTGTTCGGTCTTTCGTCCTCATAACCGTCGGATTTTGTGGGGAGGAGTTTGATATGTGGGCGACGTTGTCTTGTTCATCCCGGGCTGGTGTAATCTTGTGCTCATTAGCTGTGTGAATGCGGCAATGGAAATGGAAAATGAAATGGACAATACTCCTCATCCAAGATTGGAAAGTGTCGTAAACTCGAAATATCAACCTCATCAAATATCTGGCTTACATGGCCATATATGTACCTTTCCTGCTGTTATTCGTTGGTACCCCACGGTATCAATGTACAAATGAGTCAATGGCCGGACTTGGTGTTGATCCTTCCATCACTAACCGACCTGCTCTACTACTGTTATCTCTGATGACGTTTTGGGAAGACTCGCGAGCCTGATCGCAATCATTCTGGCACCTATAGTCAACGAGCTGGAAAACAACCTGACAATTAGCACGACCTACTTGCTATGCACACATAAAGATCGAACAGATGGCAGCGAATAAGAATTGGAACAGTGACTTTCTGTAATGGAAGACAAGATAAACGAAGGTGGAAGCAATCTAAGAAGTCATCCGCTGATGGAAAGACAAAAAAAAGAAAAATAACACTAGCATGTAGTATATGTCAAGAAATTTCAATTGTGGTCGCTATCAGAACAGCATCCCTGAGTTGTATGCGGTGATTCTGTATGTCTGTTGGGTTGCCCGGTGTCTCGAGGCTCTCATATAGGATGTTCAAAGCGCTGGATGGCGCTGCCTCCCGCTGACGCACGGATGCTTCGGTGCTCGATAGACAACCGCTATGGTACAGGAACGCTCGTTTTAGGTCGTGAAACTCCAGACCCGCATGCAAGAAGCATAAAGCAGTAGAGGCGCGACGCGAAAGAGAACCGCGGCCGTACAACGACAATGAGACTTGCGACCAAGATCAAAAGTGCATTGGTCAGTCTTTTCAGGACAACACAAGTGCCTTGCATCAATCATTCCACCAATCGCAATCCTTCAACTCGGATCCAAGCATGGTGATGATGTATCTTGCAAAGTCTGTGACTGCAGATGGATGGTTTAGCGGGACCTGGTCTTTCGCTCGCTTTCGAAAAAATCGCTTCGTGAAGGTCGTATTCGTGTAGGATGCACGAGTGCATCCTCGAGTCATGTACAAGCGCATGTGCGCCGCGTGAAGCAGAGAAGAAATGGCTTGGACGCTAACATTGTGGAACAGGCAGCAGGGCTAGTAACCCTCTTCGCCCGCCTTGCACACTTTGATCTCTCTGCCCCATTCCGACTTGAGGACTTGGGAGGCGGTGATACGACGACCAGGATTAGGATCGAGGATCGAGTAGATGACGTTCCTGCAGCGTGCCTGAGAAAACATTGGTTAGCTGTGAGTTCGACGGGGTTCAGGAGGAATTCAGACTTACTCTGTGCAATGTCTCGATGGGAGCATAACCGTCTTCGTCTCTTCGACCTTCAAGATACCGTTCGTAAAACTCATCTTCCTCTTTTCGGGCGACTCTCCACAGATGTCGACCGGTGCGCATTGCCATATAGATGACGCCACAGGCCCAAACGTCGACGGCTCGGGGGTCAAACTCGCCCCCGGCATATTCTTCGGGGGCGATATAGGGGGCACTGCCGCAGAGGCCCGCCGTCATATGAGCTTCTTTCTCCCAAGCCATTCGAAAGCATTCGCCATTGCCGAAGTCGGTAATCTTCAGAGCACCGTGGGTGGTCAAGAGTAGGTTTTCAGGTTTCAGATCCCGATGTGCAACCCCCATCTCATGCATGTATTCAACGCCCCGCATTAGCTGCTTGAAGAAGCAGTCGGCTTCAGCGACCTGAAGAGTTCCGGCAGCGAGAATGAGGGTGTATAGGTCTCCGCCAGCGCAATATTCCATAACTTCGCAGTAATCGCCCTTGGCGTCTTGGAGGAGGTCGAGAGTGTGGATGACGTTGGGGTGTCGGAGAGAGGAGGAGATGCAAAATTCGCTGGTCAGACGTTTCTGGTATTTCTTCGACGTTTCTTGAGGGCGACGGCGGAACTCCTTGACGGCGTAGAGTAACTCCCCCCCGACCGTGTTCGGATCGGGTTTGTGCGATATCCTGACAATGCCGAAAGCGCCTCGACCAACAATCTCCTGGCACTTGCCATACTTTTCGACCAAGTTGGCGGTGGCATTTGGGCCGCCTTTCTTCTCACTGGCGAGACTATCCCTCTCAGATCTGAGCTGGTCAACCCATGATGACATGAGCGACAACTGCTGATCGCCACCATCCTGGTCTTTCTTTTTGCCGCCTCCGATAAAGTCGCGGAGCATGTCGGATAGCTTCTCCTGGCGTTTCGCCGACTTGAGGTGATGGGTGTGAGACCCATCTTCCTCGACCTCGAAGCGTTTGTGCGCGGCGTAGGAGGGATCAGGGTGCACTTCGCCTTTGGTCTTCTCTTTCGCGACACCAAGTATCGTCATCTTCTTGCCGTCCCTTTGATCACCAGAGGATTGTCTTCCGGGTGTGGGTCGGGGTTGTTGACCGTTGACGAGATCGCTGCGAGCCTCGGAAGAGGACTCTCTTAGAGGATGATTTGCAGCATCGACATCCTTTTGATCGGTCCGTGAAAACATGCGGGTGAGACGAGACGTCATCTTGGGCTTCTTCACAGGGACTGTCAGTTGTGTGGACGTGGGCACAGCGGTGGACACGGCACTGCCATTCACCGAAAGGCGCCCCGTATCCTCCGCCAGCCGTGTTACCGAAGCTGCATCATCCTGTGAACCTGTCGAACGGGCTACTGAGGGTGAGGGCGATGCAAGTTGGGTAGGTGAGTATGATCGATTCATGTGAATGGCGGAAGGGAGGGTGGGGGACGGGCGCTGGGCAAAGAGCCCTAGGTTATCTCTAGGCGATTAGTGGCGGAAGATAAGGTATGATGTTTTGTGGAACAATAATGAACGCGATGGGAATTTGTCGTTGACGCCGTGAGATGAAAGGCGAAGGGGTTATCCTTTCTCTTCTCCTGAAATCCCGGGGGTTTTTGTTGTCGAGGCGGAGAGGAGGGGGGAGGTTGTTGTAAGGATACGTTGTTGGTGGCAAGAGGTAATATTGAGAAGACTTGGGGAGTAGAGGCTGTGTGTGCGGCCAGGCGTGGAAAGCGGCACGAAATGGCCTTATGATGGAATTTTGGTTCGTAAGGATTTGCGATCAGGGGATCTAGCGATGTGGAGGTGGCCTGCAAGCCAGCCTAGGGACTGCTACTCGAGTGCCGAGGGGCAGCCGACTAGGGGACGCAGGGCGGTGGCAGAGAGCGAGTGGTTTATTAGTGGTGGTAGGCGGCAGACCGAGGGGTTTTCAAGCTTTTCTCTTCTGCTTCGTTCGGTGGCTGTGTGAAAGGCTGGGGGGCGATTTGGGTGTGAGGATGTCAGCGTGGACGGACGGAGGATGGACCGTTGGATGATGGCTTGCTGTCCTGCGTCGACTGCGGACTGGGAGGAGGAGCACGACTCGAGAGGCAGTGCGTAGGGGGATGATGCTTTCTAGATGCTGACCAATACGGTGTCTGTCGCCTGTGATGCCACTATGCTAGCTGCCCTTGGCAGCGACGCGTCGGATGGTGTCCTTCGGAGGAGTTGTCGTTCGAGCAGATTTAAGAATCTGAGAAAGCGTGATGTTCAGATGACAATATCGCACCGACCAAGACGCTGGATAAGGGTGTCTTCGTTGTTGAGATGAATTGCAGCTCAATTTTGTTATGCAGATATGTGTGCGTGCGTGTTGCGTGTGCGTGTGGGACTGGAGGTAGACAGGAAGAGGGAAGCGCAGCCGGCAGAGGCTATGCGCGGGTGCAGTTCCGGGAGGAGGCTGTATCTTATTGATAATCAAGCGTTGTTATAGGCACAGTGGGCACTTCACAGCAATAACCAATTTATTAAAACACAACAATCACAAAGGAAAATAGATCAGCAAGTATGGTGAAGTGACATGTACTTGTTGAATAAGTCGACTGATCGGTGATGGATTCTGGTGACAACCCTCACAACAAGACTCAGTCGAGTGAAGTCACCGGACAGTCCATGAATGGGTTAGGTGCCTAACGTAGTGAGTCCAGGTGACATTATAATGGAGGCTGCCGCCTAGAGTGAGAATTTCAGGCTCAGGAGGCGCTCTAAGGACCCCTTAGGGACTCGGTAGTTGAGGCCATACTCTCTCTGTAGGCCTCGCTGTGCAATAATAAATACTAGTAGTAGAGTGTCTTTTGCTCGTGTTCTCTGGCTTCAACACAAACACCTCTTGCTTCTGTTCTGCAACATGCACTTCAAACGTTTGCACTTCCTCACAGCCAACTACTATAATATACCTGATGGGGCAAACAGATCTCTCAACCGTGTCCAACAACCGGCCAAGCTCCCCAAAACCAAAGCGAGACCCGATGCAGAAGAAGCAGTAGTGGCAGCATCCGCCGCCATCAAACCATGTGCGTGCTATCCACGAATGCGGTGGTCCTTCACTGCCTACTATGCTGTCCGTTTTCCTACACCGCTCAGGTCCTCAAGTGTCAGATCCTTACGACCCAAGCCTTAAGCCGACGCAATGCATGCGCTGGCTGATGCTCCAGCTGGGAAAGGTGACCAAGTTTGGCATCGCCATATTCCTTTCCGTGATCGTCGTTTCGCCTGTACAAACATGTGCTTCTTCAACTCATGGCCAGGATCAAAATACTCTCGCCGGAATCACGGTACAGTAGTACAGCATTCTCAATCATACTGCCGGCCTACCACCGAAGTTCCCACGAACATGGCCTGTCAGTGTCGAAAGGGGATAGCAAATGCAACTAAGCCTCTTACCATTTGCTTGGTGCGAACAAGCTGCGGCTCGTCCCTCTAGATGCCATCGCCCATACCCACTTCCTGGAGGACGTATCGTTCATCAATTGTCCTCCGTACGCAGCCGCTCGATTCCCCCCTGTGTTCTGGATGTGGCAATGGAGTAAAAAGAGGTTTCTACTCCGCATTGCAAAGAGCAATGGATACTCGAGATGAGAGCTCAGTCCTTCATTGGTGGCAACCTCAGGCATATCGCTACTTTTCGGATCAGACTAGCATCCACAACGGCTGAAGATGCCTGATGTAACAGTGAAGCAAGGGTGCTCCTCCTATGAGCACTTGGTATACATCCGCTGCAAAGTGCATGCGAGGCGAAGCAGGGGTGGTGCTTCAAAGTTGAACATGGTATACTCGGCAGCTTGTCATTGTTACGTGCTGCTGATTTCTGTCCTCTCACAGGGGCGAGCTCGCTGGCTGCTAGATGTCCTGGCTGCACTATCAATTGCCTGATATGCATCTCGCCCAATATACTAGTATTCAGCTTGAAGTCAAAATCACCAGTCATTAGAGCACGAGTCGATGGAATGATCGTCCTCCATCCAACAATTTTACCAACCAAGATATGTTGCGGATATCGTGATCCTGGCACACATATGGCAAGTATTTCGCAACCATGCCACTGTACTTTCTCAGTCTGGTAGCACGTGAAGATTCGAATCAAATATGCAGTTTCCATGGAACACACATTGACGGTTCAAACGATGGCACCCAACCTCGGAGGTCTATGTATAGCAGCCAGGGCTTGCAACTCCCATTACTGTAGTCGCTATTCAATGCGGGATTGTCAGGATGGTATTCTTTTTCATAGGCTATGCACCAGGTCTGAGACGGTTGGACATAGTGACGATGTACGGTCCAGTAATACCACGGATATTCCTGAGTGACGTCCTTATGCACACCACACCTCAGCCAGAAGCGACGATATTTCAATCACGACGTGCTTGTAAGCAGTCAACCATGATTCAGCAGATATGCCCAAGCTACGCCTTCCATGGCCAACAGAAGGTGCCCGTTTTCCATGCTTCGGCGTGAGCCCAGAGGATATGATGGGGCATAAACTTTGCCGTTGGAGGACGCCGTAGAACATGATAAAGTATAGTGCTTCTACACCGGGCAGCAACCAGATCAATACCAGATCAGAGATCTTAAAGGCTATAGTGCCTTCCTAGAACACATTAGGCATATTGTAGACAATCAAGGCAACCGACACGCCTATATCATCATATAAGGATAGGCCACCATATAGCTATCGCGCAAAGGCCTAGATGGTTCCATCGTTGTGAATAGGTGAGGTTGAATAGAGCGGACGCCGAATGAACAATAACAATCAACAACAGTGAATGGTTTATGAACTTTGAGGTGACATAGTGGGGCATTTGTCACCCGCCAATCGGCATGTGGTACGGAACCAAGACAGGTATATAAGTATTCACGTGACTATCTCACGGATTAACTGTTTCTCCGAGAATTGTTACGTCATCAGCCATGGAAGAACATACGGCCGAGACCCGGGCTGTGCAGCAGCAGTGGCTGCGGTTCCTCGAAAACGACGCCGGCCTCTGGGAGCCAGGCTCCGCCGACACCATTAACGTCCTCTACATCCTCATCAACCTCATCGAAGCCGGGCCAGCCACCCTCGAGTCTCCCGCCGCATTCAACAACAGAATACACGACTGTCACCGTCTTTACCAGAACCAGCAAGATGTCGTGGGCAGGCTTCAAGAAGAACGTGAACCGCGCTACGACGCAGGTGATGATGAAAACCGGTAAGTCATTCGAGATGTCACTCTCGCCTCATCTCTCGCCTCAGACTAAATGGATCACCCAGGCCACGTGGAGCGGACGAACGACCGAGACTACGAAGTGGAAGAAAGGTGAGCCTTCAGCCGATCTAATCCGACGACCCGCGACTGACCCGATGTCGCAGGCGATACAGGACCATGGAGTCAGCAGCGAACAGGTTGCAGAAGGAAGCGAAGGGGTATCTGGACAGCCTGCGAGGTGAGTTGAGGTCGACAATTCGGGGCGGGACACAATCCAGCTAACACGGCTAATAGCAATGACAGCATCGCAAATGAGAATAGCAGAGACCATCGACGCTTTCTACGGAGATGCTGGGACAAAGGACGGTGTCTCTCGTTCTTATAAACAAGCAGTCGAAGACCTGGACGCGGAGACGATCAAAGCTCTCGACGGGCCATACCGGTAAGTCCGCTTTGAATCTACCATCATCCCTCATTTCCTGGATACTAACAGCTTTTCTCAGAACGACAGTCCTCGAACCAATCAGCCGCTTCTGCGCTTATTTCCCGGACATCAACGAGTGCATCAAGAAACGCAACAACAAGCTCCTCGACTATGATTCGATGAGAGCCAAAGTCAAGAAACTGGTAGAAAAGCCAGATAAAGATGTTACCAAACTACCCCGAGCAGAAAAGGAAGCCGAAATGGCCAAACAGGCCTACGAACAATTGAACGAACAACTCTTGGACGAACTGCCTCAACTCATTGACCTCCGTGTCCCATACTTGGATCCGAGCTTCGAAGCTCTGGTTAAAATTCAACTGAGGTTCTGCGCAGAAGCGTACAGCCGCATGGCGCAGGTTCAGCAATACTTGGACCCTGACACCAGAGATCAATATGCTCGTGGAGATTTGGACAATCGGGTCGAACAAGTCCTCTCGGAAATTCGAGATTTGACCATTGCCGGTACGGTCTGAGCGAGGCAGGGCACCTTTTTGTTGCGCATATTCCCCCTATTCCCCATTTGCTTACTCTTGCTCTTACAATCACAATTGAACATGCACGAACATGGACACGTGCATTTGCAAAATGCTTTTTGGCTGGACAAGGGATGAATTGGACGGCTGGGAGTGGACAGGAGTGCTTTACATACCATCACATCATAGCGTTGGCGTCCCCGCTGGCAAATGGATTCAAGAGAATGCAGCCTGCAGTGGAAGAGGATCACAAGAGATCCCCAAATGGACAGAGCTTGAAACAAATTCCAACGTTCATTGATAAGGTCTCTTTTAGCTTCGATGGAGTACCTAAAGGACTCTAGGTAGAAGCATGGCGTGAAACCTCCCAAACCATTTGTTTTAGACTATGCCACGCCATAGCAACCTCAAGAAAGCCACCTTAGTAGTATAGCATGAGAATAGTGACGATCGCTTTTCTTCCATGCCGTTAGCTTAAATGGCACCCAACTCCTTCAGCTTGCTAATCATGCCATCGACATCGTCGACCTTGCCGCCGCCCTGTCTAACAGGAGGCTCCTCGACCTTGATAGTCTTAAGCCGGGGCTTCGCATCAACGCCATAGTCGGCCAGTGTTTTCTTGTCCAGTTTCTTCTTCTTGGCCTTCATGATATTAGGCAGACTGGCGTACCGCGGTTCATTGAGACGCAGATCCGTGGTGATGATCATAGGCAGCTTCGCACGGAGCGTCTCCTCACCGCCGTCGACCTCGCGCGTCACGGTGACTTGGTCATCTTTGATCTCGACTTTGCTGGCCTGTGTCGCCTGCGGCCAGTTCAGCAGGCCGGCCAACATCTGGCCTGTCTGGCCCGCGTCATCGTCGATGGCCTGCTTGCCCAGGATGATCAGGTTGCTCTGCTCCTTCTCCGCGATGGCCTTCAGCAGCTTCGCCACGCCCAGCGGCTCCAGCGGCTTATCCTCAGGCACGTCGACGTGGATCGACCGGTCGGCGCCCATCGCCATCGCCGTGCGCAGCGTGTCCGCACATTTCGCGGGCCCTGCGCTGACCGCCACAATCTCTTCTACGGGTTGTTTCCGTTCCCGTAATCGAACTGCTTCCTCGATCGAGAGCTCGTCGAATGGATTGAGCGAGTGTTTGACGCCCGAGGTTTCGACGCCTGTTCGGTCCGATTTCACTCGCGGTTTGACCTATCCCAGCCCCACGGAGCGGACAGTGTCAATACGGCGCACATATAGTACCGACATACACGTCTTGTGTGTAGGAAAGCCAAATGCATTCGGAGCAGACTTCGAGGGTAGGGAGTGTCTGGAAAACTTACGGCATAGTCGATGACTCTCTTGACCGGGACCAGAATCCTTAATTTGGAAGACATCCTTACTGTCTGAAGCGAGAGCAATAACAGTCCCCCAGCAGTTCAAATCTTGTCCTGATCCAACCTCAGGAAAGAGCACCAGCCTGCTAATGTAGTGTACTACGTCCTCTGTAGAAGTGCAGTAGATGAAAGCCTGGGGAAGAGGTAGTACCGCAATCGGAGCACTTTAGAGGCTGTTGGGATCAACTTGAATGATGATTATTGAGCCTCGGGCGCCGGCTCCGAGTCTGAAGCGATTGACCGCTGCGGATTGGCAGTCAAAAAGACGTTCCCCCTTCCTCGGAACTGAAGCTGCATCACGTGCTGGTTTACAAAGGGAGCCAATCATACCCGTCTACAAGAGACGAGCACAGGGCGGCATCGCCCTCATCCGAAACGAGCGTCCCACTGCAGTGAGTCGTGATCTTGGCGTACGCCAAGCCCACACGCAAAATCTCAGAGACCCGCCTGGGCGCAGGGAGATACTACTGTTCGACGAAACGAACAACTCAACATCACTGTCTTCCACCAAAAACCTCGCCATCACAAGCGACAAGTTCGTCAAGATGCCGGTACGTTAAATGCGCCCATGTCCAGTTTCATCAGTTTATTTGCCAGTCGAGTCGACGCGAAGATGTGGTGTCTAGTTGAACCCGACTGAACACTACGCCTGCTGCAACCTGCTTTGATTCCTGTCTTGAAGCACGGGAAGAGAGACACGGATGATGAAGAAGAACCTCTCACTAACTGTGATATACTTTTCCTTGAACAGAGCCACAAGTCGTTCCGCACGAAGCAGAAGCTCGCCAAGGCGCAGAAGCAGAACCGACCGATCCCGCAATGGATTCGATTGAGGACCGGCAACACCATCAGGTTAGAAGATATTCCCGATCCCGTTTCCCTCATACACGATTCCTCTTCCAAAGGACGCCAAACCCGCAGGTTTCCGCCAGTGTTCATTTTGTTGGATGGCCGACTTCGGATTTTGGTCTGGGTTGATTGAACGAGCCGATTCCACAAGAAAAAACCCGGCGCAGAAGGGATTACTGGACGGTTGAGGGAATATAGTTGAGGCGACGGACAGATTGCTAACATGTCAATCCCACAGATACAACGCAAAGCGGAGGCACTGGCGCAAGACTAGACTCGGTATCTAGATGCTTTCTCTCAGTTCACCTTGCTCGATACGACCGGACATGCATTCCACGGAATCGAAGATGGAAACACCCGTCAGCTATTCGCATGCACCATATGGATGGTTCGGGATGGGGCCGTGATGGGGGAGAACTGTTGTCAACGGCTGTCAAGCAGGGAGGCTGCAAGGTGACTGCCATGAATGAGGCTCGGCTGGCATGGATTCGAATCGTTCTCCATCAATCGATGGTCGCGGAACGCAACCCAACTAAACGGTCGTTCTTTCGACGTGGCGTCTTATTGCCGTAAATGGACACTTGAAATATGAAAATCACAGAACAAGTTCACCAAACTCCGACTCGGTTTTTGTCTGTCATATGCCGGCATCGAATCTACTGCTAACGTCTCTCGAAGTCCAAGTAGAGGCCAATTTGTTCGCACAGCTCGCTTTCTTGCACTATTTGCGAGTTTGACACTGACAAGTCGTCGGTGGGGAGCTGCATAATGCTCCTCCCGTTCTGTGGCAGTCGTAAAATCATAGCAATGCTTGTCTGGCCGGACTGATGCTAGGGGGTGCGGAAGCAATCTGCCTCAGGACCCGATAGTGTCGAGCCATTTCGCAACGGATGCAATGTAAAAACCACTTTGCCCCCGGCATTCTTGGACAGACCACCGTCGTCCGAAACTCCATCCCATGCCTAAGCCACCGTTATTTCCCTGAACGCCCCAAGATGCATGCTCTCAGCTTGAAAGGTTGATGTATGAGCGCCTCAGCGACTAGTAGGAATATTAGTATAGGGCATGGGCCAACTCTTTGTCAGATGACTTACTCCTCGGCCCATTCGTTTTCGCGACGGATCTGATCTTCTTCCTCGGGAGTGAAATCGTTTTGAATGTTGAACGTTTTGCGAATCTCCTCCGGCGACTTGCCCTTGATCATGTTGGCAACCGTCTTGCAGCCGACATCAAGCAAGGCCTTGATATCGAGGTAGTTGGCAGCCTACGCGAAGTTAGTCTCAACTCGTGTGCCATGAGACCACACATGACATACCAGAATAATCTCGAAGAGCATCTCTTGATCAACTTGCATGAACTTTTGGTCCCATTCGTCGATATCCGTAGATTTCTTGCGCGAATCTGAGTCATCTTCGTTGGTGGAAGGAGGGTCATGCTTGTGATGGGTGCACCATTCGATGACTTTCTTGAGGACCGCAGAGTTGACGTTGGGGATGGGAATGGCTTCCTCCATGGCGTCCTCTCCAAGATCGCCAACCATGTTCTTGATCAGGATTGATCTCTCCGCGACATCTCGATCTTCGATATGTCAGACCAAGGACACTCCAAGCCAGACAAAATAGCTTACCAACGACGATCTCCTCTCCATCAGAGCTGGCAAGAGTTAACGGCTTGCTGGACGACATCGCTGTGGTATTTGTCAAAGGATCCGGTCTCGAATTAGGGTGGCTGAGAGTCCGTATCGGATCGTTTAGTCTCTTGAGGCTTCGGAGAATGTATGATCAGTAGGAGTACGCGATACAGGAGGCAGGAAGTGCAAGGACAATATGGACAATAGTCAGGTAGGATTAGGTTGTGGGTGGTGAATATGTATTCGGCACGGTGGCTGTTGATGATTCAGGAAGCGTAAGGAATGCGCTGCGTCGTGAGGACCTGCGAAGACCGCAGGCCGGCTTGGCAGCACGGGACCTCACTGCCCGTTGTAGTACAGTGAACTTGAATGGAACATCGCGATCGGAGCTTCACTTCTTCCTTCCACGGTTCTCAACGTACAAAGAATTGAATATGAAGACAGGGACTAAACTCACTCACCCAGTGTTGTATTCAGATTGAGATTCGCAGGTTCGCTGGCAGTGTTAGTTGATGAGGGTGAACTGCTCAAAGAGTAACCTGGGCGTGGTAAGCCTCACCTTTTGTACTCTAGACCGTGGGAAACGTTGGTGCTGCCAATCAACAAGTTGCCAGGAAGTTAACAACTTGTTCTTTGGCAAGGTTCTTCATGTGCTTGACATTACTATTGTGCAAATTGCTTATAGCATTATCCCCAATATCCCTACTATGGCTCATCACTTGTCAGCCTGTTGCGAACAGGTGTAGTAGTGCACGTGACATTGACGTCAGGTTTCACCGCTTTAGGTGGCTCAATAGTTCGCAGCAGCTTCACGAAGCGGCCGGCCGCGGGTGACAATTGAAGCAATCAATCCATCGACCCTCACTTGTCCACCAGCTGGGCATCTCCTATACCAAGTTTTGTCTGATCTCCTAGTACTGCTTGATACATCGCAAACCACCCTCTCTTATTTTTGTCGAACATCCTTCACCTACCTTTCCGCCGCCAGTTTGTGTTCTTCACAGCGCACGCGTCTCCAACGCGCTCAATCACCATTCTGAAGTTCAAGATTGAGAATGAGTTTGAAAGAGCCAGCCCTGCCTTTCTCAAGGACAATGATAGAGCCAAAGTCACATCCTGCAAGGTGACTGCGACCAGGATGTGGCGGCTTGTATACCTGGTCCTGCTCTTTGTCCGCATCTATCTTGCCCTGTGTCCGAGTTATCTGCACCCAGATGAGATCTTTCAAGGCCCAGAGCCGATCGCGGGTATGCGCCGATGCTAGTGTACCTCGTGAACAATGTCGATTGACCGTATGCAGGCTATATCTTTTCCTATCCGAGTCAGCAGACATGGGAATGGACATCTTCCCACCCAATCCGAAGTGTCTTCCCCCTCTGGCCCGTTTATGGTTTGCCGATGATCCTGTTGAAGTGGATATGGGCGCAAGATGAAGATGGCCTCGTCAGTCCGCTGGCAATATACTACACGCTCCGCCTGGTGATGTTTGGATTCAGCTTTGTCATCGAGGATTGGGCAGTCCATGACTTGGTCCGGTCTCCTCGACACAGGAACCAGGCTGTCATACTGGTCGCGTCTTCGTATGTGACATGGACCTTCCAAACTCATACTTTCTCGAACTCCGTGGAGACTCTCCTTGTTCTATGGAGCCTCATTGTTATAGAACGAATCATGGCTGAAAATGTACGACACTACTTCTGCTTTCTTGGGCAGGCTACTGACCAATGTACAGAAGCGATCAGCGATTGCCTCGAGTATTGTGCTGGGGTTCCTGCTCGTCTTTGGAACTTTCAACCGCATTACTTTTCCCGCTTTCGTTGTGATACCCGGCATGCAACTATTGCCACACTTTTGCAATAGGTGAGAGAATTGTCCTGCTGGGTTCGTCCAAACTTGCTGAGACTAACGACTGGCAGACCCTTTTGCTTCATTGCCATGACCCTCTCCGGGGTCTTTTGGACCATCATTGCCATCATCGTTGATACAGCATACTATACTGGACCAGCGGCGACGAGGTCCTTTGGGGTTTTGTATCATCACGTCCGACATGCTCCTGTATTCACACCCCTCAATAATCTCCTGTACAATAGTCAAACCACGAACCTTGCCCAACACGGCCTCCATCCGAACTATCAACACCTGCTCGTCAATCTCCCACAGCTCCTCGGACCGGCATTAATCGTCCTGATCGCTTCCGCCTACCCTTTCAACCTCCGGGTGCTGAAGACGATGATGAAGAACACCCGGCTCTCTTCTGCTGTGACCGCGACACTACTCCTCAGCATCATTCCTCATCAAGAACCACGCTTCTTGCTTCCTATCGTTCCCTTATTGCTCACCTGCATCCGCCTCCCCACTTCGAAGCTATGGAGCAGAACATTCTGGATCAGTTGGGCAACCTTCAACATTGCACTTGCAACAATCATGGGCATCTACCATCAAGGGGGCGTTATTCCCATGCAGCTTGATGTACCATCCATCATTACTCAGTCCATCGAAGTGACCCACTCCACCGCCCACAATATAGAGATCTTCTGGTGGAAAACCTATCCTCCCCCGAACTTTCTTCTCGGCAACGAGCCCCTACATCCGGCAACGAATCGATCGCTTAACATCTCGACGGTGCCCCTTATGGGATTTCCTCAAAGTGAACTGGTCTTCATGCTGATGCAGCACATGCCAACATGCGATCCATCCCTCATTGAGCGTTTGCTTTTGCACAAGGAGAAAACGGACGTTTTTGTGGTGGCACCCTTGGCCGCGTGGCGCCTTGAAGATCAGGACGAGTACCCTCCGGCTTCGAATTTCAGCTTCTCCGTGGCATTCAATGTTCCGCCGGCAAGCTTGAGCATGACCAATCTAGCGACGTACCGAAGACACGTGAACCTGGATGATATGGACTTCGCAGATGATGGTGTTGTTCCTACGCTGAAGAGGGTGGTGGGAAGACGCGGGTTGGGAATCTGGAGAGTAGATAGCATCTGCGGACCTGTCGTACTCGTCGACGACCAGGGTAGAGAGCTGCCAAGTCAGGGGCCGGATCGTCAGGAACCGGATCTGGAAGATGGGACACCGCCGGCTCCTGTGTCGTTGGAGCCAGGTGACGCAGCTGGTGCTACTTCTGCTGAGGTTGCAGCCTGACATACGCGTAAGGGAAGAATTGAATAGAACATAGAACATAGAATTGGGGCAAGAAGCCACAGAATCCAAAACTGGAGCATCAATGAGGATATTGGATGGAATGGATCTGTCTCTTGAAGTGCTACGACTCATCATCCGGGCTCCGTTCGATGCCAGCTCCGCTGTGCTTGCAAAATACTCTGCCTCTCAAAGCGTAGCTTTTCTTTCTCTCGCTCTGAATCATGCAAGCTATGTGCGAACTGGAAGGAGGGAGTATGAAGAATCCGGGTTGCTAGCCGAAACCTAGCCGAGGGTAGGAATGAGACCGGACTGAGTCTTGATTCTTCGTTCTGTCTTCGGCTCCTGCCACGCATGCATAGGAGATTGTGCCCGTATCCACCGTTCGCCCGCCCGCTGGCCAGAGGAATCAACTAACAAGTCGCCCCAGGAAACCGATGATGAGTCCCAGCACCCTCAATGCCGCCAGAGGCGATGTCCGATATCTGCCATCACAAGCATGCAACCGCCATGAACACGGTTGCTATCCTTTGAACCCCACTGTTTCCGTGCGGCGAGGTGAGACAACTAGTGTCCAGTGTTCGGATGCTCACTGCTCGTCGTCATCAGGGGGCTGCTCAAACAAGAAGTTGGCGGCCAACTCCTCGTTCTTGTCACAAGCGAAGTAAGCTTGGATGACCTGTTCACGGGAGAAGCCGAGCCCACAAAGGCGTTCGATAGCCTCACGCTCTTCGGGCGTGACACTAATCGCAGTGGTGCCGGGCGGGAGAGGACCGCCATCGCCTTCCTGGTCCTGCTCAGCCAGTTAGCAAACAAGGAATTCATACCGGGATGTAATATGCAGGTCATACCTCTGCCAGGAGCTGGAGGAATTGATTGGGGTTGAGGCTGATCATCTGGGCCAGCTGCGGGTTACCTTCAGCAACCTGCTGTAAGAACGGCTCAAGCATTGCGGGCTGCTGCTGCACGAGTTGTCGGAGTTGCTGGAAATGAGGACTGTTCCGCAAGAATTCCAGATTCACCGCTGGCTGGCCTCCTGCCGCGGCGGCATTCGCGCCAGGTCTCGCTCCGAGTGCTGCTCCAAGTTCGGCTCCAAGTCCGCCCAGTCCTCCCAGTCCACCTGTCCCGAGTCCAGCTCCAGTGCCACGAGCCTGTTGTCCGGCTTGTGCGGCCGCTTCGAAGAGATTGATGGGCTCATCTCCAGAGGTAGTCGTGGTTCCTCCAGTAGTGGCAGCTTGGGCGGCTGGTGGAGATGTAGGAGTACCTTGAGCATCCTGAGCACTAGCTGCTGCGGTTGCCTGTCGCTGTTGCTCCTGGACATTTTCTGGAATCCCACTCAAAAGATATTCGATGGCTCGGTCTGGGTTGAAGAACGCCGCACGCAGAGCACGTTCGATCTCGGGTCGGCCAAAGCCCATGGATTCCATCTCTCGGATCGTGTTCTCATTGCGATTACCGAGAAGGAAGGCTGAAGGGTCGTTGAAGCCACCGGGTTCAGTAGCAGGGGCTGTGGTAGTAGTCTGTGCAGGAGTGGGCGTGGAAGGCTGCTCTAACGAGGCAGCTGGTGGGTTGGCAGCTGGTGCAGCTGGTGCGGGTGCGGCTGGGGTCGAGGCAGAAGTGCCAGCAGGTGTCGACGGGGTGCCCGATTTGGGAGCAGGCGCGGCTTTTGGCTGTGTCGCGTTAGAAACAAGCGCGCTATGAGAGAGGAGAGGGAACGAACCTTGCTAACCATACAGACAATGAATCCTTTTTCCTCGATCTTGTAGGATTCAACGGTGTTGGCATCAGCCAGGACCTTGCCTTGAGGCGAGTCAGCCAAAATATCCCACCATCTTTCGTGTTTTATGATCTCTTACCGGCATAAATGAGCTTTTGTTGACCCGCGTCCCATCCTTTCTCGGCGGCAATCTTCTCTTTTACTTGACCAATCTAGGGAGAGTATATCAGCTAGGATGGACGACGGCACGTCACAATGTATGAGATATCGTCGACATACCGTGTCGGTAGGTTCAGCATCGACAGTGAATTTCTGCTGCTTCAGATCCTGTTTCTTAGATCAGCAATTGTTCCCACTTTGCGTTGTCAGATCGACTGACTCTGAAAGAGAGCTTCATCCTGGCTGCGACAACGCCTTGGTTTGGCGGAGTAAGATAGACGTTCTATGATTGATACAGTGTGGGTATCGAGTTGAGGTCTGGATGTGATTTTGAAGAAGGCTTCTCACGACAGTGTTTCAATTTGAGAGTTGAAGGTACCTATTTAACTCAAGAAAAGGTGATAGCGAGTAAATGCGGCGAATGAATAAAGCGGAGGGACTTGTTAAATACTGAATGACGACGTTCTGAGCCTGCCTGCCTGCGCCTGGATTCATTCACTCACTTACACTGCAGTGCACTCCATACCGCCTAGCCTGTCACGTGAGCCGAAGATAGCACTGTTCGCCTGCGTACACGTGACATGCCTCGTCCATCAACAAGTATTTGCTATGAGGCTACGGGGGTTGCACAAACTGCCATCGTAGAGTAAGCCTCCCTGGAGCCGCCGAAGAGCACATGGGAGTACAGGGGGGCATTAAGTTAGTATCGTTTCTCGTTTGCTATGTAGCACTGTTTTCGTACACATCATGGGCTAGAGTCCCCAGGTTTACTCTTTCGTCGCTTGGGTCTGGCTGGATCCTCAGGTATGGACGCTACCTTGTCGCCAGTCTTCGTCTCTTTCGATGCTATAGTAGGACTCTTAGTTGCCGGAGGAACCGCAGATGGCGCTCGGGAGACCCCAGGCGTGCCATTGCCGAAGGAAGTAGCGAGGCCCTTATTTTGACCAGCTGAAGGTTCCTTGTGCTTGGAAAATCTGAAGTTGCCGGGTTCACCAACCAATGGAATTTCATCCATATATTCCTTGCCATATTGCAAGGTCATTCGAAGAGCATCAAAAAGTGTTCTTCCGCCACTGTTAGAATCCTCTTGTGGTCGGTTGGGACCTCCAGTCGGGTTTTCCGCCGTGGTAGGCATCTGTACCCCCGGCATCGGCGTTGTCTCCTTGCTCTGCTGAGAAGCACCTGAAAGGGTCTGTGCTAGAGACTTTTGCACCGGCTTGTGGTACGTATGCCCGTGGGCAGGAGAGAAATACGACAGATCTGCAGGCGCCGAGAAGACTTTTTCGAGAGACAGAACCGTGTTCAGCTGTGCCACAGGTTAATCATCGAACCAAACAAGAAAACACATGAGGTGAAACTTACCATGCGGTAGTTGAGGATGCTTGCCACTGAAGGAGCTTGGTAAATCACGTCGTTGACAATGTAGTAATAGCCCAAGACCGTGACACTGCTGTCGTCCTCGCTCTCTCGGTTCTGCTTGCGGATAACCCACACATTGGAGTTTTCACGGCCGTTGGGACCATCGAACATGACCTTCTCTTCCAGCGGGTCGTGTTCAACCACGTACTGAATGCCGCGTTGGTGGCGAAGATTGGCTTCAAACTTGGATCTAGTGCCTAGAATGTCGTTTTGATTGGGTGTGCCAACCCATTGGGTGATCAGAGACTGATTACCAGAGACCTGATCGAAGAAGGGTGATGTTGCGAAATAAAACAATACTGGAGAAGATGTCAGCCACTGGTTGGCAAGGTCAGGCTATGACTGACACACCATTGTTGGAGTGTAGGTAGCCCCCATTCCATGCAATCCATGTAGGGTCGAAGTGCGCTTTATCGGTCAGGTCATCTTTGGTATCAGTCATGTTGAATGCGGGGGAGGTGGTCTAATAAGACTTGACGAGATATGTTCATTTTGATAGGCGATGTCGTCGGGTAAGGTCCTGCACTCTACGCTGGTCGCAATGTAGACAGCATCTTGTACAACAATGCCGAGGTCTTGCACGTCAACCAACTTACACCAGTGGGTGTGATCGAGGGAGAGATGTGCTAGGAGTTGAAGCTATCCTAGGAGTAGGGATATGGGGACGAGGATGGGGACGAGTATGAGGGAGAACAACTAGTACAGTAAACAGATTGTGGCACGTGCAAGGCTGCAGCTTGGCATTTCATCCACTCGGTGAAACTGTTTTTCCGGCTGCGCTATCCGTATTCGACTCGTTCATTACATTTTCTCCGTATTGGAAAAAAAGTTTGGCTGATTGATTGATTACCTACTGGCTTTCCTGCCGATTGCTTCTCTGTTTGATTGCAGTCGTGGTAGGTCTTTTCTTTCTTCTGATATCATGTTGTGTTTGGACTGAGTGGTGTCCTATTCGCCCTTGTACCTACCTTATTCAAGGCGTTCGTTGTTCGATTGCAGCTTTTTGTGTTTAAATCTCTCTCTGTCTCTCCCTCTCTCTCTCTCTCTTCCTGCCGACCCAGTGTGCCAATATTTCCGCGGTCATCGTCTGGCACGGTCGGCCTATGCCCTGGACGCTCGGTCTTCGATGAATACGCAATCGTCGATCCTGTTTGTCGATGCCTACGATTCATTTGCTGAGAATATCGTCGCCTTACTTCGGCAGCAACTCGACCTGGGGGTTAGTTTGATCCGGATCGACTGCGATATACCAGCGCGCTTTGGCCGATCCCCCGAAGATTTCTTTTCGAGCTTCGATGCCATAGTTCTTGGGCCTGGTCCCGGAAGCCCCCAGAATGAATCGGATGTCGGTCTTTTCACTCAGGTCTGGAAGTACGCTGCAAAAGGTGACATACCTGTCCTGGGGATATGTCTAGGATTCCAAAGCCTATGTGTTCAGTATGGAGTGCCTGTGGTCCGTATGGAGCTGCCTTGTCACGGACATGCTAAGCAGGTGTTCCACTGCCATCGGGACATCTTTGCCGGAGCTGGAGACGTCGTTGCAACGAACTACAACAGTCTTGGAGTGCGGCTGACGGACTTCAAGCGGGAGTGCGGCTTCAGTCGGCCTGGCTCATCTGGATCAACCGAGAGTTTTGCATCATCACAAAGTGTCCAGTCTACAACCTCAACCTTCTCGAAGCCTGCTCAGGAGAGACCACGCCACCGGTTCGCCGAGGGCCTGGAAGTCCTAGCATGGGACCAAGATGACTGGGTCATGGCGGTAAAACATAAGCTATTTCCATTCTATGGCATTCAGTTCCACCCAGAATCATGCAAGTCAAATTCCGAATGTCGGAATGTCCTCAACCAGTGGTGGCAGACTTCGATCGCCCATAACAAGACTGTGTCCCGGACACCGTCTCGCTATCCCATGCCTCGGCCGCACCTGGTGGCGCCGTCAATCAAGACCAGATCCCTCCGCAGTGAGTCTGAGTCGCTGCTAACGAAAATGGCCCAGCTGGCAAGCTCGTCTGGCAGCCACATGACGTCCGTGGTCGTACCATGGGTCAGGAAAGCTGATGACATTGCCTCCTTGTGCCATGAGATGTCGCCCTCAGGATCTGTTGTTATGTTGGAATCCACCAAAAGAGGGCGGTACAACATATATGCGTTCCCTGATTCCTCGAATTTCCACATCGAATACGCCAATGAGCAGTGTTCGGTCTTTCAGGGAGGTCATCCTGCTGCCACGTTCTCACTCGACCGCGAGGAAGTCGTGCAAGCGATTGAGACCTTCACCTGTAGCAAGCAGACAAATGACGACGAGCACTCAGGCCCTTTCCAAGGTGGCTTCATGGGTTACCTATCTTATGAGTTTGGAGCGACATCCCTGGGCCTGGACGTCTCCCGGCGTCAGGGTTCGCAGCCGTGCACACCCGACATTAGTCTCCTCTGGGTTGATCGCAGCATTGTCTTTGACCATGTTTCTGGAAACGCATTCGTGCAGTCGATCAGGCAGAACGACGGCGTCTGGACGGAAGAGGTGGTACAAACGCTCAGGAAAATCTGTCAAACCGATGTGCGATATGCCGAGCCACCTAGGGACACGAGACTGCAGGATATTCTGTCCTCCGCTACTCCCACTATGCCCGACCATGACCAGTATATCTCCCAAATCCGAGCCTGCCATTCCGAGCTGCTGGCCGGCAATTCGTACGAGCTGTGCCTGACGACCGAAGCAACAATCAGAACACCTTGCGGGCCCGAAAATTCGTGGCTGCTGTACAAGAACATTCAGCGCCACAATCCTGTTCCATTTGCAGCGTACATGCACCTGAATAAGACAACCATCCTGTCATCCTCGCCGGAGCAGTTCCTGTCATGGTCACGCGACGGCTCGATTGACATGATCCCGATGAAAGGCACAGTGAAGAAGACTCCGGATATGACGCTCGAGAAAGCCAGCATCATTCTGGCTTCTGCGAAAGAGAGCGCGGAGAATTTGATGATTGCAGACCTCATCCGCCATGATCTGTACAGCACGGTGGGCCGGGACGCGGTGGTCGAGGTTGTCAAGCTGTGCGATGTCGTCGAGACAGAGACAGTTTTTACCCTCGTTTCGCATATCCGTGCCCACGTCCCGCTTGCCGATCGGCATGCCAACCAACTCAAGGAAGACATGACCAAGTATGGCATTCAGGCTCTTAGCCACACGCTTCCACCAGGAAGCATGACCGGTGCGCCGAAGAAGCGCTCCTGCGAGATTCTTCACCATCTCGAGCAGCGCGATAGAGGCGTCTACTCTGGTGCCATCGGCTACATTAACGTCAATGGGAACGGGGCGTGGTCCGTTTGCATTCGGGCCGCGTTCTCCAACGAAGATGACAACGGGGTCGCTTCAGACGACGTTGCGAACAAAGGCGACCAAGCGGCGCGATGCAGACAGAAATGGCGCATCGGCGCCGGCGGAGCGATCACGGTGCTCAGCGACCCAGAGCAGGAATGGGAAGAGATGATGACCAAGCTGGACAGTGTTTTGCGAGGCTTCCGACCGAATTAGTTTCCAGTTTACTGTGACGCGACTCCGGGTCGCATGAGGAGAACTGTTATGATGTTAAGGGGCATTCACATTTCATGATTTGACGCGCTACAGTGCGCCTTTTACTCTGCATTTCTGGGGTTGATAGAGGGGTTTAGTCATTCAAAGGGCATGAATCTACTAAGGCGTCCAAAGGCAAGGGTTTCGATTTACTTTCAACACGACAGGGCGCAAAAAAGGGGAATGGCAAATTTGCGATGAGGGGCATAGAGTTTGCTATTCAACACGGCACTATTCGGCAAAATGCATTACAGCATCGCCAGTTATGATTTTCAGCATGCCACGATGGAGAGTTCCGTCAACGACAAGTGACGATGCCCACTCGTTTGATTCAGGAGGTGTGAAGATACCGCGAGCCGGACAAGGTCGAGCTAGACTAGACGTCTATGCCCTCCATTGCCAGCTGAGTGCTGTGCTGCTGGATGTGGGCGAGCTGTTCTTCGGTTGTCTTCGGTTCTGCTTGGCTCGGCGGGAAATAGAACATTAGAACAGCACGTAGAGCATCATAGAACGGAGACAACGGAGACGGCGGAGGGGAAATAAAACTAGACTATTCACACCACTGCCTTCTAAGTCCTGTTTTCGTGAAGTTGAGTCTCGATGACCGATGCATATCTCGATTTGTTCATTGTTCGCTTTGCCGTTATGGGTTCTTCTCAATGCTTTCAGAACCTCCCCTTGGATACATGAGAGGCGAGAATAGAAGACAGCTTCATACTCAAACATGCCTGCACCACCGCCCCGAGCCCAGCCTATCCTGTTTTGCCTGCAATATGTACAGCTTCCGACGCTTGTCTATTCCAATAGAAACAAATACTCCAAGCTCCCACAAACCCACCGATAGTCTTCCCTACCGAGATAGCCATTTCCCCAGGGACGCCACCTGGTATCGTACGGCACTTCCTGATCGCCAGTGCCTGATGAGCCCACGCTTGCAAAGCCTTACACGCCTCTGCTGTGCAGTGAGAATGTAGAAAGCGGCGTACACGAAGAAACAAGACAAGGAAGACCAGTCGTCAGTCAATCAGTCATCAAATCTCTACCAGTGGTGCTCTCTCAGCAGGTCTCGAAGTCTGGCCCCTTGCAGCTTGAGCGGTCTCCGCCCTACCGATGATGACTCGCACAACCCGGCCAAAGTACTGAGCGACAAACCCTTCGGTGTAGTAACTATGGTCGGAGCTGTGGTCGGCGACCAGATTGTGCGCCAGTTCATGGCAGAGAATGACCCACCAGTAGACAAGAGCGTCGGCATAAGCCTCCGGGTTAGCCGCAGCCCCGTCCGCGAGGTTGCGTTCGTGGAGTTCTTCATAGTAGCGGTAGTTGCAGAAGATGCTGCCGTTGCGGTTGAACGCGATCGTCTTGCCGGAAGTCTCGAAGAAGATGTTCAAGGTGCGAGGATCGAGACTGAACACTTCGCCGACGGATTTGAGCAGAGTGGCAAAGGCGGCGAGACCGGACGAATGCTGCTGCAGGAAACTGGACGAGTTGCTGACGGACGATGGGGACAGATACATCTGGATTCCGTGCCTGATGTCCGCGACGCATGTGAGGTCGTGCGCGGGATGTTCGTCGCAATACGATTTGGTTTCGGTTAGCACATTCGTTTCGCCGCGCGAGTACAGATCTGACGAGTTGTGAGGTCGCGATTTCTTGATGGCGTTCAACAGATTCTCGCGGAGCTGATGCGGTGCGGTGACAGAGTCGGTGGGTCCCTGCGACCCTCCTCGGCCTCCTCCTTGCTGGTCATACTGGTAGGGCGGAGGGGGGTCTTGCTCGCCATTGGTGATGGCTCTTGTTGTTCCAGCAGCCTCTGGCGCGTCGTCGACGGGGTGGCCGAGCATGGATTGAATATGTCGGTTGTTCCCTAATCCAAGTTGACGGGAGATGTTGGAGAACAAGTTGCGTCCTTGTCTTCGACGATCATCGCCATCAATCGACTGTGCATCCGGGTCAGAGCTGGTCCTGACGCCCGCATGATCCGGCGAATCTGGAAATCCGCCAGGTAACTGATCTCTCTGCACCTTGTCTCTCGCGGCTTGCTGCTGTGAAGCTCTCCATGACTTTCCTTCTTCCGCAATGAGCTTCTGTTGCTCCTCAAGTTCTTGCTGTCGCTTGCTCTCTGCCAGTCGTGCCTCCGCCGCTTTCTGCCGTAGGATACGAGAAACATTGAAACCTCGAGCACGAAGGTCAAGCAAGTCCGTCTTCAGCAGCATTTCCAGGGTAATGGCCGAGTGGAGTTTGGGTCTTGTGAGCAGAATATGTACCAGGGCTTGGCTAACCTGGTATAGGTCGGGTTTGGCACCGGCAATCCATAACGTATACTCTCGGTTGACCTGCGTAACCACAGCCGTGCGCTTCTCGGTATGGCTGACATTCCGCCCTCGCAGTGATCTCCTCAGAGATATCGACGAGACAAGCTGCACCTTGAGATTCTTCTCCAGCCATTTTGCATCATGTTTGATGGTGTCCGGAGGCTGTTCGTGCAGAAACAATGTCGATCTCTCCAAAATTTGTTTCTGCAGCTTCTCGGCGGGCTTCTGGTCCGGCAGTCTGGGTCCGTGGCGAGCTGCCTCCTCCACCAGTGAGCTCAGAAGTGGTGACCCGAGTGCAAAGTAGAAGTCCTCGAGCTTCTCTTCCTGAGGGGCGGCGAGTATGTTCGACTTGAATAGGTTGTAATTCAAATAATCATCAATAATGATGGCATCTTGGGCACTACACAACTGGAATTCGCGAATCCCCTGAAGCTCATCGTCATCAATATTGTCAAGCTCGTCTTCCCGGCCGGCAGATTTATCCGTCCCAGACGATGGAGCTGCGAGTTCCTTACTGGCGAGCAAGAACGGAGCTCGCTTCATTTCCGCGAAAAGCTCTTTATTCTTCTTCAAGGTCTTCACATCATCAGCCATGCTGCGGAGGAGAGCCATGTACTTCTCGACATTGCGGAAAGCGGCAGATATGCGGGCAGGTTCTCTGACAAGGATCTGTGCTATTTCCATCTTCGAAGGTTCCTGTTTCGAACCACATTTGATCAGAAAAGTGTTCGCCTCGGAGCCAAAATCAACGTAGTGGAAAATCTCCCCGAAGACGTCGCTTTCACCGAGAAAACAATTGCGTGGCGAAGTGTAAGTCTTGGGAGCCGACTTCTCCTTATCCTTTGCAAAGATGGGAACAAAGTCAAGGCTGTTCAATCTCCCGATGTAGCCAGTGTTGATTTCATTCAGACGACCAGCGAAATAGGAAAAGATGGCACGAGCAGCTGGATAGGTAGTTGGAGGGCGTTTTGCAAGGACATTGATGCAGACATCCATAGGCGGATTCATTCTGACGCCGAACTTCGTCGCATGCGGGACCCAATCCCGCTTCAAAATGTCGAAACCGAGAAGGGCTGCGCCCTCATCTGCAAAACATTGAGAAGGTGTAGCAAGCTCGTCTGCCTTGTTTTCAAGGGGTAAGAATGGAACTGTGATGCGAGAATAGTCGAAGCCAGCATATCCATAGGCATGATGATGAGACAAGAAATACGCGAGGGCCCTATCTCGAAGGTCAAGGTTCCTCGTGGGGCCCTTCTGGCCTGCCTGGGCCATAATGTCAACGAGTTCTTCCACGACGGGTGTAGTTCGCAGCCCAAGAGAACTTAGGAATTTCCCTTCAGGGCTGCTGCTGCGATAGACGCCAGGCCAAACCAGGACTGGAAGACCAAGATCACGCAAGTCTGGCCGTGGTTCAAACAACTCCGAGACTTTGTATCGCTTCGTGGACTCCGCATCCTCCCTGCCTTTGACGTGTCTCGGACAGATTGGCGTACTTCTGAGCTTCGCGATATCGGACCCGGGGATGTCATCACGCACGGAAGCGAGATAATGGATGAGATCAACATGGCTCCAAGGAGGTTTTGCCGCTGACTCGGGTTTGGCGGATTTAGCATCGACCGACAGAAGCCGCTCGAAGACAACGCCCAACTCAACTGTCTTGCGAACGCCCAATGCCACCAAGAATTTGTCCTTGACATTTCCAAGGCCTTGGATGGTAGCAAGGTCATCGAAGAGCTTGACGTTGGGAAAATACGCATCCCCCGGCTTCTTCATACCAAATTTTGTAGGGATCACAGTGTGTTTGACAAGTACTTCCACAAGAGAAGTCTTGGATGGCTGGCTCAGCGAGTCCCACTGTTTAGACAGAATGGGCAGAATTTGCGCACTGAACTCTGCTGACTTCGTTACGTCTTGATCCTCCGACAGGACCTGACGATTTCCAGATTGGCTGATGAGCCACCGCACCCATGTTACCAGTTGCAGCTCCTCCCAACCCAGGCTTTCCAGCTCGTGTTTGCTCATAGTCTTCGTATATTTGAAAGGCATCACAGTCGGTGGCACCGGCAGATCAACGGGTGTCCTGCTAGGATTGAGGAAGTAACAGATTTCTCCCAATTGAAGAAGCGGGCTAGCATTGCCCTCGGGCTTATCGTCGTTGGCCACTGCAACTGCCAGTAAGCTAGACACCGTGGCTTTTTCGAGTGCTCCTCGGGTAGATTGCTTGATGAGCCAGGTGAGAAACTCAGAGACTTGAACCGGGCTGAGCGGACTGGACTCGAGGGCCAGCTTGATGTCCGACACGGTCACCTCCGTCAAGAGACCAAAATCAACAAGTTTAGAAACCAGAGGTTTGGCTTCAGACGCCAATTTCTCCGGTAGAATTGGAATGCCTTCCATGAAGCTCAAATCTTTGGGAGCAATGCGCACATTGTGTGTCGGCAAGACTCCACAGGTCGAAATAACTTCAATGGAGGCCTCTTTGCTGCAGGTCCAGAAGGCGTCCTCCAATAATTGCCCGATCGACGGCGACGGCGTGGATTCTTTGAAGGTAAAATTCTTGAAGATTGTGATGGCCTCTTCCAGAAAGGGGCTCACTTCTTCCATGCGAATCTTTGAGCGGCCGTTTGCCTCTCGCTGGATTTTCTCCTTGAGTTCTTGCATCTCAGTAAACCAAGCTATCCTGCACACGATGCCCGCAGCACGAAGCATTTCCATGTTCCATGTCCGCACATATCTGGCATTCAAGTCGATCGACTCCCGCTCGACGGTGGGAATGACCGAAGGTGCCGAGATATGCGCGCTCAATCCTGTTGTCTGATGTGTGGGAAACCCGATGAATATCTTACCTGCTCTGCTTGGAAGCACAGTACCAAAGACATCACCGGCTGCAGACGCCCTGTTAAGGCTCGCATCCTCGATGTACGGAGCAGACAGAATGGCCAATGTTGTGAACTTTGGAGGAGGTTTCTTGGTGGCACGTTCCAACTCCTCGTTGAATTTCTGACCAGTAAAAGTCTTGATCGTCGCAGTGTTGACATTGAGGAAGACTGTGGCGGACACTTTCGATGTGAGAATATCTGCATCGCTTGCCCGCTCTAATTTGACTTCAGAGTGGCTCTCCTCTTGCCCGGTTCCCGCCAGTCGAGAGAAGAACTTCCGCAAAGAGGTGCCGGCTTCCCGGTCTACCAAACGAGTGGTGTCTCTGCTCGCTTTCCATCCGATGACAGCCATCCATTGTCCGTCAATCTGCGCGATCTCCTTGGAAACTTTGGTGACTTTCATAAATCCCTCGCTCGTCTTGGGTTCGATGCTGCGCGGGAGTGCCAATTCCAGACTTGGTGAGGTTTTCTTCTTCAATGAGAGAAGATTCCAATCATCTAGCCAAAGTTCAATGTTCTCCAAGCCAACGAATGTGAGGCTGTTCGCCAGGAATTGAGCGAGAGGTAGCAATGGAGGGATTGGAGACGTTGAATCCCGATAGTCGAGCACGAAGTTTGTGTCGGAACTCGTCTCTGTTTCGGGGAGCTGTAGCCGCCGTGTGAAAAGAGAATTATTCTTCCAGAAGAATGCCATTGCTTCTCGACCGGAGGAGACAAAGGGGTTCTCGCAGTCCGCAAATGTGGAATAGAAGCCCACGCCAAAGGCGCCAATCTTTGTTTCGTCGGGATTTCCTTCTGCAATTCTCTTGAGCCTATTCCAGTCGTTCTCACTGAATGGGGCACCATTGTTGGTGACCACAAGACGCTTCAATGTATGATGTTGCACTGTATGCTTCAGTAGGCTTGACGGCGAGGCATCTGAAGGGAGGGGCACGGTGGAAGAGGGTATCGTCTCGAATTTGATGGTGATTTTTGTTGCAGAGGCATCTGCCGCATTTTGCAGGAGTTCTCGTAGGACAGTCCATTCCCCCGAATATCTAGCCAACACCTTATCGATCAATGCTCTTGTATTGACTGTAACAGCCTCCTCATCGGCACCCGACTGCAGGGTCCGGGCGCGAAGAGCATCAAAGTTCATTTCGTCCTGAAAGCTGGCACAGTCGCTGAAGGGTAGATAATCTCTGTGGAATGAGATACGAAGCGGAAAGGGTATGTACAACGATCAGACGCAGCCTCGTCGCCACGGTGGCGCGTCTCAAGACCGAGAAGCTGTGCCGCGGCCTAAAGGTTCGTGGCAAGGAAGATTGTCGAATGAGCCGATCCGATCTGCATCAGTAGGCCTGACATAGGGTATTCGAGAATTCTGGAGGGTGATGGAGAGAAGATACAAGCCTTAAGTATACAGAAAGATGGAGAAGGACAGGAAACAAGGGCTCGATTCAGAAGAGGCGAGGCGGGCAGTAGGCAACATGATCCAGTAGGCAGTGAATCGGAGAACGAAACATGCCCCGGACGAGGCTGACGTCGACGAACCAAACACTGCGCCACTGTTGTATTAATGGATGGGTGCCTGGCGTCGTGGCATAGCCTGGTGTGGCTTAACAAGTCGACATCTTACAAGGCTGTAAGTTATGGTTCGCCGTAGCATGTGCTATTTGTGGCTCTCAATCGACCGTATAGTTATGTATTTCTCACCCAAGGTCACGTGCGTGATATTGTGAACAACATTCCCAGTAGCACAGGCATCTATCTCTCTTCTATTTCTATACTACCGGTGCCACAAGCAAAGAGCCATAGAGGTCAGAGGGTCTTCCTGAGTCGCAATACGAACATATCAAGCCTTGGGCTTCAGTTACGACTGTCCGTCCATGTTTCTCGGCCTATAACTTCGACGAACGACGGCCCCTCAACCTGCTCCTATTGCAGCCATGTCATTATGGGATATAACCCTTTTCTACCCACCGCTGGCGCAAGAGTCAACGTCTTATGTATTCCAGCTGGTCGGATCGCGCCCGAACGCTTCCTTAAGTTCGTCAAGTTATTGCAGAACGCGGCGATAGTCAAGGCCAATCTCGTGGATTCTTCGCAAGCCCCTGACGGTAAATCCTGTCGAACTGCGCCCATGGACTTGCCTGCTTATACTTCTAGGCCTACATCCTTCTTCAAAGGACGGATACTGCATCTTCTACGATGTATCGGCAACTCAGGATGCTCCAAGGGCGCACCTATTCCCATTCGAAACCAACAGCAGATTCCAAGTCCTCCTTGGTATCGTTGATGGCGAGAGAGTCGGAAGTGCTGTGCGTGCTTCTGGCAATTTCGACGATACGACAAAGCAGGATGTTTTGTCAGATCTCGAGGCCATCAAAGCCGGCTTCTTCGAGCAAGTCCAGGCTCATCCAGGTCTCCTTGTTCGTCAATTGATTTACTGTGACAAGGAGACGCCTACGTCGCTTGACTCCGATATCCTCCCCTTAACCGATGTTGACGGCACCGATGCTGCACTCGATGTTATGGTTAGAGTCTCCAGATTGCTCATGGAGGGTATTGTCACAGTTGTCGAGGACTTCAGAGAGCAGCCGATTAGCATGGTGCCTGGTGCTAACACACCGACCTTCGCACGCACGGGGAACACACCAATCTCTTCGAGTGCCAGCTCTTCTTCGACGCCTGTGAAAAGTGCAAGCCCTAGGCCTCCCTCCAATGACGCAGAGATACAGGTATGTTTTTGACTGCTTCAGCGGACCAAATACGGCATCCCTCCATTGCGCACACAGCTCTAACTCCAACCCAGAGTGAAACATCAAGAGGGCGCTTCAAGGTAATCCAAGGCATGTATCACCTTCAAGGCGGGTTGTGGAATGATGCCATGGATTCGCTCTCTGAGGGTGCATCCATTGCACAGAATGGCCACGATCATCTTTGGCACGGGCGGGCCCTAGAGTGCCTACTTTTATGCATGCTGCTTTTATCTTGGTCCGATCGTGGATTTACAGTCCCGCAGGTATGCCGTTCTCTACCCAACAGAAGTGTTGTCTTCCAGACAGAGTCGTCTTCGACACCCAGCGACTCGCAGAAGGCTTTGGCTAGGCTGATGCCGCCAATTGTCGAAACCATCTTGGAGCTCTACGCCAGAGTGTCAAATCTAGATCTCGGAGGGTCATTGCAGGACGTCCTACGAGAAGCTCGTGTCAGGAACGTGAACATACTAGTCTTTGTCAAGAGAAATGGAGGCGTCTTGAACAGAGAGTGCCTTGACCGACTTGTGTTAAGTCGGACTGAGACGGAAGGGGACTCGCTACCTTCTGAAGGTGAACCTGTTGCAATATCAAAGGCCGGCCTGGCCAATATCTTGATCGAGACACTTCAAGCGTGCCAGGCCAGCAATAGCTCCACCCACCCTACCAGCATATTGGTCGCAGTGGCCAGCAGCCTCTCGCTCTTGGGACTGAATCGCAAACATGCCTTCTACCTCAGACAATTGATGCAACAGTTTGTTCACAAGTTGATTGAAGCAAGAAAGATTGGTGCTGCGGAAGCTGGAATCCATCCTGCAGCTGGGCTTCCACCTGTCAACAACGCACCCCAGGGAATCCTACCAGAAATGGTCTTAGGCATACGATCGATGCTTAGTCTTGCGTCAGGGGCATATGGAGTCCCGTTGCCTGCAATTCCTACACCGAGACGACTTATACCAGCCGATCTCGGCGACATTGATGCGAAACTCCGAGTCTGGGCTGCCGAGCATAGCTCTGGGGAGTTGTTGCTAAAGATTGAAATGCTGAGGACCTGCGTCGGCGTCAGCGAAGCATTGCCGGACGTGCCAACAGGTCTATATCTCGCTTCGGCCATATTGCGGGTGGCGAAGCAAAGTGTCACCATGTCCAAGCAACTCAATACTGCGCCTCCCCTGATATCGGCGGATGGACAGTTACGTTTGCTAGATAGCATCAAACGTGGAGTATCAGTGGCTCCGAGGCTGGGCGCTCCCGGATACCGTGCCGAATACTGGGACGATTTTCTGGTTCGAGATATTCAAGTATTTGAACAAGATGACTCGTCCAAGCTGATTTCGCATAAACCCAGCGACCTCTCGGTACGGGGCAGTGGGCTGACTGATACTATTCGGGATCCCTTCATCTACAACCCATTCTCGAAGTCGACGTCGGCGGTCGCGGCACCTGTTCTAGTGGCAGGAGAATTGGCCATGTTTGCTGTGCTTCTTCAGAATCCGATGGAGGTCGAGGTCGAGATTGAAGACATATCTCTGGTCACAAAAGGATGCGGTTTCAACCCGTCACATCATAGCATTGTTTTGGGCCCTTTGTCCATCCAGGTGTTTACATTGACGGGCACGCCCACAGAGGACGGTGACCTTGAGGTCGTGGGTTGCAAGGCCAGAGTTCGGAACTGCTACGAGCAAGAATTCCTAATCTTCCGGGATGAGTGGAAACCATCCTTGAACATAAAGCAGAATGCCGTGGGCAGGGTCCGTCATAGGACCAGTCAGGCCAAACATGCGGGCGACGATACCACACGATTTCCAACCGTCGAGATCAATCCACCCATCGCCACCCCCGTCAACCTGAAAGTCATCAGGGCCCAGCCTCGCATCAGGGTCCAATCCAACAGCTTGGGCAGATCGGCAATTATGTTGCTCGAGGGGGAATCTCGAGTGTTCGACTTGAACCTAGTCAATGAGAGCCCCGACGTCCCTGCTGATTTCATTTTGGTGACCGCGCAAGACTCTGTCACATCACGGCTCAAGGAGGCGCTCTCAAATAAGGGCCTGAATCCCGCCGAACAATATGAGATCCAGAATCAACTGTCTGGGAACCCAGCTGTCGCCATCAGGAGAAAGGGGCCGAAGGATTCGACCAAGATCCTCGAACCGGGCAAGGTCATCACTTACGAAGTCACGATTGTGGGCCAACCTGGCCTTGTCAGCGCCACTGTGCAGGCAGATTACGCATACCTAGGATCGGCTTCGACAGAGGTGAAAGGCACATTCTACACTCGACAAGTCCGGTTTCCCATCGCAATCACTGTCAATGGGAGTGTGGAGATACCGCGATGCAATATTCTGCCCGTCCATAGCGATTTTGCATGGATGTCCGGTGCTGCACCCAATGGCACGCAGGACGAGACAGGAGCTGTCCAAACTGGACAGACCGATGCTTCAAGACTCTCGCATTGGCTACAGACCAGCCCTCAGGCCAGCGACTATTGCATGCTATCATTGGATCTGCGCAATGTCTGGCCGCAACCGCTCGAAATCGACATCCGAGCTCGAAATGCAAAAGCGCTGTCGGCTTCCCCAGAAGAACCGTGGCAGGATGCGTATACAGTTCTTGAAGCATTGCAACCCGGCCACGTCACTCGGGTTGTATTGTTGGTCCCACGCCTTTTCATCGAGGATCTTCACGCCCAAGTCCCCAATCTCGAAACTCAAAAGCAGTTTGTGGTAACGACATCTAAATTGAGCGCCGAGGCGGAGGCAGCGAGCAGAGAGTCATTCTGGTATCGTGAGGAGCTCCTGAAGTGCTTGCGCGGCACATGGACGGAAGAGAGCTCAGGCAGACATGGAGAGATCGATCTTCGGAAAGGAATAAGGTTGAGCCCACGAATGGTAGACGCGCTCAAAATGGACCATGTCGACTTCGAATACGTCTTGAGGCCATGTGATGAGGAAGCCGACAAATCCGAAGCCCATGCAAACACAGCGGTGAAACAAATTGGAAGATCGCATTTCAACCTCAAGCCGGAAACCTTTGCGACTTTGTCGGTTAAAGTCCATAACCACACCCAGGACACTCTGCCACTCCTCCTTCGACTCCAACCCGCGCTCCGCCATCAGCCCCATAATATAGCCTTGGACCTGTCGAGACGATTTGCGTGGTCCGGCGTGCTGCAGCGCGCGTTGCACCCTGCGATTGAACCTGGCGGTACATGCGTGGCCGAGCTGGGTGTCATAGCGCTAGTCCAGGGTGAATATGAGATCACCACATCAGTCGAGGAGGTCAAGGCACGCCGCGTTACCGGTGCTGCGAAGGGCGGTGGCGCTTCGGCCGCCCGCTTCGAAAGGAGGATCTGGCACGCCCGATCGCCGTGTCTGATTGATGCCGTGGAAGAATGACCGATCGGGTTTCCTTGCCTATGACTGGCCATTTCAGATCACAGACAGAACGAGATCAACGATTTGTAGAAAGACATCTCTCTCCAGTGCGACGTTAGCGAGGCCCAACCCGAGCATGAGCTGTCGGCTCTCCTCCGGCGTCTTGGTGATGATGGCGTTTGCAATCTGAGAGGCGTACAGCTGGCCCATCACCTCGCGGTCAGGGCCACCAGCCCCAAGCAATACCCGTGGAGAGAAGCGAGTCGATGGGAGAAGGGCGTCGTCGCCAGAGCGGTTCGTTTGGAAATAGGGATCTAAATGTGTTGGATTGTCGCTGAGCAGCGGCACCGTGACCTTGTGAATATAAGTAAATCCTCATCAGAACACTGTCGTATGTCTTGACAAACCCATTGCGACAATTTGCCGTTCTGTGTGACCGTGATCATGATTTTGTCCGCAAAAGAGAGACTCATCACGTCGGTCTTGACACCGTTCACTTCGCCTGCGACTTGCTTCGTTGGTGCAGGAAAGGGGATTGTGACCTGAGTTTCGTCCATCTTGGTTGTCTCGTAGTCCTGTGGTAGACCCATTTCTCTGCCCGCTGGATCAATTTCTGATGAGGAGAGAAAACAGGATGCTTGAAAGCCGAATGGAATCGTCGACGTCGACCACCTGCGCAGTCACGTGACACCAGCCTTTTCACCGCCCCGATGAAGACGGGGAGAACAGACGGAGACACCGCCCTTTTTTCTGCCGGTCAAAATATTTTCGTTTGGATGCGCCTCTCCCTCCAATCGATACCAGCAGACTTGCACTTGGTGTGTCTCTGCAGAACAATCCCTGTCCCGCAGGCTTGACGAGAGGCCTCGAGGCTGAAACCCCCCCTGCATAATGGCACCGTTTGTGCGCCGTCAGCGGAAGCACAAAGTTCGTGCCCGCGAGGAGAAAGAACAGGCGGTATCCCAACAAACCAACCAAGAAGTGATTGTCCCTCTCAGCAAGGCCGAGAGGGAGGAGAAGAAACAAAAACTCCGAGAAGAACTACGGGTCCAGCAGCCGAAGATTTCAAGCAAGAAGCAGAAGCGGCTGGACAAGTACATTGAAAACAAGCTGAAGAAAGATGAGACGCTGGACCTTTTGCGGAAGCTGGAGAAAGAGAAGGAGAAATACGATGCCACTGCTGCATTGCAGAGTTCGCGAACTTTAGGAAAGAGAACCTTTGGCGACTTCGTGAATGGAGATGGTCCCGCTAGTCCATCGGGGAAGAGGACGCAAAATAAAGGGCCAGGCGAAGAAGAGTCAGATGTCGAGAGCGAGGATTCGTTCGAGGTAGAGAACCGGACGGCGTCCGGACAAGAGAAGCCAACGGATGTCAAGCCCGCGACTTCTCCAGCAATGCAAGGGAGCGGTCTAGCGCAGCCACTGGCGTTGGACGAGAACGGCCTGCCTATAATACAGTCCCGCAAGGGGAAGAAGAGGAAGAAAGTCAAGGATGATGTTCAAGTAGCAGTGGAATTACCCTGGGAAGGATTTGATTCAGAGGCAAGCGACGTCGAGCACTCAGGAGAAGATGGAGAAGGTGATGATGAAGAGGATGAAGAGGACGAGTCAGGTTCTGATGTCTCTGACTCCGACATCTCAGAAGATGGATCTGAAGAGGAAAGTGACGAGGAGTCTGGGACCAGCACGTCAGAATTCTCCGAGGGTGGGAAAATAGAGCCTCGGAAGTCGGCCTTCAAGGCCTGGGCAACACAGCAGCTCAATCAGGCTGTTGGGCATGTCCCATCATATACCATCGGTGAGGGACAACTGCCGCCCAAACCCACTCCACGGCCTGCAGAGCCCAAAACTACGCCCGTCGACAAACCTGCAGTTCCAGACAAGGTGATCGAGTCAGTTCCCAATCGAAAAGCCTATGCTATCCATGTCGAACGACCAGAAGAAATCCAACAGTCAAGATCTGCACTCCCCATCCTTCAGCACGAGCAAGAGATCATGGAGGCCATCCATAACAACCCTGTTGTGATTATCAAGGGAGACACGGGCAGTGGTAAGACGACACAATTGCCGCAGTTTCTGTTCGAAGCTGGTTACGGATCTCCAGACGGACCTACGCCGGGTATGATTGGCGTCACGCAGCCTCGTCGTGTGGCCGCCGTCAGTATGGCGAAGCGAGTGGCGACAGAAATGGGACAGTACAGCGACAAGGTGTCGTATCAAATCAGATTCGACAGCACCGTGTCGTCTAGCACGGCTGTGAAATTCATGACGGACGGAATCCTGCTACGTGAACTGTCCCAGGATCTGCTGCTGCGGAAGTACTCGGCGATAGTCATCGACGAGGCGCACGAGAGGAGCGTCAACACCGACATCTTGATCGGAATGCTCAGCAAAATCGTCCCGGCGCGGATGCAAAAAAGCCAGTTCAATCCCAACCCGTCGCCCCTGAAGTTGATCATCATGTCCGCCACCCTGAACATTGGAGATTTTCTGCGTGAGAAGCTCTTCACCTCGTCCATGAGGCCGCCGATCGTCGAGGCTGAAGGACGTCAACATCGAGTGACGACACATTTCGCACTCAAGACCAGAGGCGATTATGTGGAAGAAGTGATTGAAAAGGTCAGACGAGCGCATCGGAAGTTACCTCGTGGAGGCATTTTGGTGTTTTTGACCGGCCAAAACGAGATTCGCCAGGTGTCCAGTCGTCTGCGAGAACTGCTCGCTCCGCGAAAGGGTGCCGACCGCAAGCCCGCCACGCCTCGAGTGCAAATCGCGGCAAGTGAAGCCCCTCTAGAAGCCGAGGACTGGGATCTGGGACCAACGAAAGCGGCCATGGACGGGCATGACGACCTTGACATCGAGATCTTGACTCACTCGGAGGACGAGGCTGAGGAAGCCGAGTTCGACATCTCCGACGAGGAAGACGAAGATGATCCATCAACAACAATCCCTTCTTCTACTAAACCGACAACGTCTGGTTCAAAGGAGCCATATACATCGGTCCACATCCTCCCCTTGTATTCCCAACTGCCGACAAGCGAACAACTCAAAGTATTCGAGCCGCCACCGGAGGAGTCTCGCTTGATTGTCCTTGCCACGAACGTCGCTGAGACGAGTTTGACGATCCCAGGAATCCGTTACGTTTTCGACACCGGCCGCAGCAAAGAACGCAGATACAACCTCGACACGGGCGTGCAGAGCTTCGAGATCGACTATATCAGCAAGGCGAGCGCCCAGCAACGAGCAGGTCGCGCAGGCCGGACCGGACCAGGCCACTGCTGGCGCCTCTACACGTCCGCAGTGTATGAGCAATACTTCCCCGACCATGCAGAGCCCGAGATCCTCAGAGCGCCCGCCGAAAGCGTTGTCCTCCAACTCAAGGGGTTTGTGTACCCTCGACCGGTCGCCGATTTTCCCTTCCCAACACCCCCTGCCGCTGTCGCACTGAACAAGGCGGAACAGCTCCTCAAGAATCTGGGAGCCCTGACCGGTTCAGGAGGTATCACTCCTCTGGGCAATCAACTCGCGATGTATCCGCTCTCGCCGCGCCTCGGGAAGATCCTAGCCGCTGGAATCAACAACCCCGAGCTCCTGTGGCAAGTCCTGGCCCTGGTCTCCGGCCTTGCAGTGTCCGAGATCTTCGTGACTGAAGCGCAACTCGACCTCACGGCTCCTTCTTCCTCCACCCAGCAATCTGGAGAAAGAGAAGTCTACACGCGCGAACAGCAACAACATGACGACGAGCGGGACAAACTGCGCCAGGAATTTGGTCGTGCCCGCGCCACCCTCAGCCGCGCCGACAAGACCTCGGACGCAATGAAACTGCTCACCGCCGTCACCATGTATCTCGAAGCAAGCGACAAGGAACGGTTCTGCCGCGACTTTTTCCTCCGGCCCAAAGCCATGGCTGAAGTCGCGCAGCTTCGATCACAGCTTGAAGGGATGGTGCGCAATAACTATCGAACCGCACACTCGCGATCCACCACCGACCTGAACATCGCCAATACTACTACTCCTGGTGGTGGCGATGGAGGTGGCCCTACCATCATTTCAAACGAAACACTATCCAAATCCCGCTCCGCAACGGCCAAATTCCTCTCTTCCTCCAGCAGAATCAGACAGCTCAACGCCATCGCCGCCAGCGGCTACATCGACCAGATCGCCATCCGCTACGACCGGGCGCCTACTCCGCCCGACGTGCCCACGAAACCGCGCCGCGCCATCGACGTCCCCTACCTCCCGTTGGTACCACTGCACGACAAAGCGGGTGCCTCGGTGGTGGAGAAGGCGGTGTACATCCACCCGTCCTCCGTGCTGGCGAGGTTGTCGGTCAAGGATCTGCCGGAATATATCGTCTACAGCCATCTCCAGCGCTCGCAGGCACGGACTGTCACCACAGCTGGCGATGATGGCGATGGTGTCTCGAGTCGATCTCTGGCGCTGGCGCTGTCGAACGCCGAAGTTCGAGTCCCGAAGACTCGTATGTTCCCTTTGACGCCGGTCGATGGCGCACAGCTTGCTCAGCTCGCCCGCGATACCGGTTTGATTGAATATGGTAAGCCGGTGCCGAAGACTAAGGTCGAGGATCTGCCGGGGTCGCCGAAGCGGAGGGAGTGTTGGGTCCTGGTAGAGTTGAGAGGAAGTAAGGTCGGAGCCTTGGGATGGCCGCTTCCGCCGGTCAAGGTCAGACAGGTGCTGGACGCGAAGAGCAAGACTGGGTGGAGGGTGGAAAAGGTGTTGAGTTAGAGTCGATGGAGATCAATGGCGATGGGGATGTGGTCTTGGTCTTGGTCTGGTCTAGGCCTACGGTCCAATATCATGGCAGCAACAAGTGAATGACAATTTTCTGGAGATTTGAGACTCAAGGACCATTTCAGCTCTGTACTGCTGTCTTTCCGTGCTTGCGATGCATTTCGTATCTGACTTTCAGCTCTGGCTAAACACATCGCTCTCCGCGTCTAAAGGACGACTCCTCCGCGCACGAAAGTCTTACGACTGGGGCTCTTTGCCGGCCATGCCCTCCAGTTTTTCCACAGCCTTTTCCACGCTCTCCCTCGCCATGGTCAATTCCCGCTTCAACTCTTCATCGCTCAGGCCACTTTCCTGCTTCACCCACCATGGGGCAGTGTTTCCGACGATGCGCGCAAGGAGGACTGCCTGATGGAACTCGGGACCTCCAAAAGCAATGTCGGCGGTACCGCCTAAAGAAGGTGAGAGGAGTGACTGGGAGAGTGCCTCGGGCAGAGCTTCTAGGCGCTTCAATGTGGAGAGAAAGACCTCATACGCATGCGGCGGCCATTCTTGCTGATTGTTCTCCACAGTGTTTGCAAACTCTTCCGGGAGGGGGAAGAAGCCTGCAAATTCCAGGTCCACCACGGCCGTGACTTCGACGCCCGAAGTTGTAGCAGACACAAGAACATTCCGCGGCGACAGGTCGTAATGAGTGAAAACGAATGTCTCGGGCCCATGGTCGAACATGGATAGTCTGGGCAAGGCTTCTTTGATGAAACGTTGCACCACTTTCGAGACGGGTTCCTTGTTATATTCGTAGAGCTCTCCGGTCTTGAGTCGTCGCAGTTCAGCTTTCAATTTGTGCGTGAAGTACTTCAAGGAGGTGTTCAGCGGCGTTGTGGGTGACTCGTTGGCGATCAAGCCGTCCACGTATACATCCAGTCCCGGCAGGATGGCCCTGTCGTACAATGTGGCGGATGGAGGCGGCACCAGAGTTCGACCCATGAGCCGTAGATTGCCTATTGCTCGTGCTGGCGGCATTTGCTTGCGCCATGTCGCGACAAGTTCGGCCATCTGGGTCATGATCGTATTCCCATGGACGCCAGTGAGGTCCTCCATGCTGATGATTCTGCCAGGGACACGGGTCATGAGTATCCAACCTCGCCCCTTGGTTTCCATTTCGCCATACTTGCTCTCACCGTTCTGACGACTCACCCTCGTCAGCGTCCTTAGGACCCATGATGGCGAACGAGCCCGGGAACCTCGAGGGTCAAGAGGTGTCCTTATCCTACTTCCGTCGTCTGACCATGCAACCACTCTCGGCGCAGGGACGGATGGACAGTACCGCTCGAGCAGAAGGAGACACGCTACCTCGTTCTGTGGTTTGGAAGGGCCGAAGGAGGAGCCTGCGACTTTCAGTACAAATGAAGCCGCCTCATCCACCCCGACGCTTTGAGTGGCGTCTGTCCTTGTCGCCGTCCACTTGGGCCTTGATAGAGTGGTGGGCTCGTTGAGATTGATGAAATAAATTCGGTTGTTGAAAGATTTGCCCGATGGGATTTGCTCGATTGACACGTGTTCCGCCTTGACGACAGGAAGACTTCTCCGGAAAATGGTCTTGATGGTTGAATCCGAGAAATGCACATCATAGTTAGGATTGGAGCGTGGGGTGGCCCGGGCCATCTCTCTAAGACGAACGTTGATGATGGAGTGGTCAGTAGAAGATGGTGTGCGACGGACCAACCATAAGAGGTGAGATGAATGCGGGACGAGGATGGCAGAAGCGTGTGATAGGGAACTGAAGACGGACAGACGACAAGGCTCCCCTTATATGAAGCTGAGGTAAGACAAGGTCGATTGCACTTAGTGTCGCTGGCGTGTCGGCTCTAAAGAAATAGACCGTGCTATTGTGGTCACTGGTGACGCCGACAGCCACCTTTTCGTTGTTTGAGTTTCAAGTTGGTCAGTGAAGTCTTGACGGGGCCAGGGCAGGAAAAATGAAACAAATGATAAGACTGAGGATGGAAGAGACCGAAGTGTAGGTTCATGGAAACGCTCCCTGTTGGGCAAGAACAAAGACCATCGGTGAGAACAGGAAGGAGCGATGGTTTGAACTGTAAACCGTGACGTAGGAAGATGACTGCCCATCAAGGCCAGCGGCTACGAAGCAAGGCTGTTCGGTGCTGTCGATGGTCTTCGATTCACTATTCCGTGCTATCGCTTACTCGTGTCCAGGCATGAGTAGGGAACGATAGAGTCCCGACCTTGTAAGCGAAAAATATCATTAAAGATCGATCAGATGTCGAGCGAACTGTGACAGATGAAGAAGGACAATTGAGTTGCCCATAGCCTTCTCCGTCACAGCATATCCTTCCTCGCAAGTTGAACTTGTAATGATGGAAGTTAATGCTTGTTTCATCTCACTGCTAATGGTTAGTTAGAGGCAAATGAATATCTTCCGGTCGAGTGGGATATGCTTCCACAAGACAAGCCGTCGATTGAAGAGCTCACCCATACTGAGGCCACCCTCATATCTACCCCTTTGGCCTGGTACACAGCGCAAGGCTCAGCACACATGGCGCCAAAAGCGTGGTGCAGTATCTCCTCTTACTCATCATACTCACGCCTACCTGAAGCCCATACTTCACTTACGAACGGTGTCTTCTGCTGAAGCGAGAGTAGAGCTCTGGAAGAAGCTCCGAGACAGAACAAGGCGAAGTGGGTGATCTGATGCCGTCCACCATGCTACATCCGCGGTGTTCGGCAGCTCTATCCGTCACAGGGCGCAGCAGCCCAACGCGAATGCCGAAGAGCAGACAGTCGTGAGAAGTCACCAGCCCTATGGGAACGGTACATCACTCGGGATGTTCGGGCAAGGCAAATTGCGGGACGAAGAGTCGCGGTGAGGAGGCTCGTTGGTTGGCAGAACGTAGTGCTAGCAGACGGACCACAGTAGTCCTATGTACTACTCATATAGTGGCGCGATGAGTTGGAGTGTCTAGTGGTATAGACCGTGATAGAACCAGTACGTTGAGATGTGCCTCAGTGCCTGTCAATTGCTAGGTTGGTCGCGGTACCTGATTGTGGAGAGAAAAGGCATCCCACTATTACACGCACTAATCCCACTCTGGTCTACCAAGGCTGCGGTAGCCGGTGCCAAGACATGAATACGGCAAAGCACAGCGAGCTGCAACTGCAAGGATCTCGAGTGCCATGTCATGCAGTGGTTCAGCGTTCCCCTCGATCTTACTGCTGCTTCAGCTTCAGCTTCAGCTTCAGCTTCGATTGCCTGCGCTCTTCTGTATCGTCTCCTCCTGCGTCAATATGAATATCAACGTTGTCGTTGGTAACAACTTGAACACTGTATCCCAAACAGTTCGATCTCGACTTCAGTATATCCACCACACATCCTCTCCCCGGCATCTCCACGCCCATCCTCCTCCTGCAGGGCCCTCCAAGTTCGGCTAAAGGCCTGTCCAGGCGGAGCTGAGCTCGTTTCATCTGAGAAGACATTGTCTCCTATGCCACTCACGGAGCCCAAGACCGCATCCTTGTGGCTGATCTGCTAATGCTTGCCCAGCCTTCTTCGCGATTCGGCCCCCGACTTCCCCTGCCTTGGTGAAATTAGGGTCTTTCAGCTGTCCCCAACCGGACCAATACTTCCAGGCAAGTCACCGTCGCCTGGCCTTATGATTCGCAGAGCGGGATTCGACAAAGCATCGTGTTTGGTGACTCGGTAAGGCAGCTACGCCTAAAGGCAATAGCGGTTCATCCAGACTTCCACGCTAGCATCGCCAAACCTTTTCTTAGCATTTGCAAGGCCTTCTGCTCATCCTCCTCCAACAACTGCGGCGCCCTCAGATCCACCAGGCTGTTCGAACACACCGGTTGAGACAGCCTCGATGGCCATCCGAAGGAACTTGGCTCGAATCCACCGGGCTTGCTCTGCTCGCACCCAGCCCACCGCGTCCGGTAGGGTGTCCTCTCTGCCAGGAGGCCAGGGACTTACATGCATCCCCCATGTTCCTAAGGATCTATAATCCGGATAGAGATTGGGAAGGTCAGGATCTCCTTCATACTTTCACCGAGTTGATGGACTCTCGCAGCTATATGGCAGGCACAAAAGTTAAGTACTTGTTGCGCAGGCGGAAGTGTTCCCGCCGATTAGTTTCACTTCCTCGATGATACAATTTAGCCTTACCACCGGAAACATTTCTTGGATATAGTGCCATGTGGGACATCCCATCCATGATCCGTGAGGCGCATCGACTAATTTGAAGAGGAGCCAGCAGTTCGGCTGAGGACGACTTTACGAGACCCCTCGGCCGTGCTACCGGGAGGGTCTCAGTCATCCTGGCTGGTTGGGTTTCTCTCACATAGCCTTCATTCCCAGACACTGGTCTTCGTGACTCTTCCGAGGCTGGCCTGCTTGCTGTCGAGTTTTTCGTCCTCAGGCCTGCGTTCTGGCGTGCCTTGATTCTGTATAGCTGATACCATATTCGCTACTGTGCTTGTTTCCTGCGTTGTCAAGACACCATGTCGATCTGCCAGAATGGGGCGCCTCCCATGATCCTGCCATGGGCGAATGTTACTGTCACCACGGACCAAAAGGCCATCACGAGAGGCATTCCTGTGTCGATGGGAAACCCTCCTCAGATAGTCTCTCTCCGACCAAGCACCGCTGATGACATCTTGTATGTGGTCAACAGAGAGCAATGCGCTCCAGAGTACAACTCTTCCTGCATTGGACTGTACGGCGGGGTTTTCGACTATTCATCGTCCAACAGTTTCCTCCAGGTCGCCGAGGGTCAGTGGAATGGCTCGAGCAATTCGAATCCTACCCAGTTATCCTTTGTCACTTTCAACGATCTCTTGTCCTTTGGCAACGCCAGCGTTTATGGATTTCCTGCCGTCTACGATGAACCTGGGTATGGCGGCCAAGGTGTGATGCCATTGGGATGGGGATCGGATTTCCTCAGAATCGCTGTCGAATCCGACGCCGTGCCGTCCTCAGTATTCGGTCTCTGGACAGGAAGCCGGTCAGTCAGCAGCCCAGTCGACGGTGCTCTTGTCATCGGTGGTTACGACACCACCCGCGTCAACGGTGAACTGACCACTTTCAATGCTCGCGAGACTTGCGAAATGTGTGTGGTGGTCACCGAGTTGAGTTGGGAATCGGACTCTGGTTCGCAAAACCTTTTCTCAAATTCGTCGGAATCCCTACAGATCAACCTTCAACCTTCGGAGCGCTATATCTACGTACCACAGAATGTCTTCGATAACTTACAGACTGCGACGGAAGGAGTCTATGTCGATCCCTATCTGGCTTATGCGTCCTTACCGACCGGCAATCTCAGTGTGACACTTCAAAACGGCTACAAGACCACGATCCCCGCGGAGGAGCTTTTTATGTACCCTCGTGGTTATGATGACGATGGCAAGTACGAAGTCCTTGACAATAGCTACATGATCAGTATGGTTCTGAATACGACCAATACTGGCTATGTCCTGGACTGGGGCATTCCATATCTTACCATGAACTACATCATCGGCGACTACAAGCGCGAGCAATTCAAGATGGCGCCCGCCATCCGCACCGATTTCTCCAATCAAGGTGGTGGCTATGCTATGAAAGCTTCCTGTGATCCCACAACAGCGCCTACCGCACCTCCGACTCCCAAACCCAGCTCGCATCACAAATCCAACAACACGGGTGCCATTGTGGGCGGTGTGGTAGGCGGCGTGCTCGGCGTGCTCTTGATCGCCGGCGGAGTGGCGGTCTTGTTCTACCGCCGCCGACGCAGGAACCGTGCCGCCGCAGCTAACGGTACGTACGGCGCGCCGGGCATGACACCTATGATGACCGAAGGTGCAATGTCCCCGCACGGAGGTAGCACTATGGAAAGATATTCCCAGTGGACGGCCGTAAGTCCGACAGATGTTGGTGCGAGCGAACTCGGCAACAACCAGAAGCCAGGAGGCAATGTCCAGGTCAACCAATGGCTCTCAAGCCAGTCCAGCGATGTAAGTGTCTTTACTTCTACACTCCACCCGTCCTGAGACTGGGCTCCTAACGTGACCGAATTACAGACGCAGACTGTGACGAGTGCAGCATCACCTCCCCCCATAAGTACCATCCACAACTCGGAGAGCACCGATCGACCCCATGAGATGGGCGCTCAGCCTTGGGATACCAGGTGATCTGCGTAGATAGCTGGATCGACGGCGGCGGTGAAGAGCACGATATAATCCTTTTATGGTCGATAACCCCATCTGAACCACCGTCTACAACGAAACTATCGTCCTAAGACAGGCCGAAACCCAGCAGGTATCGTCGGAGGCCTTCGCTGACAGGGAACGAGAGCCTTCCTAAACATCAGCCACATGAGCGCTGCGGCTTGCCTGGCCAATAGCCATGCACTCTAGGACATACTGAGCTGGTCAATGGAACGCATCTCTCGTTTATGGCATGATCATTTCCACGTTTTTCTCTTTGCCTTGCACGCACGAGTTACTTTTCGTATGGGATGTCGGAACTATTGAGTGCTTTTGACTCCGGATGGAATGGGTGTATCGGCCGCTCGAGGATGAACATTGTTGTTGGTTGTCATTACATAGTCTTTGGGTATTCCGTACTATAGGCAATTCGGATTGTGAATCTATTATGTTGAAGTCAATTCAACTCTCAAATACTAGTCAAAACCACCCGAGATTTGGGAGGGAGATTGAGGTCTTTTGTCGTATATCAATCAGTTCCGATGGGCCGTGATGATGGGCCTTGGTCATTGGCAATGAACCGTTACAGGCAAACATCCAATGCAAAAGTTGAGCTGTGAAGATCGGTTGATAAGTCCGACTGGTCGCCATCGTCAAATTTACGGCGTCTAGCGATTGGAGGGCGCGGAAATCGGATCGAGCCATCAGGAAAAGAAGCAAGCATACATTAGAAAAGCTGTGGGAACAGCTCAAGCTCAAGCTCAAAGGGTCCGAATGATCCTGAATAATCTGGACTCCCCTGATCAAATCTGGTATGATCCCTGTTCATCTGTTCATCCTGAAGCGCCTAACCTGCGCCTTCTTCTGTGCACAATCAACCAGCCCCCACGACGGACCTCCCCGAGCTAAACATCGCCAGCAAGAACTGCCTGCATGATTCAATTTCGCCGTTCCAAGTCATAACCTGAACCTGTGAACCTGTGACCCGTCATACCCGTGATCATGGAACCCCCCGTACGCCGAAACTCCAACCATGTCCCGTTGAACAACAAGTAGCTACCTGCATGATGGCGAGAGAACCTCTTGAAGGCGAGTTCGAGTTCAAGTTCGATCCTGTCTGGTCCCATTCAGGAGACGACGGCTGCGTCGACATTGACGTTGACGTCCTCGTCTTCAAGGACAGGCAGGTCACCGTCGTCGTAATCGTCAAAGTGCAGACCGGCCTCGCGACAGCGTTGTTGCCACTTGGCGCTCTCTAGCCAAGCGGCGCGAACACTCTCCTTTAGACGGTCGCAACGGCTGGTCAACTCCTTCAGGGCAATGTCGAGAGTGGCGCGCTCCGTTTCGAAGGACTTTTTCTCGTTCTGCAGTTCGGTGATGTATTGACAGGTGCGTTGGAGAATGGCGCCTTTGTTCTTCTCGCTACAGGGCACGATCTTGGCAATGTTCTCGATACCTTCGTTGATGACTTCACGACGACGACGTTCGACTGCATGCCAGATCAGTATATGTGGTCTAGAAAAGGCATAGATGGAGGGGATTGACTGGCTTACCTTCCTTGTGGTTGTCCTTGCGCTGTTGATGCCATTCGGCAGTGCCTACAGCCGGCTTCTGTGCGCCACCACGGGCATCAAGAAGAGCTTGTTGTGCACTGGCCATACCCTGTGTGGGCTGCATTCCTTGACCCGTTGGCATCCCGGCAAGAGATCCTTGGTTGGCGTCTTCGAAGCCGGTCGGCATTCCTGTAGCTCCATCATATGGATGCGGCTCAGGATAGGAGGATTGTTCCATTGGGGCAGCTAGAGCAGCTTGTGCAGTGCGAGTGCTGTCGTCAGAACCCCCGATATCGTCGATGCCCTGCAGGAGTGCGACATAGTTGTCTGGGTCATGATCACCATTGGTGTTTGGAGCTTTGGCATTGCGACCGACATCTTGGTCTCCTGGTCCACGCTTCCGCTTGTTGTTATTGTTCATGCCCGGGTTCCCGACTTGCACGGAAGGAATGGCTTGGCTTCCAACACCTTGGTTAGCCATTGTTGCAGTGTCTAATTCCGTGTGTCGCAGTCTCAATTGGTCGTTCAGTATTGGCAAATCAAGCAAACTGCCCTCGAGAGAGATTTCGTCAAGGAGGATCGTAGGCAGGCAGTGACTTATGAGCCACCCCAAGGTAAGCAGTGAGGTCGGATCTCAACGGAGGGATCTGGTCTACATAGGGATTAGCCATGGTCAGGGTTATAGACTGATGCAGATAGGGTTTATTTTTGTGTGGAAGCAAGTGGTAGAGAGGGTGTGTAGCCAGCAGTTGTCACATGAGGACTACATCGCTTGGGGGTGTGTGTGTGTGTGTCGTGGGTAGAGGAGGGAACGCTGAACGCGCTCGTCGTCGAGGGCTTCCCAGCCAGTAGGAGCTAGGCTGGCGAAGCTCGAACAGTCGTCAGCATCCGACGACGGCCACCTGCAGCGCAAATGTGCAGAGGATGGCATTGCGCAGAGTGCGACAATGATGAGCTTGCTCGATGTGGTCATGGTTGAGCTGCGCTCACCCGTGGAGATGAAGCGCAGCCCGTGATCTGATGATCAGGTGCAATCAGGTGACTTAGAGATGACTTACTGATGGAAACGTGATCGGCTGGCCCGCGACTCGATGTCCGGCGCAAGCGGGTTACACAGCGCGCTGTCGAACGCGCGAGAAGATAGGGAACAAGGGACGAGACAGCCTGATGGCAAGCCGGTTTGTTAATTGTTTGAAAGAGGAGTGGTTGGAGGATGATGGAAGATAGAACGTTCACAATGGGTGTAAAGCGAGTACTCGATCTATGGGCCTGGCAGTTGCGTGGGCGCTGCGACAACGTGACAGTGGTGGTGAGAGGGCGAACTGAAGGGCGAAAGGGCAGGGCGAGGGAGAAGAAGGTCACGGGATGGAAAGAAGTTCCCGTGATCAACCAATAAACAAGAAAGACACGCTAGCACTAAAAGGGACTTAGCGTCATAGAGACTCGGGATACTTTCCCGCCACTGCCACGGGTCAACACGTGATGGTGGTGGATATTGTCATGTGATCCAGATCCAGATCCCTCACAGGCTTCACCCTCATCATCGTTCTCCCTCAACGTCGTCTTCTTCATCCTCATCCTCAATGTCACGGTGTGGTGTCTCGTGACACAGCCGGACCTGCCACATCTGCCATACTAGTAGTATGGCGCATGTGCACCGCCCTGGAGGATATCCCAGCCAATGACAGGGGCCACGTCGATGCCCTCTTTGCGTCTTGTCCACGTGAATGTTTGACAGGCATTATTGTGAGACAGCATAAGAATTGTCGGGGCTTGCAGCCTGGTGTTGCCGGTGACTCCGAACGGCGATAAGATGGCAGTGAATGTCGTTTGGCAGAAGACGGTCCCTTGTCTCAACTGCTATCACTGACAAAGATGCGATGAAACCTTTTGACAGCTGCAACGAGATGATCAACTTCCGCCGATTTCAGCGGCATCATCAGTCACGTCCTGAGCTTCACTTCCCTTGATTGAGACTGAATACGCCGGAGCCTTGTCTGTATCCACCAATAGGATCCCTTCTTGAGCTCTTCCCAGGATGTCCCAGATCCTGATTTGATCTCCTCTCGTCATGCCCATGACACAGCTACTGCCAGCATACCTGACCTCTCCAATTCTGGGACTGACACCTTCCTCGCCAGCTCGGTTGGCACAAATAACGATTGCTTCGGTCTGCGCACCTTGTGGCCCAAAGAGAGGCCTGAGTCGTTCCACCCAATAGTTGACCGTATCTTGGTCTGGCACCATGGCCTGACTCGACGACACCTCCTCTGCGCTCAGCCTTGTCAGCCAGGCCATACTGAGAACGACAACTCTGGCACGGGCCTCCCGCGCGTGATTAGCGAATTCGTACGCCGTCCAGGGGGCTTCGAACCGGTAGGGGTTGATATCCATGCAGATCCCCGCAGCAGCCTTGACCTGCTGACCTTTGCCGCCAATCGGCAGCACACCCGCCCAGAAGCCTTGCCCTTCCTGAGCCCACGTCTCATCAGTGTAATATAGAAACGACTTGCGATAGTGGGCAACAACGTCTCCACTTGAATTGACAAACACGAGCGAATTGTAGGCGATGGTGCCCGTCTCGGCGGTGATATGTCTGTCAAAGATGGTGTTGTAGTTCCCTTCTTCGGCTGCTTCAGGGTACCCGACCGCAACCGTACATTTGAGACGTTTTGCAGTCCTGGCGGCCCATCTTGTCGAGGGCCCTGCGGCTGTCGGTTCGAGATAAGGCGCAATTGCAGCCAGTGACGGATGGTTGTACCCTGCACCAACAATCAGTCCGGTAGACAAGGCTGGGCATATGCTCTGCTAGCTCTTGGTCACACGACAGAAGATAAATCAGGCTTTGCTCTTCGGAAAAGACATGTGAACCAATTGGGAGCAGGGAGGATTTACCTGCAAACGCGAGTTCGGGCAGTACCAGTAGATCAATGTTTTCAAGCTGCCCTTCCCTTTCCTCGCGCATGAGCAGACTTTCGGCTCGACTGAAGTTCGCCGCCACCTCCCCTAGGCGCGGAGAGAACTGGAGTGTTGCGATACGCATGTTAGTGTTGCGAGAGTGCTGCTACCCTACCAATTGGTGATAGACGGCCTTCTCAACCTGGTGCCATTATTCAGTCATCGGCTGGACAGGATCTCCAAACTGACTCCAGTTGTCACAGTTGTCAAAGTCCCAGATAAGTCACAATACCTACACCGGTGGGCCGGAGGAGAGACAGAGAGCAACGTACTAGGAAAACAGTGTTGGTCACTTCCGGTGAGATCGAAGCGAGCGAAGGTACATGTTGTTGCGCCGCCGTAGTGATTACGGCAGATCTCATGTTTCTCATTACGCAGATACTGAACTTGAGAGATTCGATTTCCCACGGTAAAAGCCTTTGCTCTAGGGGAGCGACAACATGCTATAAGAGAACTGGCATCCTTTCCAAGACGTGCATACGATACGAACTGTGGCAATGAAGGGAAGGCTCAAAAGTTATATTTGTGGGCCGGGTGGGCAAAGGCTACATGGTCTCCTCTCATACATCGTCTTCGACCGCCTCGCCCGCTTCAATGGCTTTCTCTTTCTTCATCTTCTCCCGCTCCCGCTTCCTCTCCAGTAATCGATTCAACTTCTTTGCTACGTTGAGGACGCCGTTGGTACCAGACCCACAAGCAGCGCAAGACGGGTCTTTGCGATATCGCTTCAAGGCACATGCTTCGCAGAAGTAATGCCCGCATTTGGTGACAACGGGATTCGTGTACGGCTTTTTGCATATGATGCAGGCGAACGGTATCTTCTCAAGCAGCGCATCGTCATCATCGTCGTCTTGGCCCGTCTGCGCTTTACGATTGGCAGAAGCCACCGTTTTGCCCGACAACTTCTTTCCCTTCGTGTCGACTTCCCACTCGCGGTCAAGCTGCCAGCCTTGCTTGTAATCTTCTCGAGCGTGGAGAAATTTGCAGCTATCGCCGAACCCGCAGAAGCCGGTCTGCTTGTAATCCTTGCACACGTCGGGTGCAAAATCTGTAACCGTGATTGTCCTTACATTGCTCGAAGATTTGACCGGTCCGACTTGTTTTCCAGCACGATCTGGATTCTTTGGAATGAAGGATTGGTAGTTTGCCACGCCCTTGTATGTACCGTCCGGTGCCGATGCATCGGATGACCTGGCTGGAGCCGTCGCTGGTTTCTTGTCACCGTCTTCATCATACCAATCTGATCTCTTCGTTGCGTCGTCTCTGTTTGTGGGCGCCGCCACAGCTGCGGCAATGGTCTGTTCATCCACCGCAGCACGAGGCTTAGGAATCTCCGAGGAAGATGCGGTCAACCCGGCATTCTTGCGCCTGCGTTTTATTTGCCTTCCCTCGTCATCGTCTGAAGAAGAGAACCCGGAGTCGGAATCGTCTGGTGGAGGAGTGGCTTCTCGCTTGCGAATCGTCGACTTGGACTTAACATTGCGCTTTTTGAATGTGAATTGAGGTAACTCAGAGGCTGGTTGTGGTTCTTCCATTACTTGGATCGTGCGTAGGATGAAGGGAGGAATGGGAAGGCGCCGGCAGTGTTATATTGTAACAAATGGATCTGCAACAACAACACTGCGAGTAGTAGGAGGCGCAGATAACTACATGTATCCAAGGTTCCTTCCAGCAACTTTTGCCTTTGCCTCAAATTAGTCAGCCAAGGAATGTTCGGCGGCTGATCGACAGCGCTAAACCTTAATCCCCTGCGTTAATCCAATTGCTCGGAATGCCGGCTGCTAATGTTCAAGTTCCCCGCCAAAGTTGCCCTTCTTCATCACACATATTTTGCTCATTTTCTTCTGCTCGCCGCAGTTCCAAAGCTCGGAGGAGTGACAGCAAGCTCTCTCTGCAATAGCTTGCTAGATCACGCAGCTCCAGGCTTTGGCAGTTTGTCATTGTTGTTTTCATGTCTTCTCCCCCCAGTTTGATTCCCATTCGCTCTTTATGCTTGTTTCCCCATTGAGCAGTACTGCAAGGCCATGGTCGACCATGTTACCATGAACCCACAAGCTGGCATCGCTGAAGATGGGCAACGGCCAGTCGTGAAATCCACGGCTATCACGGAAGAACGCAATCACCGCAACCTCATCAGCTTCAAGGTGACCCATATTCTTCTTACTGCTCTCTTCCTCTGGTTGACGTACGTCGGCTCTCGAGACCGCTGACCGGCACCTGCTAACTACCTAGTATAGGACCGTCCATGTCATTGGCATCCTCTTTTTCGCCAAAGGGTTTCTCCTTACTCGACTTGTGTTGGACAATAGGTCGGAATGTGGTGTGCTTCCAGATGGGGAGCTCTCCCAAGTGTCGGACGGATGCTGGCATCCCAAGACTTTCGACCGAGCTGTGGTTTTAATAATTGATGCTTTACGATACGACTTTACCATTCCTTCTCATCGTGGCTTGAAGGAGCCGCAACAAAAGTACTACCTCGACAACCTTCCTCTACTACACGAGCTTGCCGTCTCGCGCCCGGCCCACGCGGTGCTGCTCCCGTTTATTGCCGACCCGCCCACCAGTACGTTGCAACGATTAAAAGGGTTGACAACCGGCACCCTCCCTACCTTCATCGACATTGGTTCAAATTTTGCGGGTACGGCTATTGAAGAAGACAACATTGTGTCCCAATTGAAAGATGCTGGGAAAACGATTGTACATCTTGGGGACGATACATGGCATTCGCTATTTCCTGGCTATTTCGACCCCAACATGACACGGCCATACGACTCTTTCAACGTCTGGGACTTGCACACGGTCGACAATGGAGTCATCGAACATATCATGCCATTACTTGACCAATCTGCCGCACAATGGGACGTGATCTTTGGACATTTCCTCGGGGTTGATCACGCGGGTCATCGGTATGGGCCAGATCACCCGGCTATGGCAGAAAAGTTACGACAAATAAATGATGTTTTGCAACAAATAATTGAAAAGATTGATGACGATACGCTCCTTGTTGTGATGGGTGACCACGGAATGGACACCAAGGGTGACCATGGTGGCGAGTCGGATGAGGAGGTTGAAGCCGCTCTGTGGATGTACTCCAAAAAGCCCACCTTTGGCCGGACAGAAACGAGCGCCTTGATGCCTCCTGCAACTGCGAAAGAACGTCCTGTTGGTCAAATAGACCTGGTATCAACCCTGTCAATCCTGCTGGGACTACCGATACCTTTCAACAATCTCGGCAAACCGATTGCGGAAGCTTTCACAGGTCCGAAAAACACTGACTGGAAGAATCTCGTGAAGGTTGAACATCTTGCACAAAGTCAGATTGCAAGGTATCAGAAGCAGTATTCTCGCTCTCGGGATCTCGGCCTCGATGATGATGCATATAGCGGCCAGCGCATATATCTTGCCCGTTCGGCTGAGTTCGCAGCGGAAGGGAGATGGAAGGACGCTCACTATGCGTACGTTGAATGGCATAAAGAAGTTATATCCATGTACCGAAGATTGTGGGCCAACTTCAACATGGGCGACATGCTTGTTGGAATCACAATCTCAGCCCTTGCGCTTGGATTATTACTCGTCTTCTCTCGCTTCTCGACGGCGGACAAAGCCAGCTCCGCACCGAGTCTTCTGAGGAGCGCGGTCATCGGGACAGCTGTGGGAGCAGCCATCGGCCCAGGACTTGGACTTGTTGCACCATCTCTCTTTTCTGTCATGACGGGATGTATCGTCAGCTCCAGCATTTGCGGGATCATGGCCGCCATGTACTGGACTATCCGCAACCGAACCGGCGCACGGTCATATCTTCCTTCCTTCTGGGGGTGGATGGCGTTGTCATTTTGCTTGACGCAGTCGGCAGGCTTTGCGTCCAACTCATACACTATCCACGAAGACACGATTCTTCTATTTTTCCTGGTCACTTTCGGCATCATCTCGTTGATTTCATCACTCAGACAAGCAACCACAACCGATCGCGTGCTTGGCACCTATCAATCGATTCTGTTCATTCTTCTGACTCGGCTCTCGTCATTTTCACGGTTGTGCCGCGAGGAACAAATGCCAGGATGCCGCTCCACCTTCTATGCTTCATCCAATTCATCCACGTCTGCGCCATGGCAGCTGCTGATACCATACGCCGTGGCCCTTTTCCTCCCCGAAATTGTCAAAGCATTCTATCGCGGTACTGCTTCATATGCGGCCTCGGCAGGGTTCTGGATTGGGTTCAGCTTCCGTATCGGCTTACTGCTTGTGGCGGCTTACTGGACAATCGATGCGGCGGACAATGGGGGATGGCTCGCCGACCGGATATCAGCAACCGCCCTCAAGACCACCAATCTCACAGTAGCGAGATGCGCGCTCGCAATTGCGCTCCCCGTGGGGATTGGAACTTTTGTATGGGCGAAGCCCTGCATCAACATTTCAGTCAGTGAGCCGAGGCCTGTATTGGACAATCCCGGGGCACCTCCTCGACCACAGTTAACCATCTTTGGATACGCCAATGTCTACGGAAGTCGTTACTTGCTGATGATTCCATTGCTGGTTTTGACGGTTGCGCTGCTTCTGCCGCCGATGGGTCAATTTTCGATCGCAATCTGCACGTGGCAAATCATGTGTCTCCTCGAAATCCTCGATACCAACGCGTTGACGGTGTCATCCAGATACAAGTCGAGCATTGGACCGATTGTGCTGGCCCTGCTTGGGTCATACCATTTCTTCAAGACGGGACATCAAGCCACGTTGGCGTCGATTCAATGGAACTCGGCGTTTGTGCCATTGCGTACCATCCAATATCCCTGGTCGCCACTGCTGGTGGTGTTCAACACCTTCGGCGCACAGATCATCTGTGCCGCAGCAGTTCCCTTGACGGTTCTCTGGAAACGCCCGACTGGCAAGGCTGGACTACGAGGGTTGTGGAACGATGTGTCGGGTGCGTGTCTGACACATATGCTCTACTATGCAACGATACAACTGGCAACGACCATGTGGGCGGGACATCTACGACGACATTTGATGCTGTACAGAGTGTTTATGCCACGGTATCTGATGGCGTGCGCGGTGCTCCTCATTGTAGACTTGGTGCTTGTTGTCGCTTCCCTCGCAGGTGTCCGGGCAGTTGGACTCAGTGTCGGCGAGGTCTTCGGATACTAGTAATGAGGGAGTTCCTTTGGGCCTGAGGTGGTTCATCGACTCCAGGTATGGAATATAGAGGTAGAAGATAGGCCGTACCATAGTTCTATGAATGCGCAGATATTTTAGGGTCCTCCTTTTCCACCAAGGCAGGTAGGTGGCTCGCCGGCAAAATTGCTTGAAACACGCGACGACTTCTCACTCTGAGAATTGCATTCGTCAGACTAATACTTATTTTCGCTGGCGACTACACATTTTGCCAAGCTACGGTCAGACAAAGCCGATTTTCCGAGGACAATCGACCTCTCTGGATACTGGCACGGTATGGTAGTAGCCCGCACTGACTGCATGTTTTTCTAACAAGTCACCGTCACCACTTTCCCCTATCCATTATCACTATGGTTGTCCCGCTCTTAGTCACCTGCTCCATGCGCGGTCATGCAGAACTTTGTAGGGATAGCGAGGCGATAGGTGGGTGGGTAGGTATGTCAGGACGGTTGGTGTTAGTCAGTCGAGGTCAAAAGTGCAAGCTGAGTCAGAAAGAGAGTGCTGGATCACCGCTTCAGCTTCACAGAGTGGAATCTTCAGTTCACCTGTACTGTACAGAATAGTATTTTTTCCTCAGTCATAGTATTACTAGTACTATGCCACCGGACTTTTCCCAATGTCGAGAACGGCGGGCGCAGTCTGCGGCGTGGTTACGTCATCAAGGGTCACTCGGAATTTTGCAGCGGCGCGGGGCATGACGGAAGCTGCAGCTGCAGGGACTCGATTGTGTCAATATTGTGTCACTATCGCTCAGCAACAGCAGCAACAACAGCATCAGAGAATCACAGTGTCACAATATCACAGTAGTTGTTGTTAGCTGATACATGAGATAGAATTCTAAGGGACAGATACAAGGTAGGAGGGATAGTAGTAGCGAGAGCAGCAGTGGAGGAGTGAACGACAGTGTACTGAGAGAGTATAAGGTATCTCTTCTTCTCCCCACCTTGACTTCATTTGGCATGTACGTGTCAGCTATGATGAGGCAGATAATTTCTCACAGCTACCTAGGCACAATAGGTACCTGAGCTTGCTACCTAGTAAACTTTTTGATGATACGTAGTATGTAGTAAGTACAGCAATAATGGTCCCCATATAAATCTACTACTAGTCGCCGTTCCTCTCTCTCGATACCTCTCCCTCTTCTTCATCTTCCCCTTCTCTCTGTCCCAAGTCCTTCAATCCACCAGGAAACCACCACTACTATCTGCCAAACGCACATCCCATTCATTCATCCAACGTCACTCCTAGACCGACTCAATCGCCCAACATGCCTGTCGCTCCACCAGCCTCCACCTCCCTCAAGGACCTCTTCAGCCTGAAAGGCAAGGTCGTCGTCGTGACCGGTGCGTCCGGCCCGACCGGCATCGGCACCGAAGCTGCGCGCGGCTGTGCGGAAATGGGCGCCGACGTGGCCATCACGTACAGCTCGCGTCCGCAGGGCGGCGAGAAAAACGCCAAAGAGATGAGCGAGAAGTTCGGCATCAAGAGCAAGGCGTACAAGTGCGACGTCAGCACCTACGACGAGGTGGAGAAGCTGGTCGCCGACGTGATCAAGGACTTTGGCAAGATCGACGTCTTCATCGCCAATGCCGGCCGCACCGCCGACAGCGGCATCCTGGACGCCTCGGTCGAGAAGTGGAACGAAGTCATCCAGACCGACTTGAACGGTGTCTACCACTGCGCCAGAGCCGTGGGTCTGCACTTCCGCGAGCGCAAGACCGGCAGCTTCGTCATCACCGCCTCCATGTCCGGCCACATTGCCAACTACCCTCAAGAACAGGTTAGTCAATGCCCGTAATTCTTCCATTTTCGTTGTATATGTTGCTAACTCCCGTGCTCTCAACCAGACTTCCTACAACGTCGCCAAAGCGGCCTGCATTCACCTGGCTCGGTCGCTGGCCAATGAATGGCGCGACTTTGCCCGTGTCAACTCCATTTCCCCAGGTTACATTGACACCGGCCTGTCCGACTTTGTGCCCCAGGACATCCAGAAACTGTGGCACTCCATGATCCCCTTGGGCCGGGATGGAAAGGCCACCGAGCTCAAGGGCGCCTACGTCTACCTGGCCAGCGATGCCAGCACTTACACCACTGGAACCGACATCGTCATTGACGGTGGCTACACTGCTCGATAAATGGAGCGGCGGTGCAGCTTGGTGATGGTTTCCATGAAATCTACCTTGTTTGGAAGAGAATCGATACCGAATTCTGGTTGTAGCGTTGGTCTAGGCGCCGTGTAGCAGCCTGCCTGAACGGCAAGGCTGAGGCCACGCCGTCTCGTTCAGGGGTAAGGCTAGCCATTCACGCCCAATAGGATATCAAGCTTCTCTGAATTCCAAGAAATCATGAACTAAAATCCATCGTTCTCATGTAGACTGTCTGGTGAACTGTAGCTGTTCTCGCCTCCCTTGAATCAACTTTAATATTGTAGAGGAACGATGCCCATCACTTCTTGCGAGTTATCAAGGTACCACCATTACCATGCCTTGCGAGTGCAGATCTTATAATGATCTTCTCCTCGCGTAATATCAGATCTGAAGGAACGGTCAATCAGATCAATCAAGTTCGCGGCTATAAACACCTACCTACCTAGAGCCGAAAAGCGGCTATCTCTTATGAAGCTATTTGTTGGGGCCAACCACCTGGGGTTCAGAGTTTAATGTGTATATATGGTATTTACCCGTGCAACTCGGGTGAGAACACCGTCCCAAACGCCATTCCCTCTTCTCCTCTATTATATCACACTATTCCATACCAGCCGGCACTTCCCTGAAGACCATCAATATCGAAAGGACGGCCAGGGAGCCGTGAGCCGTTCGTATCAGGCATCAACCCTGAACAATACCGGAATTGCATTGGCGTTCTCCCCTGATGTCCCAATGAAGACACTCACTCGGATCACCTCGTCCGACATCACTCCGGGGAAGTCAGGCGGCCGTGGCGGAAGAAACGCTGGAGGGAATCTGTAAGCACCAGGCTCAGGGGTGGTGAAGTCAGTCGCTCATGCAAAAACAATTGCCAGCAATCAAGCAACCGGTTTCAAAAGCCTGGCTGGGTATACCGTGCTCTCGTTTTCATTTCAATTTCAACCTGATGGTGAATTCTTCCCTTTCTTTCTTCGATGGTGATTTGCTGGCTGCATACTTGGAGCATGTCGAATTCCACTCATCCCGGAGTGTACTGTCGCCGTATTCCTGATGCTGACGCTGTTGCTGTTGCGTGATTCCAGAATGAAAATTCTCTTGTAAACATGCTTCCACACCAGAGTCATGTTGTCGCACCCCGAATCTGCTGGTCATCTGTCGGCATGTGTGTGTGTGCGATGTGCGCCTCTGTTGTATGTCCCGCAGGATATCATGTGTATATCCCCATTTCCATCTCTGCGGTCCATATTCATCGAGAAAAGTCCTCAAGAGTGGAGGAGAAGTAGAAGAGAGAGCCACCCGTTTTCGTTCTGGGAGTCTCCTGTATTTGCACTCTTGCAGCAGCATTCGGAGGGGAGGGGGAAGAGGGACAAGAATGTGCTCGCGCTCTGCCGAAGACACACACACAGAGAAAGAGACAGAGACAAATATACCCTCCCTCCCAGCGCTCTGGTGTCTGGTGTCTGGTTCCTGTCCTACAATTTCTTTTGGTAACTGTAATTGCTGAGCCAGGCATCACCGATCGAGAACATGATCCGTCGTACCAATAAGGACTCAGCAATCATCTTCCTCGTCGTAATGATCTTCTTAATCCCTCTTGTCATTTGCCTTTTTTTCAATCACGGGAGGGCGACAACTGGGCCATACCTCATTTCCTCCTTTTCGTGTTCGCTTCAATCAATCATGACCCCTCCTGCTTCTGCTTCTGCTTCCCCCGGCCCTGCACACTCTCTTCGCCCAAGACTTTGGCACTCCCCATAAACATGGCGCCCACATAGCCGCCCAAAAACCGCATGTCTTGGGCCTGCACCGCCGTCATGCGCACCAAGTTCTCCGTGTCCGCAAGGTGCGCGTTAAGCTGGGCCAGTTGGGCATGGAGGTGCGCGTATTGTCGGTTCTTGTTGGTCGAGGTGGCGTTCAGGTTCGTCGAAGCTACGGACGACGGGCGCGGCAGTGAAGGTTTGGATGGACGATCCATCTCTCGAACAGTGTGTCCTCTTTTCTCGTGTCTGTTTCGAGTCCGTTGTCGCTTTCGAGTTCGGGTGGACGGAGACGTTGGAGACCACCAACTGTCTGGACTGGTTCTGACAGGAAGGTTTCAGTGTGAGTCGTACAGTGTGTCGAATGTCTGGTCACTAATAAGGCACCCTAGGGTTTACTCAGGTGGGATTTGTAGATCGCAACTTATGTTCGTGAGATGGGTGCGATAATTAAAACATGTATCCAGTATGTACGCACTGCAGTGTGTCAGTAAATCCAGACGCGGGTGTCACGTCAAATTATGTGACACGCTAGTTTATCACGTGGTACCGCCCCTGACTGCAAGGCTGAAAAGAAACGAGGCTGTCACCAACGAGGCTGAACTTGCCACAACCCCTGAAACGGGTTGGGTACCTCCTACATTATTACATCCCAACCCTGGCCAGCATGTGCTTCTATACTACGTACTTCCTTCTCTGGACCTGTCTGTTCTCGCTAGATGGCCGGATATGCGCAAACCTCATCATCTCACACGTCAGGAGCTCAGCCGACACTCCTTCACACATTTGATACCAGGATCAAAGTACCCTCGTCGATGTGGTCAATCGGCCGACCGACCACTTCACGCATACAGCAAAAAAGCTACAAGAAACACCGCTTCCACAACAGTTGTTGATCGACTTTGCTTGCATTTGATTAATTACTCTGCTCATCTGGAAGCCCGAGCCCGGCCCCGGCCCTCCTGCGTTGTGCAATAGCCCTTCCGTCCCACCAATCGCCGCCCTGTCTTTTCCGTGCGAATCCTAGCATAATTATTCGTCCCAGTCCAATCGTGTTCGTGCCTGAAAGAAAAAAAGTGTATGTCTCGAATAATGGGGTACAAAAAGGTCTGTCTCCAATCCATATCGAAGCTGGAGAAGTTCGAGCACACTCCTCGGGAAAACCCTCTTCCAATTCAGGTTTGACACAACTCCAGGACCGTTGGTAAGGCATCAATCCATGTGCAATAGGGAGTTCATTTGTTTCCCCGGAATGCTGTATGTACTTGAAAGAAACAAAGCTCGGATGTTCCAATTTTCCGCTCTCGGCCGTGTGCCGTCCACCAGTCCCCGTGGGGTCGCCATGCTTTTTGTTATCTTTTCTGAAAGACCATCGCTGGCCACTCAGAGTCGTGACATTCGAAGAAAAGCTGATCATTAAAGTATATGCGACACAGGAAGGGGTAACAGTCGAAGATATATGCGATACCGCGCGCCAAGGTTAACTCCGCCGAAGGTTACCTGCTCGTCAAAAACTGACAGAGCAATGCCAGCCATGTTGGAAAATAGTCTGTGCAGATTTCGAATAGGGGGATTGGTGAACCCAGCTTTATTGGGTACCCAGCATTGGTCGAGCCGCGAAGCTACTGGTACTGCTGTGAGCCGAAGGCTCAGATTCAATGTTGGCACTACCACTGTCACCACTTCCTGCGCTAGCACTGGCACTTCCAGTTAGACTTTTGACAGGAGCTTTGGGCGGTGGGAATGGTTTGCTCACCCCAGCCTCTTCGACTTGCTGTGGATGAATCATATTGCCATGCCCAGGAGGATACCTCGGCACGGGGGCTTGCATGGCTCCTGGCGGTGAAGGTCTGCCGTTCCGTGGAGGACCTGAATACATGTAAGGGTCGTTGGGGGGTGAAGGCCGACCTGGCATCTTCCCAGGGGGTCCCAAGGGGTTGCCAGGGGACCGGCTTGTTCGACGACTAGGCGGCCCGGGATATGGCCCGCCACCAATGCCCATGTCTTGAAGACGGCTTGCTGTTAGCGAGTTGGCACGGGATTCATCCGCCATCTCTTTTCGATCCACCGCGCCATACCGGTTGGAGGAGAAGCCCATCATCGGGTTATCAAGGATGTTGGAACCTAGGATAGGCATGTCCGACATCAGTTGGGTGCTGGTTCGGTGTCTTCCGGGCATCGGTCTCCCATACGAGCCAGGGCGCATGCTGTTGCCGTTCGCGAACGCATCCTTGCGTAGTTGGCTTTGGCTGCTGGTCTTCTTGGTTCGCCTCGAGGTCACGCTCATCATGTCGAAATTGTCGGGATCCATAGGCACTGGCGGGGGACCGCGTGCCTGCATGGGATCGAAATAGTCATCATCGTCATCGTCATCGTCGAAATCTTGACGACGGTTGCGTGACGCTCTCCGTGCCCCTCGATCCTTCATCATCATCTCTTGTTGCCTCAGATGTAATTCCTTCGCGCGCAGCATGATCTCTCTCTCACGTAATGAGATTCCACCGGGCGCCGCATGATCTGGATATGCTCCTCCAGCAATATCGCCGTCCGGTATGTCATCATAGAGTACAACATGACTGAACTCGTCCAGATTGGTTTCATCATATGACGGGCGGCGTTGTAGTTGGTTCGGTCCACGCGGTGGATGACCGTTCGGTGGATGACCATTCGGCATACCTCGATACCCATTGACAGGAGGAGGACCTCGCCTGCCCGGCGGACCCATCGGTCCTCCCAGAAGAGGAGGACCCCTCATAGGCCTCGGGCCACCATTCAGCGAAGGATTGGGTTGTCGCGGGGGCGGAGGGTTTGACAAAGACATGGACCGCGGAGGAGGTTGTTGTGTGATAGGAGGCGACTGTGGCAGGCCGGACTGCGCCACCATGGGCTGTGGTGCGTTCGCAAGTGGTCGGTCTTTGTTCACCGTGTTGATGTGGCGCAGCATCGTATACAGAGTCTCAAGTCGCGGGACCTTGACATTGACGCACTTTGCTATCTCGACTGGAGAACCCAAATATGTCTCGACCTCCATGGGACGTCTTGCTGTGAAATCTTGATACATCGTGCATGGCTCTGAACTGGTGGCAACCATTGCCGCTATCGTGGTCTTTTTGAAATCGTTCGGAAATTGACAGCCCTGTGCAGTGGCAATTTGGATCAGCTCTTCTATCACTTCCGAGACCAAATGCTCGACGCCCGGTATCCGGATGAGGTCGGAGAGAATGGGAGTCTCGAAGAGTACACTGGCGGGATGAAAAGCAATGGGCCTGAACATCATTAGTACCGACGTTCCGAACAGCAGAGGATACCACACATACCCAATCATCCTTTCATACTGTTGCTGCTTGATATTTGGCGACACTTTACAGTCAACCTGTGCCGTCGTCAAGGTCATGGCCAAGGCTTCGGACATATCCCTTTGAATCGCATCGGGGATTGACGAATTCTGGCTGGCCGGTCCAACCCAAATCTCGGTAGATCCGCTGTGTTCAAACTCACTGGAGCCGAGTTGGATCAAGTTGGCGCCGGAGACGAGGGACAGAACCACGTTGGAGGGATATTTCTCTTCCAGCTGTTTCTCCACTCCCAGAGTATTTGTGGTATTCACAAGAATGCAGGTATGTTGAGGGGTGACAACAGATTGGATAATGTCTGCCAGATTGTAGACGTCTGGGAGAGCTTTCACGCATAGGATCACGTAGTCGAAGGCGGCTTGTTGGCTCGCGGCCTCTTCAGGTGTTTGAACAACTAAGTTCGATCAGCTCCGCCCAAGAAAGAGAGAAATCCATCTTTCACATACCATATCGCGGCTTGAATCGCTCATTGCCGAACAATTCGGATCTGTTTTTCAAAGTCAACGAAAAGCGCAAACAACCGGGAAGCAGTTGGCTCACTTGAAGGAGATACCATACTGCGCTACGCTCTGGTAATTGGCTTTCCAGACCAAAGTCACATCGCAGGCGTTTGTCGCTTGTAACCGCCACGATAGAAAGGCAGAGACTGCATTTCCACCAACTATACAACAACGTCTTAGCTCTCGATTCATATTTGGATAAGCCGATCCAACAGTAGTGACGAGACAGGCGCAGGCAGGTTTTGCTCGGACAACAAGCGCATTGGACTCGGAGTCGGCAGGATTGAAGTCATGCTCACCTGAGAGGATTCTTAGACGCGGCGGAGCAGGTGCCATTGTGTGTTGAGGCACAATCGTAAGGGTGGTTAATTAGTAGTACAGCAAAAGAGCTGAAGCAGGCACGTCCGGGACGTGTCCGAGTTTGTTGCAATTATAGCTGTCCAAGTTTATTGCTCGTCTTCCAAACGAAATGCAATCGAAGCTTTTTCCCCAAGTCCCTTTTCGAAACGACAGTGGATAATGACGACGGCGGCGGAGGGATAGATCGAGGGAAGAGCGAGCGGCGAGTGATTCAGTAGGTCGTCGACGGCATTGATTGAAACGAAAGACGGAGGTGAGGTCGGGTGAGGGTTTGAGATCGATGGAAATCTCAACACGCAAGAACCGGAGGGAGGGTAGGTTCCTGGCGCCGGGAAGATTAAAGATCCAGAGGTCGTCACAAAGGAGTTTCCATTGAGAGCAGCACTTGTGCTGCAGTTTGGAAGGAAATAACGAGCGTGATCCGAAAGGAGGTGGAAGAGTAGTACAATTAGGTGAAAGGGACTTGAGGGTGATGGTGCGCTGCGGTGGCTGTGGCTGTGGTGATGGAAGGGAGAGAGGTTGAGTGGATGAAGATTACGGGCGCGACGATTGTGAAGCGCAATTCGAAACAGAACAGGATGGGACAAGTCGTGACGACGGCCCGGAGAGCGATCAACTCAGTTTGCGCTGGCCCGTCCGTAAGGTTAGGTACTAGGTACCTGTAAGGTACAAGGAACTCGTAAGGTATGGAAACCGTCGGCCGGCTCTGAGGTTTTTTTTACCGAGGGTGCCTGGAAGAGCTGTGCTTGCTGGGGGTCAGAAGATTAATGAGGCACTAGGCACCTACTAGTATCTGGGTAGGTACCTAATGTACGTACTGTAGTAGTAGTTGTAGTAGCCTGTAGGTACCAAATTATCTTTATTCATTATTATTTTGACCGGGGATTTGGGGGAGGGCGGCACCAATGCAGTGAATAATAATGCACCTTAGGACAAACCCTCCCTAGCTTTCAGGTACCTTCTGGGTACACTGGCAGCTACCTAAGGTAGGGTTAAAGAGGGTCTTGACAGAATGGGGAGCCAAAATACCCGCCTGCGCCTAGGGTAAGGTACCTACAAGTACAGCTCACACCTCACCTCAGTACCTAAGGTAAGGTAAGGTAGCTAATGGACCTGATGTAGGCAGCTACGTGTCTGTAGGTTTGGAAGGTTCTACCACTGGGTGCTGAAGCTCAACGTGCAGACAGTTCATCAGCCAACTTATTATCCTCAACAGAACTCTCGCCATACTTTTTCGAAGCCGGGCCTTTCATTTTTGGTGTCGTACTTCCAGAACAGTCCCGTCCTCTGCAAAGACCAGGAGCTACGTAGTACCTCTTACAACTTGAACCACCTACGCACTGGCATCGATCAATTTGGTCTTCTTCGTTGATCCCTCAGGTCTGGGTTCATCTCCAAGCAACGCCAGAACGGCGCTTCAATACCTAACGTTACTTTATTGCACAAGTCTGGTACTCCCTCCGGTCCTAAAATAAGAGCCTCCTATCGCCATCGAACACTGCAACACCTGCCTAGCAGTAGGTGTCCACTCACAAGCCCCAATTGCCGGGACTTCTCCCTGGTGTCCTTCAGGGGCCCGCACGAACATCCGGCCACCGTACTACGCCATGCCCTCACTCGCCAGCATTTAGTTTTCCATTGACACGATGGCCGACCACCGATAACCCCAATACCTCCGCAACCAATCACATCCAAAGGAGAAAGACGAAAGACGGAGACTGGGTCTTGCCAAGCTGAGGAAAAAGTACTAGTAAGAGGGCAGCAAAGTGTCATGGTTGCTGACTGCAGGTGAGAGTTCGGACAGCGACGGTGCCCGACTTCTTCTGTTTCGCACGACCAGCTGCGAGTTGCAGAGCACAGTGTACGAACGAATTGCTGGAAGTGTCGGAGATGGGCTTTACACGTACGGATACTAAACCTCAACTAGCCTCCCAGCTACATTCCGCCACACGTCTTGTCTCCGTCGTTTTGGTACCCACATCAACCTCCTGCGTTCTCTTTAGGTCTCATTCAGTATTTTCATTCCGCTGGGCACCTCGGTAGACCCCCCATATCGACAGTCTAGCGGTCACAAATGTCCGCTCAAAGGTCAACAGATGCGCGAGTCTCCATACGCCCAGCGGCCTGGAGTCTTCCCAGAGCGAGCGTAGCCTGCTGAAGCGAATAGATGGACGCAGATAACGTCGCGTTGGATAGCCACGATTCATGGTTGTGAAAGGTGCCGCAGGCAGCGCTTCTAGGCATGTGCACCTTACGCCTCGACCCACACGCTGGCTTTGTGGGAAGATCTCAAACCGAAAAGTATTTGAACCTAGGGCCACCATGAAGAATCTGCCCTTGCTGGTTCTGGTGCAATGAACGGCACGGGTCTTGTGGATCGCATGGGACACTGTACATGAAAACACAGCCATCATTTGCACAACGTCGAGGCAATTGTGTCGCCTGAGAAACCAGGACCGTTTGTGCAGACCCATGGTCGAACAGCACATCCCGCCTATGGTGAAGTACCTTGTATTGTGTACATGCCTATCTTCGAGCGGGCGACAATAATGCATGCGCCGTTCGCGGCCCAAGTCCCAGTCAGGAACAGCGGGAAAGGGTGGGCCTGCTGGCATATATCCGTCCAGCCTGATCTGAGACTTGCATGATTCTTGTCTCTTGGCTTGAAGATCTTCGAATAAGCCCTCTGCTCTGGGATCCACGAGGACAATAATCTTGCAAGACAGATACACACAGTCTCACTCCTTTACTATGGGCCGATCCTTCTGCCACTTCGCTTTTCGAGCAGCGGAATCAATGGTCAGTCAGGCCACTAAGACAAGGAGATATCACCTCCCGTTGCTACCGTCATGCTGAACCTGGAGATCTCAGCGGGCCCTCTCGGAATCATCGTTATGGCGATGCGTTCAGCTGGAGCTCGATTAAAAGGCATACATACGTAGGACTCTCCTGCTACAACGATCTGAAACGAGGTTTGCAGGACCCAGCACTATTCCAATACTTCTTGGCCAGGCTTTCTGTATATCTACCATGGACACCTGCGAAAGTTGCTATAACAGCGACCTGTTCAACCTGACCAATGGCTTTTACATCAAAGACGTCGGACCGCTGCGACCATTTTGATCGTGGAAAAGGGGCACCATGATCGTACATGCCAACGTGTGTCTTGTTTTCACAGGTCGCGAGACGCCGCATACAAAATAGGTACCCTCTGCAGTGGACTCCAATCTGGCGGTAGGTACTGTGTACCTAACGTACCCCTTAACGAAGTTGTTCACTCGGCATCTCCGCCCTCCGCGTTCACACTATGGCTAACCGAGATACCTTGATGCGGCTAAGTTGATGGTGGCTTTCATGAAACAAGTCCGAATTCAGCCATTGTGCCCGAAAATAACATGGCAATCTATGGCAGCAGGGGTAATTCCTTGACCTCCAATGGCGGAAAGGGAATGCTACATATGTTCTGGCGGCGCAAACACAACGTCTCACTCAGCACGAGGCTAACCGCCTCCTGCAAATCACCCAGGTCTATCTTAAGACCAACTCAGGTTTGGAAGACTTCCTCTCCGCACCTTTTTTATTGTTGTGCTCGATGTGCTCCGTCCAGGTCGCCACTCCAGCTCGAAACCATACGTGTCTTTGTTACTTTCATACCGCTTGAGACCTGCATTTGTGTGAACTTGCTCGCATGACGGCGGCCTCGTTGGACCTACCAGGGTTGGGACTCCTCTGGCCCCGTCTGGATTCTTTTCCAATGTCGGTAGGGCCGGTCGCGCTCGTTCTTTGTCAGGGTGACCACATCCTCTCCTTCTATGGCCGGGTAGGCCTTATATCGCCAGAAGCATAATGTCCGACCGCGCTGCTTTGCGTAGGACGGTGTTCCAGATCAGACACAGCCCAAATAGAGCGCACCAATAGAGAGCTGGTACAACCCCAATCAAGGCCGTCGGAACGCCAGCAAGAGGTATGTAACACATTGACTCCCCAACTTCCCAGTTTCATGTTCTTATTCATCCGCTTCCCGAACCATGTGTTCTCCAGGTCCGACCACCTGCCGGGAGGTTGGGGTCTCGCGGTAAGCAGGCATTGTGGACATGTTGATGCTTCAATCGCAACGGTGGCCACATCCTACAGGGAAGCCGAACTGTTGGAAGATCATTGAGAACAACGACTTCATGGCAGGAGTGTTGCTCGACCCTGCTGGCACTCGCGACCACTAGGTACCTAGTTAGTATACCACGAAGAACTATCCAAGAGTTCGTTGCGTGACGACTCCCATACGCACACCCAATCAGCCATATGAAGATGTGGTAACATGCAAGTGAAGGTGAGCAACGATGTAATAGATTGTGATGCCGTCTCGCCGTGTACTACGACGATGCGAGAATCGTCAGCACTAACCCCGAAGCAGACGATGAACGTGGACTGCAAGATGGATAGCTGGGGCCGTCACTTTCGCCAGCCGGCTGAGATGCTGGTACTACGCACTAATGAAGGTCCGCCTGGGGTGGATAGATCTTTGTAATGATGAGTGTTGTTTCAACCCGGGCTTGATGAACAAACAGGTCAGCAGTCCAGCTCGTGAAGTGTGTGTTTCTTTCCGCTATCCACGTTGGTACAAGATACCTATAGGTGGGTAGGTAGTAGGAAGTAGTACTACCACTGGCAGGCGAAGACTCCCTAGATGTAGACCACCTTCCTAACCCTCCCTTCCAACGTAGCAAGAACTAGCACCCCGCCACAGCCGGATCAGCTCTGTTTCTGCAGCCGGCACCCGGATGAAGATAATAATGTCTCTCCCCAACTCAGCCTCCAGGTTGCCAGCCTGACCGCCCCCTTCAAGTTTGGGGTAACAGTGACACGAGTGTTACCCCCTGGGACGAGTCTTCCACGAAGTTCGGGCTGACCATAAAGCCAGGTCGGGTCCTCTGACCACCACAGCGAGGCGACGCCGAGGACAAGATTGTTGCTACAGAGTACAGAGTTACAGAGTACAGAGTTACAGAGTACAGAGTTACAGAGTACATTCTGTCGACGCGGGCGGCTCAAGTTTGCATGACGATCCATAGACCATAGTATGTCTTGGTAGCTTCGACGCCTCGAACGGGAGAGAATTTTTACTGAGGGGACGCATTGATCATCAACTTCCCGCAGCTCGCGTTTTTCTTAACCCCGAGCTCCCAAAATCCCCACTGGCCAGTGGACACACGGGCACTTGGCTTGCTTACTGTATGTTGCAGTGGCAGATGTCCAATAATGGTATGGGCTCAGAAAGGAACTCAGTATGAGAGGACGCTGTGCGGCGGTTCAGGTCAACGAGGTTGGCAAGGATAAAAGGAAACGGGTCGTGGATCGGCTTGGTCAGCCTCTGGATCCTTTGTCTTAGGGTGACCGTCATGGCGAAGTCATAGCGAGTGGCTGGAGCCAGCCCCCTTCGCCCGTGGGTAAAGGCGATGTAGTCCGAGTATGTGGTGCGATGGTCTGGTATGCTTGAATGACCGAAGAGGACGTCGGGGTGAACATCGTAGCTACGTAGAGAATAGGAGGTACGGTCAAGGGAGGCAGAGAATAGTAGTAGTATACAAACTTGTCGAGGAATCTCTTCATACGTACAGCGTGATGCGACTGCACACCCCAAAATGCTGCCCAGCCTTGTTGTAACGCGTGCGGTTTGAAGGTGTCGACGGGTGTCAAAAACCGACAAAGCGCAGGCGTATCTCCCCCTTAGGCGCGTCGCACTGAGAGCCCGGGCGCAGTCTGGCGCAGTCTGGCGCAGTTCTGGTGCCGTGGCCGAACAGCCTGAAGGGCCATCATAGGCGTGAGGGCTCCTTAGGCTCCTCAAGGCCCCTCGCAGTAAAAGCCGCCGCCATTTTTTCGAAACGAACACGCCCCTGCGCTCAATCAATGCATCTCCGTGTCAATCAATCATTATCGTCCTCTTCGTTCTTTCGTCTCATCACCCTCATACTCAACCTCATCCTCAATCGCAATCGCAATCGCAGTCGCTATTTGTTCGAGAGGCTTGTTGTGTCCGGTTCGGACGAGTAACTGTCCTTGTGTCCCCCCAGGATCTCTTCCGTGAGCCAGATAACGGGGAACTCGAAGCTCCGAGCCATCGGACCCTGACCAACCTACTGCTATCACCACCCTGGTTGTACTGGGTACCGTTTCTCGGCTTAGAAACCCTTCGGCCCATACTATCTGCAGAAAACCCCGACCCATTGACCGTCCTCCGAAGATCGTACTTCCTCTTCCTCTTCGACGACCTGCTCTTCTGGCGCTCGAGCTCATCCGGGCAGCGACGTTCGCCCTTCTACTACCAGCGCGCCCAAAAATGCGCGTTACTCTCATGTGCTGACGTGAGCCGACCCTTCCGAACATCCCAGGCCACCTACCGCGCATTTCCTATTCTGCGTTCTCCACGAATTTTATCGCATCTCCGCAAGGACAATCGGCGAAAAGCAGAGTACCGTGGCGGCATAAGCCAACGCTGTCGTCCATCTGGTCTGCAAACCACCCATTCCGCATTGCGGAGGGACTGGCTTGAGCCTTCGCAGCAGCCATGGCGCGAATACACTTCAATGGTGGAGAAGACGATGGCAATGTCTCCAGGCCTGTGAAGAGAATGCGGTGGGCTACGACTCGTAAAACTGGCCAGAGTGGGGTGAAGAAGCGACTTTCTCTGCTGCAAAGGGTGCCAAAAGTGAGGTTGTCCGCCTATGAAGAAAAGCCCGAGGGCCATGAGAACCATGGCGAGATATCAGAGGACAGTCCAATGGGCCTACAGCAACAGCTAGGCGACGTCTCCTCTTCGCGGACCATCTATGTGAATGTGCCGCTGCCTCCTGAAGCCAAAACGGAAGATGGCCATATCAAGGCGCAGTATTCCCGGAACAAGATCAGGACGTCAAAGTACACTCCTCTCAGCTTCGTGCCCAAGAACTTGTGGTTTCAGTTTAACAACATCGCCAACATATACTTTTTGTTCATCATTATCCTCAGTGTAAGCCTGGCCCGGTCTTTGGTTTCGTGACCCTACTGATGCTTCTCAGATATTCTCCATCTTTGGGGCATCCAGCCCCGCTCTGGGATCCGTCCCCTTAATCTTCATTTTGGCAGTGACCGCCATCAAAGATGCAATCGAGGATTGGCGCAGGACGGTGCTGGACAACGAGCTCAACAATTCTCCTGTCTACAGGCTGGTAGATTGGACCAATGTCAACTCCTCGGAAGATGACATCTCCTTGTGGAGACGGTTCAAGAAGTCATGTACGCGGGCAGTCGTGGTCACGTATCGCCGGATGAAGAATCTGGGTCACAAGAAAGCCAAACGGTCAGAGAAGGATGTGGACGGTGCTACTCTTGAGCGCCACGATTCTCATGCTACGCGGCCGTCCATCCGGAACTCCATTTACTCCCAAAGGACGTCGTTCCAGTCGAGCCACAGTCGGACGGGCGATGATATTGCGATGACGCCCGTCCCATCTCCAGCTTATCGGTCCAGTCTAGGTCCGAATGCTCAACTGAATCCCCATGGAGAACCGCCCAACAGCGCCTTCTCATTCGATACGGGTGATAATGCACCTTCTATGCTTCGCACGCAGCCGCCTGCCAAGGGGCAATTCAACATGGCCCCGACAAAGGACTACGGTAGCATAATCAATCCCCAGAAAGAGGTTCCAGACAAAGCTCGATTTAAGAGGGATTACTGGAAGAACGTTCAGGTTGGTGACTTTGTTCGCATTTATAACGACGAACAAATCCCCGCGGACGTTGTCGTCCTTTCGACCTCTGATCCGGATGGGGCGTGCTACATCGAGACCAAAAACTTGGACGGTGAGACGAATTTGAAAGTGCGTCAAGCATTACAGGCCGGGCGGAAAGTCAGGCACGCGAAAGACTGCGAATACGCCGAGTTTGTCATCGAGAGCGAAGGTCCCGACCCAAATCTGTACACTTACAGTGCCGTCGCCAAGTGGCAGCAACGGGACCCGCGAAACCCAGACGCTCCGGTCCGTGAAATGGCCGAGCCCATCAGCATCAACAATCTCCTCCTGCGAGGCTGCAACCTGAAGAATACAGAGTGGATTCTCGGCATCGTCGTGTTCACGGGCAGGGAGACGAAAATCATGCTGAACTCGGGCATGACGTCCAGTAAACGGGCGCGGTTGGCCCGAGAGCTGAACTGGAACGTTATCTACAACTTCATCGTCCTCTTCTTCATGTGCTTGGTGGCCGGCATCGTACAAGGGGTGACCTGGGCAGACGGGAACAATTCCCTAGATTACTTCGAGTTTGGCTCGATTGGCGGCACTCCAGCCTTGGACGGGTTCATCACCTTCTGGTCAGCAGTCATCCTGTTTCAGAACTTGGTGCCCATCTCATTGTACATCACTTTGGAGATTGTGAGATCGATCCAGGCTTTCTTCATATGGTCCGACGTCTACATGTACTACGAGAAGCTTGACTACCCATGCACCCCGAAGAGTTGGAACATCTCAGATGACCTTGGCCAGATCGAGTACATCTTTTCGGACAAGACTGGGACATTGACTCAGAACGTCATGGAGTTCAGAAAATGCACCATCAACGGTCGGGCGTATGGAGAGGCATACACCGAAGCAGAAGCAGGCATGCGTCGAAGACAAGGGATCGATGTCGAAGCTGAGTCTGCACGCATCAACCAGCAGATTGCGGAGTCTCGCCGCAGCATGCTGAGCATGTTGCGTCAAACGCACGACAACCCATATCTGCATGACGACCAACTTACCTTTGTGTCCCCCGACTTCGTGGCCGACTTGAACGGAAGGTCTGGCGAAGAACAAGCTCGAGCAAACGAGCATTTCATGCTGGCTCTAGCCCTTGCTCATACGGTGATTACTGAGACAACTCCTGGCGATCCACCCACGATCGAATTCAAGGCGCAGTCCCCTGACGAAGCTGCTCTGGTGGCGACGGCGCGAGACGTGGGCTTCACCGTCCTTGGTCGGACCAATGATGATCTCCATGTCAATGTTCTCGGTGAAGATCGAACGTTTCGCATCCTGAATACATTGGAGTTCAATTCTACCCGGAAGCGGATGAGCGCCATTGTGCGCATGCCCGACGGAAAGATCAAACTCTTTTGCAAAGGCGCTGATAGCATGATCTATTCTCGCCTGGCCCGGGGTCAACAGCAAGAGCTCCGCAAAAAGACTGCAGAGCACTTGGAAATGTTCGCCCGGGAAGGCTTGAGAACGCTCTGCGTGGCAGAGAGAGAGCTCGATGAGGAAACCTATCAAGAATGGAATCGAGACCATGACTTCGCGGCGCAGGCTTTGACCGATCGAGAAGACCGGCTCGAAGAGGTGGCAGATCGCATTGAGCGTGATCTCGTTCTTCTGGGAGGCACGGCGATCGAGGATCGTCTCCAGGATGGCGTGCCGGACACCATTGCCCTTCTTGGGCAGGCAGGCATCAAGTTGTGGGTTTTGACCGGTGACAAAGTCGAGACAGCGATCAACATTGGTTTCTCTTGCAATCTGCTTTCCAATGAGATGGACCTTCTTCTGTTCGACATGCCCGAAGGCAGAGTCGAGGACGCTTCCGACCTCCTGGACAAGCATTTGAAGACCTTTGGGTTGACCGGCTCCGACGAGGAATTGGCGGCAGCTCGACAGAATCACGAACCTCCGCCACCGACTCATGCTGTAATCATCGATGGTGAGTCGCTTAAGCTGGTCTTGGAGGATGAGTTGAGACAGCGCTTCCTCTTGCTCTGCAAACAATGCAGGTCGGTGCTCTGCTGCCGAGTCAGCCCCGCGCAAAAGGCTGCCGTCGTCCAGCTTGTTCGGAATGGCCTCGATATTATGGCCTTGTCCATCGGCGATGGGGCGAACGATGTTGCCATGATCCAGGAAGCGGATGTTGGCGTAGGTATTGCTGGCGAAGAAGGCCGCCAGGCCGTCATGTCCTCTGACTACGCCATCGGTCAATTCCGGTTCCTTCAGCGGCTTGTACTGGTTCATGGCCGTTGGTCTTATCGACGTCTGGCCGAGACGATCGCCAACTTCTTCTACAAGGTATGTCGCTCGGCGACGCGCACGAACCGGGGTACTAACTTGCTTGCTAGAACATTGTATGGACCTTCGCGCTCTTCTGGTATCAGATATACAACAACTTCGACATCACTTATCTGTTCGACTACACTTATATTCTGCTGGTTCACGTGGTCTTCACATCGCTGCCAGTGGGGCTCATGGGCATTCTCGACCAAGATGTCAGTGACAAAGTATCGCTTGCAGTACCTCAGTTGTATCGACGCGGCATGGAGAGAAAGGAATGGACGCAGTTGAAGTTCTGGTAAGGATGGTACAGCGCTCCTCCAATGTATAGCTCTAACCAACGTGCCAGGCTCTACATGGCTGATGGCCTGTATCAGTCGGCCATGTGTTTCTTCATGGCCTACCTCCTTTTTGCCCCAGCCACGTTCCAGTCCGAGACTGGACGAGGCATCGACGACCGAAGCCGAATGGGGGTCTACGTTGCCTGCGTCGCCATTGTCGTGATCAACTCTTACATCCTACTAAACACGTACAAATGGGATTGGTTCATGGTCCTGATTACGGTGATAAGTATCCTGCTGATCTTTGCCTGGACGGGAATCTATTCGTCCTTTGAGGCGTCGTTCCAATTTTACAAGTCGGGCGCCGAGGTGTACGGCTCGTTGACGTTCTGGGCTCTATCGCTCTTGACCGTCCTCCTTTGCCTGCTGCCTCGGTTCGCCATCAAATTCCTCCAGAAGAACTTCCGACCGTACGACATCGACATCATCCGGGAGCAAGTGCGGCAGGGCAAATTCAAATATCTGGATGACTACGACGCCTCCATCCCCCCCAAAGCTGTGGATGTTTCGGGAACGTGGTCGGAACAACCGGGCGAGGATGTGCCAACCGAGTTGGGCGGATACCAAGGCCATGCAAGGTATCCCAGCATGGCCGAATCCCAGCGGCCCATTTATCCGCCTTCGGAGGCACCGACTCGAGACACACGGCATCCTCATAGTCAGACGGACAGTGACGGCACGGACCGGACCAAGCTGTCTCTTGACACATCCCGGCATTACGGCGAGCCCTCCACGCCCACGCCCGAGAAGACTGTGCGGAAGAGACCTTCCCTGGAGCGAGTCCGTTCCTCACTTGAACGACCCCGGCAGTCGTTCGAGAAGCTCAGGCCGAGCTTTGAAGGTAGCCGGGACTTTACGAGTGCGGCGATGCTGAGCAGAATCGAGTCCACCCAGTCGCAACCGGCCAGCTCGATCTACTCGCAGCCTGGCCTTTCCACCACCACTACGAGAAGAACGCAAGATATCGGTGAGGAGCGCCAGTACCCACCACCTCGCTATTGAGCGGTCGACGGTTGTAGTCACGACTCATGATTTTTTTTATGCCTCGATGATTGCGCCGCCTCTGGTGTCCGTGCGGGTTGATCGGCTGGGAACCGGCGAGGGACAGCGTGACTTGGGATGGCACTTATTTAGCGGGTTCTGCGTGCTGTACATATTTAGGATTTACACACAAAAGACGGATGAAAGGCAGAGAGTAGATATGCTCTAGCTAGTGGTTGTTATTCTTCCTGTCATCTCATGATTGTCACCATTTGAGAGAGCCATTGTAGGATGTGTCGTAGACTAGAGCACCATGGCCCCAGTAGTACTTTCAACCATACGTGGATAGTAGGTGTTCACTTTTTTGGCGGAGAAGCACCTGAGAAGTGACTCCAGCAACTGGTACCTATGAGATGAAATCATTCCTGTACATAAGTAGTCCTCGTTGTTGTCCATGTCATTGTCCTTGTCGTCGAATTAATGGATGCCAAGAAGCAAGTTGGTTGTGGACGAGGCTTGAGGCTGCGCTCTGTTCTAGTAAATACTTGTACTAAGGTATCTACTAGTCGTGTAATATAGTACTAAATACCTTAGTTCTACTACCTTAAGTTAATACTTTAATTCAAGTGCTTGCGCTGTAGTACGCGACTTTCGTTCGTCAACGACGCGCCCGCGGCGTTTTCTCTGCGCCTGCGGAAAACGTTCCACTTCACAGCATTCCACGTCCGTCTGTCTACCACCTACCTAGTACATTAACGGAGATGTAACAACACACAGCAACACAAACATTCATTTCCACTGACCGAGTGTTGAGAGGTTGACTCCTGCACTCTGCCGTGACTTGAATATTCCTCATTGGAACGTTGGCTCCCTCTCAGAATCGTCACCTTGATCTCATACTCATTATGAGAGAGTTATATTCATGGTTGTGCAAGACATCCCCCAATCTCACTCCCAACGCCCCTCTCCCTGACGGGTTGCAACCATGGCCGAATTCATAAGCATCCTTGAGTAAGTCTACTACTATTCGGAAATACTCTTGTTGGGCCCCAAACGGGTCAACTAACTCCAGATTCAAGGGAGATCAAACAGTCACCGCCCGGACAACACCTCTTTTGCCCTCGACAGAACGACGATGACCAAGACAGATACGAAGATGAGCGGGACCCCAGTGCTGTCGAAGCAGGCACAGTCGACCGAGATCGGCTTGCAAGAATTGAAGCAACCAAGATCCGTAGGAGGAAATTCATGACGTCTCTGCAGCTGCTAGCCTACGACGGCCGAGAAAGTGAACAGTACCAACGCTTCATATGGGACACCCTGGACGAGGCCCTGGGCAAATGTGATATTTGTATCCGCGAGTACTACGTGGCAAAGGTGGATTTCGAGGCCTCGCTGAGGGAAGACTATGAAGAGGAAGACATCAAGAATTTCTTTGAAATCATCAACAGAAGGGACCTTCAGAGGATCATCCAAGGACTTGATGGAGCTACGAAAACCCTCGACGAAGTTCCGGAGCAGAAAAGGGGGACCGCGGTGCTGGATCACCGAGATCTGCATGCTTTGTTCGAGGCGTTGGTCTGCGACGTCTTCCTGCAGAACGAGGAGCTGTTGCAGAAGCACTTCGATCGGCCCTTCAAGATGATCCAGGCCAAGAGACCGCTTAAGATGCGAGAGATTCTGCCGGCGTCCACCAAATTCCTCTTCGACTCGATGCCGGTCCGCTTGGGCTGGGCGACTATGATTTGGAATCGAGTCGACCGATGTCCATCGGACCTCGAATGGGACTGGGCCATGAAATCCTACATCCAGGCGAAGTTGCAACAGGCCTCCGAGCCAGGTGATGTCTCGAAAATGTGGAGTGCGCTGAAGCTGATTTTGAGCAAATTGGATGAGCGGATGATCACCTACAAGCTCTTCGACCTTCATCCCAATGTCGGTACGACAGCGTTGAACCATCTGGCTAAACGCTCGCAGGCCGTTCCTTTCATCTGCCAGTCGATGAAGATGATTCTGGACACAGCACCCGCCGCCTTCTGGCAAGCAATGGGCTCCATCTCATCTCAGACCATCGTCGAACAAGTCTTTGCGAGCCCTCAGTTCAACAAATACCTCCAAGAGTCCAGTGCGGGTCTTGGGCTGAAGGACATGGATGTGCTCTCATGGATTCCCTCACTTCTAGCTTCTCTAAAACCTGCAAACCGCCCTGCCGCTTCGCAAACCATTGCCAGCCAACTGTTCGAAAGAATCAACAATACCAGCATCAGCCTTCCAGCACGAGCTGAATGCTTCAGGATGGCTGTCAAAGTTCTGCTCACGACTATTATCAGCTTCTCGGACAACGAGACGAATCGGCAGTCGGTCGAGCGGCTGGTACTGTTGGATATCTTGGGCTTGATTGGACACCGTTTGGACGAGATACTCAAACCCAGAGATCCGGATCTGGCCAAATCCCTAGGGAAGGAGACGAGAGATGAGATCGTTAACGTCGTCAAGAATTCGATCGCCTTGGAGTGTCAATGCCTGAAGTTGGATTTTGAGACATTGACCCAAAAGGAGCCACTTCGGCACGGCTCAAGCTCTTACACGCCGGAGATCTGGACGGCGGTTATCAATAACCTGAAGGACGACGAGCCTGAATTGTCTGCTGCGGCACTCATTGGTATCATGCCACTCCCTGGTCTGGAACAGTTTCGGATACGAGAAGGCCAAGCCTTGATCAAGGAGAAAAAGTCGTATAATTCTATCTTCGATAAGCTGACCGGAATGGTGGCCAAGCTGCTTCAGCGCATCTCCGAATTCAAGCCGGACCATCTAGACTTCTTGTTCAGAGCTCAAAATACCAGCATGTCTCTGATAGCCGCTTTGTTTTCACCTGACAACAATACATATCAAGCAGCGATTGAAGTCGTCAAGAATATCAGCGGCGAGTTTGGCCGGAAGGAAGCACTGGCTCATTTAATTGAAGCCTTCCTCGGAATCACCATCTACGGCGTATGCTGGACGTTCCGACGAATAGCCAATTACAAGACTTTTGCCTCCGTTCCACGAATGCTCAAAAACGGCATGGAAATCCTTGACGTGCTTTGCAACCCGACGAACGGACAACTACGAAAAGCCAACATCTCAAGTAGGGATGCATCAGCCATCCAGAACTACTGGGCTTATCAGTGGCTGGCGCTCAAGGTGATCTTCAGCCAAACGGAACGGTGGTCACTGGAGGTTCACGACAAAGAAAAGATGGTGGAGGTTTGCAGAGATGCCATGCAATATGCCGAAGCGCTGTTTGACCAGTACGATCTTTTCGCCAGCGTCCTCATGAAAGCGAGACCTGAAAAAGCCGAAGACATTCCCAAGACTCTCCTTGATACTCGGGGCACCCAAGTGGGATCTCCCTTGAACGCGCTGGATGCCATGTCAAGATGGTTACGGCTTCGGGATGAGTATCTCGCTGATACCTTAGTGACTCTCATCACTAATATGCTGTACCGGCTGAAGCGGCATCAAGCACTAACGACAGATAGTGATGGCTTAGCATATGTCCAAGAGGTTGCGACGAAGCATTCCGTCAAGACCATTCTCACCGCATCCCAGAAGGCGAGACTGGTCCGGGCACTGGAGAACTACTACGACCGACCAATTGAGTTGCCTGTGGCAAAGAAACAGACCACGCTCAACCTCAAGGAATGGACAGACACAGCCACTTCTCGGTCAGGGGCGTCCACGCCAGACTCGAGAGGACGGAGCGTTGACGAGTTCGGCGATGATGACATTGCGGACGAAGATCTGATTGAGATTGCGAACAAGACGATGGGTACGCAAAAGACCACAGTCACCAACAAGGAGAGAAACAACATCAAATCACTGCTCTCAAGACAGCCTGCAAAAGCGAAGCCCTCGTCCGCTTCTACCATTGACGTCGCAGCCAAGAAGGCTCAGGAGGCTCGTGCGTTTATTGAGAATCGCAAACGTGAGGAGGCTGCCCGAAAACTTAGAGACAAGGAAGCTGCACTGAAACTGCGCGGCCAAACCGGCATGGGCGTCCAGACTGCAGGTCAAGGCTCCGGTCTCACGGGCATTGGCATTATTGGCAAAGATCATTCCGCAGGCCCGAACAGCCTTATGGTGTCTTCCGAGTCCGAGTCCGAGTCGGATTCCGACGAAGAGTTGTTCGGTAAGGTAACAAAGGGTGGACCGACGGTCCGTAGCCAGGCAGGAGTAAGGAAACCCGTTGTGGCCGGCCCTGTGCGGAAGATCAAGCAAGTTCGGTCACAGAAGGATGTTCGGGCTCGACTGGCACCAGACCTGAGCGACCTGCATCGGACCATACTCGGCTGGGACTTTTTCGCAGACACAGATCTGCCGCCCAACTCGGCAAGGGATGACTATACCCTGGTCACGAACACCTTCCGGACAGTTCAAGACTACCAAAAGACATTCGAGCCTCTTTTGATACTTGAGGGTTGGCAAAGTTTCCGAGCCGCGCGCGAAGAAGGCAACTTCAAACCATTCGAGGTGAAGGTGGCCAATACCTTGATTGTAGACAACTTCGTCGAGGTAAATTCTTCCATGTCTTTTGCGGAAGGAAAGGAACTGAGCATTGGAACCTCGGATGTGGTGCTGCTGTCGAAATCCCCAACTCCTGAACAAGATTCGCGCGAGCCACATTGCTTAGCACGGGTCAAGGAGATCAGTCGAAAGAAGGGCGAAGTACAAGTCGTCTATCGTGTCAGTGCATCAAACAATCCCTTACGGCCATATTTGAACGACAAGTCGACCGTATATGGAGTTCAGATATTATCTCTGACCCCGTTGGAACGAGAATATGGTGCGCTGATGGCATTGCAGTACTATGATCTGTGCGAAGAGATCATCAACGCAAAACCCTCGCCCATACTGGACTATCCGGATAGGATACTGGAACCTTTCCAGAAGACTTACGAGGTGAACCAAGCTCAGGCGAAAGCCGTCAAATCAGCCCTCGACAATGATGCCTTTACTCTGATCCAAGGACCGCCAGGTTCGGGCAAAACCAAGACCATCTGCGCGCTGGTGGGTGCCATGATGACAGGTTATATCAAGAAGACGAACGACAGTGGTCCACGATTGAATGCAGCCACCGGTCGTGCACCACCAATTCCCCGGAAGATCCTCGTCTGCGCTCCAAGTAACGCCGCGGTTGACGAACTAGTCATGCGGTTTAAGTTGGGCGTAACGACGCTGGATGGCTCCTTTGAACATCTTTCGGTTGTTCGACTTGGACGAACCGATGCCATCAACGCCGGCGTCAAGGACGTCACTTTGGAAGAGCTGGTGAATGCTAAACTCAATGTAGCGGCTCCGAGAGACCCGAGAGAAGACATCCACGCGGTCATGATGGAGCACAAGGCAGTATCTGACGAGTTGAACGCGCTCCGTAACCGGATCAGTGAACAACGTGGGAAAGGGCAGCCAGTTCCGATGGCGGACGAACAGCTCATGGATGCCCTCAAACGAAAGAAGAATCAACTTGGCTCCAAGATTGACGACATGAGAGAACGTCAGAATACCGCATCCCGGGATATGGAGCTCAACCGCAAGAGAATACAACAGGAAATTCTGGATTCGGCCCATGTGCTCTGTGCCACTCTGAGCGGAAGTGGTCATGAGATATTCCAAAGTCTGAACGTGGAATTTGAGACCGTGATCATCGACGAGGCCGCTCAGTCCATTGAATTGTCGGCTTTGATCCCTCTCAAATACGGCTGCTCTAAATGTATTCTGGTTGGTGATCCCAAGCAGTTGCCGCCTACCGTCCTGTCGCGCGAGGCAGCCAAGTTCCAGTATGAGCAGAGTCTGTTTGCCCGTATGGAAAGCAACCACAAGAAAGACGTGCATCTGCTGGATACACAGTACCGTATGCATCCGGAGATCAGTCTCTTCCCGAGCAAGATGTTCTATGACTCGCGACTGAAGGACGGTGCGGACATGGCCAAACTTCGTCGAAGACCCTGGCATCACAGTGAGATCTTTGCACCGTATCGCTTCTTCGATGTCCAAGGAATGCATCAGGCAGCACCCAAGGGTCATTCATTGGTCAATATCGCCGAGTTGAACATCGCCATGCAACTGTATGACCGATTGGTGAGAGATGTTCCCAGATATGACTTTGCCGGGAAGATCGGAGTTATCACTCCTTACAAAGGGCAGCTGAAAGAGCTCAGATTACGCTTCAAGCAACGATATGGCGACGACATCGTCTCAAAGATCGAATTCAATACCACGGATGCATTTCAGGGTCGAGAGAGCGAGATCATCATATTCTCCTGTGTCCGAGCCTCGACACACGGTATTGGATTCTTGAACGACATCCGGCGGATGAATGTGGGTCTCACTCGAGCCAAATCGTCTCTTTGGGTTCTGGGCAATTCCCAGTCACTGATGCAGGGTGAATACTGGCGTGCTCTAGTCAACGATGCGAAAGCCAGAAACGTATACACACAAGGGGAAATCACCAGCCTTCTCCGGCGCCCGCTGTTGACAGAGGATATGATGAAGGACGACATTGACATGATGGATGCTGATGAGCCTGTTGTTGAAACGGCAAAGACCATTCGGAATACAGAGCCCGAGTCAAAGCAGCCCACTCCGCCACAGCCGCCGCCGAGAAAGGTCAACAATGACATGCCACGGACCGGACCGACTTCGAACCAGGGCACTGAATTACCGTCTCGACCAAGCGATAGTCTTTCTCGACCATCGTCCTCATCCTCAACCACAAGACCGGAGCCTCAGCGTAGGGTATCGGCACAGACCGATCCCAGACGGAACCTTTCTAAAATGGAGGTCGACGATGACAAGCAACTGCCTGCTAGCAAAATGCGGACAGCAGCGGATTTGAAGGTCGATACGACACAGGTCAAGACAGGCGTTTATGGACCCTCAGGAGGCGCAAATGGCCTCAACGACCTCGCCAAATGCTCCATCTGCGGTTCCCACGAGCACTTCACGTCCAACTGTGACAACGAAGAAGCCAGGGCCGCCGCCCATGGCATCTGTCATCGTTGCCAGCAACCTGGCCACAGCTACACAAGCTGCAATGCCCCTCGATGCATGACCTGTGGCGAAATCGGACATCTCTCGGACAGTTGTACAGCCCCTCCGGCCAAGCGGTTGACCGAAGCCCAGCGGAAGGAGGTGAGGAGAGAAGAACTCCGGTTTGGAGCCGCGCGAGACAAAGCCAGAGAAAAACGAGCAGAGAAGCAACTCGGCGAACATGGCGCCAAAATTCCCGTGGTCAAGACTACCGTGCCGCCTACCAACGGTGTATCGAACTTGAAGGGCGACGCGGCCAAGAGGAAGAGAGACGCATCGAGTGATTCTTCTGATCGAGGCAAAGTTCCACGCGTCAATAACGATGGCAGAAGTTCTGGCGTCGGTGGGAACAATGGTGTCAACCCCAACAACAAGAACATCGGCCCTGGCATGGGTTCTGCTAGGAGTCCTCCATCCGGCCCGGCCCCTAAGCGACCGCATCCGCCTAGAACCGGTTCTGGTGGTGGTAATCCTGGCTCTGGTAATGGCAACGGCAACAAGGGTAACGGCAATGGAACCAAGACGAACAACATGCGTCCTGGGGCTGGTCCGGGAGCGGGAGCTATTGTTGGTGCTGGTGCTGGTACTGATTCTCGATCTGCTGGAGTCCAGCCGTCCCGTCCCGCCGGATTACCATCACGGCCACCTGTATCTGTTGCGGGCGGCCGCTCGGGAACGGTCAATCACGGTCAACCGATGGTTAGGAAGAAGAAGACCAATGCTGCCGACATGTTCATGAAGCGGAGGTGAATACATCAACATCAACATCAACATCAACATCAATATCAGAAATCGATTTCGAATTCGAATTCGAAATGAGAATGGAAGCGATAAACAGGGATTGAAAGTCACGGATGCTTGCTTGCTTGGCTGCTTGACTGCTGCATCGTCCTTGTGAATGAATGATATGAATGATTACAAGACCCTGACGAAGACCACCGTAACCTTTTCCGTTTCTTACTTTCGTCTTTTTTTTGTCCTTGCCTCTCTCTCGCTCGCTCCCTTAAAAGCCACGACTTTTTGGATTGTAGATTCTGCTTCACCACCTACCCGCCTTTATTATACGTATGTATTCGTGTGCATACGTGCATATGATACTTATATGTGGTTTAAGTAGTGTTGATATATATATATATATATATATATATATATTATATACAGCGCCGCTAGGTGGGCGACTTCGGACTTCGGACTTCGGACTTCGGACTCTGGACCGTGGATTATGAACTATCCAAGGTGCTGGCTACACACCGTACTAGTATCATAGCATGGGATGGTCTTGGTCTTGGTTCTTGGGCGTCCGCTGCAGTGCGAGTCAGTGGTGATTGATTATGTGGCAGGTAGTGAGGGGGTCTTGATCAAGAATAAATAATATATATATATATATAGGAGCTAACTTGGTAATAACTACTGTACTTCTTGGTCTACAGTTATTTCAAAGATGTGCTTTTTATTCCCTTGATGAAATATTGATATTCATGGACCTGTGGACCCTTTTTGGATTGGATTGATGTCAACAACCGACTCTTTATATGAACCTGCGATCAGATATTGTAGAAAAAAGGAAAAGTGGAATATCTTGTGAAGCCATTCAATCATATACTACTCTGTCTGTATAATTCCAATACTTGGGAATCCAAAAGATCTGGACAAGATATATTATGTATATATATTATAGATAAGCTGCCAACGCCACCGCTGCTACTACTAGTGAGAAGATACTACCAGATATTAAAATAAGTAATTAAGTTATCCATCCCCATCAGTCGCGTCGCACTATTCGACTCCTCAAAAGAAGTCATCAAGATGCCCAAGATGACATATCAAGCTCATCATATCGTCGTCGAGGGTCTTAAGAAAATGACACACACACACACACACACATGCCACCACCCAACTTGTTCCGTCCAGTAATGATTCACTGGTCGAGATTTCAGCCGTACATGGCCAGTTGGTCGATCGCGAGGTCCATCTGGTCAGTGCTGGTGAGGACGTGGTTCACACTCAAGCGGGCGGCTTCTCGTGTCTTTCTGGCCTCTTCACTGTCGTCACTGTCTTGGACATCCGAGTTGCCACGCCTCAGACCCAATGACTGGTAGACCTGGTCTGCTGCACTGGACTGGGTTTGGGTTCTTTTCAACCCACTCCCTGCTTGACCACACGTCGAAGAATCCAATGAAACCGAACGATCTTCTGGTAGTCTGGCCTGCAGAAGACCCACGGTTGCACCAGGACCACCACGGCTGACGCGGGTTGGATTGAGATTGCCTTTCTTGATCGAGCCGAGCGGCGCGGGCTTCAACGTCGCAGACGGTGGCGGCTCGTATTCCAAAGGGTCAGTCATTGATGCGTCGTCACCCAACACCTTGCTGGTATCGGTCGATATACTAGCCGCAGTCGAGGCGGTACTGTCGTTGCCTGTGCTGTTTGCCCGGTGATGAGCTGGCATCTGGTGCTGAGAATGGCCCGCTCTTGTTCCTGGGGTGGTCACTCGTCCCGAACCAGACTGACCAGACTGTCTAGTAGAGGGTCTTTGCACTCGAGAGTGGCTGATCCACGACTCCTCATCGGTCGTGGAATAGTAGACCGGCTCGTCCACACCAATGCTTGAAGGCGTCTTGACTCCTCTGGCGCGATTGATGGGTTCAAGCACCCTGACCATCATATGGATCTGGCTGGCTTGCCATTTCAGCCTGTCCTCCTGCTCCAGTATAGTGCCGTAGTATTCCTCGAGATCTTGGTGCAGGAGTTTGATGAGGCTGATGTCACTGCTGTTCCATCTCCGACGCTTCTGAGGTCTTGACGCAATTTTCTTCGGTGAATTGGGGCCTCCTGGCAGGGAGTCGTCACTTGAGCTACTCAGCCGTCCACTGCTGTTCCTTGCGGCCCGTCTTGTTCTCCTGGGCTTGCCACGAGGGGATCGTGCAGAGGTAGAATCTTCTTCTCCCTTGAGACTCAGAAGACTGGTCTTCTTCTGCACACTTCTGGCAGGACTCTGCTGGTTGGTCGTCACCTCTCTCAGATTCGAACCGGTCCGTGTATGTTTGGACGGACTCCCGCTGCGCCCGTAGCCGCCGCGGATACTCGGTGATGGACTCATGGCGCCAGCACGAAATTTGGCAGTCAAAGGATCGGAATCGACAACCACAAAGATATTACTTTGCGAAAGATGTTGTGACGGGCGACTGTCCCGACGATGCTGGGCCCGGGACAGTTGACGAGCAGAACTCGCCTGGCTGGTAGTGCTGTGTTGGCGAAAATGACGGGTTGGACTGGATGCATTGAGAATACTCCCAGGCCGGGAAGTGGGGACAGCTGGAAATTGATCCAGCTGGTCCAGGGGTTCTTCAGTAGGACCATGAGCAGCAGCATCTGTCGCGGCCGGTGTGGCAGTCCGTTCATGCGTCCCCTCGCTACTGGCAGCGCAGTCAGACTTTGGCGAGTGGCTCCTGGAACTGGCTAGATCTCTCAGACGCCTTTCCTTTACCCGATCCGCGCGGAGCCCTGAGATGGCGTGACGACTAAAAGAACGAGATGAGGCCAATGAACTCGGCGATCCTTCTCTCTTGAGAGAGCTCACCGAGGTCAGATCGGCCGACCATCTTCCATCAGCACTCAACGAACTGTGTGGCAGTAGTGGCGCCGGAGGACTGGACTGCCATGAATTGCGCAGCAGCTGGATGGTCGACTTTGGTTCAGATGCCTGCGAATGCATGCCTGATTTCTCTCTGCTCCCACGGCGACTCTCTATGGAGACACGGTGTTGAGAAGGCTCTGACTCGGATTTTGTTTGTGCCGGCAAAGCTGGTAAAGGACGTTCGGGAGGGATACTTGGAGGTCCACTGCTCTTTGGCTCGGAGCCAGAGTAGGACCGTGGTTTCATTTCCGAGTGATCGACGGCATCTGAACCGCCGCGGACTTGAGCCTCAATCCTTGTCAGAGTATCGGTACTCATCACCGAGATAGGACTTAGCGCAGAGTGACCAGCAGTAGACGCCGATGAAGGCATGCGGAGCAGCCAATGTGTCTGGTTGGAGAAATGCGTCCCAGCGGTATCCGCATATACATGGCTTTGGGCAGTAGCTAGAGGGTCGTTACTAGATTCAGAGACCCGTGATATTTCTGGAGATTTGGAAGTCTGCATCATTCCCGCGAGACTGGCGACCGTCTTACTAGAAGCTCTTGCGGGCGGCTGTGGTCTCCGGGGAGAATTGTCGGCGGATGATGTTGTCGTCACGGTGATGGCTGGAACCGGCCTGGTGCCAGGCACTGCCAGAGCGGGTGCGGACGAAAGAGCGTCCCTTATCGAGATCTCCTGATTTGGATCGTCTTTGGGGACAGCCGCCTGATGTTGTGCCTGTGGTGGTTCATCCCCGGATGGCTTTCCAACTGCAGGTAATACTGAAGCGGCTGGCAACAACCAATCTCGGTTGAAGTCCATGCTACTCAATATCGCCCTACATTCCTCGGAAAATCTGTTGTCCTTTTCAGGATCATGGAGTGATGGAACTGGCGAGCGTGGTTGGGAGGTCTCAACCCGGGTGTCCCCTTCTTGACGAGCCCCTGGCTCAGCGGATGCTTCTTCAACCGGAAACGAAACTGGCGGAGCAGGATTCGGCCTGGGTGCCACAAAATGCACAGGCAATTTGTTCTTGCCAGTCTGCACCTTCGCAGGTGTCGGCGCTTTCGCAGGAACCGGTGTCCTCTCTGCTGCCCGTCGGCCTTTGGTTTCTCGATGTCTGACCACCGGAGCCCTTCGATTTGCTGGCCTCCTTCCGAAGCATTTTTTCGCCGTCCTATGAGGAGTTATGACAACTGTTGCCTTGACGGTCTTCCAGTACTGAGTCGCGCTGGACCGACATGGTCCTTCGTCTTGTAAAGAAGAGCTGCTCCTACTGACATGTCGCGGGCGGCGTGGCCGATCCGCATCCGTCCTGGGCTTCCTCGGTTGTGCGCGCTGCTGCTCAAACGAGACCTCGCGCATAGTCAGGATTCTGTCATCAGGGTCATTCTCCTGTTGTTCTCCAGTTGACCTAGGAGTTTTAGGTGGAGGAGGAGGAGGAGTCAATGGATTGGCGGTATGCGTCTTTGCCCATCTTTTGGATTGCTGAAATTGAGGCACACGCGCTCGGGAGCCTCGGGGAGACCTCCTTGGCTCATCATATTTCCGTACAATAGGATTCGGACATGCCTCACCCTTCAACCGATTCCGCTGTTTGGGACTCTCAACGGTGATCTTTGGAAGCTCCGGTAGACTCTTGTCGATGACTGTCGTTCGTGTTCGCGAGCTTTGGTTCTCGTGAGGGGGCATCATGTTCTTGTTTCTGGAACCGCGAACCGAGCATACAGTGGCTCAAGCTTGTCGCGACACCGCACGACAACAAGCTCGCCTCATGCAACTCGGTCAGTTCGGGATATGTTCAGGTAAAAGATTGTAGTTGAATCAAACATTCATCAACTGTACACTGAGGTGCTCGAGAGAGACATTCCAGGTGAGCGATACTGCGCAACGAACGATAGATGATCAGGGTCCGGGTTATGCAAGAGGGTCAAGGCGTTCATGGGAATCCGACCAAGGGAAACATTCCTGATTTATGCATCAATGGGAGCCATGCTATCAACCAAAATAAGGTGGAGGAGGGGAACAGCTGTCAAGGGAGGAGCAAACCACGACGCCCACCTTCGCAGAGAACACACAGAAATCCGTAAAGTCTGATTTTCGGTGAGATGAGAAGGAACGGGGAATATAGAAACATCCACCTGCCTGCATGGCTGACTTGTGACTGCGAGATGTCAGAAACTTGGGTGTGTGTTGCATGTGGATAAGGGATGATTCATGGGCCAGGTAAGGAACTCGTCGCGTTCAGATGTCAGAAATGGGTCCAACGTGTTGGCGTCAATTTTTTGACATGGAGTCCCCAACCAGCGATATCAAGCCTCGAAGACCCCGTCCGTTTATGAAGTCACCGCGCAGTCAAGTGTCCAAACAAGGTTCTTGACAGATCCTGGGCTCCCTCGAATTCGGCTCAAAATGTGATCTTTGGCAGCCGGACAAAGGCACACTGGCGCAAGGTCCTCGAGGCTTCTCCGGCTGAGCTGTCCTGTCCGCTGAAAAGCCCCCGCCTCCCTCAACCGAGAAACGTAGACCGCCATGGAGAGACATATCGGGGTGGGAGGCGCGTATTCGCCGAACAACTCACGTACAAAGCAGGTCATCGGCTCATCCCAGTTGGTCTAGGATGATATCCGAAGTTGTGTCGAGAGACCTGAGCCTTGGTGGGCACGGTGGATAGATGCTAGCTGAGAATGAGCCCCGCGTTGACAAAAAGTGGCCTCAATGCCAAAAAGCCAAGGGGGTTGGTTTCAGCCACTTATGGGACGACGGGAGACGGAGGCAAGGGCGATGCCGAACTAGTGGCGATGATGCTGTTATGGCTTCGAGGAGACGGAACTCATCTGGGTACTTGTATCTCTGTGCACCTCACGGCAGTATCGCGCCTATGCCTCGCAGCGCCGCAGCGCCGCAGCAGTGTCATGTTGAACGCGCAGTGTAAGGTAAGAAAGTAAGCTGGTACTGACTTGGACTGGCCGAGAGCAAGCGGCACTCGACGATGTGTTTGGCTGTTTCCAACGTATCGCGCTGTTGGATACCTAGAATCATTGTATTTCTGTACACAGTAGGCACGAAATACGTAACGGCGTGCACTGTACAAGAGTAGGACATCCTCTCTCTTTCCCAGCCCCTCGATTGGTCTCTCGACGCGGGTGTGACAGTGGGTGGCGTGGATCCGGGTTTCCGATTCGGGCGCTGGCCTTGACGGTGGCTTGATTGCCGAGGGACGGCGGACAACGGACGCGCTTTGGCCCCTTACTAGGGTCGACTAGAAGGAAGCCTTTGTTGTAGTAGTATGCCATGCAGGGCAGATAGGCATGAGTGTTGGTCATTTTCTCCGTACCCTGCAGCACGCGGGCCCTCAATGATGCGTTGCGTGCAGTGGTAGCGGGAAGCAACCCGTAGCAGCGTCCGTTGGACTTGGGGAGGGCGAATGGAAGGCGTCTGCCGGAGCCGCTTGCTACGCAGGACTACCCATGGAGGATATGGTGTCTTGCTTCTTTTTCTCGACTTCAGTTGCGACGGCTGGCAGACTAGGATAGAGAGGTTGAGGTCATGGACAAGCAGTCACTGGCATCGTCGACACAACCAGTGCCGGTGGATGGCGAAGGTGAACAGCAGATAAGAACAGCGTCAGTGGGGAAAGGCAGCGGTGGGTTTGCAGCGTCATAGTCAAGATAATGGTGAACAATGGTCGCTGAAGCAGTGCTCCGAATCGAACAAAGACAACAGGATGGCAAGATGATGGGTTGTTGACATGGCGCTGAAGTCTAACCTACTGTGTAGATGAGATGGAGATAGAGATAGAGATGGCGGGGTTTTGAAGATGGTACAGTACATGGGTGCGTGCGAGGGCGGATGAACCTAAGAAATTCCTACTACATAGGAGGCTATCGTAGGTGCTAGGCACCACCACCATGTCCTTAAGACCCCTAACTACATACCCAGGTACCTACCTGACCTACCTACCTAAGGTAGGAGGTAGGTACCTACCTTAATAAGGTACCTATGGACTATAGTAGTACGTACTAAGTTACCTAAAGTACTAGTAGTATCTTGCAGTGGTGGGCGCAGTTGGAATGGCGTCTCCCTTCCCTTCCCATCCCTTGTTTCTTCTTCCTACAGAGTTCCTGTACTATGTGCCTCCGTTCTCTCCTCACCATGTTCTCCATATTGAGCTCTGCTGCACGAGACGAGGCCAGTCCCAACTACGAGCAGGACTGCCGCCATGGACCCAAATCTGGAATAATATTTACGGTTCAAGGCCGACCAACTGAGTTCCTTGCTCGCCCTCCACTTCTCACCTCAACCAGCCGATGTCCCTCGTTCCCCTCGAGCTCTCCTACCGCAGACGGACCGTCATCGGTTTCTTTTCAGGACTTCAAAATCTGACAGATAGAGAGCTTGCATACACAATTCGCCTCTCCGATGTCAAACCTCCTTAGCTCGTACTGTTTCGCCTGACTCTACGCTTGATCCTGACCCTGACCCTGCAACCCCCTGCAACTAGACTATACATTGACATTTCTAGCTGCAGACCTGAGTGCTGGCCACTTTTCATTCTGTCATAGTTGTCCTCCTCTTCCAAACCCCCTGACCTCTTTATCCAATAGACGCTTATTTCGGTTCCTATCCGGAAGCGCTTCTTCGCACCATCTGTTTATGGACCTCAGAGTTGGGGCTTACTGACGTCCTCCCAATCCTGCCATATCGCGCCACCAAACCATGATGAAACTGTGCAGTCAACACGGTCCTCAGGGCTGTCAGGAAAGTCCTCCAGCATCTCGGACGAATACTGCCCCCCCTTCTGTCAAACATGCTTCCTACTGTGCCGGGAAAAGAAGAAGAAGAAGCGACTAAGGAGCTCACTTGCGTCCGTCAGTGCGGTACAAGCTACCTAGGTAGCAAGCAGAAGATGGGGCCAAGACAGCGCTTCCGTTCATAGAAGACTCTATGTTCTGGTTTGAACAAACATGATTTTCCTGACTGAACAGCACGATCCTCACCTGCATCGAGGTATTCGGATCACTTGTAAGTGCTCGCAGAGACCACGTGAATACAGGCATCTTCGCACATGGAGGCCGATCCGGATCAGCAAAGCGGCGGTACACAGAGCAATTGTTCTGTCAAGACTTATGTGATCCCTGTCCTTGTTTCACGTGTTGGAAATTTGTTGATCTCTCCTGTTGATCGATGCAGACAGATCCAATCGTGCACAATATTTCGGTGGGATCGACACTGTGAGTATATGTCCATTTGCTGTATGTACCACGGCCAAAGATACCACGCTTGTATCTCACAGTTTGGGAATCGACATCAGGTTTACCGAGAAACGAACAGTCGGGCAGCCGGGCAGACGAACCAAAAGTTAACCCCTGACGCGGAGCCTTCTCTATTAGCATCACCCCTGGATTGGGCTTTGCTTGATGGGGACAAGCAATTTCCGTTCTTCAGCCTTGGCTAGGTCAAACTTGTCTTGCGAGCATCAAGCTGGTCAATTGTACCAGCAGCCATGATTCCCAACCTTTCTGATGGAGGGGGTCGAAGGTGGATCTTCTGTTTCGATCTCTTCTGGAGCAACCACCTGCTAGGAACGGCTCTGATGGGGAGACTTTTGTCCCGTGGAACTTATGAAAGCACCGCTCCGCAATGGCATGCAAATTCATTGCTCTTATGGACATCTTACTCAAAACATTGAACTTCGATACTTCAGTCATGCGCTTGAAGGACAGGTAAGCAGTTGGAAGGACCAATCCTTGCAGCACAGGTTCGACAGAGGCAGCCCAGACACACTTTGGTTCATTGTAAGCAGCTTCTCGACCCGGGCTCGTCGACATAATGAAGGCTCGATCGTTGGTGCTTCTGCAATCGATGTCTTCGTTCCTAAATCACAGCCCTATCTAGACATATGTATGATACAACCCCTACGTGCCAAAGTACTGCCGAACACGTCTGTCTCTACGAATATCGTAGCGTTTCAAACCAGATCCCGCTGAAGAGCATATCGCCTCCTCAAAGTACAACGTTTCTTCTCCCGCCCTCCAGTAGACGTGGAAGGTGACAACATCAAGGCGGCGGCATCATGATCACTCTCAGACTTCAGTGTAATCACCCTTTATAGTGATTGATCTGACGGCGTCAGCTGGCAGTGGCCTCGGTGTATATAGCGACCAGCCTGAGCAACCCAACAGATGTCGACATAGCACTCCCGAAAACAGGATCCGACGCCCAAATAGCGATGTATACCCAGAGTAAATACCATACATCGACAATGGCGCTCGGAGAAGACGCAGCTGGGGATAGACCGGTGTCGAGAGAGCTAGGAGCTAGGAGAATGAGCATGGTAGTAGTCTCAATCAGAAACCACTCAACGACATGCCAGTGCATCACCGAATCAAACGATGGCTGAACTGTAACGAGGCTGCAATGCTCGACTTATTCACCATGTCTTTGCCACTCCAGGTTCAGCTGGATGCCCTGCTAATATGACTGCCTAAAGCCATTATTAGGCCAGTCTTTCCAGCTCAAACCTCAGACCTGACTGGTCTCCTGAGCGCCCTTCGGAAGATGCTCCTGGATAGTAGCAGGCCTGTACGCTCTTTGGGAGATTCAGGACGTCAAGCACTGCAGCAGAGCTGGTCGTGTTCGAACCTTAGCAGCGGCTTACGGCCATGACGAATGTCGTGCCCTGCAGTGCTGGATGATGATGATGATCGTTCGTGGGCCCGTATCGGCCCGTTGAGGCTTCGGTCAGTGGGTTCTTGTCAATTGTGAAAAAGGGTGCGAGAAGGAACAAAGGATAATCAGGCTTCTCTGCCTCTTCCCTCACTGCATTTCATGGAACAAGCTGCGCGCTTCGGGATTCGAGAAGAGGACAATTTTACATCCGTGTGGATTTGTCATGAGCAACAGAGCGTGTCAGGGGAGACTCTGGCAGGCTTACCTTACCTGCAGTGGACCAACAGTAGAACCTTGAATACTGGTCTTGGGTCAAAAGGGAGTCTGGAACACGAATCTTCCGCATCATCACTTTGTATTCTGCTGACCACTCCAAAATAGTTCGTAACATCAACAAATCGAAAGCATCGGCTCAATCAACAAGAAGCATTGCTCAATCCAAATCGCACGTATCACAAAGTCCAAATGTCCTTTCCATCATGCAGCACCGGCAGCATAGACCTTTTCAGGTTCCGCGCTCTCTTGACTCTGGGTGGCCATCATGTTCCGGATTCCCTGGGTCAGTTCGACACCCACCCTCTCCTTGGCCAACAGATCCACCAGCAATGGGCTGGGGCTGCTGTCTCGTTGAGGTTGGAAGGCGGACTGACTCTGCTTGTACTTCTGTACGTTGTCCAGGTACATGTCGAACAAGAACGAGGAATCAAGCGGGCCTCCCTTGGCCTCAGGGTGAAACTGGGTAGAGAATATTGGTCGTGTGGCGTGAATTAGACCTAGAAGAGGATGTAAGTACTTGTCTTTCTCGCTCAACAGCAAAAGCGCAGGCTAACTGACCTTCATTAGAGTTGTCGTTCAAGTTAATGAAGTAAGGCTTCCATTCGTCGGGCAGGGTCGTGGCGTCAACCGCATAGCCGTGGTTCTGACTCGTTATGTGGCACTTGCCGGTGGTGAGGTCAAGAGCAGGGATGTTGTGGGCTCGGTTGCCATACTTGAGCTTGACGGTTCGAGCTCCTGCAGAAAGCGCCAACAGCTGATGTCCCAAGCAGATACCCATGATCGGGATCTGCGAGGTCTCCATCAATTTTCGAAGATGGTAGACGGTGTCCTGGCAATGGGTTGGGTCACCAGGGCCATTGGAGATGAACACACCGTCGAAATGGTGGGCAACCTTGTGAATGGGATAGTCGAAAGGAAAAACGGTGACACTCGCACCCCGGCTGACCAGACTGCGCAGGATGTTCTCCTTAACGCCACAGTCGATGACAGCAACATGAGCAGTCGGAGAAGGTGCGCTGACGTGGAATGGCGCCTTGGTGCTCACTTTGCGGACGAGATTGATCTGCTCTGGATCAACGAAGGCCTCATCCTGGTCCTGGTCGTATTCCTCTCCAATTGTTATCCGGGCGAGACTCGAGCCTCGTTCCCGAAGGTAGGTGACGATCGCTCGAGTATCAACTCCGGTGATGGCTGGCACTCCTTCTCTAGCACACCACTCGCTCAAGCTCTCCACCGCAGTCCAATGAGAATACTTCTCCGCAACGTCCGCAACAACCACACCCACAGCCTGAATATGAGGACTTTCGAAGTATTTCAGAAGGCCATATTCGTCCCGGGCACTCGACGGAACACCATAGTTACCGATGAGAGGCTGGGTGAAAACCAAGATCTGTCCTCGGTAAGAAGGGTCGGTCAATGACTCAGGATATCCAACCAGAGAAGTTGTGAAAACAGCCTCTCCTGAAATGTTGCTTCGAGCACCAAACGATGTGCCCTGGAAGATAGGTCCATTTCGGATCGTGAATGTGGCGGGTTCGTAGGATGGTGCAGTGTGGCGGTACTGCTTGTGCAGAGGCAGTTCTTGCTGCCGAGGTGTATCGTTGGAAACGGTCGCCAGGGACCGAGCTCGGAAGGTCTTTGACGGGTTCAAGAAGGTCTTGCCCGCCTTTGGCAAGAGCGTCGAGGGCCTCAAAGCTCGAGAAAACATGTTTGCGATTTTATGACTCTTTCTGTATCTTCCTGACCGCTATTTTGCTTGAGCCTTCCACAAATGATCTGTCCAACGCGTTAGAATGCTAATCGGAGGAGACAACGAGAGTCAATAGGTACCACTAATGTAATCCTATCAATCCAAAAGTTAGCAGCTGTACTCAAGAATGACTCCCAATGACGTTTTTCGTGGTGTCAAGGAGGAGGAGCTCCTTATCAGTGGGCTGGCAGCATAGGGAAAATATTTACCTGAGAGGTGAAGATGCTTGGGAAGCACATGAACGCGATGGCGAGCGTCTTCTGAAAGCAGGAGTAGCGATGGATTGAAACCTCTTGATGCGCAGGAAGCGGAGGAGGAACTAGAAGCAAGTCTTTCTGCACGAAATTCTTTTCTTTGCAGCCGGACGACGTGTGGAGTTGGAAGGGAAGAAGATTGGTTGGGAGAAGGAAAACCAGGTGCAGCTTCTGGCGGAGCACAGGGGCTCATCCGGCCATCGGAGAGGTGGGAGTGGGCTCTCTAGGTGGCTCTCCTAGAGTCTAGGTACCTGGCGGTGGCCCCTAAGCCTACGAGGTCCAATGAAGCTCGCCGTGATTCACCCTCGAGTGGAAAATTTCTCTTGCCCGTGACGAAAGACACATCTTTCCATGTACAAGATCGACGTCGCCCCCATATCTGCTTGGCGTCCTCGGCGTTCAGAACATATGCTATGTCACTAAATATTACTTTTTATTGTCCTCATCGCATTTGGCAGCGTCTTCGATGTCTGGAGCAGTGGCGAGAGTCTGTTTGAGAGCATGTTCGATTGTATCCTTCCCGGTCACGTGCATAGATAGTCACGTGGATACTGTCCCCCGCTGTCACCCCTGGATTCCGTGTAAGGTACCTGTGGACAGCACGGAAAGGATGCACGTCCAGCTTCTTAATACTGTTAGGTATCTGCACAACTATATGTAGAGATTAGGTATAAAGTAAATTAATGGGACGTTGTGCGTACTGTGCAATGCTGGTTTTGCACGAAGTCGGGAATTCATCATTCATCACGTGATAAGGCTCGCAGATCTGTTCGCTCTAAAATAGAAGACAGGAGATTTGCAGCACCAAATCGCCTGGACGTGAGTTTGAGAATTTGCATTTCGGGGTCACCACGTAGTATACTAGCCACTGCTGGTAGAATGCACGATCTCCTGCAAGCACTGTGGCCATCTTCGATGACTCAAGTGACACCAGAATGTTTCGCAAGGCTGTAAATCACGTGATATATGCCAAGGCATTATTAATCATGCAGATTCGCGGAGGCGTACTAGTAAACGCTCTTCCAGTCTGTTGTTGAGAGAATAAATACTGCGCGGCTACTGCGTCTGCCTGATGTCGGTAGGGTAAGTTTCTCAAACTGATCGAGATCATACCAAGCATGTCCGAGGACAGCCCTGAACCGTTGACGGCCCTACCGTTCCCTCCCGTCACCGCAGCGCACATCCTGAACTGTTCGTTTCACACCTGGCATGCGCTCTTCCGGTCCTTGACCCCGAAAGCCAGACTCATTCCACTCTCAGAACCATTCCTGGAATATCTGCGTGCCGATGGTATCATCTTGCCCCCAGACAACAGTCCAAATGATGCAGACAGTGGCTTTGAGGACGAAGATGAGGAAGATCCGTCAGAGCCGTGGACGGCTGTCCACGAGCAGATCCGGTCGACTATCGGTGAGCTTGGAGGAAAGGTCGTCCCCAAGCTAAACTGGTCAGCTCCAAAGGATGCGACGTGGATGGTGCCCACAAACGACATGGAGTGCCGAACACCGAACGATATCTATCTCCTCCTGAAGTCCAGCGACTTCGTTACCCACGATCTGGAACAAGCCTTCGACGGCTGCGTTGATCAGATGGAAGTTCCATACCACCTTGTGCTTCGGAAGTCCTTCAACCTCAATCCGTCTCTAGAGTTCCGCTGCTTCGTCCGGAACAGAAAGCTCATTGCCATCAGCCAGCGTGAGATGAATTATTTTGAATTCCTTTTCGAGCTCAGACAGTCATTCAAGGCCAAGATCCAAGATTTTCTGGAACTTCTGTCTGGTTTTCCGGACGACAACTTTGTGTTCGATGTCTACATACCACCACCACATGACAGGGTTTGGCTTATAGACATAAATCCGTGGGCCCCGAGAACGGACCCCTTGTTGTTCTCATGGCTTGAGATATTGCAAATCCCGGAGCCGGAGAAGGATACTATCTTCGACCCCGAATTCCGGCTTGTACAACGTGACGACCCCGAAGCTTATCAATTTGCAAGCACGAAATACAGCGCTCACAAACTGCCGAAAGAGGTTGTCGATGCGAGTATGGCTCCCACTGAGATGAAGAATATGATGGAGGAGTGGAAACGTGTCATGGAGAAGCAGATTGAAGAAGACTCAGACGACTCAAGTTGAACGCTACAGCTGCCGCTCCACAACGTGCTGCAACAGGCGTAAGAGCAACCACGTACAAGTTTACACCACTACGGAATGTCACAGCGTGCAATTTTCTTCCGCGCACAACTATTCTGAAACCTCAATGCCATTTTAAGAGGCCGTCGTTGCAGGTTAGCTGGCTGAATGTCGGGCTGAGGCTTGCTGAAAAGGGTCAGTATCAGCTTTGGAAGAAAATAACCTGTGGCTGCCCACATGACCATCTGATTACCGCAGTCTGGGTAACATTATCCTCTTGGTTTGCACTCTGGACCGGGGTGATTGAATATACAATCAGCAACGAGAAATTCCATGTGCTCCACGATATAAGCAACCGTGCTGCAAAGGCGAGCGCTCGTCTCCTTGCTTTCTTGAAGGTCAGCAACACGGAGCCGGTCTCCGACAGGGATTCTTCCGCATTCCGTGCACTATCACGGGTATCACAGGCCGCGCTGTGGCCTCCACTCACTTATAGAGGATCCAAAAGTGTTGGCCACTGGCAGCAAGCAAGGAGATCACCCTAGCTGCTCGTTGCATCTATGATTCTCTTGATATGCAGGCGGTTGTGCTCCCTGAAGGTCTCCTTGGTCAACACTAAGGTGATTCAGCAACGGTGACATTCATGGTCATTAGGAACATCATGCCAACTTTCATGCCACTGGATCCGCGGCCGGCCTTGCCTTTTGTGTCGCACAGTTTTAACCAGCCTTCGCACATCCCTCCATGTCAATGCAACACGTTGAGGAAGTGTAAGACCCTCACAGCTCCAATTGCAACCGTCCTTGCAGGTGCTCCTCTCATTTCAGCCCCTATCGAGTTCGAGATCGGCCCAAAGAACAGATCAAGGACAACATTGTGGTTGGTGGAAGTGTCCAAGATATTCGATATTGTCAGGGGTTAGCTGTCGCCGGGGAGACACTAGACTCTCCGGCAGAGAAGGCGCTTCTAGGAAACCCGCTAAAGATCGGGACTGCAGTGAAAGATGAAAGAGCCAAAACAGCGGTCTGGCGATGCAACCATGTCGTGCGTGCAAAGGAAGAACTTAGGACGAAAAGCGATGCCACCGGGTTGTAATTTGAAAACCGGCTGCCGTGTGACTGGGACTGGCCCAATCCGATCTGACGGCCAGTGTCCTTTGCGATGGCTGGAACGCAGGCTTATGTTTGCACCGCCTCGTCCTTGGCCAGAGCTCGTGCAATCGCCGCCCAAGAGCAGAGGTTCAAAGGTGCAAAACGGGTGAGTCGCACAGTCTGGTGAATGTTGTTCCTCTTGTGGGAAAAGTACTTTCTGTCCTTTGGGCAGCTATGCACACTGAAGTTGCATATACGCCCCAGGCGACCGTCAGTAATGCTGTTCTGCGAACTGCAGGGCTTTGGAGGCTCCTTTAGGCCTCCTCAATTTTAAGTCGCACACTGCCGTGCAGTCCTAGCCCACTCACACAGATATCAACTATAAACTTTTTTTGGGTTATTCGCCAAATCATTCTGTTATTGTTACACAGCACCGACAACTCAGTTGCTTGCGTCAATGTTGGGTTACCCAGCCTCGTCGGCTGGGCCCACGGGCGTCTCGTCGCGACGACGAACATTGCAAATACTTGTATTTCCCAGTTTCCGATGGTCGGCCCGGCCCCGAATGCCGGGGTTAAGTTACTGGATGAGGCTGACCAGAGCAATCCCTTGCGCTCGTGTGCGGACCGTGGGGCGGCTCGAGACTCGCTGCTGCTTCAACTACCTACTCCCTGCCTGTTCGTCAATGTTCCCAGGCGCGCTGTGGCTTCCAATCCGGTGCTTGGTAAACACGGTGCGGCTACTAGTATTGCATGCTTTTCGACGCAAAGCTAATCGCGTCCAAAGGTTCATCCGATTCGTGGCCTCCAGCAAAGGCACCCGCGTTTGCCTTGCAGTTCATCTAGCTTCTATCGCGTGTTCTCCGAAAATCAGCGTGCCCAACGGTTTGGGCTGGTACTTGACAAAGACATCCAATGGTCAGTCGTCGTTCGAGTGCGAATACTGTTTTGGTCAAGGCAGCTTCGCGTTTCGTCCATTGGGCTGCAATTTCGTGCGCGTGACTGACTTGCAAACGTCGAGCAGCCTCCTCAGCCGACTAGGAAGAAACCTGCCGTATTTGTATGGCAATGCGTTGAGTGTCTCCGTGGACTCGTTGCCCTCTATCCAGGCTGATGCTACGACAGTGTCGCTGCGCACATTCGCACGCTCCAATCAAAACCCAGAAATGCCCCAAATGCGCACACACACGGTGTCAGACATGCAAGACGGAGAAGCTGAAATAGAGCCATGGGAGACTTCCTCGTTTGCGCCAGGCGCCCGACCTGCCGGAATCCCATACAAGAGCCTGCGAGCCTCGAACGATGGGCCTCACTGTATATAAATTATTCCTACAGAGTGCCGCGAATGTCCGAGCATCAGAGTCCTGGTTTCCGCCAAAACTTGGAGCCTGTTTCTACAGACCCATTCAGGTAGATACATCACAGCCATCTAAATTCACCGAATCCACTAGTTATCTGGCGTCCCCTGCAGGTTGTACTGCGTTGTCCTCTTCCAGTGCTATTGCCCTTGAGACCCTGTCGCCACAGCATTGTGTGCTGCGAGCTGTTGGTTTCGAATCGTCACAGTCCGTCCTCCGAGACTATGGAGTTTTCAGGAGAGGAGGACGGCGAGGAGGATGACAGGAACTCCTGGTTTCTTCGCCAACCTTGCTGCGCAACGAAGAGGCCACCGCAATGGGACCCGAGTTGTATGGAAAAGGGCGGATCCGGCGACTATGTGGATGATGATGGCAATGAGACGCCGTGGATCGAGTCCAGAGTGGAGCTCAGAAGGCGCTGGCAGCAAAGACGGGCCATCGAGCTGAATGAGGATGAGGGTGCTACTGTGGACCTTCTCCAGGACACAGATGAGGTGGATATTTGTATGCCCAAGACCGATGAGATCCTCAACTTCTTACATGGTGCACATATGGAAGCATTGCGTGGAGAGAAGTGGACCAGACAGGAAGAGCTCCCCGAGGTGGCCTGGATCGAAGAGAGTAGCTTCAGGGGCGGCACTCGGCGCTCAAGGCCTAACAAAGGGCCCTTGACAGCACATGGTCTATACAGACAGCTGAGAAAGAGAGTAAGTTCGCGCTGATGCCTCTGTTGGAATGGTGGTGGAAATTGCAAACGAAGACATGATCATTGAGCCAGTGACCGAAGTTGACATTATTTGCAGCGCTTTATTAGCCATGGCGGCCCGGCCCTCCATACCAGGGGCGCCAACTCTGGTTTCGGCCCCGATAGGGCTAGTGATACTAACCCCCGGGGACGGGCGGCGGCGGCCGCGGTTGAGGCCAAGGCTCGAGCGGCCTTAGTGTCGTCTATGGCAAGCACGGACATAGAGCGCAGTTCAAGTTGCTCCTCAGGCGACCCTCACGTCCCAGCACCAGTAGCTCACGAACCTGGAGATGACGAGGTCGAGGTCGAGTCAGAGTCAGATGCTGACCGTCAGTTGATGTGCGTACCATATGAGCCGACTGCCCCTCTGCGGCCCTGGATTGAGGCCCTCTCTAACATGGTCACAGATACGTCCAAGGCCTGGATCGTTGGACCGCCTCCGCTCTCATCGGTTCTGTCTCGATACCCCTCGCCCCCGCTCTTCGCGATGCTCTCTATAGCCACCTGGCGTCGGAGACGTTTGTTGGAGTGACGCTACCGGTATGTAAGCCTGAGTTTCTTTGACGCCTACAATTGACATACATGCTGATACATCTCCAATCTAGGCCCAAGGTCCATGGGTGTTTCGCTTCGAATTGCATCTCCCGTTTCCTGTATGGAGTCGGTCTCTCAAACCCCGCGAGGATCTGCGCCGTGGACAGGATGGAGAGCCTCTGAGACATTACACAGATGTCACTTTCCTCAACTGGGGCGATGGACCGGAGCGCGAATACATTTACGAAGGGCACGTCTCTTGTGTTGTGGTTGGCTCGAATCGACAGATATGGAGCGCATATTGCTTCGAGGACAAATACTTCGAGTCTCCTGATACCAGGCAGACTGTGCGAGACTACTATGAGGACAGTCTAGGCCCAGAAGGCGCCCCCATGGACCCCCTAACCAATGGCGAATTCGATGCAAATTACACTCCCCAGAAACCAGAAGAGTATCTGTTAGCTGTCCTCTGGGCTCGCACCAAACAGATCTACACCCACTGGTTACAGGTCAAAGGGAAACAAAAGCAGAGCATCAAAGTCTATAAACGAGTAAGTGCTTCCCCATCACCCTGTGACAGCAGATCTGTTGAAGAATGTGCATCTGCGATAAAACGATACATGTCAGGCATACAGCATGCTCGGTACAAGTCATGAAGGAACTCGACCTTCATCTCGATCACTGGCTGTACCTCACTGACTCCCGCGGCAGAGATATCGCTCTAAATTATTCCAAGTGGGAGGGCGACACTTTGCCCCAGAAGCTGGCCACTGCGACAGAGATACCCAAAGATCCTTTCGTTGGGTTCGGCAAACCAGAGATTTGTCAATGCAACTGTCAGATGACATTGCCAAAACCGTTTACGCCTACGAGATTTTCATGTCGCATCACTCCGGCATTTTCCACAACCTAGACGAACGATCCCGCGCAGTGGAAAATCTACGTGACATCAAACGGCTGGCGGGTAAGCTTGACTTGCTCAAGAACGATTTCAGGTCTATGGAACGATCATGTGAGGTCTTCGCCAAGGATGTGAGTCTTCAGTGCGACATCTGCGTCCTTCAAATGTGTCGATCTCCTCTGTCAATGAACATGGCTGACCTATTCCTCCGTGGATGCAGCTTGACACGCATCTTGGACTCGAGTCCAGAAACGCGAACGACTTTCAAAGGAAACTTGCAAAGGACAGCAATGGATTGGCAAAAGGCATGATCGTAAGCACCAGTCCCCGAAGTCCGTCGCAAGGGTTGTTGTCTCAGCTCCATTGCAGAAATATACCATTCCGTTCGGGTTAACAGCCGCCTACTTTTCCATGAATGAGAAGGTCCTTCCTCCGTTCATCCCACAGAGCTCGCTGTCTTTCATATGTCTTTTTGCCGTGCTCTTTGGCCTAGCATGCTGCATCCTTGACATCCAGGAAGAACAAGCCATCGCCCTTGCGGCATTCGGTTACGCAGATAGAGGGCTGAGAGCAGTGGCTTTAAAAGCGCTGCTTGTCCGTCGGAGCGCACCAGACACGCAAGCAGGATATGAAGCCCAAGAGTCTGTGTAAACCTGGGATCCGCACCCTTTCTATCTCGTCAACTCTGCTTGCGGGCTAGGGGGTTCTGCCTCGTCGGATGCTCCATGCCGACGTGACAAATTTTTACAAGACTGTGAGCAGCCGACTTACTCCTGAGGTTGTGAGATAAAGGGCCGCTGACACTTTGTTCTTGAGATCAGCGTTGTTGTCTGATGTCTCCTTGCTCAAAAATGGACATGTCAGTGTAGGACAGACCTACGGCGTTGACGATACACACCGCACGATTTTATCGGTTCGGAAACCCAAATTTTGAGGCCTATCCATGCTGGTAGATTCTTCTCACAAGGCGCTAACTGAACCAAGGAGGAACATCTCTGGTCTGGTCCGGTCAGCATCTGTGACTATGCCAATTCGGGATTGCGTGTCCCGGCTCCAGACCGTGAGCTCTGGTTGACAGCAGCGTTCTTGGATCTGAGGATGCGGTATTCTCAGTGAAACCCTTGCAAGGTCGGCAAGTGCAGAATGTCGGCCTCTTTCTCTGATGTACCAGTAATGCGCTGTCATCTGGGCATTGGGCGATTCCTTGGAGCGACAGTCGATGCCCGACCCCGCCGGGGTAGGATCCCAGTTGATTCGTGGCCTTGATTCGTGGCCTTGATTCGTGGCCTTGATTCGTGGCCTTGTATCATGGCCTTGATTGACGGACTTGTTGTGGACGTGTGACCATGATGTTGACGGCTGGCAATAACAATAACAGACGGAACGTTCCCTCCTCCTGGTCCTGTCACTATTTCTATGCACGCCTCTTTCGGGCGCAACCCAACACGAGCGAGATGTCGACACTCTCATCCGACGGCCTTCAGGCACTGCTCAAAGGGGTGGGCGTGCAAGGTCCAATCCCGCCCTTTCCATTGGCTGATACAAAGAACAGCCCAGTCGACATATACATATCATATCTCGCGGAGACGGTCACTCAACTCACGGGATGTGAACCCTCCGTCGCCTACGAGTCCATTCAATGGGCGAACGATGTGGGAGACCTTGTGGTGGTCGTGCCGCGGCTACGACTCCCGGACGTCGATCCTCGAGTGCTTGCCGAAGAACTTCAGTACAACGTGAGTGACCTCGTGGCCTGATCTCAAGGGTGAGCTCCCAGTCTAACGGATGTTGTTGCACGTCAGTTCCCCGACACGCCGCTTTATGCAGCCCCGTTTAGCGATGCATACAATCTGCGCTTCTTCTTTGACAGCCGCACCCTGGCTGCTATTGTTCTGCCTTATATCATCGACCGTGGAAATCTCTATGGGGAAGATGCGGGTGTCGGGCTGCATAGCCCTGGCTCTCCGGACGGTGGGCGGCGGAAGGTCGTGGTTGAATTCTCATCACCGAACCTCGGTCAAGAATTTGATGGCAATCACTTACGGAGTACCATCATTGGGGCTTACGTTGCCTCAATCTATGAAGGCATGGGGTGGGATGTATGCAGGATGAGCTTTCTCGGCGATTGGGGCAAGAATATCGGGCTGTTGGCGACCGGGTGGTTCAGATTCGGCTCAGAAGAACTCTTTGCTGCCGACCCTCTCAGACACTTACTGGACATCTACACTGAAATTGGAGCACTCTTCAAGGCCGAGCAGAAAACTCCTGAGCATGATAAGGCGGAGAAGCGGGAAACTCCTATTGCCGAGGAGAGAGATGCATTCTTCAAGAAAATGGAAGAAGGCGATCCCGATGCACTGTCTCTGTGGCGACGGTTCAGAGAGGTCTGTGTTGTAAAGTATGCTGAGCTCTACGCCCGTCTTCACATTGATTTCGACGAGTACTCCGGCGAGTCGCAAGTCACCCATGAGACAACGGTCGAGGTTGAGTCGGCTCTCAAGGAGAACGGGGTAGAAGAGGAAGGGGAGGAGGCTTGGATCATCAACTTCAAAGGCCATGGATACAAAGGCCTTGGGACGCCTGTGGCACGACACCAGAATGGCACGACAAGCTATCTTCTGAGAGACATCGCCGCCGTGCTGGAAAGGAGCAGGAAATACTCCTTCGACAAGATGATATACGTTGTCTCGGCCAAACAGGATACGCATTTCCAACAAGTCTTCAAAGCGTTGGAGTTGATGGGCCACACAGATCTCGCTGGTCGACTTCAGCATGTCAGCTTCGGCAAATCTCAGGGGTTATCATCCCAACCAGGCGCCGGTGGGACTTTGCTGGGTGACATCCTGAACCAGTGTCAGAGCGCCGTCCTAGAGTTTCTCCACGCGCATCCGGGCGACTTCTCCCAACAACCAAGCGAACATACCACCGAACTCGCGGATGGCTTGGGCACGACGACGCTCATGGCGGAAGAGTTGTCTATCAAGCGTACTAGCACCTTCGTCTTCGACCTGGCCAAGATGGCCACTTACGACGGATACACGGGGTTGACTTTGCAATACTGGCTGGATCGAGTCAAAGTCAAGCTGAAGGGGTCCAGTGTAGATCGAGACAGACTTCCGACGGCAAACTACTCAATGTTTGAAGAAGAGGCCTATGGGCCGTTTGTCGATGTGATCCGGTTGTTGGTGCAATTTCCCGGTGTCGTCAAGTCCTCATTCCGGTTGCTGGAGTCTTCAGCCATCCTCACCTATTTGTTTCGTCTTGTCGATCTCTTGGCTCTTGTGTGGACCCTGGAGGCGACGCAGGAAGAGGGAGAGGAAGAACTCGACGGGGAACAGATTGACGGGCCAGCTGGCTCATCAGGCAATAAGCCGGCGAAAGAGGCCGTCGAGCAAGAGTCTCCAGCAGAAGACGGATCAACTGAAACTGTTGACGAGGCCGGGGGTGTGCCACCCCCGGATGCCAATCCGGACGTACAGGGACAAGAAGTCCCTGTGGAAGATGAAAACAAAGAGATAGTAGATGGCGACGACGGCGAAGATGCAGCTCGAGGGGACGAGTTAGCCAAGATGGCCCAGGATGAGCACCAGGGACAAGGGGTGGAGCAGGATGAGTCTCTCCGAGATGAAGAGACCAAAGAAGGGAAGTCCAACGATGAATTGGAAGAGGACGAGCATGAAGCAGGATCACAATTGAACAACGACTCAGACCAGGCTGATCTGACGAAGCAACTAGACGAGCTCCAACTGGATAGCGCCACCGAATACACCATAGGGCACGGTCAGGAGCAAGGAAACGAAGGAGAACAGGGGCCATCTACAGGAAGTTGGGACAAGGGCAAACAACGAGCCCCAGACACAGAGCCCGAACTTTCCGATCAGGATATTCTCAAGCTCGCTGTCTATCAGTGCGTTCGCCATGTTCTGGAAAATGGTATGCAGATGGCGGGCCTGGTTCCCATGTCGATGCGAACGTAAGCTTGCGAGTTTGGACGTTGCATGCAACGGTCTTTACCGGGACAGAAAGCAATGTCAGCAAGTGAATGGTTTGTGTCGATGTCATCTTGTCTCTCTTTTCCTTCTCAATATCATGAGCGGTGGTCGGCAGAGGGGACTACCGCATGAGATGATGAGTTCAAGATTCGATGAGAGCCGGCGGTATGAAGAGGAACTGCCAGGGACTGTCGGGTATGGAAGCACGGTGTTGGACTCTGGTCTCTTCATGTACGCGATGACGTGCAATCATTCGTATAGTATTGTAGCACAAGCTTGACCTCTATTAGAACCATTGATACCAGTCATGCCATCTCGAAAGCCATCTGTATATGCCCGTAAAGGGGTCTTCTCCGAACGCGAGCCCCCGGTGCTGCGAGTGCCCGTTGTCAGGGACGTTCGCACTTGCAAGCCATGAGATGAACCCCCGTCCCAATGTCCGTGATTGACACTGACCAATTGATCGCGTACCCCGTCGGTGTCAGAGATCGTGCCTAGACAGACCAGATCTACTGAGCCAGTCTGCCTCTTCGAAACCGAGACTTGGCTGATGTTTCCTTGTACTGTTTCCTCCATCTCATTCTTGCGTCCTGTCTCCTCGGCACCTCTGTTGAAAGATAGAGATTGGGCTCGCTGTCACTCTGGTGCGTTGGTTCCGAGAGTTCGCTCTGTGACAAATGATAGCATCGACCAGGAGGCTCCCCAGTCCATACTCTAGACCCTTTGCGCCGGGTTGCAGACTGGACAAATGAAAATGCGACTAGTCCGTGTCGCTGCCTCGATCAGACGTCCATCCTTCGATGAGTCTCGGCGTGTACGCGAATGAGGTGTATTTGGGCACCGCGAATGGCGCCTTGCGTTGGGCAGCCATTCGATGAAAGAGCCATGCGAGCATGTGCTTCAACACCACTATGGCCAACAACTCCTCTTCACGATCCTGAGTCTTGTCCATATGTGCAGACACTTCATGCTCCCTCGGTCCTTGACGCTGCGAAAGAACCAATTGAAGAAGATGGGTGCTACACCGGTCCTACAAGAAGGTCACTGCTGGGAGAATACCAGGACAAGGAAATCAAGAGCCCTTTTTTTTCTCCACAGCTTCAACGTTGGCCAAATCTTCTTGTGTAACAGCTTGGCTGCTCTCAGAAGCCACATGGAACTATGGTAACCGCTCCTCAGACGCACGGGACACCCTTGGGTACAGAAAACAATCTGTAGACTGTTACTGAGGCAGTCAATGGCCACACTGGCTGTGGTCGACGCATTGCAGCTACAGCAGACAAGGATGCCTCATAGGATAGGCCTCAAATACGAACCCCCTCCTTGGGCGAAGCGAGTCCAGCCTGCCTCACTGAGTTGACCATTGAGAAGACGACACGCATCTGAGCAGCATTCATGGGAGCCTGGATGTTCTTTCACGAGTCGCGTGGTTGATACAGGCATACGGTGCGGCTCTACGGATTCACCAGTGGGTGGAAGAGATGGTATTTGTGATGGCCAAACATCAAGTCGATTTCTTCCCACTCTCCCGCCTCTCCTTTTCCTTTTCATTTTCCTTTTTCTCTCTCAGAGTCCAAGCTGTGTGGTCCTGACCCCCAGCTGTGGTCGTGGTTGTAGGGTCAATGATGGAGTCGCAGCACCGTAGCCTCTACATCAAGTCAGTATAACATAAATCTCTCTCCGTGGATGAACTTTACCGACGCTAACTGTCGCGCAGATGGTGTCAGAGCGAGCAGATCGAGCTGTACGTGGGCGGCCAAGATGGACCGCAGGGACGATTCCTCGTCCCGAACGAGTTCCTTCGTCAGCGGTCCCTGCAGTTTCGGGAGATGCTGGTCGGCCGCGTGAAAGAACGAAAGCCGGCGTCACACATGCCTCAACTCGACCTGCCGGACACGCAAGTCCCGACGATGGAGGATTTCTTCATCTGGACATTCTCGCCGCAGCCGCAGATCGACCAGGCCTCCTCGTTCGACCAGGTGGTCCGGTTGGGGATCTTCGCCTGGAAATATCAGATCCCGGCCTTGAACAACCAGGTCACAGACATAATCCGGACCAATCTCGCAAATGGCGAATGGCTGCTCCAGGCTCCCATTGTCGATGGCATCTACGAGGCCGCGCCCGCAGGCAGTCCTCTGCGCGAAGTCGTGCGTGCCGCTCTGGGACGGTACCGGTCCAGCGTGGAAGACAAGGGCGCCATCCGAGATGAGTGGCGCCAGATCATGGTCAAACATTCCCAGCTCGGCGTGGATTACATCGAAGCCACGCTGTCCGAGTGGAAACGCCAGAACTATCTGTCCGGGGTGTGTCGCTTTCACGACCATCAAGGTGTCACCAGTCAAAATGGCTTCCTTGCCGATGGCTGTCCCTATGCGAGGGAAGATTGTTATCCGAGTTGGGAGGAAGAGGAGGAGGAGTCATCACCACCACCGCCTGTCTTGAACGGATTCAAGTCTGAAGAGCATGCTGATATGGCGGCACCACCAGAAGTCAGTGGGGAAACACAGACTCCTCGGGTGAATGGAGGCGCCAGAACTCCGGATTTTGCACCTGTTTTCGTCGACGACGAGGCTCAACCGGAACAGCCAATTGAGGAGTCCGTGTCCGAGGACAAAACCCCGGAAGAGGTCACCGTACCAGAGACAATCAAACCCAACAACGCATATTACCCTTCTGCTGTTGTTGAATATCCCGTCGTTGGACCTGAACCTGAAGTTGCACCTGTGGTTGAACCTGAAGTTGAACCCGAAGTTGAACCCGAAGTTGAACCCGAAGTTGAACCCGAAGTTGAACCCGAAGTTGAACCCGAAGTTGAACCTGAAGTTGCACCTGAGCCAGTGCCAGAGACCATGCCTGAAGAAGCTCTCATTATCGACGAATCACCCCCCGTTGAGGATGTCTCTGCTCATGGCTCTGGGCCCGTCTATGGTCCCGGCGGCGCCGACGAGTCTGCACCCACGGTGGTGTCGGATTCGGTCCTCGACGAGGCCGATGGACATCCAGCCACAGATGCGGCGAGTGTGCTGTCTGGAGAAGGGAAAATGGCTGTAGAATTCACGGCGCCGCAGACCACGGTGGAAGTCAAGGCTCCTCTGGGCGGAAGCAAGAAGAAGAACAAGAAGAAGAGAAATAGTGTCAGTCAGAGAAATTGATGGATGCGAGATGCAGGCAATGGGGCAGACAAGTGCAGCGGAAGAGCGAAAAGGAATCGCCCTGAGGATGGACAATGATGGGGGATTAGGATCCTAAAAGGGGGCAGGCTTGAAGGTCTGGGCTGTACGGGGTTGGTATTCGGTGGAGAGGTCAAGACGTGGGATTGCATTCACCAGAGTGCAAGTTACACGATGGTATTGGATATGTGGATGTCCTCAGAGGCAATCATGCATCATGCATCGTCGTTGTCGTTGTCGTTGTCATTATCGTTGAAAATGACCGGTCTGGTAGGATTCGTGGGCTTGAGATTAGCATGATAGGGCAGCAAATATGAAAATTAGGCTGGTATAAAGTATCCCCGTCACCAGACCATATCGTAGAGACCAAGGGGTACCGTCTGCTGTTTGGTATTGACTCCCACCCTGGTGATTGAGTGATTGAGTGATTGAATGTTCACTCTGCTCGAACATGAACGAGGCTGCGGTGACCAGGAGGTTGATGACGCTAGACCCAAAGAGGCAATATCGAAACAATCGACACGCTCGCTCGACGCCAAACACATGCGAATGAATCCGCACATATATCATGATCATGATCATCTTGGATAAAGCCGCCTAAACACGCCGAACTTACTGTTGCTACTTACTATTAAGGAAGGTATCCTGCATTGTGTTGATGCCATAGTCGAATGCAGTAATAGACCGACGACTCTCGAACGCGGCATGCCAGAATGCCCCGCGACGAAACCGTCCTCGATGCGCCCGTCACCCCAGCACCAGTGTTCGCATACCGCGCGATCAAAAGCATCTTCTTCGCGTCGCCCGATTCCTCGCCCGACCGTAATGACCACAATGACGACAACAATAACAACAAGGAGAACATTGAACCGGGGTACGCAAAATCGCCATTGAAGATGAAGATGGCCCCGAACCCGAACCCGAATCCAGCCCTCGATGACCAGGTGCTGTTGACGCCCTCGCATAAACGCAAATGGGATGGCGCAGGCACACTTGTTTCACCGACCAAGGGGATTCTCCGCACACCTGGCCTGGCGACTCCGCGGGCCAAACTCCTAAAGGATCTCAATGTCAAGTTCAAAAGTGTCAGTCCCGAAGCGATGGATCTTGGAAACAAAACGAAGAACCAGCCTACGGACGTTGGAGTGGCTGGGAGGTCAGTCAGTGGACATGCGAAACATGGCGGCGTGGAGTCTTCAAAGACAGTGAACCATGTCGGTGTTGTGTCTACGAAAAAGTCGTCAACACAGAAACAGCCAGCGGCGGAGTCGGCGCCCGCGAAAGTCCCGACCTCCACGAAGGCGAACGCGACAAAGACAACGACAATGACAGCGACAGCTACGGAAGGGTGGTTGTCTACACAGGCGATCGAAGCGTACATGCTGCAGACGGAGAAAGAGATGAAGCGACTGGTGCGATATGGACAGAAGATGCGAGAATACGCGCGCCAAAAGGACGCCGAGAACGAGGAGTTGATGGGTATGATTCGGCAGCTGCGAATCGAGAACGAGAAGTTGAAACAAGGCGTTGGTGCGAAAGAGAGAGGTTCTCATCCTCTCAACTCTAAACATGGTGGAGCTGAGCATGCGGATGCGGATGCGGATGCGGGTCTAGGGCGAGGATACGTGCGGGAAGAAGTCGACCGGGTGGAAGACACGGCCAGGGGTCATCACACTAGGAGCGTGACGGTGCTTCAGCGACGGTCGTTTCCGGGAGATGCTAAGGATGCAGATCGAAGGATGAAGGGGTTAGCTTCTGCGGTTGACGAGACTGTCGGTGGCGGTAAACTCAACACTCACGCCGATGCGACGGGATATCATCCATGCTCGACATCTGCGAAACACAAACCTGGATCGCATGTCTCTGCTGCGTCGGCGAACCATCGGACGGCTCCTTTGACGGCGCAGCAGTCTTCGAACCATCTATCAATATCACGCACCCGCGACCATGACCATGACCACGATCTCGACCGGCAAATTTCTCACTCGAAAGGGGATGCTTTGGTTGCAGCTACAGCTACATCTATGTCTATGTCTACAAATCCTGCGACCGGTACGGCAACTGATACTGATCACGGTGCGAAGGACCACTGGGCTAGAACGCGACCAGGTACGAGTATTGTCACTGGCACTTTATCAGCGGCCGGACTGTCGGTGGGAGCAGGAAGCGTTCGTCTGCCTCCGGACCGTCTGGCGGCAGCTCGAGAACGTCTGCGTCGTCGCACTGAAGCCCGCAAAGCCAGTGGTGGTGGTGGTGGTGGTGGTGGTGCGGACGGCATTGAAAACGGACCCGGTCCAATCGATCCAGGCGAGAAAATCGGAGCGTCGGATCACATGCGGCCTCGAAATCCCGTGAATGGACATGGCGTGTTGGAGACTGATGCTCACAGCCGCGACCAGAGCCAGGTCGATTGGCTTGATCTCTGATTTAGCAGACGGCAGGCAAGCAGGCAAGCAGGCAGGCAGGCCTCGAACTATTTCTTCGACCAGGGCTCTGAATTTCCTGGATCCTCTCCTACGCTCGAATATCAGGCGCTGGCCTGTGTGAGAGAGAAGAGCATTCGAGGAACCGCATTGCCGCATTGCGCCTTGTACTATGCCAGAGTGCCAGAGTGCCAGAGTGCCAGTGAGCTAGTCAGCCAGTGTGCCACAGTGGGACAAGCAATGAGACGATGGACCAGATCAACACTCTACGCATCTATTTCGTTGAGAGAGCGTTTTCCGAATGCGCAAGGCTGCTTCAACGTTTGTTATTGCATACCTAGGTAGCTCGCAGGTCCCGCAAGGATATTCAATACGTCCAACATGGGTATCGTCGGTATAGTGTCACCTCGTCCAAACCCAATTGACTCATATACCAATGTATAATCCTTCCCAGCCTTCAAAACGCTTTTCTTTCGTCTCTTACAACGCGATTTTCATTCCGTGCTAGTCGTTCAGCATCCGTCATACCTAAGTCAGTCGAAGTCGACGAACTCATCAGCCCAGACTCTCCTCATAATTGGCCGGCAGCCTCGCCTCGTCCGTCTGCGTGCTCTGCGCACGACTGGGCGTGGTATACCGGGCCTCGACGCGCTCCTCCATTGCCTTGGCTGCGGCTCTGCGCTTCTTCTCCGCTTCCTCCTTCTCGCGCATCTTGATGGACGAATAGTTCAGGGCGGATATAATCATGACTACGACCCCCGGTTAGTATTGAATGTTGAGATGGGCCGGAAAGGGGGAACAGAATGAGAGAAGTTCTGGGGGGTTTTCAAACATACATGCACAGAACCCAATGGCCATGGCGGCACGACGAGTCAAGACCCATCGCAAGCCTTCGACCTCGCTCTTGGCCTCGCTGTTCAGGAGAACGGTGATTTCATAGTTCAATTCGGAGATCTTGCCGTCGATGGCGCGTTTGTCCTCCTGCAGCCTCAACTTGCGGTCGTTGAAAAGGCCCTTGAGTTCTTCCCGCAGCGTCATCAGATCCTGGGTGACTTTCTGGTTCAAGATGTCGTATTCATGCTGCAGCTGCGCACGGTGGCTGCGCTGCTTCAGAGTCTCCGAATGCCGCGTGGTCTGCAAGGTGGTCTTGAGTTCCGAACAAGCCGCGCGGAACAGGTACGACTCGTTCTCAATGTCGGATTTGGACACCAGGCTCTCCTTGGCCATGTCCAGATTGATGGACAGCATGAGCCGGATCGCCTTCATCAATGTGATGGCTTGGTCCAAGGTATATGCGTGGTGGTCGGCCAGCTGCTGGACGAGCCCGTATGTGTCGAAATGGTGTTCATACGGAGGCGGCTCGAGGTGCGGATGTCGAGACGATTCTTTCTTCATATCAGACGGGGACGGGATCGAGAGCACAATGTCGAGTTCCTTGTTCTCCAGCGGGCCCTGCTCGTCGGGTTTGATGTTGTGGTTCCTTGACGAAAGGGACGCCTCGTCGATATAGTCTGACGTAGTGTTCGACTGTTGAGGCTCATCTTGACCTACTGATTCCTCCTTGGGGGTTTCGGTTCCCTTTTCGAGGGGCTCGCTTGGAGACCGGGACGAGTCTGCTTGACCTTTGCTGGCTGTTTCTTGTCGTTCTTCCTGTTTGGGGGCCGCCGTGGGCTCCGCTGGGTTTTCAGGAGGTGGGAGGTGTGAGGAGGCGGCCTGCCCGTATCGCTGCGGGATTGCGTCTTGTTGCCTTCGTGCGGAGCTGTGAAGGCTGGCTTTGCGACACCTTGGACGTGGAGCTGTGGGAGGCGCCCGAATCGACCGGTACGTGGTGGGCTCGCATGCGCGCACCGCTCGAAAGAGATTCGGGTATAGGAATGGTAGACGTGGCGTCGCCATCCTTGTACGGTGCGATTCGGAAGCTCGAGCTCGATCGCGGTGGCTGTACCGCTGTAGTTCTGCTTTCGTTTACTGCAGTCCGGTATTTCTCTGCTGGCAAAATGCATGCACAATTGCGTCTTGCACTGTTGTCAGCCCGGCTATTGTTCGGCGCACGGAGAAAGGTATCACCGTTTCCGCCTCGCAGGCTTCATCTCTCCGCATCCGCATCTTCTGTCTTCGTCTTCACCAGATACAGTACAATTTTGTTGTTGTGGAAGCTACCATGTTACGTTTTACCTGATGATGCCAACTCTCTCCTGTCCATGTCTCACACCTGCATTTGCCTGTGACCGCGCAAGCTCCACGAGGTCCGCAATCGTGGAGAAAGATCTGTTGCATCCTCTTCGGGAATTGTTATGTACCTTGGCAAGCACAGGCGAGTGAGGAGCTTGTGCGTACCCGGCCATAACACATTCGAACGCATGCGGAGTATTGACGGTAGAGGACAAGACGATATTACGAAATGTGAGGACAATAGGCTAGAACATGCGCGGATATGCAACAGCCTGCGGCGCTAAGGTAGGCAGGCCAATGCGCCGATGTGGAAAAGAGAACAGTTGTGTTTTCGGCTCACAATGCCGTACTACTGATCCATGATTATCCGGATCGAATGCGGCTTGAAGCCTCGTGGAAGCAGCCCTGCACTTCTCGAAGAGTGAAAGGCGCTTGTGGTGAATCGGTCATGCTTAGTGGCCTGCTCGATTGACTGACCCGAGCCCATGGGATATGTATGGCATGGACCTGGATGCGTGTGGAGACAGTGATGGTAGAGCCTGAAGGATTACAACGCGATGGCGTTATTGGCCTGGAGATCAGAGGGCACCCCGGCGGATGGGCATTCGAGGCAGGATTGATCGGGCGGAGCGGAAGAAGATCCGGAGTCTCTGTCCCATACTATCTACCTTATGATCGTCGCAGTACGTACCGGCATGTCAGAAGCCAAACCCGAAATCAAGCCTGGCTCTCGATATTTGCAGGACCGAACTTACATGCGCTGCGTCCCGACGGCTTGAACGACGAAGCTGATATGTTTCAGTGAACTTGACGGGCCCGACAATTACTACCCGCTAGGGGCCAAAAGACAATGAAGGATATTCGCTGGCTATACCTTTCTCTACTACCTACACATGGAGGGTACGGAATCATATTGACAGCGCCTCGTCATGGCGAGGTAAAAGCCTCGCCGAGGTCGGTACCAAACTGGCCGGGGTGGTCGGCGAGTGGATTGTGGTTACTGGCAGGGCTTGAGAATGCGGAGATGCCGGCAGCGGAAGGAGCACTAAAGCTAGGAGAGGAACAAGGCGGAAGATGTCATGGCATATGGTCTACAAGTAGACACAAGACCTGGCGACGTCACGTGACGGCGGAGACTTGTATAGGAGCGGACTGGATATCATTATTCTCATACGTAAATTGAACGAAGGGAATTTCCGACATTACTCCCATTAGCTCTGTGTCATGATCTTCTGGTTCCATTGTTTCTCATGGACTGTCACTCCACCTATATGCCACGCTTCCTGGCTATGCCCAGTCTGCTGATACGCGTGTTGTAAGCCTCCGAGCAAGGCGGAGGCCTCAGCCAAGCTCCTGTACACGGCAATTCGGCGTATCCCTTTGCCTCAATCTTGAGCTTTCAACCTCGCTCGGCTCGGATTCGGACTCGGACTCATCCAGGGTATCTCGGATTGGAAATTTCATCCTGCTTGTGTTCATCGCGCGGTCGCCGGACCGCTACTATGGGGCGGGCCACGACTCGGTTAAACATTTAGGCACGACCTCCAGGACCATGAGAATGCCACCAGGCAGATCCACGAAGAGACCGCTGCGTTGTTACTCTCTTCTGTATATGCCCCATTGGTGGCTCCCCCCACATGTTGGGCTGTTGCCGACTTCACGGTCTTTTCTACCGGAATAGTCAATCTGTTTACAGAGCAAGCTCGTGGGGTACCGATTTCGCTGGGCGAACTGCACCGTCTCCGCCGGCAGATGCAGTCGTGGTAGGATACCGGTTCCGAGTGTCACAAGACCCATGGCGGTTTTGGAAGGCTTGAAATCGTTTGAGGATTTGTTCCGACATTCTTGTGAAGGGTTGGGCAGGAATACTTGTCGGACCGGGGCCTCGGTCAGAAAGAGGCTGTAGAAGTCCTCCAACCCAGGCTTGGACCTCCATAGCTTCGTGGTTATAGAGCAGTTATCCCTGCTCTGCTCTCAAGCGCCATTAGAAGACACGGCGCATGAGGAGCAGAGCTCTCGCGAAGAGGCATTGGACCAAGCTGCAAAGCAAATAAGGAGTGGGGCAGGAGAGAAAGGATGAGCAGCGAAGGCCAGCTGGCAGATGAACAGAGCTGCTCCGCAAAGAGGAGGGGGAAGTGAGCGTAGTTCGTGTTTGCGGGACGGATGCGGTAAGATCAGGTTGGCTTGTCGGAAAGGTCGAGTTTGAGGAAGGTTATAAAGAGTTGGCATTCGTCCTAGAAAGACCAATATTCTTAGATCTTGGTCTTCAGCATCAAAGGGTGTTTCTCAATCCATTGTATATCGTGGTCAGCTGTGAATACGCTGGTGTCTCAGATCCAAAGGTACGTCACCTCTCCAAGTCAGGCAACTGCACAGTCTCTTTCTATTAGGCGCATCTTTTCCTCCCAGGGCGCAGCTGCGCTCAATTGTTTCCCTACTATCCTTATCGAATTCCCATCTCTTATCGCCGCCTATCTTCCCCTATCCCTACCACCTAATGTTTTCACCCATCCCGCCTGTGACTTCACCTCTTCTAGGGATCGTCTCAGTACCTTAGGTACCTAGATACCTCATAGTGACACTCTCACTCCCACTGCGTCGTCACAAGTGGCTTCGTTAGCCCTAGCCCCTCTTCTCCCTCTGCACCGGTCTCCTCTCCTCTCCTCTCTCATCTCCTCTCTGCCCTGGGAGACCTCCCTAGCCCTCCTCATCTTCCACTGTACTGCGACGCTGCAATCCCGCCACATCCATGCAATCCCGGCCCACGGCTCTTTGGCTCAATTGAGACTCAAGAGCCTGTGCTGGTCCATCCACCCAATGCCGGCTGGCCCCAGCTCATCCTCTGACGTCCTCAATTGTTGCTATGCTAACAATAATGATGTTATACCATAGCCAGACCGAGTACCCTTCAGGCTCAAAGCTCTGCCGGCAGAAACATCCCATCAATAAAACCAGCCTGCGTCCTCTCGGTTCCTCGCTCTATCCTTCAACCTCTTTCACCTCCAACCTATTAAACCTCCTTCAAAATGGTATTTGCTTCCCGTGCTGCTGCGCGTTGCTTGACGCGCCCTACCTCCTCCCTCCTCAGTGCTTCCCCGCACTTTGCCGGCCGCGCAGCAACACCCTCCATATTTTCATCCACTACCAAACGGACACTGACAGCAACTGCTTCTCGCCAGGGCAAAGTACTTCTCGTCCTCTACGATGTAAGGGTTCCTCTCACCTGTCATATTGCCTATCTCTAACACCCCAGTCAGGGCTTTGAACATGCCAGAGAGCAACCCCGCCTCCTCGGTACCACGGAGAACGAGCTAGGTATTCGAAAATGGCTTGAGGACCAGGGACACACCCTGGTCACCACCTCGGACAAGGACGGTGAAAACTCCAAGTTCGATCAGGAACTGGTGGATGCCGAAGTCATCATTACCACTCCGTAAGATCCCGCCAAAAGCACAAAACAGTATCTTGCTTGACCACATTCTGATGTCATCAATGCAGCTTCCACCCAGGTTACCTCACCGCCGAGCGTCTGGCGAAGGCCAAGAAGCTGAAGATCGCCGTCACCGCCGGTATCGGTTCGGACCACGTCGATTTAGACGCCGCCAACAAGACCAACGGTGGTATCACCGTCGCCGAAGTGACTGGCAGCAACGTCGTGTCCGTTGCTGAACATGTCGTCATGACTATCCTCACCCTGGTCCGCAACTTCGTCCCTGCCCACGAACAAATCGAAGCGGGTGACTGGAACGTGGCTGCCGTAGCCAAGAACGAGTTCGACCTGGAAGGCAAGGTTGTGGGCACCGTGGCTGTCGGTCGTATCGGTGAGCGTGTGCTGCGCCGTCTCAAGCCATTCGACTGCAAGGAGCTGCTATACTACGATTACCAACCCCTCAAGCCCGAGGTGGAGAAGGAAATCGGCTGCAGACGTGTGGACAGCCTTGAGGAGATGGTGGCTCAGTGTGATGTTGTCACCATCAACTGCCCTCTCCACGAGAAGACTCGCGGACTGTTCAACAAGGATTTGATCTCCAAGATGAAGAAGGGTACGTCCATGAACTTCCTTTCCTACCAAGTGGATGTAGACTGACAATGTTGACCCAAGGCGCTTGGCTCGTCAACACCGCCCGTGGTGCCATCGTCGTCAAGGAGGATGTCGCCGAGGCTCTTAAGACCGGCCAACTCAACGGTTACGGTGGTGATGTGTGGTTCCCTCAACCCGCACCAAAGGAGCACCCACTCCGCTACGCAAAGAACCCTTGGGGAGGCGGAAACGCCATGGTCCCCCACATGTCGGGCACTTCGATCGACGCTCAAGAGCGCTACGCTGCTGGCACCAAGGCTATTCTTGAGAGCTACTTCTCTGGTCGTGAAGACTACCGACCTCAGGATCTGATCTGCTACAAGGGCGAGTATGCCACCAAGGCATATGGCCAACATGACAACAAGAAGAAATAGATGCAAATCATGCCTGGATAAAAGGGGGATGTTTTGGAAAGCAGAGATTCGGATGAAGGCAATCTTTTTGAAAAACATAGGCCCAACTGATGGATCAGGAACGAACATATGAGTGAATCATGTGATGGCAGATGACTGTGCTCGTTTCACCCTAGGGGGGGACCCATGGGATGTTGGCTCACAAGCCTGATATCATGAGGGAGGGAGGGAGACCTTCCTCTGGGTACAAAATTCTTCAGATGTCCAGAATGAGAAATGTCAAATATCTTGTGTCTATTTTCGGGCTGTCGGCTTGCCGAGTCTTTTCAGAACTTATCTAACAGTGGCATGTAGTTCTGGCAAGCTTCATATCTCGCTCCGATTCCCGTCCAGATCTCAAATGAAAACCGCAACGAATATATGTGCGGCATTCGTTCACGTCACGTGATCTCTTTGTCTATTGCAGCGTTCCATGAGAGCGAATAAACCGATGCATGCTGTTCAAGAAGAATACTCGGTGCTCAGCCATTGCGCAACCCATATTGCTATAGAGCTACTAACCTGCCCTCTGTTCTATATAAGGTAGGTGACATGCCAGTCGAGACTCGGTACACTTGCACTGTATAATTCTCACTGCAATCTTATATCTCGGGAAATCGATTATGCGGACAGAACTCCCCGCCCCAATGAAGTAAGAGCGGCTTTTCACATCGGCAGAAGCTGTACTGTCAGTGTGTACTCTATAAGGGGCTGAGTCCCCAACTCTTCAGCGCTAGAAGTTGTATCGTGATCCCTACTAATAGGTGGACCTATATCATGCCGGGCCGTTCATAATACGTACCTTGTTCTGGAAAATTAATATCGTGGAATTTATTGTGTTGATTAATCAATCAATTAAATTGTGGAATTGCCGCAACATCCGTTCGACTTTCCACCGCTCGCTCTTTGTGATCACAATTCTCTTTCGTTTCTATTACGGCTCCAAATCACCCACCTTGCCAACAACATTCACCCGGCTTGCGTGTCTTTCCTTCGGCAACGGCGACCTCGGAGATGACATTCAAGTTCGTTGTTGCGGTAGATGTCCCGATGCTGTGACATTGAGACATGTAATAATATTGTTGATGATTCTCAATACCGCTCGGGGGGTTTTCGGGCGGATGTATTCGGATACTGACTGCGGCCTTGTATTTTGCGGATTGTTATGGAGGATGAAACAAAAGGCGGCGACGGGGTGAGAGTGTTGATGCTCAAAGATCCCTAGTCGGCACCCGATCGCAAATCTGGCATGAGAACACTGAGAGAAAAGGAACGGAAAGGAATACTTGCGGAGGATGGTGGCCAGGGAGGTTAACACGGGACAGTCGACACATGGTTCGTTTGTGCTTGTGAGGCTGTTGTGTCGTAGAGTATAGATGGAGGGAGGGTTGATCTAGATCCCGAATATTATCCAGAAGATTGTGAAGGACCGGACATTTAGCAGTATCCTTTCTGAGAGAGTTACCAGTCTTGATCGTGATACATGCTTTGCGATCGAGCGGAGTCGTGTTACCGCTGCATCTCATAACGGCACTGGTCATGGTCATGGTCATGGTGACGGTCGCTGCCATCTAGATGCCACAGAGACTCGGAGTTCCTTCGCTGGTCGGCAGAGCGGTCGCTGGACGCTGAGTGTGGGATCCCTTTGGTTGGGAGCGACTGGAAGTTCGAAGATGGGAGCAAGGAGCAGAGCAGTCGAAGGAGGGATCAACTGAGCATGTCGTCCTCGACTCTAGGGAAGGACGTATCGTATGCAGCGGGCATCTACTAATATATCCTGTTCGAGGCACTGTGCCTTTGCATGTCTGGCTTCTCCGAGCCAACTTGCTGCCGTGTATGCTCCTGTCTTGGAATGATTTAGTCCGGGAGAAAAACGGCTTTCCCGTGTTCACGGCCGGCGCCGTTCCTGGATTAATTGATTCGAGTCGAAGTGTGTGTCTGCTGAGGATGCCCTGTCCCGCGCCATGGATCATACCACCAGTAGTCCACGCAGTCCAGTATACACCATAGCCTTCTCCTGTCTTCTGGCTTCTGTCTTCATCGCAATGTCCTTGCAGTGCCCCTCGGGTTGAGGAGTAGATGTATGATATTGTGAAGAGATAGATCGTGCGATGTCTTCGTGCGAACAGCTTGAGAGGCGGTCGAATTTGGATCACCTGCCGATCCGCACGAGAGTCACTGCAAAGACGCGAGAGTCAACTTACTTGCTAACGGCACAATGCCTTTCGTCTTCATCCTGATCTCGCCGGCAGCCGGGGATCCTCTCAGCTGCCGGTGTAGAGATGCAGCCAGGATAACATATCTCTGCGGTCCAAAGTCTTAAGTGTCTTGATGAGGGTTTTCCACCGCTTATTGTACGCCTCGGGTAGTCCTAGCTATGGTCCATAAATGCTAGGTCTCGCACTCATCGTAGACAAGGCTTGTTTGGGACCATGTGCCTCTCATCTCGATGACCAGACGGTCCAACTGTATGCCTGGTAGGTGTCTGGAGACTTGCGGTGCATACTGTTACCGGCAAACGTCCTCTTAGGTACTGAACACCAGGATACCTTGACGCTGCAACCATGCTAGACCAACGCTTGAGTCCTAGAGTCCGAGAGTGTCGAAGAGCTGCGGACTGACAGCTAGAGACAGAGGGAAGAAGGATGGAGAGAGAAGAGCGCTCTGTAGAGAAGTAGCAGACAATGGAAGGATCTGTGAAACAGTCTAGGTAGACGTTGTCACTAGAAGCCCTACTGTACAGCAGAATGAAAGAATCTCGCCGTCACTGCCGCCGTCGCTTCGGGCGAATTTCTGCCGAAGTCGATAGCCTTGCCGCCACGTGATTCAGATTACTAACACAAGTTGTAGTACTTAGTACTAGTAACTAGTTCTACGTCAGTTACTAGTACTACGCCATTGGGCTGATAAGGCTGATTGGGTGGCCTCCCTAGCCTTGCTGGCGACAGGGCGACAATTCAATTCCGACGACATGTCTACAGGAATCTGTTACTTGTGTACCGTATTCGACATATGTCGAGCTGTCTATCCCTTCGTTCCTCCTTCTTCGCCCTATGTGCTCGCTGTCGCTACTGCCTATATGGCCCTGTATGACCACCTTCCACATCACGTGCTCCGACGTGCTTCCTTCCTCAGGTTGGGGCTCGATCTGCGCCAGACTCACTGCTCTGATCTCGATCAATCCCACGTAGCCAATGGCAAAATTGCTTCAAGTCGACCAATTGTAAATTTCCTCCTGCCCTTGCCTCTGATCTGAGAGCTCATCATGATTTTCCAATCGTTGGAGGGTGGCGGATTGACTTTGCAGTTGAGGAGGCGTGGACGATGATGGTAGCCTTGACAGTAAGTTAGCAGGAGTTTGGTTATGGTTGACAATTATCTCTGCCCAGCATGTACCAGCCGATTATGCCTCCATCCGACACCCGCATCGGTTCAGTTCGAGATTGCCTGCTGCCTGCGAAACGATCTACTTAGGAGGGTTTAACAAATTTCTGTGCAGTGGGCTGAAAGATGGAAGCATTCCAAGGCTAAAGGAGATATCACCTCGCCTGAGAGGTGCGCCAGCGAGAGTGCAGCTCCATTGAGGCAGTGTCGAAGGTTTGTGGTAACGATTACTTAGCGCGGGAGGTAGGTGTGGTGAGAATTTCAAACCCATTACTGTCCTCGCCTTGCATGAGAGGTGTTCCAGAGAATATGGTGCCCCGTTGAGGCTGTGCAGTGCGTGAAGATTTCTCATGTCGAGAGTTTTTGATAATGGGGACAAGGCTGGGAATTAAGGTTTGCCGCTGGCGGTGGAGCACACGCTGCCTCGGATTTTGGATTTTGCACTCACTCAACATAGGGGATTCTCCGAGACGAGTGATGAGCTTGGGATAGATGCACTGAACAGAGCCGTCGCGGAATCGCAGTGCAAGCTGTCTCGAAAGCTCTCATATCGAGCGGAGCGCGGCTGGGGAAACTGCGGAGAAATGATCGACATCGAGCGGAAAAGTCTATCCGAGCGGGATCGCCGCCCATGATCGGCCAATTCCACATGGCTCCCCTCCCCAAAGCCTCGAACTTATTCAATCCGACTGTGGAGAGAAAGAGGGATGCAGGGAGGGAGGGAGGGAGGGAGGGAGGAAGGCTGTGCACCAAACCTTGTTCCGTCAACTTTTACGGAAAGCCTACTACCGCCTACCGCTCGTCTTCGATTTGAGGCCGCCACGGTGCCTATACATACGATCCGCTTATGCCACAGACTGCCACGGAGAATTCCTCGCTTGTCACGAATGCATGTCTGGTCTTGCACGTATCTGAGACCGATCAGCGCCTTCGACAATACTTGTGCAATGAGGCTGTGGGCCTCTCACCCCGTGGGGATCGAACCTCGCACGAATGTGGACTCCCTTTGACATCCTATCAACGGCGATCTATCATGCTCGTCTTTGGTACACCCATACCTTCACCTTCCCATCTAACTTTTCATCTAGCTTCCCCAGTCTGCTCAGCCTCATGCGGATCCATCCTGTCCATACTATATCGATATGGAACTGGTGGACCTTCACCCAAGTCTATCCCGTTGAGGCTTCAATAATGGCCCCGGAACCCGATGATATTCGGATCAAAGTTTTCAATCTGTCGTCGTCGTCGTCGTCGTCGTCGTCGTTCGCAGAGCTTCCCTTGGCCTGATCTTGGTCGAGCTCCCAGATCAACCCGGAGGCAGCTTTCGTCTATATATACGGCCTTCTCCTCGTCTCTCTGAGGATTCCTTTCTCTTTTCTCCAGACTTGTGACCAACACTTGATGTGAGTGCTCCTCCTATGCGCTGCTTTCCCTCTTGTCAGCACATCCCCCTTTCCCATCTCACACATCCCCTTCTCACTCATGCCCATCCCATTTCCTTCTCATTCATGCCCACCCATCCCCTTCTCATTCGTGCCCATCCCATTTCCTTCTCATTCGTGCCCGTCCCATTTCCTTCTTATTTATGCCCATCCCATTTCCTTCTCATTCATACCTATCCTATTTCCTTCTCATTTATGCCCATCCCATTTCCCTCTCACTTATGCCTATCCCGTTTCCTTCTTATTTGTGCCCATCCCATTTTCCTCTCACTCATGCCCATCCCATTTCCTTTTTCCTCATGCCCATTTCCTTCTCGCTTATGCCCGTCCCATTTTCTTCTTACTTATGCCTATGGCCCTTCCCTCTTTTTCATTCATGCCATCATCTCTTTCCATTGTTTCATTTTTCACTGCATTGTCATCTTCGAGAAGTCCAAATGCTAACGAAGTCTTCCTCAGCTACAGCTACAGCTACAGCTACACCAACAACAACAGCAGCAGCAACCACAACAGCAACAGCAGCACCAACAACAACAACAACAACAACAACAACAACAACAACAACAGCGACCTCCCCGGCAGCAGCAACACTGCCATCACCACCAGCACCACCTCCACCAACACCACCACATTTTCTACTTTCCCGACTCCCACCAGCCACAACTCAGTCAAAATGGGTTGCACTATGTCCACCATGTCTCTGGAGGCTGCCCGCGAACGCTTTTTGGCTTGGGCGTACAGGCTGGTCAAAGGACCAAAGACCCGTCGTTTTTTCCAGGGCAGGCACCGAAGCCCATACGACGAGGCCCCGCACCCATTTCCGCAGGGGTGCCGCTTTGAGGGTCACGCAGACCCGAAAATCGTCCGGTCGCCCCAAGGGACCGATGAGAGGAAGGCGAACCTGCGCCGGGGCACGGTCATGTGGGACCCCGAACTGCCAGAGCCGGCATTCAAATGCCTGACTCCGATCCCCCCTGCGGCCGAGCGTGCTGTTCCCGGCTATCTGCGAGCTGAGCGGCTCGGGATTCCCCCGTGGGACGCTCCGCCGACTGAGTGCATCAGGATTTGCCTACCAGGGCCCGTCACACCCTGATTGTGGGAACCCCTGGATGGTGTCGGCGGCCCTTCGTGCTGACCAGCGACGATACACTGACTACGACGGTTTGATTGTGGGAACCCTCGGCCTGATCCCGACTACGAACTTCAGTCGATTTGGATCAGGCGAGATTTGCCCACCAGACACGATCGAGCAGCAAGACGTCGCCGGCACGTGCTGACTTGCAACGATATGACATTCTCCCCCTCGGCCTTTCCCGACTATGAACTTCAGTCGACTTGGATTGGCGAGGTTGTCAAGATGTTGCCAGCACACATGGAGGGATTTTCTACCTGGATTTCTGTTGGCGCTTAGGCCTGGAGTTCAGGTATGGGCAGGATGCCCGGGCATGGGCATAGGCATGGTTTTGTTTTCCCCCGAAACAAAAAAACACCAAAAACACCAAGAAAAAGAAAAATCAAACGAAAAAAAGGTTGTGGGATTGGTTTGCTCTTTTCTTGCCTTTGGAGTTTTGGATGCCCGAGAAGCCCTTGAAGCCCAGGAGGAGTTTTTGCTTTCATGGCGGTGGGAGGGAGGGTGGACGCCATCATCATTACCATCATCATTACCATCATCATTATCACCATTCTTACCACCATTGTTACCGGCATCATTATCACCATCCTCATCACCATCGTTACCACCCACGCTCATGGGCACTGCCAACGTGGTCGACACCAGCATCAAGTCAATTGCACCATGCCACTGTCGACACCACCATGACGCCTATGGCCAGTTTGATGTGGTTTGCCCTGGGAAAGCAACCATTGTCAAGACACCTCATCATGACCGGTCTCTCCATAGACCTATGATCACCGATATCATCATCATTACTACCTAGGTATCCTTATGGACCTTCTTCCGGCACTGTGACAACCGCCTGATCATCCAAACTTATGATCATTGCTCTTCGCCTGGCCTTGCTGCAATGAAGCACCGGCACCAGCAACTCTGTGACAACCACTCGATCGATCACCACGATCACTCAAGTCTGCAGCATGCCAAACACCTGCAAAGACACACCTTGAAGTTTAACTACCTATCATTACTGGGTATCATTACCGACCTATTCTTATGGTCTATCATTACACCTTGTCGGCGCTCAAGCAAGCATCTCTACTGCACTCCGACAACGACTTGATCATCCAACCACAACATGATCACTGCTCTCGACCTGGCTCTGCTCCAAACAGCATCCAGACTCGGCACTCTTCAGAAGTTCAAACAAACCACAACAAGCCTGGCGCGCCGCCATCAAGGCCAAAGCACAATGCACAAAGCATGCTGCCAGCAACACACAAGCGATCTCATCAAATGGATCCAAACTCATTCGAAGCGCACTGATGACAACAATCACATTGCATCTACTCTGCCAGAGCTCATCGGCTCTTTGAATGCTCTTTGGTGCTTGGGACACACCATCGATGCTCAAACAATGCACACAATCAAACACCACACGCTCGTTGACGATTGGGACCGTTGACGCAGCCAGAGACCATCTCTTCAACTCTCACAACCGAGAACGAACTCTTTACTTCTCACAACTCGATGCTCTTTGGTGCTTGGGACACACCATCGACGCTCACAAGAATTCAAACCATTCAAACACTTCACACACCAACACTGTGACACACACATCGATGCTATCTCTTGCATCCGTCATCATGCAATTGCTTTGACACTCTCTTCTTCGATGCTCTTTGGTGCTTGGGAACCACCATTGATGCTCAACACACTCATCAGACTCTTCAAACTGATTACGCACGCTGATGCTTGGGAAACATCGCGCTGCCAACTCATTCAACTCTACCACACTTGGTGCCATCAATCTTTCAGATCTCGCAGATGCCAACGCAAATGCACACTGCACAGTCACTCTTCAGACTTGACAATCTTTGGTGCTTGGGAACCACCACCGAACACACTCACTCTTCAAACTTGAGACGCTCATTGATGCTTGGGAACCATCATGATGCCAACTATCATCTTCAACATTCAGATATACAAACGGTCTCTTCGCTCGATGGTGCTTGGGAAGCACCTCGATGCTGAACACGCTCTTCACACTTTCACACACTTCAAACTTGTGACGCTCGTTGATGCTTGGGAACCATCTCGATGCCATTCACTATGGACGATCCATGATCTTCAAACATTCAAACGCTCATTCTTCGCTGGTTGGTGCTTGGGAAACACCATCGATGCTGAACGAACACTTCACAATCTCAATCTTGTGACGCTTGCTGATGCCTGGGAAACATCACGATGCCATCTGTCATCTTCATACTCAAACTTCGCTCGTCGGTGCTTGGGAACCACCACGACGCCGACTCTTCAAAGTCTACGATCTACCATCTACGGCTTACAACTCTCTGTTCAAACTTCTGAACTCTTCATCACACTCGCTTGGAGCCTGGGAACCTCCATTCTGAGCCAACTGATCAACTGTGGTCACTCACTTCCGCTGTTACACCTTGCTGTCACTCGCTGTCGTCAACTTGCTGCTTCTGGATCCGGATACTCTCTTCTTCAATCTATCACCACCTAAATCACCGCTGTTTATTGCTGTCACACCAAAACACACTCTCTCTTGCTGTCGCTCGCTGTCTTACTGGAAACAAGTCCTCTCATGAGCAAATCACAAATCACAAACTTCAACTCACCTCATATCACAATTCAACTATCAATACCTCAACTATCAATACCTCAACTATCAATACCTCAACTATCAATACCTCAACTATCAATACCTCAACTATCAATACCTCAAC